CCGCCTTTCAAGTTCAGTCCGAGACGCCCTGATCGGACAAACAACCATGAAGGCCGAGTGTTCCTTTTCCCGATACCGGGATCGTCAAGATTGTTGAGAGATTGTCATAATGCTGCTGTAAGGGCCCCCCCACAATTCATGCTTTCTACGTCCCCCATCTTTCGCATTCAATGCGATCCTCCGCAATTGTAGCTATCGATACTTACCGGAGCATGGCGAATGAATGGCGAATGAGCGGCAGCGGAGGCAGACGACAATAACCAAGGACATCGTGAGAGATGATGAGGGGACAAGTGTGGAAGATGGGGTGTTCATCGTGAGAATTAGTACACGACCTTTTCCTTTTCCGTAGGGAATCGGCAGGGGGAAAAGTTCCCGAGGATGCCGAAGGAGCGGTTTTGTTGAGGACTACGGTAGTCTGGAAAAGGAACAACAAGCATGTGGATGAGTGATTTCCTGCCAGAATTGGTCGAAATGTGAGCATATGAGCGTGTTTTCGTGTGAGAGAGAATGATGAGGAGCTATGTAGTGAAACAGTTTCTGTAGGATGATATGGTTCAGGCCTTTTCGGACCTTTGGGCCGAGAATTACCAATGGAACTCTTGTCAGAGCCCTCAAACTATTGTAGTCTACTTGGTTTATTGTGCGCAAATCTAGACTAAAGGAGAGATGCAAAAAACGATTGAGGTACTACAGTGGAACATTGGCGAAGAACGCCTGAGGATCAATTTGAGAGACTGTTGTCGCCTTGGTATGGAGTGGCGGACTTTGAACAATTCCAATCATGCCTCGTAGATGACTGACTAGCAGTAGCAATCGTAAGCCTATCTCAAGTGGTTCATGTGGCTGTACAGGTATCTGCACTATGATTGAAGGCCTGATCGTTCTAACGCTACAGAAGACGTCTAGTGCTGCCCGTGAATGGTAGGGCTTACGATTCATCCAAGGCCTGAACCATTCCCAGAACTGCGACTTTTGTAATAACCGAGGTGTGAACCCTTTGACCTAGATTGCTCTCGTGAGTTTTCTTTGGTGGACATGATGTAACAAATATCATAGGTCCTTGCTATTTGGTGGGATGAGTGGAGTCTAACCTCTGCAAGTTACGCCCTACCGTAGTGTCGCTAGTTAGAGATGTGGCAAGTGGACCCTTGCAGAACAAAGAAACGTAGTATCGCCACAGGTTAGTTACAAGGATAGGTTTGGATAGTATGGCAGCTCGAACGGCAGGGAATGTACCGATTATTGCCATGTTGGTTTCGAACCATTGCAACGAAAGGATTGATTTGTGGCATAATGGATTTCATGAGACATTTAGCATCGCGAGGTTCTGAAGAGTCCATATTGCAGACACTTTGAAAGCCCGCTGGCTGACAAATGGCGGTACCAGCTCGAGGGATTGGAGGAAGCGTAGGCCCAGATCTGGACCCGGAATGCGACAATTCCCTTATGTCCTGCCGCAATTGTATTCTCAACAATAAGTAGGCGTGCGCCAATGGCTCTGTTGTGTCAAACTCATGCCACAACAGGCTCATTAAACCGAGCTTCCTCGAGGCATGACATTACTTGTGGAATTAGGAGCAAGCGGACGGTTCGCTGTCTGATAGAGATTCAGGCAAAATATGAAAAGGTGGAGATGAGATAACTTGTTTGTATGGTTTATTGTTCGTTCCGACGCTCTTTTCTGATTTGATGACCCAATGACCGAAGACCTGCACATGAACTGGAGGATAGAAAGTTGATTAGAGCTATCAGGCGCCAACATTTCTCTCTTCCCACCTACGAGGATCACATAAGTGGTCGGATACTTGACGAACCGACAGGTGAGCGGGAACGATCATTTCGTATGGCTCATCAGGATATGGTCGGAACGGCAAGGTAGCATTGCCGAAGTCGCAAAGCCCGAGCTAGCATCCGAACAGAAGCATCATGTGAATGTTTCCAAGCTACCATACGTGGAAGACTGGGTATCTCACCCCGAAGATGTGCGAAAAATGCCGCAGTGGAGGTTTCTTGTCGTATGGACGTATGTATCCACCAGAATATTCACACGTATGTGGGTGATAGCGCCGATGGGGTTGGGGACAATAGGCAAGTGAGGTTGAAGCCTGCCACATCAGAGTATATCCAGCTAACTGATTTGGGCACTAGTGGTCTTGGTATTGCACATCCTCAGGGAATAGTTCCAGTGTGAGAAGATGCAGTTGGAATAGATTGCCATCTGTTCACAAGGATCTGCCAGGCTCTGGTCTGGAATTTGCAGTAATATAGAGAGCAGGCAGTACTTGGTAGTAAGTCCAGCATGTGTGAATTATCTTCGAAAGGCAGGACCGGGTAAGTGATTCAGGCTCAGATTAGTATCTAGGATTCGAGAGCAGGGCCATCCATGGGCTCATAGATCCGCTGGTGCATAAGCTGCACAAGGCCAGTGTTTCAAACTCGTAGAACATGTTCTGGTTGCACTGTACCGCCTCGTAAGTGGGCGTTGGCCAGCAATGATGATTTGGCGTCAAACATATAGACAGGCGCACACATAGAGACAAGGCTCCAGATTCGTGCTAAACTTGTACCGAGAGAGGTTGGAAACGGGACATAGATCTACTCTGGTGTCTGTTGTGGTGGCGATCGGTTGCTTGCTCGCTTCAACTTGCATACCCTCGTATGGGGAATCGTGTCTATGATTGGAGAAAGTTAATAGAACTCTACGCCTACAAGCACAAAGGGAGTGTTGGAACCTGGGAGTGGCAGAAAGGGATGGTTTGATAGGCCAGGAGGCAGATGGGCGATGTAGCAGCCGTTGTGTGCAATCTGCAAGCAATAATCAGATAAAGTGACGGGAATTGAACTTTGAAGTGGAAGGATGGACCAATTAACTGTTGGAGGGAAGGGAAGGGGACGACTGGGGAGGTGGTGGGAGGGACATTCAGCTGAGGCTTAGGCTTCCCCGATTGGGCAACTCGGTTGGAGACGGAACATGGTCGCCTTTGTCTACCAAAACATCCCACCACACCCTTTGCCCTTTGCCATCCATCATCACCTTCGTCATGCTCATTCTCATTCCATATGTGTGGGATCGTTGCAAGTGCTCCTTTTGGGAAGTACCTATTCCTTCGCGACATGACGTCGTCGTTCCTCATGCTTCCACTCACAGGAGCAGCTTACCACATGGCGATACGTACCTACACCTGCACGACGGAAAGCCGACAAACTGCACATGACCTTCTAACCTGAATCCCTCACAGCTAGCCCTTGCCCATATCCACCAGCATCGGGTCCATCAACCGAAGCAATCATTCTTCGCGTGTGCAGTAGAGCATAGATACACCTAGCACCCCTTGGCTGCAACCCTGCGTCGAGGCTTCACAGCACATCTTCTCAACCTTGCCGGTGACGTCGCATGTTGTGGCAAATACTCACGAAGCCGTTGCTGTTCTTGTGTTGCGCCTATGGGACCAGGCTCGCAGCTCACAGCAGATCTACTTCTAGCTGATCAGACAGACCGTTCGTCTAGTGCCATCTACGTCAATCGAAGACAATTCGAATGTCTTGAGAAGCCTGTCGCTCCGTGTAGCGCAAGCCTCATATATCCTCCATCAGTGCATTACGAAGCCAAGGCTCACTGGGAGAGCTGCCTGCAATAGAGTGGTAAGCATGCATGTACAATCGACCTGCAACCATTTCCGGGACTCGCAAAGTACCTAAGACATCTGTCGCCCGGCTCAACACTCGCTGAGCCAAGGCCAAGTTCTGAAAGTGGTTGGTGGCTACTCTATGGAGTACATGACTACGCTATTAGGTGTATACTTACCTACAGTAACTAGACCTGTATTGTCCGCGTACGTTGTACTTGTAAGTCGTAGTTAAGTTGTACTGTGTAGGGTTGTCTTTTGACCTTCGCCACACGTGGGATTTTCAGATCAGCATAACCTATGGACCGAGCGATGCTGATCTTAGGAAAATGTCCGCGAGGCCTCGGGAATCCCAACTCGAACTTCTCAGCTAAACCTCCCAAAGCAGCGGTCCGCTATTGCAGGTTGAGATCGTCACCCGTCAACCGGAATATCTGGCGCAAACCATCGTCCACTCATTTGATAGATGTATACGCTATAAATTGCAGACGACAGGATGGCTGTGCGAACAGCACCATAGTGGCATGACAAGTATATCGTGGTGCGGAAGCCAGAACGCCGTTGTGACCCGAAAAGTGATACTTCTCCGGTGTCCCTACGTAACCGCGCCTAGTACACAGTAAAGTTCATTCGGCAATAATGGAGCGCAACTGAAATGGATGCTGTCTAGATTGTCATCGGAGATGCGCCCTACTGCATAGAGACGGCAGAGGGCCTGGTAACCCTTCCCTCTGCGGGTCATGTGCAGTTTGTATGTAGACGCGATCGTAAGCTATCGAGCCATTGCCGTTGCATCACCGGCGGGTCTCCGTGTGGGTACCAGGCGTTGACGGCCCACGCACGCAGCACAATACTCACGTCTCACAGGTCTTCCGTCACTGCGCAGTTAATTACCTAGCTTGCGCGAAGGCATCACGGCTGGCCTGGTGCGCGCCTGGCCCCAGGTGGTCAGCGGCTCATCTGCAGAGGTGAATCTAAACGTACAGTACACTACGTACATACGTGCGTACATACAGTGCCTGTACGTGAGGAGGGTGCCGGCTCGCCCACCTGCCTCAAGCATATTCAAACTGGTAACTATGCTCAAGCTCAAAACCCGAGGAGATGATTGGCATCAGTGCAGTAGCGAGCATTCATCTGCAAATCAAGCACCAGGGTAAACCATCGATCATTTACTGAGAATGGTGAATTGGTTGCCATCGACCTGTTGCTTCTCAGAGCTTGGACGATTTCGCCAAGATCCGGGGTCAACAAATCTGTGGGGAAAACTGTCCAGCATTCTTTTCCTTCTCTTCACAGGTCGTTGTCATCGGTGTGGATCGACACATCACTTTTTTTACGACATCTGCGAGAAGCGTGCCACTGTCCGTCATGTCGAACCTGTCCTGCCATTACATATCATTCGTTGCAATATATCCCTCTCGGTACCTCTACGACTATGTTCGATCCGCTTTTCTCGTGACCAGTGCACTGTCAGTGTACAAGTTGCTGTGCAGGTGTTCCCTTGGATTGGCGCTTGTTCAGAACAGTTCAAGCATGAATGCATGTCTGCAGTAGCAGGACCCATTCTGTTGGCCTTGTACATCATCAACCTTTAAATCCATGACCAGGGCCAAGGGGGGGACCATGAAACTCGATCACGGAAGCCAAAGCAGCGTCCGAACCGTCCCATTACCCGAAATTCCCATCGCTGTTTCGTTTTCGCAATCTCTAGCAGTAGCTGTCTTCTGCAGGTCTACATATTCTGAGCACACCAAGGCGGGAAATATACCTTTATGGTGACTCGCCGAAGGGACATAGATGAGAGAGAACATCGGCAAGCGAGGAAGCGAATAGATATCTGCCTAGCAACGTCCCCTTGTGCTTCGACGACGCGAGTCGAAGGTATAGCACGAGAGTAGGGAGTACGCTGTATGCAGTACACAGTAGAGCTCATTAGCGGATGCCAGCAGAGTGCAGTCGTACTCCGTTCTTGTTTTCAAATGGCCCTGGACCGAGGCCTGCATGCTGCGGGCCCTGCTGCGGTTTCTACAGAGGCCAAGAGGCTTCGGTGCAAGCCCTCCGCAGAGCTCTCGAAGGCGGCATGCCGACTTCCGGGGTTCGTAGCGTTCAGTAGCGGGTTCTTCTGGATGCATTTTTGGCATACTGGACGGGGCTTCATGGCTGTACGATGTATTCAGCGATCATCACTGCCCAATTCGAAAGGAAGCTTGACGACGGGCTCATGTCGGGCGTCGCAAAGGAACACAACGGTGACAGTATGGGCAGCGGGAAGGGTCTGGATCCCTGCAATGGAACTGGGTCGGCGTAACTTACGGGCCTAGCAAGATTTTTCTGAACCCTTGAGGATGGGAGGACTGTGGATTGGGCTGGCCGGGATTTGGTGCCATGGGGAGAAGGGAACAGCACCGCCAAATGGGTCTGATGCTAATACTGCACGCTGCATGCCGCAAGAGGCGTCGAGCAGACGCGCGACGAGCCCTTGACCATCCCCATACCAAACCATAGCAAAGTCGACCATGCCCTATCCATATGGAGTCCACACGGTAGCTTGCGTCTTTTTGCCTGGCCTAGTGACAATGGGGAACCCTGGCCTTGGGGGCGTGCGTTTTCGACAGCGAGCGGCGGACGGCTCAGCCAGTGGGAGGGCGCTACACAAGCAGGCCCACCCCAAGTCCATCAGGGCCAGCACCAAGGACTTTGCATCTTCCAGAGCGATGCGGTTTGCGATGGTGGTGGTGTCTGTGTAAGTGTGGGTGTGTGTTTGTGTGAGTGGGTATTCGATATACGAGGTACCTACATAGGGAGAGTGCAGTGCGTGCGAGAGAGTGCGTGCTGTGTCATGTTATGCAATAGATACAGCGGACTGGCGGCCTGGCTCGACGGATTACGAGTACCGACCTAGAGGATCTGCTCACAACGAAAGGCGCGCCCCAATGGACGCAATTAACCCCCATACACCAATACCCCATACACACAATACCTACCTGGGCCTGGCAGTCTTCGTACTCTCCAGGATCCGCACAAAAATGATAGTACGGAATAGATGGATCCAATGAATACAACGCATATTCTTCTAGCCGCTCCATGCTAGGGGGGAAGCCATCCCAGCTAGGTCGTCCATGGTTCGTCACGTCGGTCACTTTTGCGCGAACTCGTACATAGATGCTGAAGAAACAGTACAACGGTACTCCGTACGCACATACTACGAGTACACTGCATACCTGCATAGACAGACAGACAGACAGACAGATACATACATACAGGACGTACAGTAACTCCAGTGCAGCTGCTGTTCCCTCTTCCTTTTCCTCTCCTCCTCCTCCAGCTCCTCGCTGTACCTATCTCTGACTATCAAGTACTGTCACGGGTAAGGTCTGTAGCTCGGAAGCACCCCCAATACGAGTCCATTCGGGCTATTCATTATTGTTATTGTTATTATTACTCCGTATTTGTTCTTGTTCGGTGTCGGACTCGTGCAGGCTGTTGTAGGAACTCTGTCCAGTCCGCTGACAGTTTGTCGTTTCTTCCATTCGATTTGCCCGTTTTAACTACTGCGGGCGGTGAGATTCATCGGTGGAGATCATTGGTCTGAGCGTTGGCAGCAACGAGGTTTGCACGCGAATGGTCCGTAATCGTATCGTATCCCCAGACGTTTCCCCCATTCAATTGTCAGCGCCCGAACCAATCCCCGGGCCGATTCGCTTTGGTCTGATTGATTGATTCATCACTCGCTTGCCTTGATTGATTGAATTGAATTGATCCATCCTTTCATTCACTCAATTCCTTCAATCATCCCTCTACTCGAAGACAGGAACGAGAGAGCGAGAAAGAGAGTTAGGAAGATACAGATAGACGACAAGACGGACAGAGAGACAGAGAGAGGAAGAGAGAGCTTTTGTGGTCATCGCCGAACCGCAAACTTTATCCCCCTCTACCTACCTACCTACCTACTTCCTCCCACGAATATTATACTACGACTACGGGGTACCAGCTACCTTAGGTACCTACCTACCCAACAGCCTACCACCTATTACTACCTATTATTACCTCCTGGCCCTCCGCCTTCCTCCTCCTCCTTCCTTTGACCGTCATCAATTGTTTCCCTCCCAGGACGACGCTCTCCACACTCTTTTCCCATTGTCGAGCTCAACACCATCGTGGTCCTCGTCCTCATAATACTTTTTATTCATTCAATTATTATTTTGCTCGGGCATCCCTATACTCTCCAGTGGCAGCGTTCCTGCCTCCATTGGTGCGCCAATCAGCCAGTTACGAGTAGTGCTGGAGGTAGGGTAGGGTAGCTCCTTCTCCGTCCCTCGGCCGCCGCCTCTACCTTCCTTCCTACCTACGTGCCTACCTACCTGCTCTACCTACCTACTGTCTCATCTCCTTCGTTCTCTCCCTCCATCTCCTTCTCTGATTTCCCACAACTCCTATTTTTGCTTCTAATATACACGGTTAGTTACCTCTTCGTTGTTATAGTTATTCTTATGCTCCTCCATCATTCCTCCGTCATATAACTATCTATCTTGTCTCATGTCCGCGGTCTGTTGCTGTCCGCTCACATCTGCTTCCGTACCCATCCCCCACCAGCATCAGCGACAGCACCAGCACCACATTGCCTTACCTTACCTCACTCACACCCACCTTCTGGCACATCGCTATTCTCTCGACAGGCATTGATACCTTGGAAACTCTTTTTCTAATCTTTCAAACCATTAGCGACGTACCAGTCTCCTCCAGAAGTTTCAAGTCTGCGTCTTGTGCGTTGCGGTTGCGTAGGTCGCCCAGCCACGCCGCTCTTCCCTAAAGCGACTCTCTACCTTCCTACGCATAACCACCCTCTACTCCGATACAACTTCTCGCAACTCTCTCCGGTTCACCCACTCGCCACTCAGCAACCGTCCAATTCTCACTTGTTGACCAATCCCACCGTTGCTTTGACTAGCCCGCACGTCCCGGCTTCCATTGACTACCAGCTTCCGTCCACCGGCCCAAGCAATCATAGCCCACTCCCACCGGCCCTTGGTCACCTTGCATCACTGTCCCAGCGTCCCTGTGGACTTGCCCAACATCACAACCCTAACAATTACTCCCGACTTACACAACACAACTTGGACGCACGAACTGTCACAGGTACCTACTTCCCCAGATTGCAATGTCATGGTAAACATCCAAGATCCTCGCTGACGTATGTGCGCTGTCGCTAGCTGTGCTTCTTTGGGATTTCTTTGTCTGTCCTAGACAGTGCACACGGCAGTTACGGACAAGCCTCTGGCTCGATTGCAGACACTGTATACGAAAGCAGCGTGATTAGAAACGATTGCCCCCAAGCAAGACGCCATCGGAGCGTCTCGGTCTTGTCCACCCAGCCCGATCAACCATACCAAAGTTAACCTCGGGCTCCGCCGCCTGCTGTTCAACAGCAGGCAAGGTCTGAGGTCGCACCCTTACCACTCTGAAGCATGTCCGCAGAGACCGCCTCAAGTACGATGGGGCCATCAAGCACCACTAGCAGCTCGAGTGGTAACAGCGGGAGCAATGGTAAGTAAGAGCAATTGGCCGTGGCATACACCTGCTGACCACAGTCACTATACCCAGCATCCGCGCAGACCGTGAAACAAGAACGCTCACAATCCATATCCGCTCCCTTCCCCCCGCCGAAGACCGATAAACCACGGCCGCATGTCTGCGCGACTTGCCAGCGCTCCTTTGCCCGGTTAGAACATCTCAAACGGCACGAACGATCACACACCAAAGAGAAGCCGTTCGAGTGCCCGCAGTGCACTCGATGTTTTGCGCGGCGAGACTTGCTTCTACGGCACCAGCAAAAGCTACACCAACAAGGCGCAACGTCTTCTCGCCCACGGAATGGCCGTAGGGAAAGTACAACTGGTATGCCGCCGACAGCCTCAGGTCGAGTGCGGAAGAACTCCATTGCCAGTGTTTCCGGCGGTGCCGGAGGTGCTGGTACTGGGAGCATGAGGCCGAGAGCGAACACCATCAGTCATATTGACCCAAATGCCCTCAACACTCTACTCGCGTCACACGGCGCTTCTTTAGGTAGAGGGCCAGGAGGCCACCCTGGCCACTCTCACCATGCTAGTCTATCAGGACTCGGCGGTGCGGGTGGTTTTGACTATAGGGGAATGTCCACATCCATGGGCAACCATGGTCAGGCACATGGTCTCAAGCTGGATACACACCTCGGCCTCGGTCTCGGTGGTGGCGGCCTTCGCACAGCGCCCATCCCAGGATTTGGACCCGATGATCTGGAGTTAGAGAAATTCTTTGGTTCTTCAGGCTCGACTATCAATCCTAATCAGCTCCACCATTTCACAGGTAACATGGCTAACTCTGCATCGCCTTTCCATACTTTTGCGAATCCTTTCGCAGGCAGTGCCATCGAGGAGGATGATTTTGGATGGAACACAGGTTTGGACAATGCCATGATCTTCCCATCAAACGACACTGCTGTTGACGGGTCGTCACCTTCTGCCATCAGCACTGCTAGCCAGAGCGGATTCAGTGAAGTCATGTTGGATGGATCGGGTCAAGCGACCTCTGCAGCCATGTGGCACAATCCTTTAGTTACTCATTCTGGCATCAATCCCGCAGTGGCGTATACGCTGGATGCGATGGCGCCAGTCTTTCCTGAGCTTATGATGAACAACGTAGCTCCCACCAACAAGGAACTGGTAGATCAAGGTGCGCCGGCCGATTTCTATATGTCCTCACCCCAGCCGGTATCATCGATGAGCCCCACTGCAGGAATACCTGGTATGCCTACTCAATATTTTCACCCACCGATGGCATTCCATTCTGATACCGGCAGCATTTCATCATCCTCTATAAACGGAAGTGCCAGACACAGCTCGGTTACATCGGTTTCCACAGATACCATCACGGACACTACCAGACAAGCTCTCATCATCAATCTATCGCAAGCTCTTGGTTATGGCCAGACCTCTCGAAAATTCTCACAGCCACAGATCAGTTCACCACTCTCCACATCGGCACAGGGCAAAACACAACATCAAGTAGCCTCTCTACCAAGCACTATGGACCTGCAGCGATATGTGAATGCCTACATTCAATATTTCCATCCGCATTTCCCGTTCCTACATATTCCAACCCTGTCATTTGACACACCCACATACACGTTCCACATGCGGACATCCGGGGCGTTCAATCATGATGGTATGGTGGGTGGTGGAGGGTGTCTCATACTTGCAATGGCTGCGATAGGAGCTCTCTATGAGTTTGAGCACAATATCGCCAAAGAACTGTTTGAAGCCGCAAAGAAAATGATCCTCTACTATCTGGATGAACGCCGGAGGGCCGGGCTGTCGGCAGCAGTCAATGGCCCCAGCGCCGCAAATGACACTATAAACAAACCTCCTCTATGGTTGGTACAAGCTATGCTGCTTAACCTTATATATGGCCACAACTGCGGAGACAGACAAGCTGCGGAAGTCGCGAGTACTCATTGTGCGGCGCTGGTCAGCTTGGCGAAGGCTGCTGGCCTGGACAAACCCAGTGCAGAACCCACCGCACGGGAAAGTTTCAGCCAGGACACGCCATCTCAGGTCAAGGGTGACATCGAGATGATGGACGATTCCATAAACCCCGAATTATTCCAGAAGAGCCCTTCCTTGGATTCGAACGAGGAACATGCACAGTGGATTCAATGGAAGAAGACTGAGGAGCGCAAGCGAACCTACTTCGCCGTGTTCTCCATGTCGAGTCTACTTGTCTCGGCTTATGCGCACGCTCCACGTATATTGAATTCGGAAATTCGACTAGACCTTCCTTGTGAGGAAGACTTGTGGTCGGTAGATAACCCACAGGCGTGGGTCGCCATGGGGGGCCCAATGATTGCGCAAGCCAAAGGCCTGTCCTTCAACACGGCCATGACCTATCTTCTCGAGGCAAGCATGCGACAGCAATCGCAGACGCAGACGCAAGGTTCTTACAGTCAGAACTTCGGAATCGCGCAAGGTATTCAAGAAAATGTCGAAAGCGATATACGCCCTAGTACATTTGGATGTTACGTGCTCATAAACGCCTTGCATGTGTACATTTGGGAGACCAGGCAAAGGCATACGGGTCGTCTGTGGAAGACGCAGGAAACAGAGGCGATGCATGCCCAAGTGGAGCCGGCTCTGCGAGCATGGCAAGCTGCATGGCGAGCCAACCCGAATCATAGCATAGAGCGGCCGAGCCCATTTGGCCCACTCTCCGCTGATTGCATTCCTCTCTTGGATCTGGCATATGTTCGTCTCTTTGTTAATTTGGGGCGGTCGAAGGAGCTCCTGTGGCAACGTGACTACGATGGAATGGCAAACGAGCTCGCCAAGGGTGTTGAGATTGTTGCTCAAACGGATGGTTCACCTGAACAGTCGGTCGAGCCTAACGACCTTAAAGCATCCGGAACAAGCGCCTCTCCTGGCGGAATTCACAGTCCACAAGACATTGATGCAATGGATGGGATGAGTCCAGGACGAAACACATCTTCGGTCCAGTTCAAGCAATCATCCAAGCGGGAAAGGCACCTACGACGAGCAGCCTTCTATGCAGCAGATTCTCTGTCTATGGCCGACAAACTTGGTGCGACATATGCTGAGTTCACTGCAAGAGAGTTACCCAATTCCTCGGCGATGTGCACCTTCGACTGTGCGCAAATACTTGCCGAATGGGTGACTACAGTACAGGATCGTGTTGGACGCTTCTGCGGCATCCTTGGGAAAGATGATATTGATCTGTCCGGCGTCCCTGCGATCATGCTTCTTGAAGAAGAGGATATCAAGTTGCTCGAGAAAATCAAGGATATATTGAATACTGCCGACATGAAGCTCGCATACGATATTGCGGGAATGGGTACATCCAGTGCTATCCCAATGCTCGGCGGCCTTTCCAACCTCGGACATTGCGGTTACGGCACAAAACTTCTCATGGTTACAGCTTACATGCTGGAAAAGGCGGCCGTCTGGCCAGGTATGTTTCATATACTTTTGTAATCATTTCGTGACTAACATGACGGTAGTTACCCATGTGATGGCCCGCGCCCTCGAAGCGCACGCGATGCATATTAACCAGCGTGCTGAAGCCTCTGTAACCGCGTCGTAAACATTTCATTTCTCATTATCCTGTACACAAGATTGTCTCCCATGTCCAACTCCTCACGGATGATACCCATTTACGATGTAAAATGCTTACGAATTTTGCTTTTTCGACCTTACGCCCCAACGAATGTACACGATCAAGCCATGGTACATTTACCGGAGACCAGGTCGGCTTGCTATCTTGACAGGCCTCTTTACTCTTTCTACTACCGACCATTTTTACTGTACATTCTTCTCTTCATTGAGGTCGTAAATTACAAACGGATCACCGACCGACATCTTGAAATACTTGATGTCAGGAATCCAAAAAGGGCGTAGGAAATTCTTGGTGTGGATTGATGGAGATTTCCGAGCCAGTGTTTCATTGTGGTGTTTTTATAGCGTCTTGTTATTTGTTGGGCTATGTGGAGGTCAACAAGAGATTGGAGTTGGATATTTTCGGGCACGAGTTCTGGACTATTTTGGCATTCCTTCTTCTTTCTCCATATGACACCAGGCTAGGACATCAGTACATCTTCTCTTTCTTCTTTTCCAGACTACGGTCGGTTTAATGCGGAAATGATAGGCCATGACGGGTGCAAGGGATCGCGTTACAAAAGAGTCATTGAGCTTCGGCACCGTTTGGAAACAGTGTCATTTCATATGAATGATTGTCACGATTCTCGTTCCCCTATTTTACGGGGATGGTCAAAAATGGATGGGTGGCCTTTAGGGAAAAGTCTAACGAGAGTTTTTGAAGAAAATGGCAATATGTTTGCAACGAGAAATTGGTTGTTAGTACGAACAAACACTTTGGATGCTACTGTTCGTGTGCAAGTGAGAACACATATTACATTGTCTCTCCTCTCTCTTCCTTTCGGCTCGGTATCATCTTCAGCTTGATCTGCTACCCACTACTGGATTATTGTTGAATAGGGAGTTGATCCGCCACCAGAACATAACAAGTATCGAGTGCGTGAAACAGAATTCTATGCATAATCATACATCAAAGCCACCGCGCCTACTCCACGCCACACAACGCCATGGCATGCCATGCACTCCCCTTCCCCACAATACGCTAAACTGCACGCAGAGAGTGTGCCTGCATGTCACCATCCACATATGGGAAAGGGGGAGTATAAGGGAGAACAGGAGTTACCAGTGGAAGATCAGGGTCTGGGCTGGACTGTCTGGTCTGATCGGCATGGTCTTTCCTTTCCTTTGAAGCTTTTCGATTTAGGGTTTGGGCGTTGCGCCTTGGGCCTGATCCAGATCCTCGGTCGGTGTGGGTTTGACGTTTTGATACCGCTGCATGCTGGTCTGAATTTTGTCTTCCTCATGACACGTCGGTGTGCCAATGACTCCTTGGGATGAAAAAGACTTGATACAGCTCCAAGGACCGTTCTGGATCATAATGATGTTTGGACCTGAGAAAGCTTGCACAAGCTCGATTCAACTAACTCCACGGCACGGCGGTCAGGAAAGCCACAGGAAACCTTTGAAAAAAAATCTCACGTAACATCTGATCCGGATGAAGAACCGCGACCTACGAGTACGAGTATGAATAGGACGGGAACTATACTGGCCAACGGCCACACCGCACCGCACCGCATATCATAGGCAAAAAAGTAGGCGTTTACGAGTTCACCTCGCCGACGACGAGACAGCGGACGACAAATCAACGCAATCACGGACACGCCCATCCATCCATACACGTCTGACCTATCCGTAGTCACACCTCTCATTCTCCAGATCGAGGATCGAGGATCGGAAACGACACTTCGTCGCCCCTTCCACTAAATGGGAGTCGAGCTTGAGGAAAGGTAAAGGTAAGGTAAGGTGAGGTATCCAGCACCTCGGGACGCCAGACGAGTCCAACGGACGGGACTCCGCCTGTTCCACGCAGGGGACCTGGACGAGGTCAATTGCTCCCATTAGCTGTCTAGCCCACCAATGTCACAAAAAAAAACTCCCTAGGGAGAGAAGGGAAGGAGGCAAAGGGTACAGTGCCAATCAGATGATGGGACTGAAGCCATTCGTTCAGCGTTCAGCCTCAGACCCAGGCTCGGTTCTTACTTGACCGTTACAGTTGGTAGGTGTGAGGTACCTACCTCGTACCCATACAAACCGCATTACTCATCTAAGGAAAACCGCAAGAGGAATGATTGATAGTGTTTGGTCGTCGTCTTGTGCGACTCTGCGCGCGCGCCGTCTACGGCGCTGCCAGGCTCCGTGCTAGCTCGTGTATCGTTCCGTTCTAGGGTTTTTTCCTGTTTCTCTCTTATTCTCTCGATTCTAGTTATCTGCTTACCCTCTTTCCCTTTTCTCACTACTCGTCCGATGCGGCGTTTTGCGTGGAATGAACGCTAAATGAAGGGGATAGCATGAGAGCGCGGCGCTATTTAGAGCCTTTGCTGTCGTACGCCCTCCCGACGCTCCGGAAGGGTCCGATTGGAGAGCCGGCGTAATATCTTTTTATTTTAGTTTTCGCGCAAGCAGTTTCCCCAGGCGGCGGCACTCCCCATTCCCCCCAAGCGAGGACGAGCTGGGGGAAGGGAAAAAAGTCTGGAGAAGGGGGGAAAACGACTGGGTTTCGTGGGGAATTATTAGGGGTTCGGCTTAATTTTAGCTGTGCATGAGACACTTTTGCTCTTGGGGTTCTTCGGGCATTTCCCCCGAGGGTGTGGGTAGGCTCGGTGATGGGGGATATAAAGTTTATTCTTGGTTTTTTGATGCTTTGGGTTTCGGGAAAGTGAGATTTCGTGGCTTTGAGTGTAGATGCTTGATATGAGTGTGAGGATACTCCATTTGCGTACATACATGTAATGATATTGGATGTATATCTGAATGTACATGAAATGAAGACTGCTGGATACTGTAGATTGTATGTGATCAACATCCAAGTGACAATTTGCCTCCTTTCACGATCTCCGATCATGCTCGGCCGAATTGATGTAGCCATATTCTCATCATCTCACGTTCAAGATTCTTGGGTGCTTCGGTCCAAAGCGGTTAGTACAGTCCATGGAACCACTCCACGAACCCCATACTCTAGGACTGACCGAATTGAACGCTTGAGTGACAGTCTGGATATTTGTAAGAGCCTTTAGGCGAAAATAACCAGTAGTCAGTGATGACAACATGTATCTCACTCCAAGTAAAGACGTTCTTCTGGATGTAGTAGAGTCACGTGTCAAATATGGCCAGTGCACACCAAACTTACCGCATCGGGGCCGCTAGTTCAACATCAACTTCCCCTACTCCCAAACTCGACTATCAAAGTGGGATGTGGAAGAAGAGGAGCCAGAAAGAAGTTCCAACGATTTGAATTATTCGACGAGCTGGATACTGGTATTTGAAGAGGGATAATCATCATGTCGCGACCTACGGCGAGGAAGCCGGCGCCGAAGGGGGAGTACATTGAGACGGTATGTTGCTTTGCATTTCTATACTTCCATCAGGTCAAGTCCTGTTAAGACTTTGTTTATATCATTTTTCTTTTTTATACTTCGGGTTGTTGGCTCATACCCTTCCTTCATGTTGCTTCCCCATGTAACACTGATGGGACATTGCCTCGTTATGATTTGGATCTTCACCTGATCCTATTATCTCGACTTTCATGGCATGACTTCCTGATAATACTTCGAAATATCTTGCACCTCCATCAATCAATCAGCACTGAATCCATACCCTCTCCCCACCGAATAATTCCAACCAAAGTCCATCTCCACCCCCTCTAACACACCCACCCCCAGGACTCAGGCAACAAAGTCAGCCGCCGCTCCGCCATCACAGGCACCGCCAACATAACGCTGGGCGGCCGCACAGTAATCATGGCCGACGTGCACCTCCGGGGCGACCTGCACCCAACGCGCAGCGTGCCCTCGTCGTCGGGCAAGGAAGTCACACCGACATCCATCTCTATAGGGCGATGTACGGTCGTCAGCACGGGCAGCGTCATCAAGCCCCCGTCCAGGATCAGTCGCGGGCAGGTGCATTATTATCCTATGAAGATTGGGGATAATGTGTTTATTGGTATGTTTCTTGCTCCCGACTGGGACCTGCGGAATTATTCTGGCGGAGGGTAGTAGGAGCCGTAGCTGACATAAAATCAAAACAGGTCCTAATTCGACAATCTCGGCAATATCAATAAGTTCGCATGTCCATGTCGGCGCGAACACGGTCATCCATCCCTTCGCCATCATCAAGGAGAACGTCAAGATCTTGCCCAACAGCGTCGTGCCAGCGCAGATGGTCATTCCGTCGGGATCTGTAGTGGGCGGCCGGCCTGCAAAGGTCATAGGGGAGGTCGGCGAGGGTTGGGGTGTCAGTGGTGGCGGGGCAGGAGGGGGTCTCGGTGTCGGTGGAGGAGGAGAGAAGAGTTGGGTCGAGGGAGGCGATTTGAGGGAGCTGGTTAGGAGTATCAAGTAGCGAGCAACAGGCGAGCGCAGCATTGTCATTGCGATTGGGGGTGACACGGGGACATGTTTGCATGGGATGATGAAGAATCAGTTTTTCACTGTTGGCGATTATGTTTTCGAGAACTATTATGATATCCATGCATAGAATTAATCTATTTCGTAATTGTACATCAATTCATTATGTACTGTCTGGCAATGCAGTAACGATCCGGCTGGGACCGAACTCAGGAGGAGAAATGGAATGGAAACGCTATCAGAAGGGGTATCGGCACTTGATTACAGTCCGCCATGTTAACTGAAACTGTTCATAATCCTCCAATCGGCGTGCAGCGCTATGCAGATATGCAATAAGGGAAAAGTAAGAAAGAGTACCGGCCCATGACATTTCCCGGTACAATGATTGAAACAAAGAAACATACAAGTAAAGGAGAAAAAGATATAAAGGAAACCAAGAGGCTTGCACATGACGATATGCAACATGAAAGCACAGTGAGAAGTTGAATCTTTGCACCGCTTAGACTTCAATATTCTCGAACGGGTCACGATCAGGTGGAAGACCCTTGTACATGACGTTCCCGCTGGCATCAATGCGGGCGTTCACGCTAGTGATCCACACCTTGTCAGTACGCTGTCCAGTGCGCTGGATTTCGTCCTTAGCGATACCCAGTTCGTCATGAGGGATCCAGATGGCTGGCTGAATAGCACGTGTAGCAGGATGCTGGAAAGAACGCTTGATGAGCTTCTGTCTCGACTCCGGCTCGATGTCTTCGAGAGTACCATCAATATCGTCGAAAAGATTGGTCGAGGGCAAGATTTGAGCTTCAATGTCGCGTACCGGCCTGGTAACATCCTCTATTCCCCCCCTCATAACCTCAGTGAGCTTATCCAGAGGATTCTCCTTCTTCCAGGACTTCTTTTTGTGATGGTGGGATTGAGACTGCGATCGTGATCGCGAACGATCCGCCCATGATGACTTCCGTCGTGATCGACCAGCACTGGCATGGCCTTCCTCGATTTCTTTCATTTCAATGGACTCGTGCGCGTTGTAAGATCTTGAGGCGCGATGATTTTGCTTATCATCTTCCTCTAGCCTGCGGCTTTCGCGCCTTTCCTCTCGCTCCTTATCCTCTAGTTCCGAAGTAAGAGATCGATGCTCCTCATCATCAGTCTGTCTCCAACGACTGGCCTGGGCACGCTGGAATTCTTCATCCCTCTGGACAGCCTCGTCTTCAAATGTGATTGGAAGATATTTGAACAAAGTTCCAAAGGCTTGATTCAAGAGAACCTGGAAGATGGCTGTGAAGGCGAGTACAATGATCATGATGATAGCCTGGGGAAATGAGGTTACATTGCCCCTGCCATCTTTTTGAAGGAAGAAGAGGCCAATGAGGCACAACTCGAGGAAGTATAGACCCGTGAAGAGTTGGTTGATGGCTTTGGGGAATATCAAGCCATTTGTCTCAGCCTTGGCATAAGAGACATAGATCATCTGGTAGCGATATGTGAACCAGAACAAGCTGAAAGTGATCAACATCATGATCGTAATGAAGGGAGATATGACGGAATAAATGATACCGATGGCACCAAAATTGGTGTAGACCGGTATCATATTACCCCAGTTAATCCCTGGTCTGCTCAAAACCCTGGAAACCTTCTCGCGGGGAGTCGTGTCGAGGAAACGGCTGAAAAGTAGAATGAAAACAGATCCGACTTGCAGTAGAGTACCTGAACTGATACTGAAAGCCTGCAGAATCATGTACGAGTAGAAGTAATTTGCTGCCCTGGGAAGAGTCTGAGCTAGAGTCTGTGGCACTCCGAGCGGATCTTTACTCAACCGTTCAATCGCTGTCGTGAGACCGGTGGAGATGGATACGACTAGGAACAACTGGATGAAGACGAATGCGAAGTAGAAATTTTGGACCAGAAGCTCTCGCTCGCCTGCTGTGACTACTCCAGTGACTTCAGCAAGGAAGCGGAGGATGATTGGCAGTAGGACGAACAAGACCGCGAGCAGTGCAGGTGGCAATACACCCTGGATAAAACTCAATAGCCATTCGGGCAGATCCTCGAGCCACTTAAGCCATGGCAAAGTTTGCGTCAATGTGTGGACTTGAGACAATGCACCAGTGAACGAGACGGGAATACCCCAGAAGATGATCAGGCCCACAATCACAACGATGACGCTGAAGAACCTTACATAACGCATGTACCATTTCATCGACAGATTGTCCCAGAGGACGTAGTTGGGGTTGACCTCGACGGTTCGGGGAGTCATATGGCGGGGAATATGATGACTGAGTGATTGGCAAGCCATATGCGCTGCAACTTGGTGGTTGAACTGAATAAAGGCAGAGTTCATGAGTGGGAAGTTCTCGGGGTGTGCTTGGTCCTCGGCAATTTCGTGGTTCAGGCGGGCAAGCTCCTTGCGACAATAATAGATTGTGTCAACCTTCTTGCCAATGAGTGGAAGCGATGGCCACCAAGATTTGTTGAAAAGAGGAACCCGCATGGTTTGCCTGTCTTTGGGTTTGATGTACTTCCTCCAGAGGGCATCCTGGTCGTCCTCGTCTCCGAGATCACCACGGTACACTCCAGCAAAATCATACTTGCGCTTATCTCCACCCGTGACTTCCAATGGAAATTCCTCACCCTCGGCTCTGAATGGCTGGGGACTGGCAAAATCACTCATCCGCCTGAGAGGATTGATCGGCGAGTTCTTTATGATTTGTAGAGGGTTGGTCTTCGAGGTTGATGCAGTAGGTTTCACTGCTTTGCCTACCGACTGAGGAGAGTTCGGCGCCGAGTTCGTAAGTTCCGCTTCGAGCATCTCTTTGCTAGGTTCGTGCAAAGGCGTATAAGTGTCCGTACTATCTGGTCTCCTATCAAAATCCTTTGGGGAAGTCGGGGAAGAGAGAGGCCTGTCATCGGGACCATCGAACTGGGCTGGGCTATCTGGCTGAGCCGGGCGATGGTGACGATCACGTTCGTGCTCACGTTTTCCACCGAAAGCTCCCTTGAAGCCTCCAACCATCTTCTGGCCCATTTTACCTACGTCTCGAAAGCCGTCACCAACTACCTGGATACCATCTCCGAGGATAGGGATTGGCAATTTAGACCGCTTACGTCGAGAGTCCGGTGAAGAGGAGCGGGATGATGACGATGATGATGACGAATCATCGTTAAGGACCTGCTGAAGTGTTTGCTCAATTTGATGAGGATTACCAGAACTGACTCCCTCCTCTAGTGGAGCCTGTGCAATCTGCGCATTGTGTGCATCTTCTTCCTGCTTTTTCTCGGCTCTAGACTTCTTCATGCCAGCTTCTTTCAGCCTCTTTTCTTCGAGCTTCTTGTGCTTCTTCACGCATTGAATGACTAGATCAGTTTCGGCGGCCTCGAGGGCGCGAGCAATCTTCGTCCTGCGATTCACCTTCTCCTGAAGGTCATCATAATTCCGGTTAATCCAGATGTCTTTGATACCGCCTGGGAAGACATCATACAAAGCGTCAAGAGCGGCAACCGTGAGCCACTTTCGAGGGATGCTCTGAACCAAGATAGTCGTTGCTGAGGCCCGAATGCGGTGCTCGGGCGTGGTCAGGACCGTTTGGCGCAACCGTACGAATTTCCTCAGCGCCTGAAAGGCGTTATAACAGACCCAAACGATGACAACGACAGCCAGAATACAGTGCGCCCAAAGCCGCCTGACTTTTGAAGGCACGGCAACATTGGGCCAGGCAAAAGAGTCCAGTCCGGATACGCCAGGCACAGCACCAATATGATTGACAGGAAGTAAAATAGGTAAAATGACGAAACCTAGTGGGATGAATATCCTGAGAAGTAGTTGTAGGTATTCCAGGAATAAGTAGCCGTCGACACCAGCGACACGAATAAGCTCCCGATCGGTGATGGTAAAAACCTTTTTGATAGATTCGATAGCAGTTGTAGGCTCCTGGATACGTTTGCGCTTGGGTACGAAGGCAGTCTTGTAGTAACTATTTGCATTAGTGTCAATTCAGCAGGGGGTTGTTGAGGGGGGAACCTACTAGATCTTGTGGAAGAGACTCTGTCGTTCCGTTGGGTTTTCTTTACTTTGGGCTGATCTAGTGATTTTCCAATTGCCACTGAGAATCAGAAAGGCCACCATTTGTATACCAAAAATGACTGCACCGGTTGCAATAGAGGCAGCGAAGTTCTCGATGCTTTGGTTGTCACGGGTGAGGGCAGCACCCTGCGTAGTATTGCCCGACATGGCGTTGTATTTTCGGTCCAATAGCTAGAGCAACTGACTTGTTGGGGAGTGGATTTATGAAGAAACAAAGGAATATGTAATTGCTGTGAGGTCGCCACGAGGTGTCACTGAGTGGTTGTGGCCATCGGTTGGAGTAGGTCTCGATACTAAGGGAGGAGGTTCGGCGGGTGGCACACGAGCAGAAAGTTGAGTTGTTGTGTACCGGGAGGAGCGTGGCTTGGGGGGAGGGGGGGAGGGTTTTGAGGGGATTTAGAAGGAGGTATCGAGAACAATGGGAGAGAGAGAATAAAAGCAAAGAGAGGAAGGCATTGGTGAAGTTGTTTCACGACAAGGTAAAGTAAGGGCGCGTTGTTGGTGACGAGGGCCTTGGCAGGACAGTGAAGGCGCCATTTGCGTCATCCCCTGGCCATTCCAGCAAGCGCCAGGCAATTGCCAAACGACAATCGGGCCATTCATTGGTCCATCCGACTCTACGACAGCGCCAACATGACACCGTCAATCAACCACTTATCTCTTCATCCGCGGACCTGAATTCTTTTCAAAGCGCTTCTGCTGATTGCGACTAATTACAGTAACAAAACTTGGTTGGTTCCTGGCCTAGGGAAACAGGAAAATATAAAAAGAGAATAGAGAAAGGAATAATACCACAATGTTGTTGTTACAATATTGCCACGCGATCAAAGAGCTCAAACACCTTAGTTACCATCATCCTCTTTGATGTCATCAGCATCAGATCTCATTGTTTCGGTAACTTACATATGATTGACACAAGGAATCAATACAATCACGCTGCAGTGGAACCGTCCTGAGATGGATCTAAGATCCTAAGAGGTATGTGGAGAACACGGAGAAAACGGCTCACGTATGACGGCATCCTTCTCCCCCACATCTCACCTCCTACGTTCTTGGTCCTCCCACGCAGACCAACGATCATTCATTACGCCGTGTTGAAATCGGTTAGTCGGCTCGTATCTGGGCATTCATCCTCATGAATTCAATTGCCAAGCGATTGTATCTCCTACCTGTCGATGCTTAAATAACTTCCATTCACATTGCATCACCTCTACGCATTACATTGTACTCCAGATTGCCGACTAATCGGATTTCCACGATCTGGGAAAGCAGGGTACAAGGAAGAGTGCTCTGAGCCTAAATCTTTGCGAACTGAGATACCACGGCACCGGCGTTATAGACGTCGATGATATCAACAAGGCATAACCCCATCGTTGGGTGCTTACCAGGTAGAGCCTCAATAATAAAAGGCTTGCTTCACAAACCTTGCATCCTGATAATGGAGAGGGGGATTTGACGAAGGGAATCAAGATAAAGGGGATGCATGACCTTGATTTTGACAGTCTTCCCAATTGAGTTTAGCTGACTTGCACAAGGACCGGGCTTCCACTTGGTAACCAACACACATGGGAAGAGTATACACAGCAACGAAAGATGTACATACATGCAATCGGGACTAACATTCAATTGTGAACCATTTCGCAGTAGATGCGTACTACCAAAAGCGTGTTTGTCTGAGCGAAACATGTGATGCACGACTCTAAGGCTGTGTGGGCCTTGGTTTGCAGCCTGATACGCCAAACGAGGCGGTGCTATCTTGATGGAAACCCCAAAGCGAGCAGTACGAAGATCCGTTCAAAAGACTTAACGAGATCAGCCAATCACATCACAAGTTGCAGCCACTGATCTACATCTTTCCAGATCTCTTCAATTCAACTGGTAGCAATAGAGCTTTAGTGAATGGCGTAAGGCTGATTGAGACTCTATGCTGTTTCTTTCTTATTGCTTTCTGGAGCATTTAAACGTCGCGAAATCCCATATAATCTTGCATCTGATCTTGACATACTTCAGTCGATTCTTGGACACATTATACTCACCTTCACTGACCTCTACCGTCCAAATTGATACATATATACCCACATACGCTGCGCACAATGTCTACGGCAGTAGCCCTACAGGACATGAGCCGGGGTACGCACGACGGTAATCTCGTTCGACATCGTTCCAATCTACACAAAGATACCAGCCCACACAAATCTTCTCCAGGGGATGATGATGACTGGGTCGCCCAACCACAGGATACCGCAACTGCCAACCTGCCTCTAGACTCCAGGACCTTCGTCCCCACAAATGTGTACTGGATCACACCTCATAGGCTGCTCACAAAAGAAATCAAAATACTCGATCTGACGAAAGACATGAGTACTCCATATACCGGCTTTTCGAATGCATACAAAGACGAAGTCAAGAAGACTCTCAAAGACCACTCATTCACGCCAATCTACACTGCCCACCGCAACCACTGGCTGGGCTTGAGCTACGATGTTCTCGACGACCAAGGCAACAAGTTGGCCGACTGGAGTCACCCTTGGACATCAGTCCGCGAGGCTACTCTCAAATTCCCGGAGGACTCTACACATGCCTCACACACAATATCTCTGAACAACAAGACCTGGGGCTTGCGAACCGAATCCTTCACCATCAACTCAGTCCCTTTCATCTGGCAGATGGACCGCCTTTGGAATTCGAACAACATGACACTGTACAGAGTTTTCGGTTCGGGAGACAACCAGAGGAAGGTTGAAGTGGGAAAATATGCACAGAAATGGTGGGGAAGCTTCGTTACTGGCGGAACTTTCGTGGTGAATGAGGAGGAGATTGATGGCTTCGTGGCTTGTATGACATTGGTCGTCGTATTGAAGAAGAAGCGCCAAAGGGCTGGGGAAAGGAGTAACGGCGGTGGCGATTAATCTATGAACTATGTCTCCAGTTACATTTCGTTTCTTATTTCTGATACCATTGTATGTAATTTTTATCCTCCTTAGACTAGGTGGAGTACCTTTCTTTGTTATCAACTCAGTACGATAATTTGATATATTGCCAATAGAATATGATACAAGTAAACAGTCTCTAGGATTAGAAATCTTTTCCTGGATGCCCGCGACCAGCTTGAGTGAGTGAGCGAATCACGTGCACCCGTGACGCGCTAAACACGCGCTAACCTCAATTCACTGGCGACCTGAGGCGGGCTATGAATGCACCCGGATTACAACCTTGATGGTATCATATCTTTGATAACTGCCAGGAGGCATCATACCGAAATAAGGGGAAGTCGATATGTCTCAATCCACGGTCGTGGAACGCAAACAGCAGTTCCTGCGCCAACAAAAACAGATATTGGCAAAAGGCATCACGCCTTCGAACAGGCTACTCGCGATCGCCGATCGCGCAGGAGTACAGAGCAAAGTGCTTGCAGATGTCTTGCTCAAAGGTTAGGCTTTTTAAATTCCAGTATCGGGTGTCGTGTACAAGCATTGGGATCCGATTTTGGGGATCCGATTATATTCTTCCTCATCCACTCTGCTGACTAGGACCAGTTAATCGGGACGTGAGAAGACACGGAAGACTAGTCCATAGTAGGCAAATGACAGATCATGTGGTCGAACAGATTGATCTTCTGTACTGGGAGGCTGGAGCCCCATCGCTAGAATCACAACCCGATGGTACAGAGGAGAATATGGGGGAACGAAGCGTCCTTTACCAGACCGATAACTTGACGCTCGACAAGTAAGTCACTCATCGTGACCGCGTACTTACCCTAATGGGCTCAGGGTCAGAGTCATATCGAGTGGAACTAACGTCAGGCAGGCACATTGCAAAACTTCCTGTAACATGGGATACTTCTACGGAGCCGCCAAGTCCATCGCTCAATACAGATGACGAGGTTTCCCAAGATGATTACATTACGTCAGTGGTTCGTCTTCAGGACCTTTCGGCAAAAAGACTACTTCTCCAGCAAAAGCTTGCCACTTACAAGACTCTTCTTTCACTACTGGAGCCCTACCGCAGACCACAAGAGAATATTCAGCCAAATCTGGTCAGCCGAGACGCACCGATAGCTACAGAATTGACCAAAGCTCGCACCCTAGCAATCAGAGTTGCCGGAAGAGTTAGTGAAAAGTACGGAGATATTCAAGTTCCGGCGAGTGCAGACCATGGAGTGGACGATGAGATGCACGAACAGAACAGTCAGGTCAAACTAAACAAAATCTTGGAGGGCTGGTGAACGGGTGTGCTGGAGTTATGGGGTCAAGGAGTTTGCTATATCATTCGCTCTACAATACCCAACATCTGGTAGCTGAATTATTGCTTCTATTACCAATGACGAAAGAGCAGAGTGACCAAAGAGTTCAACAGTTTTATTCGAACATGTTCTATTGCAAATTGCCATTTCAGTGCCATCTTGGCCTCGTACTTGCCAAAACGGGTGCTGCAGGTGCAATTTCCGCTCTGGAAGTAACCATGGAATGGGGTCTGTATATCCGAACTGTACCATTCACAACATTTCCAGTATCGGATTTCCCTGGCACTTTCAATTATCTCAAGCACCGGTTAAGACAAATCTCATCTTGACCGGCCCCATCATTCTTGGCCCCATATCCCTTGGTGCATTTATATTTGAGACCACTTCCACTCCTCAACGCTCCGCATGGTTTTTGCCTCCCTCACCAACCGATTCATCATCACAAATGTACCCGGATACATGACTATTGGAGGCATTTGCCATTGAGTAGCCAGGTATGTACCGGTACCCACGAATTACACCTGCTTCCGCTATGTTGTTCAGAATGTCTCGCTAACTGCAACGACTGAAGGTGTTCGGCTTTGGCCGTCAGTTATCTCGTGGTATCACACTGGTGTGAAATCATTTATAACTTTTGACCGCCTTAACGCGTTGTCGTCTTGCTCCGAAGGATATAGGGAGTTGACCATACACTATATTGGGACTTCAACACATTTTGTACAATGGCTGGCCCACGCATTGTAAACACTCCGAACCATGGCGTCTACCCGGGAGAGAGACAGGATCCTCTTCAAATCGTTATATATGACGACGCTTGGTCTAGATCAAGCCGCGCGAGTGCTAGATACCGCCAAACCGTCTATAATGTGAAATACAACGGTGTTCGGCCTTTTGGGAAACCGCGGCCTGGAGACATCTTCATCGCTAACTGCGATGTCAAACAAGATCGAGCGCATGGCTTCATGCTGCTAGTAAAAGGTGAAGAAATCGTCTTGCAACGATATTCACCCCTTGAGACTTTCTGCTGGGCCAGAGCCAAACGATCTGGAAGGAGTGGCAAAGTTCTCTGCAGTAGTCTGAGTCGTGTCGACTTTAGGCTCGGACAGGAATACCCATGTGTAAAAACGAAGTGTGAGTCTCGGTGCGACTCCTGCGGTGGACTTAGCCTTGCTCAAGCTGAATGGGTTCTTTGAAGTACTGATACTGACATTACACATTCAGGGATTAATCCGCATTACTATATGGAGATGGAGTGTGCTCGACAGGCTGCTCGTACACTGTTCATCCTTACGATGCGCCAGGCACAAGCACACGGCCTAGAAGATGTATATGTGGAGTGCCAAAGTTTTCCTACGGTAGAGGAGCTGAACACAAAGGACCATCTGACGCGGCTTGTTTTGGGGATGAACAGGAGATTGCGAGCAGAGCAAGACGCATATCTCCGCCTCCAAAGCATGTTGATACCTGGCATCAGAGTACAGTTCCAGCGGGCATTCACCAAGCTAGGATGGAAAATAGCCGACTTCAGACTGTACGACCGCTTTGTACAGTGCGTATACCAGTTCTTGTCCTCCCTACACAGCCCTATCCCCTTCGTTGGCCAAGACGAAGAGTGCGTCAAAAAACGATTCAAATCTCTTTGGTGTACTGTGGTTGCCGGTGTAAACAACCTGGACTACTCCTACGTTGTGGAGGACACCGCCCATGTATGGAACGGGCTTAAGATTCTTGAACGGGATACTGATAATGGCCTTCCATCAAGTACCTTTTTTCCGGAAAAAGTTCCATGCAATACCCCTGTCGAGGTTAGATACATGGACGATGAATATTTCGATATTCCTCTCCGATAGTACTACCGATGAAGGGAGTCATTGAAGAAAACAATGAAGAGAGCACCACGGAGGACACCCCACTGCCCTCACCTACCAGTGAATACACCTCCGGCGAGGGCGCGGACGACGAGGGCGAGGATTAGGACTATGAGGAGCGACATCGCCTTCATAATTGGTAGCAATCTGACCAGTGGCGAAGACATTACTACGACATGATCGAAGATGCCTTCACGAGCAATGACCAGTCATCAATATCAAGTGACAAGCTCCACGGCAGACGTGTCTACGTCCCCCTCTCCTCTCACACTACAGAATCCGGGAAACACACGACGGCCATGGAAACTGAGCAGGACCTCGAGATGGCAAGTTTGGCTTCCTAGAATACTTTTCGTACTCGTACGTGAAGCGCGGGCTAGTTTCTGGTGAGAGATCCACGCCTGATGCTCCCGAGGGTACACTTCTTCTTCAATTTCCTTTTTCTCTTCTTTTTCTTCTTTTAGTTGAATGGAATTCGGATTTGTTTTTGAAGACTCTTCCTTTATTCTTCTTCTGTTCATCTTGTTAGACGGAGTTCAGATTGCTTTAGACTATTCTTTCATTTGTCTTGCGATCATGACCCAGGATATATCACGGCAATCGGAACCGTGATACAAAAGTTTCGACAAGGAGATTACAAGGCGTAATGACTTAGGTACTCATTGGGGTATTTGGATCCTGTGATCCTTTGTCGTAGATTACCTTCGTGCTATCAATATTCACTCTAATTACCAATCCCACTCTTCCATGACTTGCAGTGTGAGATATACCCACAAAATGCCATGCATTCCTCTTCAGTTGAACGATCAATGAACGCCTCGCTATGCTTAATAAATCCAAACCCACGAGGTGTAACAACAGCCTCGACATCACCCACAAGCCACCCATCACTGTATGCGGTTTTCCTCCCCCTCCTCATCGCTGCTGTCGTCTGCTTTTGCCTCCCAGCCAGCCAATCTCCGAAGCACGCGGTTCTCCTCCTTCAACTCCTTGATTTCCCTCTTATACGGCATCTCGTCCTCGTTCTGCACCTTCAACGCCAGCCGGGCGTACTCTGCCACCCTCCCGAGGCCGGCCTGCCACTCCGCGTGCTCCAGCCGGACCTGCATGGACGTCGCGCGCTCCTGCTCGAGGAGGCCCTGGTAGTGTTTGTGCAGGGACAGGATGGCCTGGGTCTGGTTGAAGGCGTAGGGACGGAGCTTCTCGAGCAGCACTGTGATTGCGTTTTCGTAGTCTGTGATGAGGTTCGTGAGGGCGTTGTTGGAGTCGGTGAGGCTGTTGATCTGGGTCTGGGCGCTCGATAGTTGGGTATTTAAGGTTTGGATCTCTGCTGTTCTTGATGCGGCTATGGACGTATGTCAGTTGCTGCTGCTGCATGCTATGGTGATGTGTATATGCGTGTAATTGTGTTATGGGAGGGACAGGGAGTCTCACCATTCAATTCTCCATTAACCTGGTTCAAGCTCATGTTCCCAATACCGCCTTCTTCCGATGCCCGTTGTTGTATAGCTTGAACTCCATTGACTATCCCTAATGTCTGCTGCCGATTCTCCTCCAACACCTGGCTGAGTTGCTGCACCACATTCCACAAATGATTCATGTCTGTCTGCTGGCCTCCGCTGGGAAGGCCATTCACTAAAGGTACACCATTGGTCTGGCCTCCCATCCCATTCGAATGGGGCGGTACGCCGCTTTGAGGCGGTGAGGGGGTCGGCGGTTGTCTGGGCATGTTGTTGGAGATGGGGTTCGACGTGTCGAGGAAGGAAGAGAAGTTGTTCATAGCGCGCGAGCCTTTTAGCAGGTAGCAGGAAGCAGGGCGGTGGGGCACGAGAGCGAAAGGCGGGATATGAGTCGTGTATATGCGGGTTGACGGCGTCGCGCGCTGTCAGTGCTGGTGGTGGTTTCGCTGGGGGAGGTGCAGGGCCCTAGTCTGCAGTACTTCGCGCGGGTTTTCTGGTAATGGAATTTGGGAGGTCCGTTTCGTCGCTTGCGGATGGAGATTGAGGTGAGGCGTTTGGCTTTTGATACGTGCGTTAGCGCCAGCAAAGCGATCAGCCTTACGATACTATTTTCTTTGCGAGTAGTGGCCTTATGGGAGGGTATGTGAATTGCGAGGAGCGTATTCGTGATTGAGGATGTCTCCGTCTGCGTCTCCGCATGCTCCCCCGATCAGTGCTATTCCAATTGGGTATAGCTTCCCAAAACCACATCTTGGCAAACAAGGGCGTAGAGAGTCTGGTCACTGGTGTGTACCACAGGGTATTATGTTAAAGGTAGAGCATGCTAATGAGAGTATGATAAGAATAGGAAGAATGGTTTGATCTAGCTTTGCAGTTGGGGATCATCCCTAAATGTTCAGAAAAACTCCTACTCCCCAATCTGAGCCAGTTTGTTAGATAGCGCCACAACACCATGAGTAAATATCCAGCAATAGTCCAAACTCTGGAATCATTTATCCGGTAGGACATATCTCCTCTCGACGCTCATTTCGCGATCCGCTTCATCTTCACCCTCGAAACGAAGTCTAACCAAGGTGTCGGCGTCCTCTTGCTCTTCTTGTTTGATCTTTTTCTTGATGGCCCATGCAACGACAACTTCTGCCTTGTAGAAAGTGGTGGTTCCAGGATAGAGCGCAAGAACCTGCTTCCCCACACCCAAATCAGGTAGAGTTACGTTTGCTGAGATTGGAGGGATGGCAACAAGATGGTTCACTGAGGCTCGATACGGTTGGGCTGGCGTAGGCGGATCCGGGTCCGCATCGATGATTTCGTAGCGCCGCTGCTTGCCCTCACCGATGACTGACGTGACACGGCACAGTATACCTTCGCCCTCCAGAGAGCGTGACTTGTTGTTCCGGTAAAGAACCTCTGTGCCCACGGAGAGGCGGTGTTTCTCGCCTAAGCGATTGTCAGTGCTGGAATGTACAATGTCTAGTAAGAAATTTGGGAAGGTTTTTGACGAGAAATGGAAAATAGCAAGGACATCCTAATCCAGATTGAGATGTACAAGGAAAGTTGAGAGGTGGACTTCTTGTGGGCATCAATTAGAAAGTATTGAAAAACTGGGTAGAGAGCTACCCTTGGGGTATCAAGCCCGCAACGCATGACCATAAAACTCCGAGCGCCGAGAACTATCCTTCATCGGCCGCCACTTCTAGAATGTCTGGAAGATGTTGTAGAAGAGCGAGTCCTCTTACCCTTAAAATTGTCGTCGCCATCTTCTGCCTTCACGCTACCTTCTCGTCCCGCAGGAACCGAGCCAGCCCGACTTCCTGTGGACATTGCCTTCAGTCTATCTTTCGGACCACCAGCCATGACCTTTGGGCTTGGATGGCCACTTGGGCTATCAGTCACGCTATCCCTATCGTCTAAAGCGTCGGTTGGTTTTCTTTTGAATTGACGATCGCGCTGCGACTTCCCGACAGACGTAGCGCGCGAGGCAGATGACGGCGCCGGTTCGGAAGCTCCTCGGAGACCCTCGAGGATTTGCATTTTCTCGCACATCTCTTCGCCATATTTCTCGAGCTGATCCGTAAAGCGGATGTTGTCACGGAGATTTTTCTCGAGCTCTTTATCGACGCTCTCGGAGGAAGGTTCACCCCGTTCTGTAAAGTGATCAATTACAGCTCAGACCAGAATAAAGGTATCAATCAAAGGGACATACTGATAAGAGCCTCTTGTTGCGCAGTCAAATCAACGATCTTCTTGCTAGCAGCGTTTGATTGGGCCTGTAGAGTTGTTAGTTCGAAATGTTTTACAATAGCATGTAAATGTAGAGCAGTGTAAGCGCATCGCCTGATTGAGAAAGTCGAGTTGGTCGCAAAAAAAGTAACGTTGAAGGCCTCCCATCGCCCGGTACCGACAAGTATAAGATTTTGTCAGCAGTCCCATCACTCTTACCAACAATGCATCCATGTCTTTTGCCAATTGTTGTATTTGATGCCACAATCTCCACGTCCCTTGTCTTGGTCTGATTAGATAACGCGTTTGTCTGTGTTGGAGAAAGTCCCATTCGTCTGGTCCTCGAGACTCAAATGCACTGCCCTCCGAGGAGATTCCTCTCTCGGACTGGACCTCCTCAGACTCGACTTCCTCATATTGGACCTCTTCAGAATCTTGTGGGGAGTAGTCATCATTCTTAGGAGGGTTTGAGAGAGGAGACAAACGAGAACTCGAGGCTGATGCTGACTTCTCAGTGTAGTCGCTTGGTCCACGCCGGCGACGAGTTGTACGCGGAGCATAAATATTCTGGGCCGCAACATTGGATAGCTCCTGGAACTCTTCCTCGACGGTCCGCGGGGCACCACTCGTCGATTCCGGTGTAGGAGATATCGAATATCGCCAGCGCGTATTATTGTACATAGTAAAGAGTACTTAAGTATGAGAATGTTTTATCTTACCAGAAGAGAATCGATGCGTTTTGCGTCATCACGAATCTGACTCCAGATAGAACGTTCCTCGTCGAGCTCTTCCTTCATATGCCCACCTCGGGGCCGACTGCGTGCTGCCATTGTGACGAGGCAAGGACCACTGCACCTGTATTCCTCGCTGTTGCTACTTTCATCTACCACAATGTGGAGGATGCTCTCGATATATCCATGGGGAGGCGCAAAGTTCGGTTGTTGGGAAGGAGGAACTCTGGCACTCTAGGTTCCGACCAAAGGAAGGAAGGAAGTCACGAAGTGCAGCTCTGGTTGCACAGATGCGGGATGCTGTATGGTAGCGAGGAAGCTTCGTCACATGTGGTTAGTGGTTCGAGCTTATTCGGACGCCAATGGTACGGCGACCGGGATGTAAGGGAGGGCGGCGAGTAGGCGGGCGGGCGTTACATACGGACTTTCTTAAAGGACAACTCTTACTTTCTTTTTGTCACATACACTTCTTCCTCTCCAAATACCTTCAAGATGCAAGTACCATTGATTCGACTCCAGTGCGGTAAGATAACTGCGGAATTCACATGTCTAAGACACTTCACTAACACACAATTAGGCGTGAATAGCTACGACTGGGGTGTGTACCCCTCTCCTACGTTCGAACATACAAAAAGTATGGAAAGCTGAAGCGATCCAGGCAAGATTGGCAAGACCTCAGCAGCAGCCAAGTTTGCAGCTGCAACCGCCTCTGATTTCTCGATCCAAGAGGAAAAGCCATATGCGGAGGTGACTTGGCCCTAACGGTCCCAGCGTATGCTCTGTTTGCTAACCTGCTTCAATAGTTATGGATGGGCACTCACCCCTCCCTCCCTTCCAAGGACCTCGAGACCCAGCGAACGCTCCTAGACCTCGTACAAGATAACCAGGCGCTCCTTTCGAAAGACATCGCCGAGAAATACGAGAACAGGCTCCCCTTCCTGTTCAAGGTGCTCTCGATCAACAAGGCGCTGAGTATCCAAGCACACCCCAACAAGAAGCTTGCAGAGCAGCTGCACGCGAGGGACTCAAAGAACTATCCCGGTCGGTATATGCCCGTCAGAGTGAACAGCTCCCAGAGCTAACATACGGCTGCGTAGATGACAACCACAAGCCCGAAATGACCATCGCGGTCACACCGTTCGACGGTCTTTGCGGTTTCCGCCCGCTCGCCGAGATAACGCATTTCCTGAAGAACATACCCTCACTGCGATCCCTCGTCGGAGAGGACGAAGCCGCGAAATTCGAGTCTGCCGTATCTGGCAAGGAAACATCCTCGAGCGAATCCGACGTCGCGGCGAACAAGAAAGCACTGCAGGCTATCTTCACAAAGGTCATGAACACCGACAAAGACGCCCTAGCCACGGCCTCGAAACAGCTCCTCGAGGCCGCAAACTCAGAAGGCGCCCAATTCGCCGGCGAAGGCGGCCCCTCCAACGACGGCAAAGAGCTCGCCGACCTCGTCATCCGCCTCAACAGCCAGTTCCCCGACGACATCGGGCTGTTCGTGCAGTTCTTCCTCAACTACGTGAAGCTCGAGGTCGGCGAGGCCATGTTCCTCAAGGCGGACGACATCCACGCTTACCTCTCCGGCGACATCATCGAGTGCATGGCATCCTCGGACAACGTGGTGCGCGCGGGTTTCACGCCCAAGTTCAAGGACGTCGACACCCTGACGAGCATGCTGACATACTCGTACGCGCCCATCAGCGAGCAGAAGATGGCGCCCGTCGACTACCCCTACACGACGCTGTCCGCCGCCGCCTACAGCTCCAACTCCTCCAGCATCCTGTACGACCCGCCGATCCCCGAATTCGCCGTCGTGCGCACCGCGTTGAACAAGACCGGCGCGAAAGCCACGTTCGATCCCATCCAGGGTCCCAGCATCGTGCTCTGCACAAAGGGCAAGGGCACGATCAGCGTGGGGCCCAAGAAGGAGAAGATCGAGGAGGGCTACGTCTTCTTCGTCGGCGCTACGGCCGAGCTGGTCATCGAGAGCGAGACGGACGCCGAGGGCGGCGAGGGCCTCGTTACGTTCAAGGCTTTCTGCGAGCTTGGTAGCGAGGGGAAGCTATGATGGCAGCGACGCGGGAGCGAACTGTGTTTATGTTGCATTGGGCGAGAGCGCCAGAGCATAACTAGATACATACTTGAAGAACGAAAGAAAGAAAAACATAGCAAGCGTTACGAGTCACGATCAGAGAGGGCAGGATCTCTTACACAAAATCGAATGCATACATCTTTTGCAAAGTACATCGTTTCCAAATTACGTGATTGATGTAGCAAAGTTCAAGCTCCAGTAGCACACAATCCCACAATCAACAATAGTTCTCAACGAGTAACAAGGTAAGCGTTTTTATAGGTAGGGCTTCGTACACATATCCGTAATATCATCTATCTGGCAAAAACAAGCAAAGCAAAACCAAAAAATAATTGACAAAGAGATGTGAAAAGTTGGATCTCGCAAGGCCATCCATCCGAATATACACGGTAGAAAGAAGGAGAAGAAGAAGACAAAAATACAGCCATAAAGTGGCAGGAGGAAGCAAATCTACAGTTTCGGCGACGAAGAGGAAAGATTAGAATGAAGAGAAAAAAAAGGTGGGCATATACATGAATAAAGGAGGGATTATGCGGGAGTACACATGTATACATTTAGATGATAAGAGTGATGGTGATGATGCAAATCAGCAGGTGAAGAAAAACAAAGATGCAAATCCACCAGCTACATGATTGATCTGTCGGGTATCTCTCGCTCTCGCTCTCTCTCCTCTCCTTTCTCTCTGTGCTCTCTCGCCACTTGGCTCTCTTGCGCCCTCCAGGTTGACACTATTTTCATCTCCAACCTCTTACACCATATCTCATTCAACGACAACTTACTAAAAAGTGGTCGGCAGAAAGTGCAGCTAATGATATGCTGGAAAAGAAGGCTCCGTTGTGAGAGGAAAATGCCGTTTGGTATTAGAATGAATAAAGTAGGGGGTAGTGTAGGGGGACATTAAAAGTAACGAATAAGTTGTGCCTCGAGCCGACCGGGTATTCGCAGGAAAGGCTGACGAAGGAAAAAGAAATGGCAGGAAAAGGTTGCGCATGTAGTCGTATGCTAAGAGTGTTTCGGGGGGCAAGAATTCTATTTAGCTCCGGGGGGAAGCTTGACGTTGTTTGAGAGCCATGCCTGTAGAGGGATCATGTTAGCGATATGCCTAATAGTGGTACGTGTCGTTTTCTGCTACACGCGACTGTTGCTAGTGTGGGAGCAGCAACGGAGAAGAGTACATACCAGACCCTCAAAAATTCCTTCGCCGGTTGTGGCACAGCTAGGCTCGACTTTCCAAACATGGTCTTTGGCAATCTTGTCGAGTTGTAGCTTATCGGAAACTTCCTTTGGTCGCATGGCTATACAACATGGTCAGTTGAGCGCAACAGGAGAAAATATTCGTATCCATTTACCTCCTTGCAGATCCTGCTTGTTCGCGAACACAAGTAATAATGCATCCTTCATTTCACGGTCCTGGATAATTCGTGTGAGTTCAGTTCGGGCTTCATCGATACGGTCGCGGTCGTTGGAGTCGATAACGAAGATAAGACCTTGTGTGCCTGTAGAACCAAGAATTAGCGAGAATGTTCTCCTGCTGGTGTTGAATACAAGACTATCAGGCGATTCATCGAGACAGGACATGGCTATCGGTGCACAGGTGCAGCACAGCACATGAGCCTACCCTTAGAAAAGCTGACGTCCCCAAACATACCGGAGAAGTAATGTCTCCACAATGGACGGATCTTGTCCTGACCGCCGACATCCCAGACATTGAATTTGGTGTTCTTGTATGTGACGGTCTCGACGTTGAAACCAACGGTGGGGATGGTGGTGACATCTTGGTCAAGCTTGAGCTTGTATAGGATAGCTACGAGGCGCGTTAGTAAGGAGATTTTGTTTATCGAGCCGGCTGCAGGGCAGAGCAGCATCGGAATCTAAAAGGAGTGGGAACATACTGGTCTTGCCAGCAGCATCGAGGCCCAGCATCAACAACCTCATTTCCTTGGATCCGAAGATCTTGTTCATCATCTTTGATATTGATGCACCCATTGTGACGGTATGACAGGCTGGTCGCGATCAACAGGTATAGTTCGAGGCCTGCTCGGAAGAGGATGGATCGATATGAGAGAGCGAGAAAACACTTTGTGTTATCAACGGTCGTGTGTTAGGTCGATTGATTCGGAGGTGTAGGCTGTTGTTGGTTTTCACACTCCCTTTCGCGCGAGTCGAAGATAGGGAGATAGGGGAGTGGACGGGATTGCGGGAATCTTGCGAGAGGGTATATGTAGGAGGAAAAGGGTGACCTTTCACAACGGCGCGGTGTCCAAGGATAAGGTGGTGAAGTGGTGGAGTGGTGGAGGTTGGAAGTGTAGGTATTGTGTGCAGGCAGGTATAGAAATTGATGTAGGGTAGGGTAGGGGAGGGATATTACAAGTGAGAAGGAGGGCGTGCAACGGGCGTGAAACAAGCCAGGCGCGTTGAAGATCTGCAGCCAACCGAAGCGCCCAGTGTCATTACTACCATTATTTTTATTATTACTCTTTATGATTCTACGACGCCGTATGTGCCTACAGTATTGCACAGATGTAATACTTGTAATTACCTACCTGTGAATCTACTTACACCTACTTGTACTTATTGCCCTATAGGCAGCAATCACTCATACAGCCATGCCTTGTTACAGATGAACTCTATCCTCTCCATCACTGTCCACCGAAAGATAGCACGCAGCACACTACGAGGTACATACTCTGGTACTACCTACCTACGGGAACCTGCCTAAAGATCTGGGTAGAGTAGATAAAAGGGGTTCAAGCATCGTTCCGGTGTCCCTGCAGCCGTCATGCGAACCATTCCAGGAATCCTGCCACCGTCCACATTCATAACTAACGTCTATATCCACGTCCAAATCCAGATGCAAACCCTTTCCCCCCTTCCCCTCTTTTCTATTTTTTGTACTTCTCCTGTGACCTGTCTCTCCTAAACAATCCTGTAACCAGCGAATGATCCCGCTTCTGCACAAACGATTGCTGGTTCTGTCATACCCCCCACCGCCCGCAATCTAACTAATGCCACTTAGTTCTGGACAGCGTATGCACTATGCAGGTACGCGAACCAACTACTCCTTAATCCGACATCTGTCTTCCGCCTTTCATCTTCCATTTCCCAAAGGCGCAGTGCATTCCCCTCCGCCAATAATGTGCAGTAGTGGATGAGGGTTTGGTCCGTCCCAATAGGGGAAAAAACACTTTAAATTAATCCGACGTGCATACATTTCACATCTTCTATATCGTCATTAACCTCTCGACTCTACATGTTGTACCGTATACGCTGTACTCTTCTAATCTACCGTTCTCAATTCATGTCATGGCAACCCGTACCCATCTATTGTAGCCGCCGCGCGCCGTCAATGTGATTTAATAATGTTGCCGCATGCCTGCATCAAAACCATCGCACCAAGTCTAGGGCTTAGAACCCGTCGTCAATACCTCGTTTCTTCTCTGCCTCTAACCTCTCCGTGTTAACGGCCCACCACCAATCGTGGGACTCCTGCGATGTTGCTTCGGGCTTCTCGTCCCAAGGCTTCGGGCTAAGAATGTAATGCACATTCTTAACCTTGTCATCTCTCCATATCTGGTGATGCACGCCTTGAACGCGCAATGTCTTCAAAGCGTTGTAGATATACGGCAGTGCCACCCATCGACCATGGAACACGTCGCCCAGTAGCGACTGGTCTGCAAAATCATAGTCCATGGTCGTATCCTGGGACAATTGGTCCACGATGAGCTGGTATACTTCGGTCGAAGGATTGACAACCTGCAGACCGCCGTTGGGCATACCGAGACCGAAGGCTGGGGAGGCACCGTGGATTTGCGCATCGTCGGGAGTGTCATGCTGCGAAGTGAATGCGCAGTTTTCGGGTATCCTGTGAACCATCAATACTCGCAATCCCCAATGTCGAAATTAAGTCGCAAGAGCGTACCAGTTCTTGGGGTAATGTGGCTTCTTGAGCGGATTGCATACACACGCATGGCTCGCCGCAAAAACTTTGTCGCCTTTGCCTGCTAGGCTTGGTGGATCAAGTTCCATTTCCATGAGCTCATCCATATTCTGTAGTGCCACCATATCGCTGTCCAACTGAACCACTCGGTCATATTCGACCAGAGAGAACGGTGTCAATTTGCTCCAGCAATCGTAGAAGCGGGGGTCATTGGTGAAGTCCTTGCTGACCTTGGGGAGCAAGTACTTCACATGCTGCTTAGGGATGCCCCGCTCATCGAGCGCTTTATGACCCTCGGGCGGGAAGGTGTCGGTATAGAGGGCTACGAGAGGATACGCAGTGCCATGCTTCTTCAGACTATAATCGAGCGTTAGGAGACCGGTGAGGTAGGCAGTATTCGTGATCAGAGTCGTCCAGACTATCAGGATGTCAGTAGGCGAGGGCCGGGGGTGTCTTCTGTAGCACCTTTCTTCGACTCTACGGGCGGATTAGAGGCCATGATGTATGTACTCGTTTGTGGAGAGTCAGAGTCCAGCTGAGAGTCGAGCTAGCTTTTGGTATGTCAATTAATGGAAGGTTAGCAAGATATCAACAGGTCTCGAGTATTACATGGTGACAAAGCTTCTGACGGAAGCTGCATTTTTAGTGCTGAATAGTGTTTCTGCGATGGAGGGGTTGGTTCATATGGCGACGGCATCTAGCCGATCTCGGCAGTCGAGATCGTCATCGCCTCGCGGAAGCTATGACTTCTCCGATGTATTGCAACGCCTAACATGAGCACGTCTGGGATTCATTTTCCCACCGTTTGCTTACGCGATGCTCTCCATGTTTTAAACGCTTCCTCCGCGCTTCCTCTCCAGTTTTAATCGGAATGATTCACGTGGGGACGACTTGCAACTCAGAAGCCCGCCAATGTCAGCAACAGCGTCGCCAACCGCAGCCGCGGCCGCGATGAACGCGGGAGATGTTCCGCCAGGACTCAGAGACCCCGTAGAGACATCTCAAAAGGCAAAAGGCGGTTCAAACTACAAGGGCTTCGTTGCAGGAGTCTTCTCGGGCATTGCGAAGCTTTCTGGTGAGCTATCATCGTAGAACTTAATCTATACCTGGAAGCTAATCGACGACAGTCGGACATCCATTCGATACGATAAAAGTACGATTGCAAACGACCGATCATTCACAATTTAAAGGCCCTCTCGACTGTTTATTGCAGACCCTTCGAAACGAAGGCGTCAAAGGTGTATATAAGGGTGCCACGCCCCCACTTGTGGGTTGGATGTTCATGGACTCGATAATGCTAGGATCTTTAAGTGTGTACCGCCGGGTGCTCAATGAGAACCTTTTCAACCCGCGGAGGGATAGTCTTGGACAACAAGCAAAGCTGCCTGTGGTCGGACATGCCATGGCGGGAGTGATGGCAGGATGGACGGTGTCATTCATTGCGGGGCCCGTGGAGCACATCAAAGCACGGCTGCAGGTGCAATATGCAGCAGAGAAGTCTAAGAGGCTGTACAAAGGCCCTATCGATTGTCTCAAAAAAATTGTAAGAAGTATTTCCCATGTATGTACGTGACTCATGTCTGACTTGAAAAGTACGGCGCTCACGGCGTGCGCGGCATCTACCACGGCCTATCAGCGACACTCCTCTTCCGAACATTTTTTTGCTTCTGGTGGGGAACGTACGATCTATTCACAACGGCTCTCAAGGAGAACACCAACCTCTCCGCGCCGGCTGTGAACTTCTGGGCAGGCGGCTTGTCTGCTCAGGTCTTCTGGATTACATCATACCCTTCAGATGTTGTGAAGCAGCGCGTGATGACAGACCCTCTAGGGGCTGACCGACAATTCCCAAGATGGAGAGACGCAGCAAAGGCTGTGTGGAGAGAAAAAGGGTGGAGGGGCTACTGGAGAGGGTTTGTACCCTGTTTCCTGAGGGCGTTTCCTGCAAACGCGATGGCGCTGGTAGCCTTCGAGGGTGTGATGAGGTCGTTACCGGAATGATGGCCGGAGCCGACAAGGGAACAATGCCAATGGCAGGGTGATAGGCCTCTCAAGGCCAACACATAACGACCAGCGCCTACGAAATTCATGAAGTGAGCATTCTATTGGGTCGCCTAGCTACGCATCAGCTGAGATGATGGGAGACGGTTGTCAGGTTGGGTCTCATGCAAGCTGCCCTTCCCCTCACCCCCTCTCCTATAGCCCAGCATTCAGAGCTTTCGGGGGGGTATTTGATACCACTGGCTATTACTATGGCATTGTGTTCAGTTCAGATTTCGAAACAATTCTTTGAATTGCAACTTTAGCTTGAGATCATGGTTCAGCCTCATGTCCGACAGTCGGCTCCGTAGATCTCCTCCAATTGCGGTTAGACACATTCATAGAATTATATGACAACACAACAACAATCGTCCTCCACATATGTCCTCCATAAACCGTTCCAGCCTGGCTCCGCCCTCGAGAAATTCAGCCTACAGTCATTGTTATCATATGATTAGTTCGATCTCTTCGGGCTCACTTGTGTCACTCTGTTACTGTGCGGGTAACTCGCGCCGAGGGGGGTGGTCCATTCCCCTCGAGGGCGACATTTTCCAAGCGTAGGCAATCCGCTAACGTGGAGGGCAAATGCAGGTCCATGTAGGGGAACGCCTCAGAAGGTACAGGCACGTTGATTTGCTTGCCATGTGAGGCACGACGATCGACGATGGAAGTCTTATTGGCTGAGATGGGCAGCCTCCTCCGGGCAATATCAATGGTGCTCTGCGGAGGCGTCCTGCGAGGCAAAACCAAGTGGTTACAGAATGACCCATGTATCACGCTCTAAGTCGCGATTCTAGGCCGGTGAATTGCACTGCCTTATCGAATATTTTGAAGTTGCTCATGCGGAAGCTGCCAGCGATGATGCTCCCCTGCCCTAACCCGACTCCGCACATTCTCCTCTCCACTCATAGCTAAATAAGTTACTCTGGTCCATTGTCTTCCCATAATCGTGTCTACTAGATCCCACTCGATGCCCTTTTCTCGATTGTGGTCCCCGAATTGCGCAAGGTCTCCAGATTACGCAAGATTGAGCCTCAATTGTATCTGCCCGGTGCCAGCCTGGATTCTCATTCTCCAGCCTCGCGTCCAGACAGATTGAGGCTCTGCTTTGACTGCCTTCAACAGCAGAACTCTTAAGGCAACAACACGGATCGTATAAAAAGGACTGACCATTATGAGTGGAAAGTACCACAATGAACAGTCTAAGTTCGTCCAACAACAATTAATCTAACAACGAACACATTCTGACTTCGAAGCCTAGCCTCGCGATAATGGGAGATGACATTGATTATGCCGCCATGGATAACCAGTCTTTGGACTCGATGACTGGCCCTCTATTTCCAAACCAGCTTTACTTCTCGCCAGAGAGCAGTTTGTATGGTTCTGTATATGCTGCGGGTGTGCCTTTGAACAATGGCCAATTGGAAAGCTATGAAGTTCCGCAATATCAAAACGGATATCCAAGTCCAGATGCCTCCGCTAGAAGTCTTTCCGATGTTTCTACATTCTCCAGTCTCAGCTCTACCAGTCTCAACCGGGAACAATATGTAAGGAAGCAACCGTTAGATTCTCAACCCTTTACTAACAATCCGAAGACTGCAGATTCATCGCTTGGGGGTACCCCAATGGATTTGGAAAACGGTATCAATCTACCATCGAAAAGAGCGCCTCCGTTTGGATTTGACTCCACAGCCGACAGCAACTCTGCAGTCCATGATGGAGTGCATTCATTTCCGTGTGATGAAGGCTGTGACGTAGCATTCAGACGCATATACGACCTAAAAAGACACAAGAAAGAACAGCACCGATGTGTCCACCCTGATTGCGACGCACTCAGATTCTCGAATCGGAGTGAAAAGGACCAACATGAAGCATTACACGGAGGTGGACTTCAGTGGCGCTGTGGATCATGCCTTCAGATCGACCCAAGCCGCAAGCCTTATAGTCGTCACGACAAGTTGAAACGGCATCTGAAAGACCACCATGACGTTTCTGATGCCAACCTCGATGCCTTCAGATGTAACAATCCTTCCTGCTTTGTTGGTGAAGATTGCGGGGGGCTCTTCTTTTGTACCTTGACATCTTTACAAAAGCATCTTCGTGACGACCACAACGAATCAATGGATGGTACTGCTGCAAATGTCGAATATGGTAAGGTTTCTTCCGTACTGCGTATCAGCACACTTTGACATAGTCCCACTAATCTGGAGGTGTAGCGCCTGTAGGATCTTCAATTCAAGCAACTAGCGCGATTGTGACCGCCACAAAGCGGTCACAAGAATCAATGCCAACCCCCGATCCAAAACGGTACAGGTCGAGAAAGGATGAGACTAGTAAGTTACGAACAATTTTCTCAGCTTCAGCCATTAATATAACCTCTTAGGCCTCGAAGACAAGACATCTAAAAGCACCCAAGATGCGGCACTCCATCTCAGCCAGGCTCGTGTTAGCAGTCTTTTTTGTCCCACAACTCAGCCTGCCAGAACGCCCAGCAACGGCAAAATGGTCAAACCACTTCCTCTTGTTCAAGTGAGCCATGTTTTGCAACATTGCAACGAGCAGAGCGTGGAATGTTTCGCAATGACGGGTGTTGAATTTCATTTCCTGACCAAGCAGTGGGGTAAGTCACTCTGGACAGTACGTGATATAGGATACAGCTAACGCAGCTCATTGCACAGATTTCCCGAAAGTAATTTCCGATTTGACTCGACTATGTATTAAATTATTTCTTGTCTCTTCGGAATTTAAAGTCGAGCTACGGGGATCTGTCAGCCAGGACTATATGCAACGAGGCAAAGACTTGTTCGCAGGACTGATTGAGAGTGCCAGACCAGCTGCGAGCTGCGTGAGTGAACCAGACAGCCTTACTCAATGTAGTCAGCCTGCTGAGGCCCAAACCGCATCCTATCACCACCAACCCGACTTCCTGGCTCTTGACCCAGTCGAGGATGCAGTCGCCTTGGTTACGTGGCATCAGTTTCTTCTACCTGAGTTTCCACTCATTGCCAAGCAGTCTCCCATTCGCGGTAGATATTCTGTTTCGCTTGTGGCTCAAGTAAAAGACAACACAAAGCATCTGATAATCAGATTCCGCAGTTCTGAGAATCAAAGCAATGCATGCCGAGACTTCATCAGGAAACGCGTCGAGGAGATTTGCAAGGAACACGGTCGCGTGCATTTTCCGGTCCAATTCTCGCAAGGTACTTTGGTTCGACTGCTGGGCACAGCACCTTCCCACAATGATTCGGACGACCCTTCCACTGACCAGAAATTCGCTCACCATCGAAGATTTTGGCAAACACCTGGAATGGGCGCTTCGATTGGATTAAGTCAGTGCCCTAAGATCTCTGCCACACTTGGAGGATATATCTTGGTCGATGGTAGACTTTTCATGTTGTCAGTGGATCACTTCATCTCTAAGTGCGGCTGTCCGAATAAGACTACCTCGGTGAGATCACCAGCACACTCGGACGCGCAGGAGTTGAAGAAACAGGTAGAAGAGAGACTGCAAGATATCAATTCCCGCTTGTCCAGAAACGGGGAAACGGAAATCAATCTTTCGAATTACTCCCAAGTTATTGACAGGCACACCCAAATGGAAATTGACTTATACGAACGTTTCCGTAGGGAATTGATGCAGGACGAATCAAGGTTCAATTTTGGACACGTCCATCGTCGATCAGGCGATGGAAGTCCTCCCACAAGGCCCGCCGCGATCCCTGTCACCCCTGGGGAAGTCCGACGTACAGATTGGTCCCTTACGGAGGTAACGGAAAGAGCCAGAGTTGGTCAAAATGCTCATAGACACAGTCGAATGAGTGTGCCCACCCTTGAAGATCTCAGAAGCGAGGTAATGAAACCCGAAGGGACGGGAGCTTTAGTCACAACCACAGCCAACGTAAGAGGAGGCGAGGCGGTTCATTATGTCGGCACTACTAGTGGACTGAGACCTGGAAGAGTCAATCCTGCGATTACTCTCTATGGGACCGAAGGGGGGGAAATTTCCCATGAGTGGACCATTGCCGTGGAAGGAAATGCCAAACTGAACAGCGAGGCCTTCAGTGGTGACTCTGGTGCCTGGATTATGAACGATGACAATGAATTGCTGGGCCACCTATGGGGTTGGGATGGTGGACTGCTATGGTTCACTCCCATTGCAGATGTTTTCCAAGATATAAGGGAGCATTTGAACGCTGCGAGTGTTACACTCAGGGATGACCGACTCCGATTGAATAGCCAAGGACTGATCAGTCGGGGCGAAGGATGCTCTGAGACGAACAATGAGCAGCTTGAAGAGCAAGGCACGAAGATGGCAAGGCCGAACCCGAGCCCAAGCCCGAGTCCAATGAGGAACTTGTTGTCGCCAACTGACGCCGAAGACAAGGGAAGAAAGCGAAGTTCGAGCGTCGGCAGCGACCTATCTATCTTCTCTCTGCCCAGTCTAGGTTCATCGTCATCAATGTCTTCAATCACGGAAGGCAATAGCCCCCAAGTACCCGGATCTCCCTGTTCATTCACGGCTTTTGACGACATAGGAGACTCTGAAATCGTATCCCAGAAGCTTCCGCCCACAGACGAGAGTTGCGACTGGTACGATGTCCGACAGGATGCAGAGTTGAAAGATGAGGAATTCTCACGAGAGGATACTTTGGAACTCACACTGAGGCCAAGAAGAGTGGTGGGAATCAAGACTTTTTGATTTCCATGTAGGCATCGGCTTTCATGTCCGATGCGTGGACAATACACTGATAGATCTCATTTGTTATGGTTTCTTAGCTTCATCATTGTTTATTTCCCCGTCTTAACTCCGAAGTCGAAGCTCTTCCTCGAGCTCTTACACAACCTATTTCCGCACACGATGGTCACGACGATGAATGGGAACTGTTCGATCACATCGCCACTCTTTTGTCTTTCTCTAAGTTAAGTGTGCGTTGATTTCCTTATTTTCTTTCTTCTCTCCTAATCAAATTGTGTTAAATCTGTCAATATATATGGTATCTGCTTACTGGTCACAAATTGTTCAGAGACATCTTTGTTATATGTAGGCTATCACTCATTTGCACTCGAGGCTATATCATTCCACACTATTGCCGATGACTTGACATGCCAGCAACTGTGATCACGTACAAGCAGTAATGTAAGTGTGGAGTCTAACATGTCCAATGTGTTGTTTACAGGTCTTTGACAGCCTCCTTTTCACCAGAACAACAAAGCCAGTAAACAACCTAGAATACGCAACAACATTGGCGCCACGTCTTGTGCATTGCGATTACTGTTTTCTGCCGATTTCTTCTATAGCAGATTAATGATTGCAGCAAGCAACCGTGATTTATGAATTGTATAAACAGAAGGTATCAAAAAAGTGTAGGGTACTGAATCCGCAGCTCTTCAATCGAATATGCCACAGTTCGGCCGACAAAAGTAAGGGCTCAATTGGCCATAGAAATGCACTCAGCCATGACCCTCACGGCCACTGGTTGATTTTCTCCACCAGTCTCATTCTCAGATCCCCCCCTTGCTTATCAGCAATACTGTATTCCCACGGTCCATCCAGCGACTGCTCGACTTGATACTTCTTCGCGCCATCAGCGCTCATGACAGTCACACTCCTCACCCCGACCTGCGTCTGGAAGTCAAAAGTACCCTCCGCACGGATAGTACCGTTCTCAAACACGAACTTGATATTGCTCGTCCCAGCCTGCACCAGACTCTCTCCATCGTCAAGATACAAGCTCCCAGAGGCCCTCCCATCCCTATCCGGCGCAATCAGAAGCTCGAAGTCCAACTCTCGCAGCTGTGTCGTCGTGTTGGCGCTATTCACGCGGGCGGGCACGATCGATCCGCCGCGAATGTGTACGGGGATCTCGTTGGTCTGGACGTCGTCCTGTGTGATGTTCGCGCCGGCGCCTTCGACGGGCTGGAGAGTGAAGAGGTCGTAGAAGAGGTCGTTGGGGAGGTAGAAGGAGACGGAGGTGGAGCCCTCGTTTACCACGGGGCTGACGAGGAGGGAGGGTCCATAGAAGAATTGGTTTTCGATCGCGTGCGTGCCGGAGTCGGATTGGTAGTTGAACCTGAAGTATGCTGTCTTAGCTTTTAATGGATTCATTTGGCGGAAAGGGGGAACTTGTAGTGGTGACAACATACCATACGGGGGTGATCATTGGTGTTCCATCTTCGGTTTGGAGGTGCATGGCTGTATAGATGTAGTCTAGAAGCCTGTATCTAATGTCGATTGCCCGTCGTGCAGCCGCAGCGACGGACTCCCATCGATATGCTTCTTGGGATATTGCGCCATCAACGTTGTGGTTTCTGTAGAATGGGTAGAAAGCACCCAGGGTAGTCCATCGGGCGCAGAGGTGCTCGTTGGTGTCACCCAGGAAGCCGCACACGTCAGCCCCAGCCTGGCCTTGTTAGCTAAGCATGTGTATAGTTGGTTGACTGTCTTACCATTGGAACTTGGAAAATCGAAACAAACTGCAAGAAGTGCCTGATAGATGCAAGGTATTGATCCCATGCTGAGATGTTGTCGCCAAGCCAATGTCCAACATAGCTACCAGCCCCAACGAATGTGCTGCGGGTTATGACCATTGGCCGCTTATCAGGTCGGCGTTTGAGCATGCTGCTGGCACTCGCCTTGGACATCATGCTTCCATACCTTTGACAAAAGCGTAAGAAAATGATCAGAGTATGTTTCGGGAGACATGAACTTACAGGTTATGAGTATCGTACTCGGTCCATCCACCTTGGTGGATCAGAGCAGTACTTGCTGTTTTGTTGCCAATCAATCCAAAAGTATTCTTGATCTGGTATGAAGGATCAATGAGGTCGCGGTTGGGGAGTCCTTTCTTTGATCCACTTTCCTCCTGTCGTTTAGAGATAGATCGCACATTGATGATGTCGGTGTCTACTTGTGATGCTTCAGGATTATCACAGGGCCATTCGCAGAAGTTCGATGGCTCGTTCATATCAATCCACCTAGATCATGTTAGAATAAAGATAATACAGTAGGAAAAAAGACTAGGGACTTACAAAGCGTCGATGTCGACACCAGTGTCGCGGTTGAAGAACGTCTGGAATTCGTTGTCCCAATACTCCTGTACTTTATCGTGGAACCAATCAGGAAAGGCCGTTACGCCTGGCCATACTCTTCCCTTGTAAATGCTTCCGTCCTCTGACTTTAGGAATATGTCGAGGTTTTTGCCATTGTTGAATGCATCGTAGTCTTGGTAGGCCACAGCTATTGAAGTTAGAATGCAGCTTAGTAGATATCGGGTTCAACTCACCAGGGTCTACCATAACGATGTAATGCTGGTCGTTACTATGTAAGCGATCAACCAGCTCACGCATCTTGTCGAGAGGAAAGTTTTGTCCGAGAGTGAAAACCTTGTACTCATCCATGTAATCGATATCTAGGAATGATTTAGTACATAATGGCTCAGAGATAGCTGTCAAACTCACCCGTCCACATTGTCTCAAGTGGAATTCCTGCGTCCGAATAATTCTGCACCACAGCTGCGACTTCATCGACACTCTTGTAGCCAAATCGGCATTGATGGAAACCAAGTCCCCAGTAAGGCATCATAGCTGCCTTCTGCGTGATTTCACTGTACTCTCTGGCGACATCGAATGGACCAGGACCGGCGAGGAAATAAAGATCGATGACACCGCCTAAGGAGTTATACTCCAAATATTGTCCATCGTCGTTGTTGATTTTAATGTCCATACCATTGCTATTCAGGAGTAATACACCATGGGTATTGTCCGACTCGGATCGATGCTCGTAGTATACTGGGTGGGCACCGTATAAATTCTCGCCCTTAGGCACACCTCCGGCGTCTCGATTCCAGAGGGTTCTGACATAGTTAGAGGTGGGGACTCGTAGTGAATCTGTATGCTCGCCCAAGCCGTATATAGATGGATTATCCGGTAGGGAAGTTCGCAGTCTCCAATATTGGTCCTCGAATATTAAGGTTGATCCCTTGGAAGAGAAGATCTCTTCATCGTTACTCTTGCGTTTGATAGTGAAAGAGAATGGCTCTTCTTCAATAGTGACGTCTAGTGCGGATTCCTCGCCCTTGATAGATCCCGTCGGCCTTGGTACAACAAAGTCAGGCACTTGGTAAACTTGCTCTTCCTTATCGTAGATGATGACATGGAGACGGGAGTCTACATAATGTTAGTCACAATAGATTCAAGCATAAATGAGATACCATGAGCCAATGAGAAATCAAGGAATCCCGGCAAAAGGCTCTCGGAGCCATCCGAGACTCATGTGGTCGGCTGCCCCCATGTTCGGTATGGAAACATGGAGCTTGTACTACCTAACCGCGACTTTATGATGATTGAAGTCTGAGATTGGACCAAAAATCCACAAATTGCATACTCCACATTCCGCACGTATGCAACGGCAATTAATGAAAAATGATGTGTAACACATACCCGTCTGATACTCGGCTGAGAACCGCAATTCCTTGAGGTCTTTTCCGTGGATATTGCACTCCGTGCCAGCCAATGTCAAATCTGCTTTAATACCGGCATCAGTTCTTTCGACATTTGTAGCTTTGTAGCCAGGGCAGTCATTCTGTTGTCTTCTTAGGGCTGTTGATTCTCCTTGTGAGGTCAAGGTGAGCCAGAAGAGAAGGTAGGAATGAATGAATGCTAACGATGATGGCATGGCGTGAAAGATGGCTGAAGAGGCATGGGTGACGAGCCACGACTGGCATATATAGTCAACTAAACGCCCGTACAATTAGCCCTTGCTCAGTATCGTGGGCCCTACTATTACTATGCCAAGTTTGGGCCGAGGTGGTTGGCTGAATTCCACAGCATGAAGATAGTGGTTGCGGATTGGTTGTCTTACTGGTGATCGTCATGAGAGCGGCCATTTGTTTATGCCAAATCTCCCTCGTGCTGGGGGATTCTACATTATGCAACGAGCCCAGAATAGTACCTGCCGTATCAGGAGTTAACAGAGAGGAACAAGGCGATGTCTTGATGAATTGAGCGTAGTCGGAAGCGGTTTTTCCGCCCTGGTTGCACACGCTTCCATGGTGCGCTTTGTAGACATGGGCTTAGTTCCCGGGCGCAAGGCACATTTTGTAGTTTGTACGAGAGTATTTTGGTCACAAGCCACCATCACTTCCTGTCCGAGATCCATTCTTGGGCGATCAATGACCCAATGACGGCCCTGAATCGGCAACGCGAATACGTTCTGTGTGTCTTCATCTCGTTGCATTCCAACATAGACCATCGAGATCGCCAACTACTTTACCGTATGGGCCCCTCGGTTGTACATCTACATGGATCGGCAAGATTAACCTTCCCGCGATTGTATGTATCTTCAACGTTGTAAAAACAACGTCTGGGGCGATGTTACCCTGGGCCAGGTTTTCTCGCACGAGTTTATGCTTACACGAGCACAGACGCGTGGTGGTTGAAACAGTAATGTTCCCCCTTCGATAATGATATTGCAGCTATTTATTCAACGTGCTGCTTATTCCCAAGATTTCAGGAGTCAACAGGCTCATTATAGACTCACGAATCCCCACACCACGCTGTCACCCCGTGGATATATTAAAATTTGGTCAGGAGATGACTTTTTCGCGAGAGCCAATCTCACCATAATGCATTTGGGGACATCAGGCACGTCATACGTCCCGGAACGTACCAAACAACTGCATCGAACTTCCTATCTCGTATCGTTACACCACAGCTAGACCGCAAAATGGCCTCTTGACTCAATGCAAAACAAGTGTCGCAAGAACAGATCAACCTGATCGCCAACTTTCGTGTGTATCCACACAACATCGAATTGTCTTCGGCGACGAAACTTAAAATGTCCTGGAATCTGGGGAACCATGTCTCGTGGCAGCAAGGTTCCATTATGACCACCAGCCTTGACTACATTCCTTCCCAACGACTTGACCGTTTACCTTTGCTTCTGAGAAGACCAGTCTAGGCTATGTGCAACAACGTGGGGCTAGTATTGTTCCACCCGAATTCTGACGACCCATTCTATGATTCACTAGGTACGTCCGCCGTCGGTACCCGAGCGGAGGCATGATGATTGAGATCTGGTCTATACATTATGCGCCAATCGTTCTGCGGTCTACCTCTGTGTCTTATGCGAGCGGTGTGGAGCTGAGGTAGCTGCGGCATATCTATGTACATGCTCTGTGGACTTGTATTTCCCCATTCGATCTGTCCTGGTTTCCATGTTCGGACTAATAGGCCGAGTCTCTAATTCATGTCACAGCTTAAAGACAGCATCGAAAACTGATCAATTGAAGAATCGAGATTTGATTGCACGGCCTTGTTCACCAGCACTGCTGGTTTTCACTGTATTTGCCTTACACCCCTTCTGTGATCTACTGTGTAGATGCAAGAAGGGAGACGAGGGATGCACTCCTTCGATATAACTTGACCATCAGGATGAACGAGACAGCGGATTGAGCCACACTTGGACAATTGAAGATGTGCTAAAATCAGTCATTATTCGTGACAAGCACGTCAACCACAGCAACTGTTGTCAAAATTGCACTGACGATCTGGTCTGGTCGCGGGAATTGATATCGGGTGATTGTAGTTTCATTCTGTAGGTAGTCTTTCTTTCAACAATAGCAATAGTAGTTGCAATTTCTCGTAGTACTTTAGTTCTATATAAATGTTAGACCTCGTTACATTGCCTAATTGATGTCCAAATTGTATTCTGGACAAGCTGAAGACACTCTCATTCGTGTTGTGTAGATTATTTGTTTCTTCGTTACTTGTTACAAGTTGATCGATCAATGAACCGTATTACTCGTTGAGCAGTTTCAATAAAATATCGTTCTAATACTGAGGAAAGCACTCTGCGATTCACTAGCAGATGAGCTTGAAATATGACATATAAAGAACAATCACGAAGGCATGCACGGAGTATACTATTACCAACTTTAGTCGACTCACCACACCTGTCTCTCTTAGATTATATCAAAACACCTGGTAACCTTAGCCATCGATTGAAAAGTTCGTAATTAAATTGTATCTCTTCATATAAACCTGGAAAAGAAGATCGAGACGAACTCTACATACTCCATCATTACAACTAGCATTTGACCAAAACCCTGGGTATCATCGTACTAGGTCATAACCAAACGTCCCAAATCTCCAACTACATGACCGTACAGCAGCTCTTGAACAGCCTCTTGAGACCCTTGTGAACCAATTCCTCAACTTCGTTATTATTCTGCTGCTGCTGCTGTTGATGGTGTTGCTGCTGTCCATGATGTTGTTGACCACCATGATGCTGGGTTTGACCAGGGTATCCACCACTTCCATAACCACCTCCGTAGCCTCCACCAAATTGCGGAGGTGGTGGCATTTGGCCAACCGCTCCGCCTTGCAGGTTGACAAAGATCCTGCCTTCGTTCTCCTCAGTCGCGTACTGCAAGCCGAGCTCACGGCACACCTGCTCGACGCGAGGCTTGATCTTCTGCACGTGCCCTGTAGAGTGGTTTCCCTTTCCAACAATGACGTGCAGGTGTGTCTCGCCGCGTCCTCGCGCAGCCTTAATTCGCTCTTCCAAGACATCCTCTGCCTCTTCGACGAACAGACCGTGCAGATCAATGGTATCGCCAGGAACGCGATCTACATTGTTGTTTTCCCGGAAGATGAAGTCGCGCGCCTGGCGATTGTACTCGTCCATCTTTTGCGCATGACGCTTTCCCTCCTGAGAAAGCTCGTGGGCTTTCCCGCCGTCGCCTGCCTCGTAGGCGGCGTGCGCGCGATCGAAGCACGAGGAGCGTTTGGCGGCCTCCTGTCGAGCTAGACCGCGTAGGCGGTCGTACTCAGCTTCGGTGTCCGAGGAGGAGTGGTTGAGGGCTGCGGTGCGTTAGATTCAATTGCTACTGGTACGCATATAGATTTGGAGCGAGTATAGGAACGAATTGGTGTACCTCTCGAGCCCAATGATGTCATTTCCATTGCCATTATGTATAAAAGAGATTATTGAAATATGTATAGGAGAAGGATATTATCGAGGGCTAAAAATTAAGGAGGGTTGTCAAGGTGCTAGATGTCCATTATTATATTCAGAGCTGAAAGCAAGGATAGCTCTGAGATGCCAAGAGATCTCAGAGATGGCTGGAAAACCAAAATGTACTAGTGTCGATTGACAGATATTGTGGGGTACAATGCAGTGTTGCCAATACGTCCTTCATTTCGCACTCATGTATTACATGTATCCTCCAATGGCATAGTTTAAGCCTTAACCATCCGACGGATCAATCGACACGCCAAATCGATCTGACGGTGGCGGAGCGGAATAGTCATCGCAGTGGCTTTTGCTGGGTATATTCCAGGTTGTAGGCGCAAAATTGGTACTCATTCATTCGTGGATTCCATTCACCATCGTGGTGTTTTCGTTGTTGGGTATCTTTCCTTGGATGGAGAACTCCTTGCATCTAGAATCGGATCTTTGGGCCAACAAAGACGATCAAGAAACACGCCACCCAAAGGCCAAATATAAGGCCATATAGCTTCATACGATCCCACCAGCCTTTTCCTTCTGTCATTCGTCTTAATGTGCCCATTCGCTGACCCGCAGCCTCCATCCCTTGTGTACTTTTATCAAGCCCTTGTGTAGCTCGGTCTAACACACCCTTATCGCTCTCCAAGGTTTGACCAAACGTTATCGATTGCTGCTTGAGCTGCTTCGCCATCTCGAGCAGGCTGTTTGTCAAATTGTCCTGCTCTTGGCGGTTGTGAGACAGGAGAGCCTCCGATTGTGCGATTGATGGGTCGCCTGTAGTTGCTGTAGATTTGGACGGGAATAACGATGTACCCGATGCTGTTGTGCCCGTTCCACCATCAGGACCACCTCTCCGCCGCAGTTCCGATGTGAGATTCTTTGCCGCTTCTTGCAACGCAGGGTTGCCTTGACCCCCAGATTGATTGACTTCTATGCCCTCCTGAGTTTTGAGCCGCGGGGCATATGAGGGGAATTGATCCTCATCGTCATCGTCCGAGTCCACAGAGACATCCGAATCCACTCCGTCATCGAGCTGATTGAGTTCTAATAATCGCTGATTCAATTGCTTGATAAGTTCGCGCTTCTTTTGTAAATCCGATTGAAGGGCGGTCTTCTTTGCTTTCGATGCGGATGATGTGGTAGCGGAATGCTCGAGGTTTAGAAGCAACGTTCGGGCGTATTCGACATTCTGCATTAACAGGGTCAGTTTATTCAGCGCATGTGTTCAAGAATATATAGGCCACGAACTGCACCAACTCTTTTGCGCTCTAGGCTCGAATTTTGGAGATTAGGAGACGCTTCAGGTGACAGTAATATGTGTTCTAATCGGGAGAGAAGCCTGTTTAAATTAATGGTGGTAGTATCTGGATACTGCGAAGGCGACCGTGATCGAGTTTGCATTTTGAGGGCAACACATTCAGCACAATTACGAGGGTAAGGCAGATGTCGGTTGTATCGATCGAGGTATATTGTAAGTTGGAGGCAGAAAGATTGTTTGGGAAGACGTGTCAAGCTCGCGCCAGGAATAGACGTCACCGATCCCCAGCCAATTAGCGCCTTTTTCTCAGCTTCCCCGCGTCATTCAAACATCTCACGACCACATCGTCAACAGATGTACTTTCCTCAACCCACCCTGCGAATCTTCTACATCTTTTTCTCATGCACATTAATCTCGTCGAGAACAGAAACAAGTTAAATTGGATTAACAATACAACCAATGTACAATTACATAACAGCCCGGAACCATAATGCCCTGGACTAAGATAGGATAATGAAACCTTCCAAAATGCAGACTTGATATGCTCATTCTCCCCGCAGGTAGTCGCTTCTTTCAAGACATCAGTCTTTTTACGCCTCTCCTAGTTCGTATGAAATCTTACTGCCTCAAGGTTGTAGTGTCTCGCTGTTCATGTGGCTTCTGCGCAGCAGGTGGGTTGGCTGGACCCCGAGTATAACTTTCATTATGGGTCAGCTGGGTTATCGAGACAACGTAGAAAGGCATGTCATACTTGTTCCACAGGGAGCCAAGGAATCCAGGTTTCGTATAAGAGTCCTGGAGACTGGACCTTCTTTCAGTACTTTGAGGATCCGCAGGACGCTTCAGGGCCTCAAGTGCAGCATATCTCGTTCCGGATGCAGAGGACTATAACGATCAGTATGCATCGTCAAAGGCTTAAAACTACAAGGCGTTCTATCGACTCATACCCTTCTCCTATCGTATGTAGAGGTGTGTCCAGAGGATGCTGAAGCATCCGACGACCTCCGGTCGTTTTCCTGCTTGGGTCCCTCAGGCATTGCAGGTGTAGTCATGTCTCCGAACATCTTATGATGCTGGGAAGAGTATTTTTGATGGAAAGGAGAAGGCATTATAGGTATAGGTAACTTGGTATTGATAGACTAGTAAATGTGGATGTTTAGAAGCCGAGTACTTCACCTGAGGGGTAATTCTGGTGGATGAGGCAGCGGCATTAAGTAGGAAACTCAGGTTCACTGCCCCTCATAAGCTGCATATGGTGATCTAGAAACCATATGAACGTTACGCACATGATGGTGAATCGTACCAATGAGGTGCTAGTCGGAGCTTCCCCGCCTTCCTTTGTATGCATCTCTGGTATCCCATAACACATTCGACAGTAGGACAGCCTAGAGAGGCCAATCAAGAGCTCGATGCAAAGTCAAACGAATAGGGATGCTGCGGAGCATTCATGGTGGCTTGCAAGTCATGATTGGAGTGTTCTTCCTCACTTTGTCTACTGGAGCAACTCGTCCGTTGGAATATCTAGTACTTACTCGTATCACTAAGAGGGCACCAGGCGAGCTCTGGACTGCGAGAGCAGTAAATATGGGGAATTCTCTCCGTGTGAATCGTACGTACTCGAAAAAACCGTGGAAGATCGATCCATTGAAGCCTCCCACGTCAATGCATGGTACAATGACGAGAAAATGCAGCACTGCACACACTACGATTTTGACCTTCGTAAAGATGTTTCACAAAAAGCGGCTCGATGAAGGGCAACGTATCGGGAGGCAGAAGGATCATGTAGTGTATCAGCTGAAAGCATCGTGCAGGGGCGTTCTGATGCAATTGCGGAGCTATCCGAGTGCATCAGGGTCTGGAGGCAGTAACCATAGCGAAGATCTGAAATCCTTGATGTCACATTGACTGTTCCTGGCCTGTTACGGAATATCTGAGGATGAGCTAAACTTCGTAGATCAGTCAACTAAAGTTGACGAATCCCATCGTCGCTGTTAGAGAACGACGGAAGAGACATGATGTTCGCGGTTTGAGTCGTGGTGATGTCACTAACTATGCCAAGCGGAAGGCATCGATTTGTGCTACTCGTACAAGTGGGATTTGTACTTGTACTTGTACTTGTTCGAGTATGATAGATAGACGATCACGTGAGACAAAACACCCGAGGTTGGCCCACTAGCACTTCGCTTCAAATTTGACAACAACTGTGCTTTTGCAACCAACACTCCATCACCAACTTTACCCAACACCAGCCTCTTTGCTTTTGGATGCTGCTCGCGATGTCGATCGCATGTAACAAAGTTCACGCCGTCCAAACTCAAGCGTGAAGCTCCCGGTTCCCCTGAAGGCGAACATACAATGAGCGCGCGTCTTGACTTCTTGAGGCTCTTGAGGTTGGGCAGCAAGCCCTCCATCACCACCCGAGATTGACAGGGGCTTTCCGAAGCTTCCACTGTCAGCACCATTGGCGTTGGCGTTCTCACTCTCCATCTCTGTCCTCGACATTTGACGAAGGGGGATCGTCGCGTCCGTCCACCGCAGTTTCGGAGATGAAATAGTTCGTGAAATGTCCTCAGAAGCATTTCGGACCGATTATTGTTGTCGCCAGAGCTGCCGTGCCGGTGCGGATTTGTACTTGTACATACAAGTACACCCACCTACCATGAAGTATTGTGCTGCTCGGCGAAGTGATCAACAGTAGTGTTGCACATCAAATATGCCACGAGAGCCACGTCCCTGAGAAGCTCAAAAGACTTTTGCAAATTTGCACCCCGTAAAGGTATGCTATACTCTCCTTTTCAGTTGTCCCTTCTTCACATGATGATTACCTATACCAAAGCATAGTTCATCCGAAGGCCTCAAGGTCGCTGAGGATACACTATACCATCATCTTTCGCTCCTATCTGATTTACATACTTCCAACTCTGTTGTCCAATTTGAAGTCATCTTGAGCACAACGCTGACTTTGATTTTAGTTTGAAAAGATCTACCTGTTGTACACAACCGAGAGAATACACGGTTCGTATCACATTATGTCTGCGTGTTGTAACAATCCTCGAAAGGCCCAGTGTCGACGAACGAACCGGGAAGTTGTAGGTCAGTTTTTCTTTGGATGAACGTGTCTTGCCTTCAGTTATAGCCGCCGATGTCATCTTGTGTGACGATGGCTCTTGTTCCATTGCTACAAGTGCTTTGTGTTACTGTGAAAATGCACCTTTGCCGGTCATTCTGTCATTCTGTCATGCCATTATGTCAAGACGCAGCCCCGTCCTCCCCGTCCTTGATAGTGCTGCGTAATCAATCGTCCCAAGCAAGGCCGTAATCTGTACACGGCCTTGTGGAAGTTATTGGTTGCAAGCCTACGGAATACAGGACGGCCGAAGGGAAGGACTCGCCTAATACTCTTGCTCAACCAAGGCCGTATCAATCAAAACCAATCCATCGCTCACTTGTCAGCGCCCTGTGCGAAGCATTGCGATTTAATAATTCACCGTGACGCACGTTGCTGGAATAATTTAGCGATGACCTTGCTACAGGTAACAGGCCTGCACCCCGGCCCCGGAACAAAAAGCAAAGCGAATATCGCGCACCAGGCGTGCCAGGGTCTTGTTAGAGTGTTAACCACAGCTCTGCGACTCTCACGGCCTTATCGCGCCGTGATCCCCTGCTCACACAGACAGTGGACCAGGACCGAGGATCACTTCTGGAAAAGACGCAGTGCAAAAAGCACGGATGTGCAATCAGTTCCAAATTCGACAAGTGAGGGTGTGTGCCTCGGGCGACGAGCTTGCATGCCGCCGAGTTGGCGCTTGGTGAAGAGGAGGACGGGACGGAAACAGGATGTTGCGTAGGTGTTAGGCGTGCAGGCCTGGCGACAGAAATAAGAGGATGGCTGTCCCTCGTCCCATCTGATGGACCAATCTGCCCTGGACGTGCGAAGGACTGCGACTGCAACAGCGATGGCCCCACCTTTTGGATGAGTTGTCAACCCAAACGCTATCCCGTATTGGTTCCCACACGACGCCTGACCGGTCACCTTCCTTGTGTGTTTGGTTTTTGAACTCCCCCCCACCCATCTTCCTCCCTCTTTCCTCTCTTCTCTCCCATCGCACACCAACATACACATATATTCAAAATATTCGACGCCCAAACGAAAATCCTACTCTCCTCGCTAAACCATCCTTCAATTCTGTGCGAAAATCTCACCAAAATTCACGACTCAAAAACTGTAGACACATTACAATATAGAGCCCTTGCTCAGGATGTCAATTCGGAGCCCAGAGGAAGCCTTCACTAGGTACTTACTGCCCACCGGTTTTACCCCGACTCTTTCGTTTACTGTTTTTGCTTTCATGCTGCGTTTTGCTTGCTTTACCTTGTGTTGCGACGATAATGTACTTTCCTTCTAGTCTATGTTCTTTTTCTGTTTATTTCATTTGCCGCCAAAACAGCACCACAGGCTTCTAACCTGGATCCCCATGGAGTCCACTGGAGCGATATCCCAAAGGAACGACAATTGCCCTGGAATCCCTTGATCTATCCGGAATTCATGGCCGTTTCTGTACTGTTCTGTTTTTCGTTCCCGGATTTTCCATTCGATTTGCCCCAGGACTTTGCACACATGGTAGACACGGCTAGACTGCAAACGCAGTGCCAATAATTTCGACAATCCTCAGTTCGCTTTGTGCGAAGCCGACCTCGGGGCATATCATTAGAGCTTCTGAAAAGTCGGTGAGCACACGAGCGGACTTCACTAAGGTTCAAGGCCAGTGCCAAGCCCTGCTCTGCATGGCACACTCGCAAGCGGGTCGCCTTTCAACACCATTCTTCTGTAGTCGCAAGATGGGAACGTCGTTCAATCAAAAATGTTGTTCGACTTCCTCGCCGTACTGGATCCATCAATGCCTGGAGGAGAACCCTAAAGCCGGATTCTGACTTGACCTTGCCGTTTATATGGAGCCCAATGGATATCACACCCAGGAGGAGGATCCAAAGCCAGCCCTAGGATGGTCCAAGCCGGAGGCCAGTTCTGTAACTATCATTAGACTAAATCGCCCACGTCGTGAGCAATATTTGGATTGGAGGCGACTCAAAGTACGTACATGAAGGCAAAACTTTGCCCGAATCATCCAACCCATTGATCTGAGACTGACATCTAGCGTTTACACTCAAAGGTTTTGTTGTCTGGCCAGTCCTGTGGTTTGTTAGCCCTGTTTGTCCCTGTCCCCTTTTCCGGATTTCGTCAACGACTTATGGCCAACCTTCATGGAACCTTGATTCTCCCGATGGATCTTTCTTGCCCATACTCACTGGATAGGCCCCTGACTGTCGCATCCACTTCAAGCGAATCACGACACGCTCTTCAATGGTCCCCCTCATGGACGATGTTGAGCGAAGCTACAACCTCATCTGGTGCGTGCCCTTTCTACCATCTCGAATTTTCGTGCTAATTCATTATGACAAATAGGCATCGTACTGGTTTCGTCGGATCGGATACTAACTTGGCGTTTCTTTTGTTCCTACAGTCATATAGTGGCTTTCATACGTTTTGCTTTTGTTTTGATACTGACCCCTTGTTTTCAGCGAGCCTTGTTTCGACGCGTCTCCGCCGGACTATCTTTCTTTTTCTACAAACCAGGCCGTTCATATTGCCAAGTGGACAGAGGACGTATCAGGAGCCACCAGTTACGGACCGGAATTTCTTTTCTCGTCGTCGGAAGGCGACATGCACACAGCTGAAGCTTTCGAGCTGAAGCATGAGACTGCCTCTGTCTACAGTATGGACAGTGCGTACCAGAGCCAAAGAGGATCCGCCAGGCGAGGGGCCGAAGGTTATTCCCAGGACAACAGGAGCCATGTGAACAACCAGTTTCTAGGAAGCGAAATCTTCTCGCCAACGCTGAGCTCCGACACTCTCGGCGCTTTCCACGAGCAACAGCCAGACATGAGCCATATGCAACTTCCATCCGCGGCCACCGACCTGGATGCTGGAGACAATTCATTCGCTTTTGCTAACTACACCACTGGACAGGACTTTTCTCAATTCACAGCAACCAGCATTCCCCGATTCACCCCGTCCAGTGGCGTTGACATGTCGTTCCAGTGGGGCATGACAGAGTCCAACACCTACAGCAATCCATTTGCTTTCTCATACCCGAAATCCTCCAACAGTCTGGAAACTACGCTGTACTCAAGCCAAGATCCATCTGACCTCATGTTCAATGTGCCAGCCCCACCACAGCGGCAACTAAACAAGCCCCGGATTGACACCTCGGTCCGGCCCGCCGCGTTGCGAAACACCTCATCATACAACAGCACTCCCGTTTCGCGACGAGCCTCAGCCAATGAGTCGGGCTTCGGCGCATATGTTATGTCGCCTACTAGCGCGATTAACATTTCCAGTGCTGCCGCGCTAGAGTACGAACAGACACCAACTGTTGACACCAGGTAATGTTAAATGGCCATGTTTGACAAGACACGTGACTGAATGAATATGTAGAGCCGACAAGGCAGAGATTGCATCCACTAGCTTTTCAGCACAGTCCATTCCTGATGAGGATGATGAGCTACTCTCGCCGTCTGATGCCGCCGAGGCACAGAATATGGAGGAAGAACAGGGCAAAGTCGCGAGAAGCCACCCTCTGTATCAAGCTCAGCCAGATGAGTCGGGCAAATACCACTGCCCGCATGAGGGTACAACGACTTGCAACCACAAGCCCACACCTTTGAAGTGCAACTACGAGTAAGTATACAGATCCCTGCTGCGTCTCTAGACGATTCTGACCATTGCTATTAGCAAGTATGTGGATTCCCACTTGAAGCCATTCCGTTGCAACAAGAAAGTCTGTGTCGGTGTTCAGTTCTCCTCGACTGCCTGTCTCCTACGGCACGAGAGAGAGGCACATGGCATGCACGGCCATGGGTCAAGGCCACATCTTTGCCACTTCGCCGACTGCGAAAGGTCTGTCATGGGTAATGGGTTCCCTCGACGATACAATCTCTTTGATCACATGAAGCGTGTCCACGATTACACAGGACCTACCACTGAACCCTCCCCGCCTGTGCAGCCTGCTCCTGGTAACAGGAAAGGCATGTCGCGCAAACGCAAGTCGACCGCTGATGAGGGGACCGAGAAGCGTCAGAAGGTGGCCAAGCCCACTCCCCAGCAGCAAGCACAGATGCGCCGAAGGCAGCTGCAGGACGACTTCTTGAACAAGAAGCAGAACATCATTGACATACTCTCCAACCTCGGAGGACCAAACGACCTCGGTAACGACATTCAACTCACCAAGGAGGTTGTCGATCTGCACGAGATCTCTGCTGAGTACAAGAAGAGTCTCGGCTGAGAGGTGCGCGATGATGGGGACAGTCCGCCTTGCTGCGCTAACCTTCTTTTCAACAATTGTAAGGTTTGTTCTCAACCTGGAACTGGATCTACCGGACCCGCCTTTTTATTTATTTCCGCACTGGCACGACGAATGCTGGACATTTCTTAGCACGACAACCGGAGTACCTTCACAACGGATCCACCTGTCGAGGCCACATGGACCACAGCCGGATGGATGAACCATGGACTGGAATACATTGTGCCTGCCCAAGGACACACGGAACCAAGCCCGAGCCAGGAGCTTTCAGGACCAATCGCGCCACGCGATTGAGGAGTAGGAGGAGTGTATGTGGAGAGTATAGAAAGAAAGCCTGGCGGGCATGATTGCTTGACGGCCGCTATCAGTAGTAGAGATTGTATCAGCCTTGCGCTGCTTAGTTTCCTTTGTAGTCAACAACGGCGTACGGATGGATGGACACTTGTTTCAAGGATGAAGGAAAAATGTATCGAGAGGCTGTAACGGATCGATGAGTGAGTTGCTTCACGATTCGAACGAGGGGAGAGGAGTAGGAGTGTGGAAGAAGTAGATTCATGTCTAGTGAAATATTCTTGTTATTGTTTTCTCATCCATCTGGTACAATATTCTTAAAGATGCTCGAATGTGTGAGCATGCTCTATCGGTACGAAGCGAAGGATTAATGACTTCTAACACTCGGTCCGTCTGTGGTGTACCTCGGCTTTGCTGTCCCAAACCACGTAAGCGTTGGTGTATTGCGAGAGCATTGATTGGGAGACGTGGGAATAGTCGACTGTCGACCCCCGTCCTCGCATGGTTACAAGGTATTTGCAGTGTACACGGCCACTGACGGCGTACACGGATATTCTGGCAAGGGAAGGGAAGGGATTGAGCTCGCGAGAAATGCTCGATCCGTGACCAGGTCCGGGCACTAGGGATACGTCATTACGTCCATTGCCCCACCTCGGGTCCGAGGGGTCACCTTTTTGATCTTGACTTGACCTTGCTACTCGTAACAATTACTCGAATTTGTATTCATCTCATCCTACGAGGTAGAGTTATCACAGTATCATTGCACCTGTCGAGGGTTATCGTTTTCGTAACTCGTAACTGTTTGTATGCTCTGAGGGTTTATTCAAGTCCACCAGTTACCTCCAGGTCAATATACCAAAGTACAGACAGAGTGCATTCTCGCCATATCGACACGATCGTGGTGCTGTATACTAATCGTATTCATCACCATCATCACCATCATCACCATCACCATCAACTACGGAGTGCACTGATCTGATCTGATCTAAATCCTTGCCCACCCTCCGAGTAGCTATTTCTTTTATTTCCTTTTTTTCGTCCGAGGTCAGATAGCACGACTCGCACCATCTCCTCTTCCAGTCCTAACCCACCATACTCGAACCATACACAACACTTATTCCATACCTGTATCCCTGCACCATCCATTGCCTTGACCAACCAAAGTAAGGTATACCTGTAAAGTGTAAAGAAAAAGGTCGTTTCACATGACAAACCTGTCGCACTGCCCCTCGCGGGTTCTCGCCATCGTCTCTGCTTTCAAACCCTCCACCACCCAGACCCTCTGTTCCAGAACCGCCGCTGCTTACCAAAACAACCTTAAAGCCGCGCGCCTACGATATTTCAATACCAGCAATAGCAACAACATCAACTTTTCTACACCTCTTACAACAACATCACCAACACCAACATCGACACCTCGCAAACGTCCAGTCCACCTACTGAACCACACACGCCACCGAGTAGTAGCAGCACCTAAGACACCTAGACGTTACATCACCACCATGGCATCCGCAACCACATTCTTCGACTTCAAGCCCAAAGACAGTACGTTACCACACCACCACCACCACCACCACCACCACCACCTCCTCCTCCTCCTCCTCCTCCACAACCCGAAGAGCCCCAGGCACTCTCCACCTCCACATTCTCCCACGGCCAATTCACACGAAAGCTAATGCCCTCGCGCGCGCACAGAGAAGGGCAACGAGTTCCCGCTCGAAAGCCTCAAGGGCAAGGTCGTCCTCGTCGTCAACACGGCCTCGAAATGCGGTTTCACGCCCCAGTTCGCCGGCCTTGAGAAGCTGTACCAGGTACGTCCCACACCACACCCACCCACCGCACCCCTCCCCTCCGTAACCCACCAAACTAACACCCCACCCCCTCCAACCCAGGACCTCAAAAAAGAGCACCCCGACTTCCAGATCCTCGGCTTCCCCTGCAACCAATTCGGCTCGCAGGACCCAGGCTCCAACGACGAGATCCAGTCCTTCTGCCAGGTCAACTACGGCGTGACGTTCCCCGTGCTCGGCAAGATCGACGTCAACGGCGACGCCGCGGACCCCGTGTTCGAGTGGCTCAAGACGGAGAAGCCGGGCCTCATGGGCCTCAAGCGTGTCAAGTGGAACTTTGAGAAGTTCCTCGTCGGCAGGGACGGCAAGGTCGTGGGGAGGTGGGCTTCGACGACGAAGCCGGAGAGTTTGAAGGCGGATATCGAGAAGGCGCTTGCGCAGAAGTAAGATTGTGTTAATGTGGATGGGACGGTCGTTCTTTGGAATGGTTTAATTGAAAAATTGTCTTCAGTTGCTTTGACAAGCTCTGCTATGCTTTTTGTGTGAAGGTGTTCTATATGTCTATCTGTGCTTTTCTCTCTGTCTTCCCGTGTTCATTGGGAAGAGGAAAAGAAACGCTCTGTCTATCCCATTGTGTCGTCTGTTCATAACCAAGTCATATCATGCCATACCATACCACCGGTACCGAGAACTCCAGTTTTCCCTATGCTATCATTTTGATTCGTATAATTTCAACACCAAGAGCCGTCATGAATAAATGAGAAAAGTAATTCGTTAACCGATCGATCAATCAGTCGAAAGGCACTCTCCTCAACGCCCTCCCCCCAGCCTTCCTCTCCTCGCCCTCCGCGCCAATCGCCGCGGGCACCCTGATACCACAGCAGTCACCCCACCCGGTACTCGCATGCACGTGTCTCTTTCCCGCCTCGTCGGTAAACACCTTGACCTCGCCGCCCTCGAGCGCGTCGTCGTCGTCCGCCTGCCCGCACTCCTCCTCGGTGCTCATGCCCTCGACGGCGGGGATCAGCGAGCCGAAGAGGAAGTGTTGCATGACGGGCAGCTTGTGCAGGATCTCCTTGACGAACATCTTGCGCATGCCCGCCTCGATCTTCGCCCAGCTCTTCGCCGAGCTGATGTCGTCCAGCATCGGCGAGTGCCACCGCAGGCCCTCGACGTTCTTGACCGAGTTCACGAACGCAACCTGGTCCAGGTACAGGAAGTCCTTGCTGCACTCCTCCAGCGTCAGCGTGTTGTGGATCGACTTCGGCGTGATGTATGGGTGGTCCACGAGCTGGCTGGCGCCGAAGAGGAACGGGATGAACTGGTAGTCGTCAAGGCCCCAGACGCCGTGGGACCCCGCGGGCTCGAGGTAGTATGCCGCTTGTATCTTGCGCATGAGGGCGAGGTATGCGGGGAGGACGACGAGGCCGATGGCGGGGAAAGTCGCGGGCGGGAGGAGGGAGAGTCGGTTCAGGCATAGCAGCCACAGGAAGAAGTTGACCTCGTGGCCGGAGCCGTAGTCGATTCGCGACCGGTTGCCGAACGAGTTGTGGAGGTACGTCGAGACTTCTTCGATGAGCGAGACGTCCGTGAGGCCGAGCTGCGCGTGCCATTCTGGCAGCTGCTTCGCCACCTCGTCGAGGAACGTCTTGAACACTGGGTTTCCGAACCGGCTGCCCGTGTCCTCGGGCGGACACCGCTCCAGCACCTTCTCCGCCTCGTCGAGTATGCGGAGGATCTTGCGGATCGTGAGCGTGAGGTCTGAGTCTGGCACGCTGCTCACGGAGCGGTCGCGGACGGAGTCAGAGATCCCGAATATCCATGCTTGCACCAGCTTGCACGTATCGCTGTTGAGGAACCGCTCGTGGTCTTCTGGCCCAAGTATCCTCCGGCTGGGCTTCACGAAGTCGTGACCCGTGAGATCTGGAGGAGAGGGCAGAGCGGGCGTGGGAGGAGCTGGCGAGCTGCCATCCTCAGCTTCGGGAGCGCCGCGGCGTCGAGAGAGTGCGGAGGAGCCTGGGGTGCGTTTGCGGGGGACGAGCTTGGGAATTTTGGCGCTTAGGTCGGGAACTGGAGTTGTTTGTTGAGCGGATGCTGACTGCGGAGGAGATGCAGTCGTCAAATGCGACGGGGGTGCCGCCTGTGGTGCCGTCATCGCGTGTTGTTGAGAAGAAGAGATTGCTATCGTAAAGTTTGTAGTTATTGAATGAGGTTGAGTGAATTGGCTTGTTTAGGGAAACGGTGGGACAAGCTCTCAGTCAAGGGTTCGATAGAGGGGCAAATGCGGGCCGAGTCCCCGTCCGACGACATCAACACCAACATTCAATATCAACATCCATCCCTCTATCAATCAACCCGTTTGATCACCTTCCTGAATCCTCCGCACAAATCGCTCATTTTGAAACATGCTGAGATTCACAATAAAGAAATAAACAACGGACATCCTGGAAGCAGCAAGAATGCCTCTTTTCCCAAACCGGGAATCCGGATCCAGGCACCACCACCATATCAACCACTGGCATCATTCTTTGAATACAGGCAGAATAGATCGCCCTCTATTCAAATCCACAAAAGTCCCGACGATTCAAAACCCCACAACATGCCGTGAAACCCCAATCAATCGAGAAAAAACATGCTTCCTTACCCTACCCCACCCCTTGCCCTCCAGTTTCCCATTTATCCCGGACACTTTCACTCCAACCGTGCCGGACTCATCCCTCCGCATCCATCACTCTTCCCTCGCCTGCGCTCGCTTTCGGCTCAAAGGGCCCGGATCGTCGCCTTCTTCCTTCTAGAAATCCGGCTCCAGTGACTTCGTTTTCGTGCTACCCTACCCTACCTTACCCTATATGTCTGACTGCCTGCCTCCCTGCCTGCTTTCCTGCATTGCATACATAGTACCTAGATATCTAAGCGATCGGTGAACGTCCGTACATACATGTGCGATACAGGGTTCCTTCGGCCGGCAATGACAGCAGGGGGGGGGGGGTGGTCAAATCGTGATGATAACATGCTACCACGCACGACATAGTGCCATGCCGTCACACCCGCAGCAGCCATTGTCCTGGCCCTGTCAGGTCCAATATCGCTTCGCCTCTTCTCTTTTCCCACCACTTGACTAACTACCGGGGGGAGCTAGGCGAGCGAGGCCAGAGGTGGGCGACGGGCGACGGGCAGTGATGCAATGTGTCGTGGGGGCGTGGGGATCGAGGGGGAGAAGGTCAAAGGTACATAGGATGGAAGTACCTCTTGTGCATCGGTTTGCTTATAAGGGGAGAGGAGGGTAGGGCGCAGCTTAGGCACTGAACTGTTGGTTCGCATTCGAAGCGTCTTGGATTTGGAGGACGGCTAACTGCGCAGTGACATGTCTTTAACTGTTAGCCATCACAGAGATATCCGCTCATCTCTCGCATCAAACATGTGTGTGTATATGTCTTTGTGTTTCTCCTCGAAGGTGTCCGAGGAGAGAAGGTTGATTCATTTCAGTAATCTACCTACATATTTCTATCTTTCTTTCTTTCTTCCTTCCCAAACACCAAATCCCGACCCCCAACCCCCTCTCGGGAAAATCAACAACAACAAGAAGGAGGAGAAGATCATGAACGCCGGTTTTCAAATGCCCCAGTGGTATACCGCCATGAGCGCGCATCTCCGCCCGTCGTTGATCAGGCTGCGCGCTATATACCGTCTATAAATATTTGCGTGGATCGTTGTCCACTTGATGATGACCTTGATAGGATACAAGAAAGGAAAAGAGAAAGATTGATCCCAGAAAGGGAAGGAAATATTATGTGCTATTTCCCAAACCACCCAGAGCCAGCCAGGTAAAATGCAAAAGAGATGCATGCACGCACGTATAAATCAGCGGGTGTCAATCCGATATACATGGATTTCGAGAATAACGCCAGGCTGGGGGATTACCCCATGCAGAACGAACGGTTGATGGAATAGAAAGACAACGGTGGAAAAACTTTAGTCATCGATGTCGCTGCTGCTTTCCTCGAGTTTCTTGCGGCGTTCCTCGTCCATTTCTTGATAAGTCGCCCAGCTGAGGAGAAGGAAGGCGCCGATGATGAGAAGGCCACCGACCAAAGCAGCGGGCGTAAGCGGAGAGTTCAATGGAGGAGGGAGAAGTTGGTCGACGATGGCGACGATGAAGATGGTCAAGAGAGCGGCAACGGATGAGAGAACAGGTGATGTGAGGGAGATGAGGATAAGGAATGATCCGGAGAATGCTGTTGAGGGTCAGTGATACGATTTCAATGTGCTTGGAAAAGGGAAAGGTAAGACATACTGGCATTTGCAAGGACGCTGATGGCCATCATCCATGCTTGCTCCCCGTGTGGCAATTCAAAAATCTCCCAACCCATAAAATGAAGGAAGGGAAGTGGGATCCAAAGAACACAGAGGGTGAAGGTTCCAATCAAACTTCCGAACAAGTTTGCAAAGATCATACCGCGGCCTGGGGCGCAACCGTCGGGCGGACATGCTAGCTTCTTGTACAGCACCTCATATAGTCCATAGAGGACACTTCCAACGCCGATTACAAGATTGCCGAGAGCTCGATGGTCGGCTTCGTGCGATGGAGGCGCCTTGTCGCCACCAGCTCCACCACCCGACTGATTACCGTGCTTTGCGGGAGTCTGGTCGCCGTATGCTACGATAAACACACCGACAATTGCAACAGCAACAGCACCAACCTTCTTCATACATAGCTTCTCGTGAAGTAGAGGTACGCTGAAGGCGTAGGCGAAGAAAGCAGAACAGTTATAGATAGCAGTCAAGTCACTCGCTGTCGTCCAGTTGACCGCAATGTACCAACTTCCGCCAGCCACTGTAAGTGCGCAAGTCACAAATGCGGTCATCTTGACCATGTACGGCACAGGGGATGCCTGGGATTGGCGAATAGAAGGATGGAGAGTCCCGTGTTGGACCATGAGAGCCGTCTGGCGGAGGAGTTGGACATGTCGGCGCCAGAACGTGTTCCATGGCGTGTCCCAATGCTGTAAACGTAGAAGGAGTAATTGTACTGGCCATAAGAGAACCCATGAACCGTGGGTCATGTACCTTCCCCTGTGTCAGCATATGATGATCCTTTTCCCCATCGAGTCTTCGAAAGAAAAGTACTACTCACAGCATACAATATGGCTTATTCCATTTCAACTCATGCTGAATATATACCGCCGTCTCCGTCTGGACCGTGAAGCTGATCAGGCTCAGCGCGAGGAAAATACCCGCATACGTGTACCGTTTCCGAGTCTCGTATCGCGCTTGTGTCTCGGGGTCGCGTTCGTGGAAAGTCGAATGCCTATGTAATCCCCTTTCGCCGGAGTGGCCTTCATCGTCTGCTTTGTGTCCAAGGAGAGGCGCAACAGCGTGCTCTCCGTCTCCATCCAGGTCAGGTCTCAGGTCAGACGGCATGGCTGCGTCGTGTTCATCCCAATCGTCGAATTCGAGGTCTGAACCGGTGTCCGGGCTGTGGGGTTCCTTGAGATTCCCCTTATAATCTGCCTGTTTGTTCCGGGGGAAGTCAGAGAATGGAGAGGAGTCTCTTGAAGAATGTGAGGGTTTGTTGAAAGCGCGGGAGTCTCGGTCTGCAGCGGAAGAATCGAGGTCGGAATGGTTGGGGGAGGGTTTGGACGCTGCAGTCTTCCTGAGCGGGATGGATTCGCCAGGCATATAAGCGGATTGCGGAGGGACTGAGGCGACAGTAGGCCAGGTGGAGTCAACTGCAGACGACGATACCGATACGTGCTTAGTGTGCTGCTGATGTCTCTGGGAGTCCGTAGATAGGCCACGCCGCAGCGGTCGTCGGAACAAGAAGGGGTCACCATCTTAGCGAATCGTAGCGCGGGAGAGACGGCGGGCCTGAGCGCACTCACACACAACTTCCACTGACACTCCCACGACTCCACACTGGACAAGATCCGCTTCCAGTAACTCGAATTGCGCGTCACTAGCCGACACCCGAACTAGGCGCAGTAGGTTACTATTCTAGTGCTGTTGTATGTGTAATGACAGAATGCCGTACGGTGGATAGGCCGCAGTCTCTCGAAAAAGAAAGTACAACAACGTCAGGCTGCAGATTGGGGTACAAAGACATACTCTGTACCTCGTAGCCTGTATTGTTCCGTGCAAAGAATGAGTGAATGACCACATGCCATCAAGCCCCGTGACCCTCCGTTATCTCTAACAACTGCACCTGCACCTGATCCGTACTGTGTACATACAACAAGTCCGAGTCTACTCTTCTACTCAACTCTAGGTACCCTTCTTCCAAGAATCAGGAGGCATTCGAAAGCGGCATATGGCTATTACAATAACTCACGCGCGTCCAACGTACGAGTATGACAGATGACAACTCCCAGCCCAGCCACTTGCACACTTCCTCAGGTATCTCTTAGTCATTCTTCCAATATTGTTCAGTTTCAGTCTTTCAGACAACGTCTCTTCTGGCAGACAAAGTCTTGGCTCAAGGGGGTTCATTTCGCCGCTTGCGGCGCCAGGCTGCATTAGGAAATACTTTTACACCACCCGCACCATATGCTTTTACACGTAACTACTCGGTACATTGGTATACAATAATGAAAAGAATTATTTCATAAAGGTAGCCATTCATTGAGCTCACAAAGTGATATGATAAATCGTTACAAGAGGAGAAAACAGAATCCGCAGCTTTTCTTCAGCTAGAGATCGTCCGTCCAAAAAAGGGGGGTATAATCCTACTCAAGTCCCTCTCTTTCGTCAACAAACACCGCGGCCCATGAAAAGAAGGAAGATATGGAAAGGGGGCAAGGTGTCTTTGAAGCCTACAAAGGACTACCTTCGAGCCCTTCCCGCGCTCGCTCGGCGCGTTCCTGCGTCTCCGCCTCCTCCAGCTCCCTCAGCATGTCCGGCAGAATGGCCTCGACATTCTCCTCGCTCTCGCCAATGGCCTTCGCGATCAGTGCCTTGTAAACGCCTTGCCTCTCGCCCATGCCCGCGACCGACAGATTCGCGACTACTTCCCTCACCAAATCCCTGCGCTCCACTTGCGCTTTATGTAATAGCAGACTCAGTCTGAGCTTCTCTAGGAGATCCATTTGTGAATTGTTGGGTTGTGGTGTGATGTTGCATAATCGTCGTAGCTCCGTCTTCTGTTCGATCTCGAGCAAGCTTTCTGCCTCTTCGATCAAAGTTCGAAGCTCCTCTTCTTGCGCCCTGTCCACTTCATCATCTCCGAGGTCAATATGTAGTCCGTTATTGATTCCGCGAAGTTCTTCCACCTGCTTCCGCGTGGCTTCGAGCTCTGCTTGACGCTTCTTCACAACTCGTTCTGCGTCCACAGACTCGGCTTCCTTCTCCTGTAGTTCGGCTTCATATGCTAGTGCCAACTCCTCACATTTCTCCATCAATGTTGGCGCTACCTTCGTCATAAGATGTGATGCTGTCTGCGATCGATATTGGACCGGTTCACGGAGTGACATGCTCGGGAAGGGGACCGGAATCAATTGACCAGAACCCGGCCCATCCAGCTGCGAATGGCCGTTCAAACGATGTTCAGGCGGTGGCGCAAATGGTGAAGAAGATGCCTGCCGGGGCCTGCCATTGATCCGTCGACGTTGATTCAATTCTCGGATGAGGTCGTCCGCAGTCTCTCCCTTGTTGTTCGGTCTCTCTACATCCACATTTCGTCCTAGCAAACTCCTGACACATTTCCTGGCTCCGTTACGGGCGGCTATCATGACAGCTGTGTCTCCGTTGTTGTCTTGCTCGTTTAACAGACGAGTCACCTCGTCCGGCAGCCATGTTTCTGAGAGCTTGTTGATTATTGTGTCCAGATAGTAGCGTGCGCAGACGAATTTGTTGGTACTAGCCGTCGTGGCTGCGATATGATGAAAAACAGTGCTGTTGAACCAATCCTTTCGTACAACAGTTTGCTGGAATATCTTAACCATGCTCGGCATGGTCTGCTTGTCGTAGTTGTTTGTGAACATGACCGCACGCATCAGCGGGGTTTCCAGGTTGTTCGACAGACAGTCTATTCGTGCGCCCCTTCGTATCAACTCTTTCACAACCTCCAGATCACCCATCGCGGCCGCCCAGTGCATGGCGGAGTGCCCCTTCTCGTCAATTGCCCTATCCAGGTTGACATTCGCCGGTGGCTCTGGCGGGGCAACGAAACCTTCTTCCGAATCGAGAAGCATGAAGTAGTCCAGGAGTGCGTCGGCCCAAATTTGGTGTTGCTGGTCCTGGATTGACATGTGGTCGACACCGCGCTTGCGTTTACGGCTACCGGTCGAATACTGCGAATTCATCATATCGTGGTCACCCAACATGGACTCCGATACAACAGTATCGTTGTCAGGGGTTTCGTCGCGGAAGTGTTGTGATCGAGACTGTAGAACGGAATCATCGTACGGGTCTTCACTAATCTGCGAGACCTGTGATTGCGAATTGGTGATAAATGCTGCAAAACAGTCAGCCCTTGTTTCAAATTGCAGGCGGGAATAAATAAGAGCATTCTCCTACAATTGATGCCATCAAGCGAATACACATTATTACCATTGTTGGTGTTGTTAGCGTTGCTAGCGTTGTTATTGACTTGCTGTTTGTTGTTTTTATTGTTATTCGCTCGTCGAGCTGCTGCTGCCGTCTGTCGTGCAGCCTTTGGTCGATTTGAAGCAGCGGTTGTATGCTTGGGAGCAGGCGGTGGACTCCTGTCACCAGCGATGTAATCCAAAATAGGTCCCAGCCTTTCCAGTACTCCATTGCGCTCGGCCAGCATTCGACCGTCATGAAGTGGTATCCATGTTCCCTGATATTTTCCGTATCCTCCTTGCACTTTCTCATGGACACCCTTTTGCACCTCGCGCTCGAGAATGCGGGTTCTTGCTGGCTTGTCGAAGTCTGCAACTTTGAGGATATGGGTCGCATTAATCCAGTCATCTGCGCGACGGCGCATGACTAGGGTATTATTCACTGTCATCTCGTACACGGGGACCTAGAAAATCGTGAGCTTGTGGACCTTGAATAAGTCTTCAATATGAACGATGTGCTGAAGCTGACGGGCACGCAAGCAAACAGACATGGGGAGCAAGAACGGCGTTGCATATTTACATTACTGTACGTCCCCGAGTACACCTTGCCATCAGCTGGTGGGGGTGGCATCTTGTAATTGCCAGGGCGATGGCGCCGTGGGTTGTGATAAGATAGAGTGTAGATGAGAAGTGTGATCTCGCGATGAGGGAGACGCGCCTGTCGCGTTCACCATTACCGGCGTTTCCCCTTCTCCATCATGCCAAGCATCGGTGAATCTTAGCTTCAACCACCGACTTCACTTCATCTCTCGCCAGTACCACCTACCAGTCCTTCAACCCCCATCACCTCGTTCAATTGAAGAGTCATATCGTCCACCGCCACTATGACTGTCGTAGACAAGATAAAAGAGACCGTTGGTCTTGAACCCCGAAGTCAGTGTGACACGCATCCGGATCCAATTGACCGCACAATCTGGTGAAGACAACACGACTGACAACTGTTCACAGAGGCCACCCGCGAGGAAATGAGCGCGGCGAGATTGCCAATTCCCTACCGAGACTCATGCGCACATCTTCTAATCCCCCTCAACCGGTGTCGACAAGACGAGTTCTACCTTCCCTGGAAGTGTGTGGTACGGACGTCAAATTTGTAACCGAGGATCACCGGCCGGAGCTAATTGTGGGCAGGACGAGCGCCATTCATACGAGAAATGCCAATACGACGAGTTCAAGCTACGTGTCGCAAAGATGGACGAGTTGAGGGCAGCCAAGGGCGGAGAGAGGAGCAATTGAGGCACGATATCAGAAGAGGTGGATCCGCGGAGTTTCCAGAGAGCCAAAGAGAGCCAGAGGAACGCTGCTTGTATATATCCGCAGCTTATCCACTCGAATACCAAAATGCACGAAATTTAACGCCATTGAGTGTCCAATTCATTGCAACACGAGAAGAGCCGCTGTGGGAGCCGGTGTCAAATGAGAGCGTTCTCGCTACAAATGATCATATTGATGGTAACAATGCTAAAGATATTCTATACACGGTACACGCAGATTCCCGCCCTTATGTTCTGGCCAATATCGATCATGACAATCCTTGATTACGTACGCAATATATCAGAGCTTTGATTTGTTGTTTTCCCGCGCAGCCTTTTCTCTAAGTTCCTTTCGCAGAATCTTACCAGACTAGAACTTGTCAGTTTCCCTCCGCTCCAGAGACGATTTGGATAGACTTACCGGGTTCTTTGGAATGGCATCAATGAAGTGCACTCCACCTTCGAGTCGCTTCGCCTTAGAGACGCGCTCGGCCAGCCAAGACTTGATACCGTTGGCCGCCTGTGGCGTAGCTTTATCTTGCGACTGGGGTACAATATATGCTCGTGGATATTCCTCGCCATCGCTGTGGATATTAGAAACCGAAGAGAGAACGACCCTCAACAAAACTTACACGGTGACACCGATCACTGCAGCATCTTGCACGTCTGGGTGATCCAACAGCAAAGCTTCGAGCTCTGCAGGGGCAACCTGAAGACCCTTGACTTTAATCAACTCCTTCTTGCGGTCGACAATGAAGAAGTGTTGATGTTCGTCAACGTAGGCGACATCACCCGTTCGCAACCACCCATCTGGAGTAATGGTTTCCTTGGTTGCCTCAGGTTTCTTCCAGTAGCCCTTCATCCGATTTGGTGCCTATTGGAATGTTAGTCTTCACATACAGAGATTATTCAACAAGAGTCCCTTACCCTGATCCACACTTCTCCCCTCTCGCCTTGTGGTGCCTCTACCTTGCCTTCATCGTCGAGCACAATCTTAGCCTCAACGTTCGGCAGCAACTCGCCTACAGAGAAACTATCGGAACGGATCGCAGGACTGAATGTCGTCGCTGCACAAGTCACCTCCGTCATACCCCATCCCTGCTTGACATTGACCCTGCCATCCGGCCACAACGCCTCAAGCTGCTCGCAGGCCTCGCGTCCCAGAGGAGCCGCACCACTACCCACGTTCAACACAGAGCTCAAATCGAACTTCTTCGTCGCAGGGTGTTTCGCCATGGCCACGACGACCGGGGGCACGAGCGTCAAGTCAGTAATCCGGTACTTCTGGATATACTGCAACATCTCGAGGAAATCGAACTTGGGCATGATGTAGGTCGGGCTCCTAACGACCGCATAATTGACCGTGAAGACAGCCTGCGCCATCGCGTGGTACATAGGCAGAAAGCACAAACCCCGCTGCGTCTTCTTCCTCGCCTCGTACTCCGGATGCTGCTCCGCGATGAAAATCTGCTGCATGCAGTTCGAAACGTAGTTCTTGTGCGTTATCATCACGCCCTTCGCCACGCCCGTCGTCCCGCTAGAATAGTTCAGCGCAATAACCTGATCGAGTTCCTCCTCCGTCCGGAGGTCCGGCCACGCGTATCTGCGGCCGTTCTCCTCGGTATCCAACAGCGCAGTCCAGTGCCGCAGCGTCCCCAAATCGCTCTTCTTCTCGACTTTCCTGCCCTCGAACGTCGCGACGCCGTCGTCGAAAACGAACACTTGGTCCGCGGTGAGCCCGGCTTCCTTCGCGGCCGCGATGCCCGTATCCAGGCTTCCCTCCGCGCAGATGAGGTATCGCGCGCCGGAGTCCTTCAATTGGTATGCGAGTTCGCGGGCGACGTATGTGGGGTTCGCGCCGGTGAAGACGCCGCCTGCCATGATGACGCCCTGCACGACGGATGGGAAGAAGAGTGTGTTTCCCGAGAAGAGCAACACGCGGTCGCCCTGCTGGAGACCCGAGCGCAGAAGCCCAGATGCGAAGCGCTGCGCATAGAGGCGGTAGTCTGCGATGGACAGGAAGTGCTTGTCGGGCTCTTTGGCGGAAATGAAGTGCGGCGTAGTTGGGAGCTCGGCGGTGGGCGATTCGAAGATGAAGGTCGGAAGAGAGACTTGCGGGATGTCTATCTGCCAGCGCGATTTGAGTACCATTTTGGCTGATGCGAGGGAATCTGTCTTAGAGGAGGTTTGTGGGTTTGTTGTATTATTGTTTGCGAGGGAAATTCAATGATGGGTTCCCGGGTATATAGATGAACGCCGCACGGAATCTGCTCGAGAGGGGCACAGTCGTCGCAAGTGCAATCGACTCGTATAGTCGCCAATTGAGCTATAAATGCCCTGCAAACTGGACGCGAAGCTATGTCAGTTTGGCAATAGGTGGGAGAATTATTGTCTTACTTACATCCGCAACTACTGCCGGAAGAAGGTACAGCACGACGAACAGAGCTCCACTTATTAGGTAGATCGCGGTGTACAGGGAAAGTCGGATTCCCAACGTTTTGTCTGACAATCGGGCGAGATGTGGATGTTTAATTGTAGTTATAAGGATTTGATTCCGAATCCAAAAAGCAAGCCATGTTGCAGGCCTGAGAGGTAGCTACCTTGGGTATTTCTAGACCTCGCTTCTACAGAAGCCCGGTCGGGCCAATTGATGCCACCGTTGCTAGGTCCAACAATGATTGCGACTGCAACAGGGAATTACTAACGAGCGATTGGGATGTGTGATTTGTGAACAATTGTGAACGGAGCCCACCATTTACTGGGGTCGCGCGGAAGCTCGTAGCTTCCCAATGGCTAACTAGGGGTCGCTTGTACATGATGCGGGGGAGTGCTGGGGTAACAAGCCGAGGTACGAGTTACTCGTATCTTCTACTCGGCGATCAATGATGTTGCCGACTTCCAACCACAGGTAGGCTATTTGATTTCGATCTTCCATACTAAAAGAAGGTGAGAGGGTGTCGGTTCAATACCAGGAAATGGTTCGAAAATACACATGTCGAGATCAGATAAAGTGTCTTTATCTTCTACCTAATAGCTACCTATGCTCTCATAAATCTATCCGGGTGGATGATTCCAAACTCCCAAGGTATCGCTGTAAACATCAGGTCTACATGCATAGTAGTACAAAACAATGCCAAAATCCCATCAAGGGAATAACCTGAAAACCATAGTGCAAGTCAATCGCTTTAAACCCATAACGCCACGCTAATGGACACATAAAACCCGAATCCCATCTCAATGCCTCTAGAACAGCCACGTTATAACCACACTACATAGTAGTCGTTCTGCTACACGCCGCCATCCTCAAAGTTTGGACCTGCAAAAGCGAAGATCGAAGGCGCAAAGGAGATAGTGGTGGACGCTGAGGACGAGTGGCCTTCTTCTTGCTCGGCGGCGGCGAGAGGCCAACAGCGACAAGAGTCTCCGAGCTATTGGTGCCCGGCACTCCAGATGCAGCAGGTTGCTGAGAACCAGTCAATGGAGCAACGCATACTGCGGTCGATGCCCCTACGGCCGATGGGTCGCCATGGTGCGTCAAATGTGGAGGTGGGAGAGAAGGTATTGGTAGTGGTGGTGGTATCGCGCCTTGGGGTGCACCGATTGTTTGAACTGATACCAGCTATTAGCAAAAGACTTGATATGCTTTTCTTGGGAAATTATGCTTACGTGCAAAGCTGGCAGGATTGTTTACTTGATTCAGATTGTTTCGGCACTTGCGATATTGTATGACCCCGACCACGGCCACAACAAGCGAAGCAAAGGCCAGCAGAACTGAGAACACCCCGAATGTGGTCGTAGAAAGGAATTCTGGGTCTTTTTGCTCGCTTGCATGAGCTACTGAACTGCTGTTGTGGCAGGGTAACTCATTGTGAGACGCTTCATCATCAGCCTTCTGTGTCATAGGGCTGAGAGTTGGCAGTGATGAGACAGATTTCCAATGGAAAACAAAGTAAATCAAAACAATCAAGAAGGGAGGCATAATTGGAAAAGGCATAGTGATTTGTAAGTTGTAGTCAGAATTGTAGATGTTATTGGGGTAGCGTCTTTTTTGTAGATGGTGTTGAAGTGGCGTCCTGTTGTAGATCTTGTGAAGGGGTGTGGCCGTGCGAAAAGAAGGGTCCAGAGCTTGCGGATCGTGAACATAAATAAGAGGATATTAATTGCAACTAGGGATATGCTGCACGCAGAAACGCCCACAGGGTCCATTTGACGTCATATTCGATGTCTGCATGGTACGATACCAAGGAGATGCTTGAGGGGCGCAGCCTGGATCCCAATCACAACATGACGAACGCAGCCACACACATGGCTGTGGAAAGGGGAGCGAATGGTGTCCGATTGGCCAAACTCTCGCTGTGGCTGCTCGGCTGCTTCTATCCCCCGTTCAATGGGCGGCAGGCTGAGGTTCAGCTGAAGATTAAGCGAAGGGAACTGTACGTGGCCCAGGCCACCAGTTTTGACGTATGTAGTTCGCAAGGATATAGACGGAGTTATGGAATTACCGAAATACTAAACCAATGCTATGAGTGAGTGTGTTCAGTTAGAAGTACTGTGAATGCGAGAGGTACTCGATACACATAAGGATGATCATTATGGATAGCATTACGGAACTCGAACAATCATAACAATCTACTCGTACAAATAGGAAGCTTTCCTACGCGTACATCCTTTTAGTAACCCTCTTCCCAGAAATTCATACGGTATCGACATCTTATTGCTAATTTATTCTTAGATTCGGCGATCATAGACTATTACAATCATAGTATGGTATACATCAAAGAACATCCAACAGATGTCATCAATCGTGAAATTCAAGATTCAGGACCAAGTACAATGCAGCACATATCAACTCCTAATATTACAATAATGCTCTCCATCCATACACCACATATCAATCTACGCACCCCTTCCACCCCTCTCATCTTGCATGCCAATAGCCGGATCAGGAGCTTCGGGATGCTCCCTCTTTGCCTTCGCCTTTCCTCCCGCAGAATCTCTCTGTTCAGTAGCATGGCCGCCTGTCCCAGACTTCTTCGCACTGCTAAGATCTGTTAGCATCGATTTCTTCTTCTCCAAACGATATATACATTCAATGAGATGGGAGGTGGAGTATCAACTCACTCAATTCCCGCCTTGGCATTACTGGATTGAACGTCATGTGCATCGCCCTGCTTCACTTTCTTCGTGGCATGCTCATCTTCGTGGTATTGACTTTTGAGATTCCGTGATGTGAGGGTGAATTGCCGTGCGTATGTTGCTTGGACAGGTCGAAGTGTTGCTGAGCGGCTGGTTGTTGATGCGGTGGCGTATCGAAGAGAGGTTGAGAGCGTTGTGCGGCGGTAGAAGGTGAGAAACTCGGAGGGTGAGGGTTGAGCCATGATGTTGTGTTTCTTTGATGACTTGAAGGTCACTTGATAGGAATATATGCAGTGATGTATATGTATTTGAGAATGTGATGTGGGTTCAATTATGTCCAATTGAAGTTGTCAAGGAGGTTGAAGCAAACTTGCAGATCTTGCAATTCTTAAATGCGGAGATTGGGCGTAGGAGAAGTATAAGAACATTATGACCAATAAGTAGCTCATCGATGGTAGGAGTCTAAATGATGATGCACTATGACGATGTGATTGTATTGCCCATATCGACTGCTGGTACCATTCCGGGCGCTAGTCCGGATACAGATTTTGCGGGGTGCGAGGGGCTCTAACGCGTTTCTACTCCGCGATCATTGAAGAATCATGTACGTCTCAATCTGTTAAGAAGTCGCATATCGAGCATTGGCAGGACTAGCCGGCTTGGACTGGATATCAAAACACAATCGTCTCTGTTTCTATCTTCCCTAGTACGAATTCCAAGCATTTCTCTCTTTGAAACGGCGCCATGGCAGCTTCAGAACAGAAACAAGATGACTTCCCCTGCAAACTGTACGCACATACACTTAATTATCTTGGACCAAATTGTCATTCATGATGGCAGAAGCTAATTAGAATATTCCAGAGCCATCGACATACCCTTCCCAACCGCATCCCTCGCCTCCACCGCCCTCCGCGCCCTCTCTGTCGACAAAGAGCTCTCCCCACTAGTCCGCCGCACCTTTGCTTCAAATGATAACGTTCTTCGTGTCAACTACGAGGCCAGCACAAATAGAATGCTCAGAGTTGCGGTCAACGGCTTCTTCGAGAGTGTGGGAGTTGTCGTTAACGTGATGAAGGATCTGGATGTTGATGTGTACGATTCGCCTGTCACCGAGCCATTGGATGGGGTGCAGGGACTGGTCAAGGGATGAAGAGACGACAGAAGATATGCTTGGAAGAAAAAAAAATTGAGGATTGCTGAGATATTGTGGGACGCGAGGCCGCTTGGTCTTTCCCAAAACCCAAGATGTTGGAACCAGACGCGCATGTGCGCACGGAGGCCTCCCGTGTCGGGCCAACAGGTATGGAAGTTGCATTTTAGACACGTTGAAGGCGGTGCTGAAGGCATATGATACTACGAAACCGAGGCATGTTTGGAGATGCAGGACAATGGTGAAGATTGGAGCAAAGTCCAAGAGATATCAGATCAAGCGATTTGATCGCTACAAGGATTTGAATAGGGTATCTTCGACACAATAGACAAAACGACGCTTCGTCGAGCGTTCAGTACAGAACCCAACGCCACCAGTATTACATGAAGTTCTATATCGACCTAGTTCAGTGCCCCCCGAAAACTTTAAGTGAATTTCAAGTATGAAAGATCGTTGACTTTACTTTTGTCTCTTCACATTAACCTGAGAATCCTCGTCTTCGTCCTCTCCTTCAAATTGATCACGCGTACGCTTTCCTCCTGTAGATGACTCTTTCGGAACAGATGTAGTCGACTGTGTTGGAGGCGTGCCAGACGGCACTGGGGGTAATAATCCATCTTCACTGATCGTCCAGCCGTCTCTCTTCATTTTCTTCCACTCAGTGGCAACTTTATACCGGATAAGCTCGCCAGTAGCTCGTGCATCTTCATAACTGTCGTGACCTGCTGCTCCTGCCTGCTGAATCTCGAGGTTAAGATGTGTCTTCGCGAGCCCCCGAAGTGAGTTGCGGATTGGAAGCCCTTTGAAGTGAGGATAGAGCAGGACCGTGTCGATGAAGACGGGATGTATCAAACGAATAGAGTTGAGATCATTTTCAAGTGCGTGACCGAGTAAGGGTGTGCTTGGGGATATCAAAGACAGGAAGAGATCCCTTGCAAACTGAGGCGAGTCGACGATTTGGAGATTCTTTGCGTCAAACGAGGGCTTCTTCGCGTCGTAATCAGGAGCACCAAGAAATTGTTCAGAAGTAACACCCGAAAACCGTGTGTTTAGATCAAGGACATGTCCTAGTGGTCGAACTAAGACATCTAGCACAGGCTTGTGTGACGGCCAGGACACCGCTGTAACGCGCAGCAGCTCCAACCCTTTGGTGGTATATCCCATTTCGCAATCAAAGCAAATGGCGGCGTGAGGATCGGCTCTAGCGTTCTCTGGGGTCTCCACGAATGGCATAATTGTTGCCAGACGTTTCGGGTCAGAAACCTTGAACACATGGGTCTCGTGGGTGGTGCAACCTTCACTCCCTACTGTCTGGCCACAACACGTCCATGTTGATGATCCCGGCATGTGACCCTTTGCAGTCTTTGGCCACATCTTCTTTCCCCAATGGTGCTTACATCGACCTCCTGTCGTCAAAGCACCGTCCTCTTCTCGCCGATTGGGGAAGACCTGGAAGCGTGTGTTACATCTGTCGCATTTCTCCCAATGATCAGCCGCTGCAAGCGTCTGCCATGTGTTGTCCAGCTCGGCTTGGGTCGGTAACTTAGTAACATAACCATGCGCATCCAGGCCGTCCTGCGAAGACTTTAGATGTGAAAGAAAAGCAACCTCCTCTTTCTCTGATAATCCTGTCTCTACGGGTTTCGGCTTTTCTTTTATGGGCTCAACACTTTTCTTGGGCGCTGTTGCGACTTGTCTCTCCTTCACCCAAGTGTCCACGGTCATCTTCTTAAGGGCGACTAGTCGTTGTTTCAGAACGTTCTCGTATACAGTTCCGTGCTGTTCGCCGAACCTTGCCTCCTCGTCAATAGCAACTTTATTCAGTTGATTGTCGGTCAACCGAAGCTTTTTGATGGCGGGATCTGGGCTTTTGGAAACTTTATCGTTAAGAGGCACCATATATTGGCGAAGTGCCTTAAGTAATGTAAAACGCTTTGCGAGCTGGGCAGGCTCTTTAGTTAACTTACGTGGAGCTAGTTTGACCTCCGGATCAGGCACGGCTGCCTTTGCACCGGTTGTCTTAGGTGGTGGAGAGACGGTCTTAATCACAGACCTTGGAACTGTAGATTTTTGGTCTTGAGACTTTGACGATGTAGAGTCGTGGTTTGCACCGGTGATAGTCTTGTGTCCAAGAGCCGATGTTTCTTTGTTGACGAGCGAGCCTGTGAAGACGGTAGGTTTCGGGTGAGGGAATGATGGGACCGATTTCTTCGCGCTGTCGTCGATCTTCAATCTCTTAGGCTCGCGCTCTTGAATATCCGGAGCAGATATCTCCGACGAAATGATTTGAGGTTTTGGTGGTGTAGGAGCATGAGAAAACAAGCAGTTGATGGCTTCGCACTTGGCGCCAGCAGGGCAGGCAACGCCTCCAAAGGGCCTGAAGGATGAAAGTGAAGGCCACATGGTGAAAGTGAAGTTCCAAATCTTGATATGTATGAGTGAGAGGCAATAGACATGCCAGGCTGGATCTGGACCTACCGGATGTATAGATAGGCTTGACGATTCCTAACCAGCGAACTGTATTAGTTCGAGGGAATCAGATACGAGAACATGGACTATCAAGAATGCCTCATTAGGCCAACTCGAAGCAGAAGCCAATTTTAAGTGTTGACTGGATTGCGCCCAGTCTGCGCGTTGGTGAGATGAATATCAAGATTATGGATCCATGGGCTATAGCTGAACACGATACAACGCGTGCCGATCCTCGTTCATTTGCAAGTATCCGGTTCTACAGCTTCAGCTTTAAGCTCTGATGTGGCAGCCGATGTGACAGTGATAGTGACAGGGCTGTGAACGTGAATGTTTTCCTTTTCAGTGAAAGGTAAGTTCAGTGAACCAGAGACAGGAACACGCCAAGCGACAGGGATGTGCTTTGTCCAGATTTGGTCCAAGCGCCCGGCCAGGGTCATGCAGCGGAATTAGGGACATGACATCAACCTGATGCGACGAGGGAGGGAAGATCTGGAATTAATAGACGATATCTCTGAATCGCTGAACACTTTCAACGATCCAATCCCCCACTTTCAAGCCATTTCATTCGGGTAGTCTATTTCACTTATTATTTATTATACTGGCAGCATTCCATTCGGGATGATTATCTTGCCGAATGCGAGATCGCTCATAAAGTCGTATCAGCTCTCTTCATGCGTGGTATTTGAGGCTGAGCCGGTTCTCCGATAAGGCCGTCCTCAAACGGACGAAGAAAAGGACAACATTTTTGAATAGATAAACGGGCCACCGCCTTCAAACCACCTCCCTTTTGTGCTCCACACCTATTATTACACTTCTCCCTATACTTACTCCCAATGGATGACGCCGCCGCCAAAAGCACCTCCACTCCTTCCTCCGCAGAGCATCTCTGTGTTCTCGTTCATGGGTAAGGGGTCGATAGCACCAGAGTCCAAATGATATGCGCTGACAATGGAATTCTAGTCTATGGGGAAATCCAGAGCATCTGAAAAACCTTAGCGCCGCCCTCCGCGAACGATACGCAGAAGACAAATTACACATATTTATCCCAAAGCGCAATGCTGGTAGCTTTACCTACGATGGCATTGAGCTCGGTGGAGAACGCGTGGCGCATGAGATAGAAGAGCATCTGGAGGAGCTGAACAAGAATGGGAACAACATCAAGAAGATCAGCGTCATTGGATACTCTCTTGGAGGGCTTATATCTCGCTACGCGATCGGTCTTCTCTATCACAGGGGGCTGTTCGACAAGATACAGCCGATTGTATGGTCCCCCCTGGATAATCGAACAATGGAAGACTAACAGTCACAGAACTTCACCACATTTGCTACTCCACATCTCGGCGTTCGCACACCGTTGCTAGGAACGCATAACCACGTCTGGAACGTTTTGGGTGCAAGAACGCTTTCAATGAGCGGCAGGCAGTTATTCACAATTGACACGTTCAGAGACACCGGCAAGCCACTTCTTGCTGTCCTTGCCGACCCAACGAGTATTTTTATTCGGGCGCTCGCGGCATTCAAACACCGAAGTTTGTATGCGAACGTAGTAAACGACCGGACGGTGACTTACTACACGGCTGGCATCTCACAAACCGATCCATTCGCCAAGATGGATGATCTGGACATTAACTACGTAAAGGGATATGAGCCGGTCATAGTGGACGGAGATGACCCGTTCACCATAAAGAAGCGAGATGTTGCGCCTGCCTTCCCACAACGGCTATCGCAGAACACGCGCAACTTCTTTGGACAAATACCTTTCGCTGTTTTCTTGATGGTCTTCCTTCCAATTGGATCTACTGTTTTCTTGGTCAATTCAGCAATTCAATCAGTCCGAAGTCGGCAGCGTATCAAGCTACATGAGGAGGGCAAGGCCGGCGTTGATTTTGGAGGCTATCGCATTCCGCTCCTGAATAAGGTTCGGGGCGAAGTGGAAGATCTTTTCGAGAACATCAACAACACACACGAACAAGAGTACCTCCCTAACGGCAGCGAGACAATGACATCTCCTACCCAGTCGCCCAAAATTACGAGGACACATTCCATGCCGAAGACCACATCGCCGCCATCGGACAACGATTCCGATAAAGACTCGCTAGCAGAACAGAAGCGGGATAAGAAACCCGAAATTCCAACACTAGCCTTGACTCCGGACCAGTTTGCTATGGTTGAAGCATTGGACAACGTTGGCTTCCAAAAGCACCCTGTGTATATCCACAACGTCCGCCACTCCCATGCTGCGATCATTCGCCGCATGAACAGAAGTGCGTTCCACGAGGGCTTCATCGTATTCAGGCATTGGCTTGACAATTTCCAGCTCTAAAATTGACATGGGGCTGATTTTACTGTGATTTTCAATAATATTGGCGTTCTAGCAGCAACGGCGTCGCGGAACATTTGATTCGCAATTTTCCGGGAAATGATTTCCAACATCGCGCACAGTTTATGCTTTTTATGATATCCTGAACCCATACCCGTAGATTGATAGAATTAAGTTACCTAGTATTTACACGTTACGAATTTATCACATTCATTGATCAAAACAATCACCCCTAACGAACGTAGAAGACCTCGATAGCGATAACACCGAAACCCATCACAATTTGGGTGGGATTGAGTACCTACCTAGGTAGGTATCATTCCATCGCCCACTCTCTCGATACCATTTACGCAGGAAGCTGTTAGCCCGAGACCATGAAAGGCAGATTCGACCGACTTCTATACTTCCCCACGGTGACTACCCACGACTGGCGATCCTTATTAAAGGACTCCAAGTTCAATCCAAGCCCAAGCTGTGGTCAACGACAGACATCGTAGCATACCACTTTCAGGCGGTGGTATAGAATGGCGAAGTACGGTATAAAGTGAGATGATCTCAAGGAAATTCCCGATATTTACAGTCATGTATGACCCAAATATCAGGATTTAGATCTGAAAGTCTGGTATCACCAGTCTGTATCGCATTGACTAATGCAACACTGAGACGAAGTCGACCTGCATTAAATCTCTCGAAAAAGCCCATTTATATCAACAGATGATGTAGATGAGCCAAAAGCACCCTTCTTCGGCCAGTGAGGATGGTGACTTCGTCATGGCAGGGCCAAAAGGATCTTGTGTCTTGCTGTTGACTTTATTTCCGTCAGACTTTATCCGTAACCGAACACTACGAAAGCAAACAGATCGCATTCCTCGAGTCCTGGCAAATATGTGTCAACGACGTCAGAAGTCTAATGATAAGGACAATGAAATGGGCAGCTCTCCCACGTGAAAATCATATGCGACCCACCTAGCTACCTCGTACCATTCACTAGGTTTCAGAACGCCATTGATTATAAACACGCCCTGCCACTACCATACTATTCTTGGCACAGCACCCCATAGTAAAGCTAGATTTCTCATATAATATCATAGGCTGAAACTAGACGCCAAAGCGATCTAAGTAGAGCCATGTCTTTGCTAAGATCTCTTAGTATACCTTTCTAGCTGGACTGGCGAGGTATGCGCGGGGTAGGACATAACCACCACCTCCACCCGCGTGCTCCGCTACCTAGATATATGGACGTGATGTACGCAATCCAGATGATCCTGTTACAATACAATGATAACTGAATGACTAGCCAGGTTTCTCGGGCTTCTAAGATATATATTGTAGGCTCAGGCAGCTGCTTTTCATCAAAGTCAAGATGGATGCATCCAGCATAAGGCCTCCTATCAAAGCACGTCGAGATAGCCATATCTGCGATCTACGAAATTCCGACATGGTGTCTCTACCGGAAGAACTCATCGAAGCCATACTTCGATATGTCCAGCATACAGGCTCGACTGCTGAATTCTGGGCATGTCTAAGAACTTGTCAACAATGGCACAGGATCGGGTTAGGGCTCCACCGAGCGCTGGACGTAGCAGTCTGCACGACGATTGAATCGACATCGAGGCGTATGGACTTCGAATTTGAGCTAGACAGGTCGGATATCAAACTAGTTACCGATTTCGAGCTCGGCTTCTCCAAGCTGTTCACCTCTATGCTTCGGTCTCTTACTGTACATATCGTGCATTCGAGGATCAAGGCACTCTTCCGTCCTGTGCGGGGAAAAAACTTGATTGACTCACTGATCACTTCGTTCGCGGTCGCTGATCAATTGACCACGTTTTCTTTCAAGTTCGCAGACGAGGGATGGGATTTCCCGAGTATGGATGTTCCAGCTTTTCCAGCCAGTCGATTGGCGGACATGGTTGCTGCATTACCAGAAACAGTTGTGAATCTCGAGATTGACACTGCGGGAACAGACATCACCTTGAGTGACTCTTCCCTGGAGAAACGACCGAATCGACATCTATGCCATCAAATTGCAAACATCTTCCCTCGACTGGAGTATCTTCGCCTCCGAGTCGGCCATGTATGCAAGACCTTGATGCCAGTCCCGCCGGACATGTCTCGCGACAACCCAACGCCAACTGCTTGCTCGCTTTGTGGAAGAGACGACAGATCAGGGTGTTCAATCGCCCGAAGCTGGAATATGCGGCAAATAGTCGTCTACATCCCCTGGGGCTTCAAAAACCACGACCTTTCCTTCACTCAGACCATGCAACCGTTCCTCCTCCTCCACCCTCCTCACCCCAGCTTCGTCATCATCCACCAAGACGACTGGGCCTACCCATCGCGCATGAGCATCACATCCCCAACATCGAGTCCCTACACCAACTTCAGCATGACAACACACTCCAACCTTCTCCGCCCAGACACAATAACCGGCTACATCAACTGGCTCCCCCCCTCCTCACCACCACAACCTCCCTCTCACCCCCTCAAACCCACCCACTCCCCAACCCGCTACCTAACCCCAACCCGACAATCCACGCCCCGAACCACACACCCGTACCTCACAACCTGGACCCTCGAATCCTCAACCCGCTGGACGCAGCTCCACCACCTCGGGCCGCGGCACCCCATCGCCCTCGCCTCCACACCCACATCCCCCTTCCACCACCCTCCAGACCTCCACGTGCTGAAAGACCATCCAAACCCACACCACATACACTGGGCGTTCGCGCACGCCCCCGCGGCCTCCACGTCCCCGGCCTTCCAGGCCTCGTTCCTCCGGGCGGCGGACGACGACGACGACGACGACACGCAGGACGAAATGCTGCTGTACCCGTGCCTGTTCCCCGCTTGCAGGGAGCGCTGCGAGGATATAGAGCATCTGCTCGGCCATGTCGTGTATCGGCATCCCGACCGCCCGCACCGCGGCAGTTGGTTTGGGAGGGTGGGCTGCGCGTTCGTGGGGTGCGATAGGATTGGCTCGAGGGGGTTTGGAGGGCGGGAGGAGCTGGAGGGGCATTTGAGGGGGCATGGTTGGGTGGGTGGGTAGGGAGGTTGTGGAGATGGGAGAGGGGAGAGGGATGTGGATGGTTATATGATATGATATGACACGAAGCCGCATGGATACGTAAGATAGTTTAGGTAGATAATATACCGAGTATGAAAATCATCTCGAAGAACCTTGATCAAATTTGTCCGAGTGAGATTGATAATAATTCCTCCATAATTTCCCTGTTTACCAGAAAATAAAACGAATGGAAGGGAAGGGGAAAGAGGAAGGGTAGGGTAGATAGATAAACTAAGGTATACATAACAAGTCGTGGACACACATACATACATTGGAGACCTCCCAACCGAGCACTCTTTTGGGGGAGGAGGATATAGCGACAGGAGAGAGAGACAGCGCTGAACGCCAAACGCAACGTTGGGAAAGGAGAGAAAGATATAGATTTGGGCCGAGAAAACGAAACGACAGTAAAGGGGTGCAACGAATGCTCCGTGAAAAGGTCTGTATGTATATATGGTATCAACCTCCAATTCGCCAGCCAATGTGCTGCCGATGATTCCCATTTCCTAAGTAAATACGCCCGTTTGTAGGTCAGGCCGAACAGCGCCATGTTTGTCAAAGGATAGTGCGTATGAATAGAGCCAGCCCCTTCGCAAGATCGTACATCTGGTGAAAATAAGAATAAAAAACGAGGAAAGAGATGAAAGCACGCTATGCAGGAATTAATCCTCAACAGCGACGTCGTTGCTGTCGTCATTGGCATCGAAATGTATGTCCGGATTTGTGTTCTTGAGGGCGGCGATTTGTGATTCTCGGAAGAGTCTGAATTCTTCAGGATTCTCCTTCTGCAATTGTTTCAATTGCTCCGCGTTCTCGACTATCTGGTCGAACGCTTTCGTGAACCCCACGCCTTGGATCATGTCTTTGAGCTCTTGCCCAGAGTAGTTGAAGAATTGTTCGCGGATTGCGACTAGGTGGTCGGGCAGACCGTCATTGTCCATGGAGCCAGACATCATAGCTTGGTCTGAATGGGAGGAGCTTGGGCGTGAAGGGTTCATGATCTCAGTGCGCACACGGTGACTGAAGCGATGGAGCTGGCCCTCTTCAAGTATCTGAGCTCGTGAAGCCAATGATACATCGGAGTTATGTCGTGAGCGCAGCGCTTTGGGCTCGTCTTCGTCAGAATCCGCGATCGTCATGTCACCAACGCTGGCTGAAAGAGTTGGGACGGATGACGCGGGGGGTGAGTTGCTAGGTTCGGAGCTATGTGAAGACGAAGCATCAGTAGGTAAGATGCGTGTTTCGGGGTATTCATCTTCGAAGCGCTGAATCATGCCTTGGAGGGTTTGGTCTAGGAACAAAAGACGACCTTTAATGAGTTAGTAGATGAACTTGTATAGCAACTGCAATAACACTCACGATATGCCATGTCATTGCCTGACCTAGCTTCGCGGAACAGTGCAGGCTGGACTCGTTCTCTGATGTTGCGCGCACTCTCCAGGAGATTCTTGGACATCATCTTCGCTTTGCCTGCTTCTTCTAATTGTTCCGCAGATTTGCCCGGAGTGTGCGTCCCACTTGCCGGTAGGGAATGTCGGCGCAGGTCGGTTGCCTTCTGTATTAGGCAGTAAGACAGCGCCTTGACAACACCCGTGCCGCCGATGATGTAGTCCTCGTCTGGTGCAGCTGGAGTCTTGTCATCCACTGTGTTGGTGCCATCGGCATGTCCAATTAGATGCATCAGAACATCTGGCAAGGGCACTTCCTCTGCAGTGGATTTGAGTTCAGGGATTTCGGTGATGGCCTCCATATTCTTTAAGCAATACGCCACGACTTGTTTGGCAACAGCTTTAACGAGCTCACTGCTTTCGGGCGCAGGAACATCCACATCGATACAAACAAGGACTTTGGAAACTTTGGCCGCTACTGCAAGTGATGCATACAGCGCAACTGCTTCCTCTTGCGTCGATTCGTCTGTTGCCTTAGCGACTGCAGTAATCGCAGGGTTCTCAAGGATGTTGACGTGAGCAAGTTGGGAACATTCTGGGATGATTTCCGCTAGACCAATGGCATGCTCTGTCGAAAGCGATACATCCACGAGATGAAGACGCTTCAGATTCTTTATTTGTGGGAGGTGTTTCCGTAGTAAAAACAGTGATGTTTGATGGGATAGGAGGTCTTTGTTGTGTGAAAGATCCAAAAATTTGAAGTCTGGAAGGGCGACCAGCGCTGGGAAGAGGATCTTGAGTGACTCAGGACTGAGATTGCAATCTGCTAAACTCAGAGCCCATATCGAATTGTCCTTGGTCAGTGACTCCGCAAGTCGCCCGATCTCCTCTGAAAGGTCATTGCCTCCCAGGTCAAGGCCGTGACAAACTCCAGATTTAATGTAATGGAATACATGGCTAAACCCTTCTTTGTCAAGATCATTACCAGCAAGACCAAGTCGTTTCACGCCACTCATAACAACACCATCAACGATCTTTCGGATAGTTGGTGTAGTCAACGAGCACTCAGCCATCACCAACTCCTCCAAAGTGGATCCTCCTAGACGCTCAGAGATGGCTTTAGCAAAGGTATCTGCAACGTCCTTGGGTGGTAGAGTTGTCGGCCCACTGGCGGTAGACGTTTGGGAAGAGTTTGTGTTTTGGTGAGAAATGTGCGGCCTGGCTTTGGGGAACGGAATCATGGAGACGTCGAGTGCTTCGATCGACTTGCACATGTAGAGGAACAGACTGATGTGTCGCCAACCCTCTGGGCCAATTTTGGGATTGTTGTTGAGAGTCAATTTCTTGACGACTCCCGGCCTGTCCTCGGTCTTCCCTTGTCCATCTTTGGCAACTTTGTCTTGACTAGATCGCCTTTTGGGGCCCTCTGGCACCTTGGCGGCTAACAACCCTGCTAGAATCACTCTCACTTTTTCGTCGTTGAGATCTGCGTCCTCCAAAAAGAGTTTTTTGACGGGCACAACTGCTAACCAGTCCGAGAGAGTATGGATGTCCGCAAGCTGTAACCTTGAGCCAGTAAGGTTCAAACATGAAACTATGCCGGGCGTTGCGGCAGCGCATGACTTTGGGTTTGCAAGCTGGTCGCTGATGCGTTTAAGAATGGGTGTCTCTCGTAGCTGACAACATCTCCTATATATTCGTAGTGGATCTATAGTCGGTCGATCCTGTGGTCGTGAAGGCTTCTTTTCAGGTACGTCTGCAACTTTATCGTCGGAGGCGTCATCAGAGTCTTCTCGCGTCAACTCCAAGGGGACGGTGCCGTTCTCTTCAGCTTTTCGGCGTTTCTTCTCCTTCCTCTCTTTGCGCTCAGCTTCTGACCGTTTCTTCTTCTCTTTTTTCTTGGTTGAGTCCTTCTTGTCTTCTTCTACGGCTGGAGTAACCTCTACGCTGGGTTTGTCATCCGTTCCCACTATGTCTTTATCCTGAAGACCGTTGACTGTTACAGCGCCATTCTGCTCCTTCTCCGCGGCAACGGTTTCAGGATGCTTCAAAGCCTCTCCTTCCGCTCGTTCCTTCAGTTTCTTATCCTTGCGTAGTTTTTTCTTCTCATCGTTGTCGACGTCATCTTTGTACCGGGGTCCTCCGGCAATCTCCACATCCACACAGAAGGCTACGCGCCTCAGCTTGCTCTGGTCGAGCTCCGGTACTAGACATCGATCACGGTTGCGGTCAACGTTTAGGACCCTCCGAGGGCAGACTCCGCCCTGGCAGGCCGCCTTGCCCATGGGAACCTGTGACCCCGAAGAAAGTCGGCGAAGTGCATTGGAAATGAACGAGCCTTTTGGCTGTTGGGGCACGTAGGGTTCGTGTCCGACATGGTTTACTCCTGCGGCCTGTTGAATGCCATTCAGTGCGCCGTTGGCGGATGACGTAGTGCCAGGCGCACCATTCGGCGTCGCGGGAGAGCCCTGCGCTTGCGTATGGGTAGTTTGCGCCGGCGAATTCTGTGAAGAGAATTTAGAGCTAATGCTCGATATCCAGGATCCTCTCCTCAAGCTCGTCTTGTCGGGAGGAGTCGTGCTCCCGGGCTTCTCGGAGCTACCTCGGGATAGTATCGTCGGACGTTTGATGGGCGTTTTCGCAGAGGAAGGTGGCGGAGAGGATGGAGGCGGTGACGAGGGATGTTTCGGGGACGGATGCGCGATTTCTATGGGGTGGCCATTTGTGTTTGGGGCTTCGTGAGGTATGCCACCATGGGCGGAGGTGCGAGGCGGGGCGTCTCTGGTGAGGCCTGGCGAGGATGGAGCGCGCTGGCGGTGATGATGATCTGAAGATCGTATCAGTTAGTTGGGAAGGTTGTTTCGGAGATTATTCAACCAAAGGACGTGGAAAATGATATAGATATTGGCAGAAAGGGTAAGGGGAGCATGGTGCGGCAATGGACTGACCTCTATTGGAGTGATGTAGCCATGAAACGTCGACGCCGTGAATGTCTTCCATGATAGGCGATGACAAGTACCCAAGGCCTCGGTGAGTATCAGCAAGTTTCGGTGTTGCAAGCCATGGAAAGATGCGAAAGATGCGAAAGACGAAGGCGTGAGGTTGCGAGGGGATTGGGGGATTAAGCAATCAGCGGGGTTCGTGGTTCGTTAGCCGGCGAATGGACCAGTGAACTGAGTGAATCAGTAATAAAAGTCCCGGGTTCGGGGGTGCCCCAGATCTTTCTACTCGTACTAACTAAGTAACATAGTTAGATAATTAATCAACTAAAATAATCACCGCCGTAATCATGTTAGTTTACTATGTACGTATTACTGCACCTGTGCAACCGTTGGCTCGTTACATGGTGGGCAAGTACATACGAGGCTTACATACTTGCCTTGCTACTGTGCTATCTCGTAAGTACGAGGTTGTAGTGTAGTGGGAGTGTACACTGACTGGGCCCCGATCTCCCTTGTTTTCGGCTCCCCGATATTTGCTTACCACAGACGGATGTAAAATGTCCTGGTGGGGAACAATCTATGTCGCAGTCCCGATCCGCTGATCGGCGTCAGCTTTGCGTGAGCGTAAATATACGGTGTACGGTGCGTTGAGGAGTCCTTGAGATATTGAAAAAGCTGCAGCAGGATGCAAGATGCAGGAAGAATGAAGAGGTTGTGAATATGATTGAAGGAACTGTAGAAAAAAGGACAGGATTGTGCTGCGCCGCCACTTATCGCATTGCGTGCTCTGGCATATGGGGAGGGTTATGATCTCACCAGGCATCACGACTCATGACATGTCCATCAATCACATCGGCTATCATTCTCCACCATCAACACATTTTCTAGACAGGTGACTTTGCTACGCATACGGCTGAGGCGGACAAGGTCCAATACTGAAGACACATAGTCTGTCGTCGCCATCGTCACCACCAACTGCAGACACGATGATACTGCAGTTGAACGCAGGTCCTACAGCTGTTTCTGGAAGAACCTTTTGCTTACACATTTCAACCACCAAGGGTCAACATGTGACAGCACGGAAGAAGAGACAAGGTCTCACCGTGGTGGCCATTATTAGAGCATACCTAGATGATAAATCATATCCAAAACCACAGTTACATACAATGTAGGACTTGTAAAAGAGATACCTAAGTAAGGGACCCATAAGTGTACTCAGCCGTAGTGTCTAGTAGCCGTGGGTATGATATGTGATGGAAGTCAGTCATGGGGACGAGTCAATAGATCAAAAGGGACATTCCATGAGGGCCGAGACCTGCAGCTGCACTTCCGCCGTTGCCCGCAGTCACATGACCCACACGGACTTCGAACACCAACATCGGCGCACAAAGGCCGATGCTGAATTTCCAGCATTATCATTACCGCTGTCATTCATGATCGTAATTTCTCATGATATCAACATTTCAAATGCCAAGAGGATGCAATAACACGATTGAAGCGTCCAGCACATTGGACTATCTCATTTGTTCGGTCATGAAGCCGTGAAGAAAGGGCTAACTAATCCCATTCGGATGCTCAGGCAGATGCTACCAAAAGCCCTAATTCCCATCATCCCCAGACGCCGAATGCCGTGCTTTTGTCGTGAAATTGGGTATACATGAATTGAGCTTAAGCCTTGAGCTCCTCGATCTTGGCCCTGACGCGCTCCTCCTTCTCGGCCTTGGACAACTTCTGGCTCTTGTACTTGAGAGACTCCTTCTTCCACTCCTCCTTGGTCTTCTGGGGAGCGTCAGACTCGACCTTCTTGTTGGGGTCCTCGCGGATCTGCTTGTGGGCCTCGGCGTAGAGCTCCTCAAGACCATCAGCCTCAACATCGTCGTCGATGTAACCCTGGAACTGGGACTTGTAGCGCTCCTCGTCGTCATCGGCGAGAGTCTCCATGTACTCAGCGACGTGTCCGGCGAAGATGTACCTGCGGAGGGTCTCGGCATCGAGTTCCTTGGTCTCGATGTCGTAACCGGGGAAGCGGTTCTCGGAGTGGGGAACGTAGAGACCACCGTCGGAAGCACCCTTGAGGGCACCGAAGACACGGGCACCAGTGGAGGTACGGACGAGACCAACGTCGAGGAAGACCTTGAAGGGACGGCGCTGCTCGCCGTCAATCTCGACGGCCTCGGTGAGGCTGAACTCGCCGTCGGCCTCCTCAACACCCTCGAAGTCCTCGTCGAGCTCGAGCTTCTTGAGAGTGCGGCGGGCCAAGAGCAATCCAGTGGCGTAGGCAGCAGCCCTGTGTATTGTTAGCTCAATTCCAACATCCCATGCTCTTCGGAGTATCGTACCAGTTGGTGAGACCGTGCTCAATGCCGTAGGCCTTGAGCTCGTGGGCGTAGGCAGCGCAGAAGACCTTGTCACCGGCTGTTTCGCAGTCAGTGTCATGTATAAACCGGATTCAGCGCCAGAGTAACTTACTCAACTCAGAGGAGATGATCTGAGCGACAATGTCACGGTTGGTGAAGCGGACGACGAGGCGGTACTTGGGCGCATTGTACTTGTTCTTGGCCTGGGTGATCAAGCGCTTGCGGGCATAGTAGTCGGTCTTTCCCTCCCTGCAAAATCATGTCAGTACAGTGAATTTCACATCGCGAAGATGAGTTTTGACTTACCTGCGGCGCTTGTACTTGACCTGGTACCTGCTGAAGTAGGCGTTGCTCTTCTGCGTCTTGGTCTACAAAATCCTGGAGTCAGCAATTGACGCTTCAAACCCGCGATTGAGAAGCAGCTTGCAAGGACTCTCCACTCGACGTGAAGTCGAGGCGGGAAGGTAAGGTCGAACTTACGAACGGCATCTTGACGGTCGACACTGGGCGATTGTCGTGTGTTGTCGAGGTTGAAGTTCGAAAGGGAAAGTTCGAAAATGGTGGGATAGATTTAGCATCGTGCGCCAAGACTCGCTTCGGCTACAGCGACACCTGGTCAAGCAGTGGGTGACCAGATTGGGTGACCATCAAGTAAATGATACTCTACTACGAATACGCTCAGCACTGCACTGTTTATTGATGATAACACATAATCTGATCATGCGAGAGTCTCAGAGTTGTGCCAAGTAAATTCAATGGTGTCCAGATAACGCAGAGCGATGATGCTACACTACGCTTTGGCAGAGCCGGTCTGGTTCTATCTGGAGATAAAGCATCGTAGTCGGAGTATGTTATTGATCAATGATTCTTCAATTCTGTACCATGATATCTAGAACAAGCTGTGTATTAGCTGGATGCCCCAGTATCTGTGCCTATTTCTCGTACAGATACTCTAATTATGGAGTAGCTATCCAAACTGGACCATTTCGGGTTATGAAGCACGGACCCCATAGCCAACGTCAACTCTCACAGCCCCTCCAGAAGCATCAGGCACAGCTACTATCTACTGCCTGCCAGCGCTCGCGATTTCCTCCTACACCTCTCCTACTTACTTTTACCTCCTTCTAAATCATGGCGGAGGTTCCGATTGGTATGTTAAGCTTCCAGAGCTTAATGACACCAAGCTGACACTGGACGTAGTACTTGACGGAGGAACCGGTTTCCTGAAGGCTGGTTATGCGGGACAGGTCCGTCAATGGCTCATTTACGCTGAAGCTACGCCAGTACGAGAGCTAACTTTGCGAACCTATAGAATTTCCCAGACCATCAATACCCTTCAATAGTCGGTCGCCCAATCCTGCGTTCCGAGGAGCGAGATGCCGGAGACATCCAGATCAAGGACATAATGTGCGGTGACGAGGCCGCAGCGGCACGCTCGATGCTTCAGATCACATACCCTGTACGTGGAAACCTGGAAGGAGAATTGCGAATGGGCTCAAGGGGGGGTGGATTTGCTAACGATGCGTCATGGCTGGTAGATGGAGAATGGTATCGTGAAGCGATGGGACGACATGCAACACCTTTGGGACTACACTTTTATGGAGAAGATGCGCATAGATCCGACGGGCCGAAAGATCCTCCTCACCGAGCCACCGATGAACCCTCTCAAGAACCGCGAGCAAATGGCGGAAGTTATGTTTGAGCGCTACGGCTTCGGAGGCGTTTACGTTGCCATACAAGCTGTGCTTGCTTTGTACGCTCAGGGTCTATCTTCCGGTGTCGTCGTTGATTCGGGAGACGGTGTCACGCATATTGTTCCGGTTTATGAGAGCACCGTGCTCAACCATCTTACACGCCGCCTGGATGTCGCCGGTCGAGACGTCACCCGCAACCTGATTGCGCTGTTGCTCCGAAGGGGCTACGCGCTCAACCGTACCGCCGATTTTGAAACCGTTCGCCAGATTAAGGAGAAGCTTTGCTACGTCTCATACGATCTCGAATTGGACCAGCGCCTGAGCGAGGACACCACGGTGTTGGTCGAGTCATACACGCTCCCCGACGGTCGTGTCATCCGAGTCGGCAGCGAGCGCTTTGAGGCGCCTGAGTGCTTGTTCCAACCCCACCTTGTCGATGTCGAGCAGCCCGGCATGGCGGAATTCCTTTTCAACACCATCCAGGCGGCCGACGTGGATGTGAGGAGCAGTTTGTACAAGGCCATTGTGTTGAGCGGTGGCAGCAGCATGTACCCGGGTCTTCCCAGCCGATTGGAGAAGGAGTTGAAGCAGCTGTGGCTTACCAGGGTTCTTGGTGGAAACCCAGAGCGATTGAATGTATGCATGCAACTACTTGGGGCCATCACACGAGAAGGTACTGACATGAACTTGCAGAAATTTAAGGTCCGCATCGAGGACCCGCCCCGACGCAGGCATATGGTTTTCCTTGGTGGTGCTGTACTGGCAAACATTGTAAGTTACCACAAGATACACACACATATCAGACAGACCAATCACTAACAGCATATCACAGATGGCGGACAAGGAGAACATGTGGATATCAAAACAGGAATGGGAGGAGCAGGGTGTCCGTTCGTTGGAGAAGCTCGGAGCGAGATAAAGCATCGGGGGCAAGACTCCTCCAGCGCTGGGCTCCACACAGATGAGGCGCACCCTAGAGCCGTCCGAGCAAGTCAAAATGCTTATATAGAGTCACACAGAGATCTGGCAAGCCTCCCAATCAAACCATTTCGAACATGCAGAACCCACACTTGCCCCCTTCTGTGTCCACCCGGCATGCTGTCCTCACCGTCTTTCCTTCCCCCGTGCAATCGTTCTTTTTTTTTTCCCTCTCTTTCTCTTAGCATGCACGGCGCTTTGTGTCACATTCCCTCCATTCCAGCACCCGCATCCACGGAGCAAACAACATCGCCCCATCGTTCGATCCCATGGGGCGATCTCGTTCTCCAACTCCCCTACCCGCCCCTATTCTTAGATACCTTTCCTCCCCCTTCCTTCGTCCACCAACACAAGCAAATTCCCGTGCTCGTAACATGTTTCTCCCTCCCAACAGTCCATCGACCATTCATTGAGGTCGCCCCCGAGATAACTAGCAAGCTGTGCTGCAGACCGCTCCGCCCGCGTTACACAACCGCTGCAGCTATGTCCAAGCAGGAAAAGGAAAACACGCAATTGCCTCGTAGGTGACTAGGTAAAGCACCTCGCACCTCGCACCTCGTACATTCAATCCAACGATTCTCGGCGGTGGCGGCGTAGTTACACAGCGTAGTGGGGGAGCGGACGTGTATGTACATGCACACGTACGCTACATCAAGGAACTTGGTGGTGTGCGGTGGGAGGAGGATTTGGCAGTTATGTTAATCCATAGAGACGGTGCGGGTATGGAGGACGGAGATGGGGACTTGTTATAGTGTGTCTACTGCAGTCGTCATCGTCCTTTATAGTTCTGTATGGGAACGATGTTGTGAGATACGGCATGTTGGATCTACGTCCCGTAGGGAGGGAAGTGGAAGGCAGGATCACGGTTCTTTCTACTCGTTCTGATACTGAAGCTGGACGGACATGTGCGGAGGACGTGAGTTAAGTTGATGAATTAGGTTCCGTCTGATGATGGAGCAGAAAGACACACGATGTAGACATGACCACGACCGTCGTAATCACTAACGAAAGACGTTATTTACAGCGCTCTTGTTCTCTTGTTGTCGTAGCGAAGCGAAGCAAAGCAATGATTGAGCGATCGATGAAAGCATCCATTCTCAACCGTCCATCTATGTTATCCCCTGGAATCAGTCACGGCGTAGAGGGCAGTATGTACTCGCCTATCGATAGCATATCTCATCGCCATCATCGCCAGCTCTACGACGATGTGAAGACGTTTTTCCCCTCTCCCTCTCTCTCGCTCTTCCTCATTTCGATTCACTGTGGTTATCTGTATAGACTACGATCCTATCACTACTTCGTTCTACAACCCCCCGTCATCCCCGACAAGTAGAATCGTGCAAGGTCAAATGCTTCACATCGGACAACCGGCTCACTCGAACACTCACCATCGGTGCCAGAGGCAATAATTTACTAACGATTTCAACACTCTCACATATCAATCCTACCTTCCTCTCCCCCGAAGAAAAATTCTTTCTCATTAATCTATCCGCCTCCACTTCCTCGGAAACCTGAGATAAATGGGAAAGTGAGGGGTAGGAGTTACAATGGCGCAAGAAGAAAAAAAAAAACCTTGGGCGATGCATTTACGATCGCGATCGCAGTGCATAGCTGCATATGCATATTACCGCATGCAATAACTACTCGTACATACAATCTGTCAAACCACACTTGTCTTTGCATGCATTGCATGTATGCAGCTGGCTGGGAGGGGGTTAGGAGCAGCGAAGTTCCCGTGTGTTGTACAGGCGACTGTAGGTAGTCGGGTCGGTTTGCGTGTTTTGATAGAGAGGGGAGGGGGGAAATAGTTCGGTTGGCGCGCTTAGGCGGGCAGGAGGCACGCGCATGGGGGGCTTGATGGGGGAATTGCTGGGTGGGTATGTGCCACTCCGTACACAGAAGCTAGCAAGGAGATGGAGAAGAAGAAAGAAGATGTGCTACGAATAACAACATGCAGGTATCAAACATGCTGGGTTCGATATCATGGGAGTACGAGACTACGACCGTGTGATGGGGTTGAGAGATGAGTGGAATATGTGGGCGATGGGTGCGAATTTGCGGAGAAACCTGTGAAGAAGAAAACGCCACGGCCGTCGCCTAACCTTAGCCTTGGGTGTCTACACAGTACGAGTGCATATTTCCTGTGCGCCTTAAGACAATCCCCGTGATGATATTGAAGTTTGATTCGAAGGCGGCACGGTGGACCACGTGAGAGCAAGGGGGATGGGAATTGACTATTGGCATCGGAATGGGAACAGGAATAGGAATAATGGGGGAAGGGGAATGGAAGTGCGGGTATTTCGGCTTCCTCGGCTTGAGGCGACGATGGTCAATGGGCTTGGACGATTTACGAGTAGTACAAATATTACTAGTAGGTAACGAGTAGATACCTAGGTAGGCAATAGGATGATAATGATAATGGTGATAATATTGATGAGGAGGACCATGCAGTATTACCTGCCAACCACCGAAAGGGAACTACTCGTAAGGAAGACTACGAGGTACTAAGTCAGGAATTCCATCGTACTCGTACGAACTATAACGAATGGCTAGGATTAGTCGAGGGAACAACGGAAGAAGAAAAGAGAAGAGGCAAACGGAAGAAAAAAGTAAAAAGATTCCAAGGCATCTCGTTGGTGCGTCATAACTACCTCGTATGGGCTTGGGTTCGCCGTAGGACTGAAGAAGGAATAGGCATGGGAGTAGGCATACCTCGTAGGCATACTGTGTAGGCATAGGCATAGGCATAGGCATAGGCATAGGCATAGGCATAGGCATAGGAATAGGAATAGGAATGGGCTGGCTTGCGGGTGCATAACCGGTCGGCTGGACAAAGCGAACCACTCGGATTCCTTGTAAGCGCCCTTGGAGGGGCGTGGAAAACACTAACGAGACCGTACGAGTCCAAGTCCAAGTTAGAAAAATCTCGGTAGCGACGAGGGTAGGGCCGCCGGATTTCCAAGGGCAGGATGACGCTGCTGACGATGGTGACGATGCCCACGAAAAATGACGATTCTGATGCTGCTGGTCCGCGCCATGAGTCGTGACGTGACGATGGTCAGTTGCAACTACGAAGGCTACGAGGTATCGTGAGGGGATTCATGCATGCATGCATGCAAAGCAAGTGATTAGTTGAGCAGGACAGTGACGATGGTGGCACAAATCGACACCCCCATGGAGAGACGTCTGCTACAGCACGATACAGCGTTCCGCGGAGCACCTACTAGAGGGAGAGAGAGTACCGCGTGGAAGAAAGGGTAATTGACGATTGCAATAAAGGATCGAACAGTACACCACGGAGTACCTCTGGTCATTATTGATCCACAGACAATCTGTGCAGTGTTACTCGTAATTATACTTGGACATGTCAATCGGCCCATCTGCTACTCTAATGTTCATATCAATCACAACATATCATATCATATCATATCATCTCATTTATCTAATTACACCGCATACCAGGAATCAATAGTCCACTGTCCACCATTCCCCAACATTGACAACAACAACCATTTAGCCATATCGGCAGGCGACCGAGCGCACGGAGGATCAGTTCTAATTTCCAATTAGTACCTAGATAAATCGCTCTTCAGGTTCAGGTTCAGGGTCGGATCCAGGATTCGGATTCAGATTCAGGCTTGGGGATGCGAACACCGTATACATCCTGTGATAACCTGACTATCTACAGCGAGTAACTGCTTAGCTACTAGTCTAGTGACTACAGGCCATCTAAACTTGACCATCTTAATTATCATCTAACTACGAGGTAACTAATGCCGTGTGCTGTACATGGGATGGGATGGGATGGGATGGGATGGGAGCGGAGCAATGAGTGCTAAAGAGCTTAGAGTCAAGTGTCTACCGAACCAACGCTTGAACACCTTTACAGAGCAAAGAGAAGAGGAATACGACGGGTAGATAGAGGAGGGGAATTTAGAAGGCGAAATTGGCAGATTGGCCTCTATCGCCCGTCCGTTTCCTTTTCTTAGCTGCCTATTTTCTTTGGTTGTGGTTGTGGTGAATGGTATTGGTATTGTACCACCATCTCCACTTATCTCTCACCCCCTCTCACTCACACTCATTCATTCACCCACCCACCACGGCATCATCATCCCAAGCTTCGTCCATCCACCTTTCTATCCACCTCCAATCCACCATCGCCCACTCGGCCACTCCTCACCACCATCAGAGTCCGCACCTGCATATTCGGTAGATATTGGCATTCCTGCTTTCCCACTCTACTGCGCGACTACACAACTAGCTGCTGCACTGCTTTCACTTTCTCTACGATTCACGCCGCCACACGTTACATCCATCTGAAAGGGCAAGTTCTAAACATCCACTCAGGCCTTTCAGGGTAAACAAGGGTCCACACACAATCACACACACGTCCCATTCCTTTCCCTTGTCATCCCATCCCAACTTCTCGTCTCTGGGACTTGGCTTTCGAACTGGGGACGGGGACGGAGACGTTGGTAGCGCTACGCACACGGTACAAGGCACAAGGCACAGACCGCAGACACAGACACAAACACAGACGCACAGAGAGATCGCCATCAACCTTCCCAATCAAACCACCCTCCACCATCGCCCTCGCGCCCGCCCCTCATCCAAGGGTTCCGCTTGCGAAAGTGCGAGCTCGAGTTTGGGAGTGAGAGTGAGAGAAGATATCCATCCCAATCCAATCATCCCAATCATCCCAATAAGACAGCCAGAGAGAGAGAGAGAGAGAGACCTTGCAAGCTTGAGGGTCATTCCGCCGCCAACTCTGCCAGATATATTAGGCCCGCCCGGCGCCTGCTACCAAAGCGAACCCTCCCTCTCTAACCTTCCAATCCTACTCGTAGTCCTATTCGTAGTTGCTCCGTACTCTAGAGTCTACTCTACTCGTGGTTACAAGCCTGTCCATCCACATGGGATTACATGGGATTCTCTCCACCATCAGTCCGAAGTGCGTTGCTGGCCATTGTTTCTTCCTCTACTCCTTCTGCTACTCCTCCTCCTCGGGATCGATAAACCATTTATAAATTCCAAAGCCTCCCTCACTGTTCTCTGCCGTTCTTGGCTCCCCCATTCACACATAACTACTTCATTTACACTGTAACGGAGTACATATCTTCGGAAAGGTGAAGCAGAAAGGGCCCACCCAACAACGTCATTTCCTAAGCCCAATCCGCCTTCGCTCCATCGCACCAAATCGACCCAATCGAAACAATCCGCCCGCCCTTTCACATCCTACGACTACGACTACGCCTACGCCTACCAATTTACCACTAAATTCACACGACTACCCGCGGACTACCCTAGGACGAGTACGAGTAATAATCATCGTCACCCTAACTACGTGATTGTCATTATAACTCCCCCTCCTGGCTTTCCCGAAACCCATTCCCTCACTACATACAACTACTGCCATATGTCCCCCCGTCCGGTCGACCGGTCACCACCTAAAGTCCAATCCCAAAAACGTTACCAGTCAGGGCAAACAGACATGCCATCCACCAGGTCGCCTCTCTCTCCCAAGATGGACTCACTCACCATGCCCTCCCAAGCCTCCCGCCGCCCTCATGGTACTCGCCAACTCTCCGTAGGCAGCCCTGGTGCCCTGAGGCTCCCATCTCTACCGCGTTTCCACCCAGCCAACTTCGCCTCTCAGAACTCCAGCACCACCGCGACACCTTCCACAAACCCAAACAGCCCTCAGGCTCCCCTCTCACCTCGGAGGCAATACCACGCCCAGATGCAGTTCCAGATGTACCAGAGCTCTCTCAAACCACGAGGCCCTGGCGCGAAGCCCACCAGCCCACGTCTCATTCCTATGGGCAGCCCTGGACCCGTTACACCTCTTGAGCTCGCAGGCGATGGTACTGATGGAGGGTACCTTACTGCAGGAGTCCGTACCAACGATACCTCTTCTCATGTCGACAAGCTCATCCGCGAGGAGGCCATCCGACGAGGCGAGATCTCTCCTGGAAGAACTACATCGGTTGGTGGTCGGTGACTGACCGACAACAAGCACCATCACAAGCAGCCGCCTTCTCGTTATCATCCAAGGAGTTTGGCTGGTATCCAGTACGGGCGCTAGCCACACACAGATTGAAGTTTCCTTTTACCACATCATTCACCAGCACCAGCATGGTACGGGATAGGAGTTTCCTTCATCACATCGGTTCGGAGCATCATTGGCGTTATATATCATCAAGACCGGACTACTTCACCAGGCGGCAACACTTGCAAAAACCAACACAAAAAACAAAACAAAACATTAAGGACACACATGGACAAACCTGACGGACGTTGAACGAAGAACCGGCGTTTTTCCCCAACTTCTGTCTATCGCTTTTGTCGCCACTACACCCAAGTGCTGGACGTGTGGTCGTCAACGATCGCTTTTTCCCCCTCCCAAATACCCCAATTTCTTTATTCCCAGTACCATTCCCATTCTCGGCGGATATCATTTGCTCCCCCTTTTCTTGGTCGTTCCCCCCTTATTATCTCGCCTGTCCCGAGCTTGCCACAAAGCGCTCCGTTGCCAACGCACAACGTCGAGCGGGGACAGATGACGGGTCTTTTTCTTTTCCACAAACCAGCGGTGTAGTTCACAGGAAGGGGGAAACGAACCCAGACTGTTCACGCTGAGTATTTAGCTAGCACACACGAATTTATGAAATGAAACACAATATCAAATTTCCAAGCTCTGCTCTTCCCCGCCACCACTAACTTACACGTGCAAACTTAGTATCTATCTCTCTATCTTCATCCACAGCCCCATCGTGATGTTCGCTCTCCGCTATCTTTAGACAAGCCAGCCGTGCTCCGTATCAAATCAGAAAGTTTACTCGTACCCGTCCGTCCCCACATATACAGAAAGCGAGCAAAACCCACAGATAAGAGAGGGGAACCCATGCCGAAGCAGCCGTTTAGGTAAACCCTTTTCTTAGTCTTTTCTTACTCAAAAGAACAAAAAAGCGACCACTAAACTACAAGTTTAGCTGCCGACTCTATCTGTAAAATCACCATGTTGGTATGTTTTGCTGTGGTACGACAAGGCAAGGCGTCCACCACCGCCTCCCTCCCATCCCCACCAAAATCAAATACCTAAGGTAGGCTGAGCAACCCTGAAGCGGACCAACAAAGGAAAATCGAATCGAATCGATCAGATACCCGACCTGAGACGAGCGCTCGCCCTGCATATGTCCCATCCCTCCATCACCCAGCCGTCCTTACACCATCAACTACCTAACTAGTTAGCACCATTTTACCGAGAGAGGGAAATGAAGTTTATTCGACGGGTAAAAAGAAAGCGTTTGGCGTGACTGGACTGGAAGGGAAAAAGAAGGGTACGGTACGGCTTCGGCAGCGTGGGTTCCGGGACCCTGATGTTTTATTGACTGCTTGCCTTGTGGTTTCTTGGGTGGTTCTTGGGGGGGCGTTGTCAGCGAGTGAGGATGTGTTGAGGAGGCGAAGCGAGCCGAGTACGACAGAATGGGATGGGTTCGAAGGTGATTAATTGATTGATACTTGTTGTAAAGGAAGGGGGAAAAAAATCAAAGATGTGCTTTTGGCCTCTAGAGTAACCTAAGAATACACATGAAAGTAAGACGATACGGTACGGTACTCGGTACCATTATTGTGCCCGTACCAGTATCGCCCAAGCAACGAAAGCAAAGCAAGGCTGTACGATACGGTACGGTACCATATGAATTGCGCCTCCACACAACACCAATAACCACACCACTGCAACTCTTGCCGAACCTACCTACTTTTACTCGTCCCTCCTCGCACAATGGTGAACAACACAATCAGCTTATCACACATAGCCCCTAGCCCCATCGAGCGCATGATCACCATAATCACCATCATACACCCGCCCATCACTTCCTAAACGTCGGGAGCGCGAGCGTGAGGGGTCAGAGTGTAGTGTTAAGTCACCTCGTGTCTTGTTCCCCGTGATTGGACATTATTATATCAGCATGATGGTTTCCCTCTGGCCTTATGTTCGCCACTTATTATCGACATCGATTTGGGGGTTAAGGTGAGGTGTGTATGGAGAGGAGATATAGATGGGATGGGCATATGGGCAGGGGAAGGGGAAGGGAAGGTAAGGCGAGACGGGATATGTGGTACGCCATTGAGCGGGTAGAGAGAACTGTGTTCTTGGGTGTCTTGGGGTGTGTATTGCTTGGGGAAACGAAACGTGCGGCGGGAGATGACGCTGCATGAAGCAAGTTTAAGCTTGGAAGAGAAAGTCGAATGGATAGTGGGAGATTGTGTATGGAAAGAAGGCGCGAGGTAGGAAGGGAAAGCTGATGAGGCGATCTTGACGCATTCCGTCGTGCTCTGTGCTGTGTCATCATCCTGTCTTGTCTTGCTGCTGCTCCACGTGAAGGTGGCGATGTGGAATGGTTCGATTTATTCAGTTCGATCTGTTCGGGTTGGTGTTGATCAATGAGACGGCAACGCAGGGCAAGGCTGCTGGGTACGAATCATGTCTGCGATGGCTGCGCGTGCGAATATCAAATCGAACTGATCATCCCGAAGACCCTTTGTTTGATTGAGGAACGAGGAACGAGAATCGAATCATGTTCGCGTATGCAACCAGCTAGCCAGTAAGCAACCTTTGGTTTGAATCACTGTGTCTATTCGTCGGGGGTTACGAGTCTGAAGAGAACAATGGTGTATTACTTGAATTGAAACGATCTGCTTCACTTGCTTCTTCGTGATTGGATGGGTACAGCATATTGTACGAGTATTTGTAGGATAAGATATGAGTAGTTAAGACAAGGTAGGGGAGTTTATCCCTCATTCATATTAGAAATGGAGTGATGTTCAAAGAACAACGATCATGAATGATGATTAGTGGGCAAGCCGAATATCAAACCTTTCGTTCCTAGAGATCTCATTGCAGCGTGTCCTCGAGCAATTGGGCCCTCGTTAAGATTTCCCCTCCAAAAACCAGTATTTTCTGGATAATGGAACGACAATGATGCAGTTGGAAGATCTACATTCCGGTGCCCAATCTCAAAGCGTCGGGATGAAAACAAGAAACGAAGCAGAAAACGAGGCGTCCGATTCGCGACATCTCGTTGGGAGATCATGCAACACGAGTAATTCTAACTCCGAAGGTGAATCATGAAACGCGCAAAACACTCGGGGTAAAGACAGAACAAAGAATCACCAAGAACATGATCATTATGATGGCAACCAACGACGGCGGCGGTGTGCTTGCTGATCGGAGCCGAACGCTGGGAGCCGGAGTCCGAGAGCAGAGGAAGGCAATCTTTTACGAGCTGTGACACAATCGCTGGGCCCCGATAAAGGATTGGCGGATGCTTTTGAAAGGCTGATCGAGGAATTGATGAATTGCTTGATTGATTGGCTTCATCAAAGAAGTTGTACCTTGTTCCTTGTTGTCCGGTCCAACAATCAGCATGAACGCACGAAATATGAACAATGAAATCGATCATCAAGAACCAAAAGTTGGTGTCGCACGACGTCCGTCCCGCGTTGGACGAAGCCACAACCGCAACCGACCAAGCCTTCGGGATCCCTGCGCTGACTCTACTGTTCACATAGTTACTCGTAGTTACTGGCAGATGCCTGTACTCCGTACTCGTACCTACACATTGGTTACTTGTAGATAAGATGCGAGTAAATGGATGGATGATGAATGCCTCAGCTCTTGCATCGTCCCACATTTACGGCCCATCTATTTGCTGCCGCTACCAAGGCCTTCCTTCTGCTCGGTATCTGAGTAAAACTGAAAGCAACCCTCTGAATCCACAAAACTTACTGTATCCGTAATAATCACCTTCCTACTTCTGCTGCGTGCGTGCCAACTTTTCAGTGGAGATAGATGATTTAGAAAAATGAATGGGGCTAAACGTCTTTCCCTTTCTTTTTACAAATACTCACACGGAAACTCTGTTCTGTGGATACCTTTCCATGCACCTACGGTAGAGTAGGAACCCACAAAACGTATCCGTACGGTATTGGCTGGCAAACTGCTCCGTGTCAACCCTTGGAAGAATTGGTGTTTACCCTACCCGAATTGAACCCTGGAGTCCCTGCCTTCCCTTCATTGCCCTGCTTTGCCCTTCGATGGAACGGGATGATATGCCCGGCACACGCTGTAAGAGAAAGACGATCGTTACTTTGAGTAATCATCGACGGACCTGCACGACCGCCAGATCGGCATTCACGTGGTGTTAGACAATTGAGAATTGGTAGATTAACTGCCCATCAAGCTGATCTCTCTCGGCACTCATTACCCTACGGCTCCTGCAACCAGACTAATCAATATGTCAAAATTCGGGTGTCACAGGACATGTCTGAACAGGAAGTTACTCCTTTCTTCACTCTTCCTGCATCGCCTTTCCCCGCGGAAGAGAAACAATCTTGGGTGCTTTGCGATGAAGAGAAAGTTAGAAGACGAGGTTGATGAAATGACGTCGGTGGCGTGATTAGCCGAAGTGTGAAGGAATGCAATGCAGCCAGAAGTGGGGTCCCGTTCTGACACTATTGCCGATCAAGCTAGTCTGACGAAAGTAAGCATCGTTCACAAAACCTCTGTTTCTGCATCGTACTCGTACTTGGAATCTATAATTGTGGGAATAATTAACCAGGTAATTAGTTGTATGCAATATGAAGCTGCAAGAATCACAATTTTGCCATCAATAACTCCTTTTAACCCTTGGAACAGAGAAAACATTGGGTAATTCGGCCTAAATATCCCCGAAGTACTGCGCCTGTACGTAGTATGAGCATCAATAGTAACCACTTCATCCTGATATTCATCTAATGCAGGAATTTGGTGCTTTATTCGCTCACTAGCTGGACGTGATGTCCATGTATCATCATCATCATCATAGAAACCATTCTGCGATCCTTCTACTAGAAAAATGCTTCCAAGATCCCAGTTCCTCCTACACTGTTTCGCGGGACGGCTGATAGGGTACTTTCACGGTGAGCATAGGCGCTGAACCAAGTGAAGCATGCAAAACCTTGGCCCAATCGACCCAGAAAGTGCATGTAAGATTATCTTTCAGGGCCGGCGAATAGATGTGGATGCTTCCCCTTCTCCGGTGAGGCTTCTAAATAGTAGAATACCAACAAACTCGTTACGAGAAGTGGTGTACATTTCCGCATATTGGTTTCTTGTGATATGGCAAACTAGAGCTGGCTAGAAACTTTGTGCCGTGGGTATTGCTGAGCTTGATTCCATGGGTATCTTTTTATTGTTTACCATACTCTGCAACACAGGCAGTGTAAGTGTAGCATAGCCGGAGATGACATATCAGCGGTGGATTCACATGTTCTCCAGCCATCACCTCAGTGGAACAGTCATAAGAGGAGATACCTTATGTTCACGCATGTGCACCTGCTCCAAGCTATCTCGCCTCGCCTTTTTTGGTGAAGAAACGTCATCCTGGACGACGATTATGTGCGAATCCCTCGCTCATGGAGGACATGGATTGAAAAATGGTTCACGTCTGTCTGAATTTGAACAAGGCATGGGTCACTCTCTATGAGAAAGTATCTAACGAGGTGTTGTAGTGTCGTAGATCGAAGAGTCGATAGAAAATATACTGAAGTAGTACTTTTCGAACGTTTCCTCGTAATACCTTTTTTGCTGATGCCATTTTCGCCGAGACTTTGGGACTGGGGTTAGATCGTGATGGGTAAGATATTGCAGTTGGAAGAAAGAACGGCTGGATCGATCTGTGTGGTTTTGCTTGCATGGCCGCTGATTGTAATATATGAACAAAGAATGGATAAGAAAACGTTCGCAGTATGTAAGTAAATTCTCTTTAAGTTTGTCCTTGTAAGTGAACGATATTGCTAGTAACACACTCAAATGCACGATTAAATCACTTCTCTATCATCCGTAAGGGCCGAAAACTTCATCACGTACTCTTCCCATCCAGTCCATACGCCTTCAGTATCCTCTTCCCGACCCCCTCTCCAGCCCAATACGCCCCAGTCACCGTCCCAAGCGCAACGAACGGCGCCGTATGCTCACCCGCGAGCCACAACCCCCTCTCCGGGAGACCCCTCCTCATAACTTCGACATCCTCGTCGCCCCGCTCCAGCCCCGTCTGGAAGTTCGCGTAGCTTCCGTTTCCAGCCAATTCGTCGTTAGCCCACGCTGTGGCGAGGATGGCGGCGGGCTTGCACGAAGGGTCGGAGGGGGAGTAGTTTGGCAGGCGGGAGTAGTACGGGGTGAAAAAGTCTTGGAGGAATTTGTCGTGTGTGGATTCGGGCGTCGAGGAGAGGACGGAGGCGATGTGGAGAGATGTTGGACCGTAGGTGTAGAAGAGGAGGGTTGGGTGAGCCGTCGCTGGGGGAAGCGCTGCCAAGTTCACGCATTCTTGGCTCCAGTGGGAGGGATTGGTTTCTGGGGCGTAGTACGGCGATATCCATTGTGCGAAGCCTGGGTAGTGATTTGGATTCACGGTTGGTGGAGTTGGTTGATTAAGGGGGGCGGTTGTAGCGGGTACGTTTGGCGATAAAGTTGGAGGAGGTGGTGGTGTTAATGTTGTATCGGAATTAGATTCGTTCCAGAATGCGCTGGGAAAGGTCATGTAGACCTAGTGGTGTGAGTTGTGATTGATAAGGCAGTGAATTGTATACTGACTTTGTCTAAGTGACCGTATCCTATCGAGTCGATCCCCTGCTTCAGTCTACTCGGAAGATCAGGCGAAAATGCATCATCCTTATGCTTTTTGAGCCATCCCAATGGTGCTGTCATCACCACTTCGTCAAAGTTGAGCTTCTCGCCATTATCTAGCCGAACTGAAACGGCAGGCTCTTCTTCAGTACCATGAGAATCTATACTTGCGACCTTCTTCTCAAACTGTATCTCAGCGTTCTGAAGAGCATTCTGCGCTATAACGTTAAGTATCTTGTGATAAGTCCCCGCAACGAAAAGATTCTCCCCATCGATACACTCTTCTAGCCAGAAGAACTTCAGACTTTGCTTCTGAACGGCAGTACCTATGAAAGCCCCCCACATCTCAGACATCTTGAGAATCGTATCGCGCTTCTTTTCGGCGACTTGATCGTTCTCCAATACTGACGGAATTAACTCCTTCACTTTCTCCTCGAAGAAGTCGTACAAGCTCTTTTCTACAGGGATATCTGCGGTGTTCTCATTAGAGTACCGCATGCCTTGCTCGATGATGGTCCAGACGAGTTCGGAGTTCTCAGTCGCCTCTTTGAGCGGTGTTTCTGCCCCATATTGGTCGAAAACTGCTTGTCGGCCATCCCACGTCATGATCTCTGTCTTCGTTTTCTTAGCCAGATCGAGGAAAGGGTTGTCATCCGTTCCATGTATCCAGTTTGGACCGCTGATGAAGCATTTCTAATCAGTCTGGGACTCTACAACAATGGAGGTGTGTGAAATAAAAGAGAAAAGTCCACCTACAGATCGACCATATGTCCTAGGGAGCTGCTTTGACATAACTACCATCCTACTCAGCCCCAAGAACACATACAGCGTACAGGCTATATAGTTACCCTTCCACCAATGCGATTCCGGCCTTCTAGAATCGTGACTTTCACACCCTGCTGGAGCAATACATCTGCGCAACGAAGCCCCGCTGCGCCGGCTCCCACGATGCATACATGCGGCACCCTGCCAATAGCACGTCGAATCATCGGGACCTCTCCGTTCGGTTCGAGATAGTTGGCTTGATGAGGTGATCCTGAGAGGTCACGTTGTATGCGGGTCATCGTACCCGAATGGCCGTTCCTCCCGTTTGGGGTGTTCCTATGCTCCATGGCTATGAGATACTGTTTGAATGATGGGATCTAGTGACGAAATGAAAATCTAGAAGTGTCGGCCTAGAAAAGATATGGAAAACAAAGCAAATGTGTTGCGAAAGAGACAGCCACCAATATCAAGCAGAGGGTTGTGGTACAGCGTATGACCAATTCGATAATGGGTACCGCCCGAGAGAAACCGATAAGCCCTCTTATACGCTATCTGTAAGACACAGCGTAGAGGGCTCTCTTCAAATTTGATAATCGGGACATGGAGAGTGTTTCGAACAAAAGGATGACTCTGGCATGAGACTACTTAGGTGGGTATGGGTGGAAGAACAATGGACCAGACCAGACAAGTGGTCTAGCCATCGTGGCGGTTTTGAAGGACCCAGTGTGCCAGTGACTTTCGGATGATAAGGAAAATGACGGTTGAACATACCGATTAATAATGCAGCCAAGGTAAGTATTAGAGCTCACTATGAGATATGGTTGGCTGGGCACTTCCACTGTCTGTAATATACCAGAGGATTGTCGTCCTGTAGGCTAATATGGCAATATATCCGTCAAGTTGGAGTGGTTAGAAACGGACTGAGACGGCTGGCGTTGAGCAGAATTAAGACATGTGCCAAGGTTGACTATAAAGCCACGCGGCCCTGGAATGGCGTTGATTGGATGCAGTTGTAGGAATACGATGTATGCTCAACATCAACCATTGGAATAGATGTACATCATTGAAATGCAGAATGTATTGTATATAACTTGAAGATGGCGATGACTCAATTGCCATAAACAATAAATGGGCGAATGGGAATCGTTGCGAGGGCCCAACCCCGTCATTGTCTTGGTTTACACCACCCAAGGTTGCTGCGCATTTGACCCTACCTTCATTTGATGTATTCAGAATTGTGATCAGGTTCATGTTCAGGCGGAAACAAAATGGTATCATTGATCATGTTTGACTGGACCTTGAACTGACTATGCGCCCATAAGTTGACGCCAAAGAACCCCGAGAGCGCCGTGCAAGCCGACCTGGGCTAATGCTGAATCATGCACCTACTCGTTTATCATCCCCTTCATCTTTCGGTGCTTCCTGATCTTTGCTGAGATAGTCCGCGTCTTCAGCTTCCTCATATTCCTGGATCAATCCCTGAACTACCTCCTTAGCTTCATCGAACTCGCCCAGTCCATCTCTGAAAGGCGCCTCTCGCTTGTAGCTCTCCAAGAAAGCATTCCTCTTGCGCAGAGTGTTATACTGCGCAACAATTCGCTTGAACAAGGTAGCAATACCTGTATGGTTAGCAAGCATGAGGCCAGATACGCGATGCGAGGACGTGACATAAGGAGACTTGCGGGTGAGCGCGACTTGGATCGAGGCTGGACCCCATGGGATGAAAGTAGCCAGCCGCCGTTCTCGGATACGGAGGAGCGACTTATGAACGTCCGTAGGATCGGCTTCTCCTTGTATGATGTTCAAAATGGACATGTAGCAGCTCTTCTTTGTGGGGTTCGTGGAAACCATCCTATTCTTCGGCTGAAGCAGCCGTCTCATGACATCCAAGACAGTAGTTTTACGCACGGTCTTCGCCTGTTCGACATTCTCGCCCGAAAATGGTGTATATGAGGTCATCAAGAAGTGACAGCGAGGTGTGGGAATAAGAGATGCAACAATTCCGACGAGATCGTTATGCATATAGCCCGGGTAACGGAGCGTTGTCGTACTAGCAGACATGACTGTAGATACGAGCTGGTTGGTTTGTTGGAACGAAGGATTTTGGACGTGTAATCGATCTGCGGCAATCCTAGAGAGAGCGCCATTGTCGAGGACAACCTGCACAGTTAGTCTCCTACTTGTCTCGTTGGCTTGTGATACATACAACCGAGTCGGCGTTCTGAGTCAACCTCCGCATACTCAATAGACTGTTATATGGCTGAACCACAATATCGCCGTCTTGGGTATTTGGAAAGACACTGTAGGTCTGGATGAGCTTCTTGGGAAACCTGTCGTTGAGACGCTCAAGCATGAATGAGCCTAAGCCAGAGCCCGTTCCACCAGCGATTGAATGAAGAAGCATGAAGCCTTCGAGCGAGTCTGACCCGTCTGCTTCACGATCTATCATATCCAGAACTTCATCCTGCACTTGTTCGCCCATGCTGTATCCCATTCCCCAGTTGTTACCAGCACCGGTGCCATCCTTGTGGATGTAGAAGTTCTCGGGATTGTAAATGTTCTTGTAAGGACTGTTTTGGATCGAGTTCAACACCTGTTGCAGTCAGTCTCAGTCGGGGTTACAGTGTTCTGATGTACACACTCGCGGTTCTAAGTCGAGAAGGATTGCTCGTGGAATGTAGCGGGTATCGTCCGATTGATAGAAGAACACATCTTTTCGATCACCACCTTCTGTGGCAAAGTCCTCGAGGTTTCCATCTTGGTTGATGCCGTGTTCCTGACATAGCTGCTGCCAAAATTGTTGGCCAACTGTTGGTAGAGAAAGTCAGCCTCTGTATGTATTGGGCACCGCTGTAGGTGTGAAGCAGGGCAACATTTTGAGCAGACACGTACCGCTATTACCGCACTGACCGGCCTGCAATGTTATTATCTCCCTATTTGAAAGTCAGATACAGTAGCAGAGATGTTGAACGAATACCCACCTAGGCATGTTGATTGTGCAGCGATTGAGGGTCCGACGCGTTGCGGGGAAGTCGCGTTCCTGAAATTTGGGCGGGTTCACTTCGGGCCGCGCCACCTCCAGGAGAGCTTATTATCGGGAAAGTCAATTCAAACAAACCACACAGTAACTCTACGAATGATGCATAACTGCACTCTATTTTACCATGGAAAAGCCATTCTCTCATTATTTATTCACTCAAATTGAGTTTTTTTATTTATGTCATTATCATCATTATAGTATCATGCCTATTTTCGCTAATCGTGAATCTTTCACCCATTAGTGAGTGCTAGCATCTTGATGCTCTTCACTCAGGCACGGCATTCACCCTTCTACTCGACGTTTTCCGCTCTGTGAAACCGAATTTAAACTGGAACAGGACCCCGAATATCAAGGCCAGGAGATTGATGCGAATAACATCGAGCCACATCAACATCCCAAAACCCTCATGCATCCCCTCATGCCAACTCTTCCTAACCTCGAGAAATAGCTTTGGGTCGTCTGTGATTACGCCGTCCAGTCCGTGCCGGATGTCCCATCTCATCCGTCGCTCTTCATTGACTGTCCATGCAAACACTGGCCTCTTTTCACACTGCGCCTTCTTGAGGAAAGCTTTGCCCCAAGGTGTCATGATGATACCTTGTAGCAAGTTGAAAGACACATTTGGGACTGAAAAAAATCTGGAAGCGTAAAGGATAGAAAACCCAATGTGAGTAATGGGAAATCCGGGAAGATGCCGTGAGCACAACGGAAGATATTTCGCTGCCCATATGCCCAAGACAATACGCGATGACCATGGCTTATTCGGCGATGGGCGTACACTCTCAACCGTGCTCGCTATCAGGCGCATAATATCCTCGGGGTCGTTGTCGAGCTTCGGATCACTTCAGCACGAGCTTCCATCAAGCGGGAGATACACGGCTTACCTTAATATCGAGTAACAACCAGATCTCCTCCTTTCCTGGTTCGGCCAGGTATTCAAGCAAGTCAAGTAATCTGGGCATAGACTGGTGGGGCTCTTTCAGTGTTTTCAATTTGCTCAAAAATTCCCAGTCACAGTCGATGATCTTCTCTTGCCGGCCAAAACACCGCTTCAGGTCTTTGTCCTATACCCAGTCAATCAACTTAAATATCAAGAGTGGTCGCCTTCCTTACGTGTGAAAGAACAACTACACCATCTTTGGAGATGTGGAGATCCGTCTCCAATGCTTCCGCACCAACTTCAACAGCACCCTTGAATGCTCCTAAAGTGTTTTCGGGGAATTGTGCTTTATAACCTCTATGTGCGATTGCCTGGGGTTTTCTTTTTCCGGACACATCCTTACGAGCAAGCGCAAAGCTGGCTATATGGCGTCAATGTCTTGATCCTTGCGTCCATGTTGCTGATCAATACTCACGTAGTGTGAATTCTGCTCTTGGGCCGAGCAGAGGCTGCTCAGCGAATTTGTCGATATCCCGAGTTAATGCTTTGAAAACTGGTGGTACTACCATGTTTTCCAGCAGCGGTGTTTCCACCGTCTCAGGCGTGTAGTCGACTGTCCTCTCAATCATGATTACCGAGCTGGGGCTAGTTTGAACACAGGCCTCCGAAGACCGAATGCAAAGGGACGATTACAGCGGCTTGATTTGGGAATTTCGACATGAACCGGCGCACGGAAGAGCATGCGTGAGAAGCAGTATATAGGTGTGCACGCGCGATTAGTTCTTATGATCAGCAGCCGGCCGCAATAAGAGGTACCTGCAAAAAGGGTTCGCCCGTCGGACACCTATGGCCCTACGAGTGAACACGCTGCTGGCACCTGCAGCCTCTGCAAGCGTCTAGTCGTCTTCAAGCCCATTTCTTTACATAGCCTGAAAGCCGTCATACCAACAATGGTATCGCAGAGCGTCTCTAACGACCAAATTGGGTATTGGGTGGGCCCGTATTGGCTGAGCGCTAAAGTTGAGTCTGCTCACAGGGCATCTCGGATACACATGAATCCGACGCCACACATTCCGGGTTTGAGGTCTTCCAATGCGTTTCGGTGTCGAAACATAAGACCAGTAACGTTTCTAGCTTTCGAATTGCAGGGGCACTATTGTCACTTAACATCCCACCAATGCAGTCTTGCCATTAAGATTCCATACTTTCGGCGTCGTAGAGAGATCGAGCTCGAAAGACAGAGAATTGAAGTCAATAGGACCATCTTTGCCGTGGATGCGTGGGTACCGAATGCTCGGATGGTCCACATTTCCAACCGCACCTGGCGCGCCGATCAGTGCTTATTCGCCAGCCTTTCCATTACTCCACTCCTCTCTGCTTCGGACTTAACGCAGGTCGTAAACTATGTCCACGTGTGGTATCACGAGGTCGTTGGCCCGCTATTGTACGGAGTACTTTTGAATATCCTGATATTCTATCGGACGAAAATCGTTCTGGAAAACTACGTGCCCGGACGTACAACTTACATGAGTTGGATAAGCATGGCCTGCATGCAGTCATCATCCCCTGGATATTCATTGTCCTAAGCTAAGCCAACCTCTACCAACCTAACACGCAATGTTGGAATGCTAGAAAGTCACATACTGACATGGCAGACCATGTTAACACATTAAAGATCACTTCCATGAACTTTCTACGTCTGTTCTTATCATGCAGCCTTGTGGTGCGTCATCAAATGTTCGACACAACCCGGGCACCAGGTCCTTCTCCTTTTCCCTCTTGCAAACATGTCAGATGCGTTGTGTTCGTGCGACTACACTAGCAGCGTTCCCCGGACCCAACTCTATTCGGAGTTGACGGTTGGAATGTTTGGAGTCGTATGGCAAGCTGGGTGGCTCCTTGCACCCGTTTACAGCAACACATAAGAGTCCGAAATAGAAACATGCTCGCAAGGTGATCCCTACTACTAACGATGGCTTCCGCTCAAGCATCAACGGACAGCTACCGAGATCCATGAGGCTGGAAGGTTAGCTGGAGTAGCTGGCTCTAATACCAATGCCTGACATCTCAGGATTTAGATCTGCACCATTCATAGTAAGGGGCATTATCGAGAGATAGACACAAGCCTGGGGGAACCGCAAACTTCAGGTATAGCAGACCCTGTGAGATCTACGCTTTGGTTTTGGATTTGTCTATTCGTAGGACCGCTTCATATCTTCATGACCGAATCACCCAGCTACAGACTAAAGCAACCCATCGATAGGGCGACCGCCTCCGGAGAGCTAATCCCATCGTTCCATAGCTTAAGGTCCGGCCTCGCTGAATGCACATGCCTTTGTTACTTCCTTATTTATGCCTCGAACTTCGGTGTATACTTCGCTCTCGCTTGATCGAATTCCAGCTTCTTCTCTTTCCAGTCCGACAATGCCCTGTGGTTCTTATCCACAGATCCTAGTTGTTGCTTCAATTGAGTTGCCTCGTCGTTCTTTCCGAGTAATGTGTTCAACACGATCAAGTTCGCAATAGTGTCTGCGGAGTTCGCATCGATAGCGATGGCCTGCTGCAGGGCAGCTTCGGCCTCGGGGAGACGGCCGAGGTGGAGCTCAGACACAGCTTGTGCGACGAGCGAGTGCGGCGATTGTGAGGCATTGGTTTGGGCGAGCTCCTCGAAAACGTAGAATGCGGCTTGGTATTTCTCACCGCCCTGGGTTCAAATCGCATCAGTTCCCGACTTCTATAGGGAAAGTTGAAGTAGGGTTGCAATTGGTATCTTACCTCCCGAACGCCAACCCATGACTCTGCAATGTTGACCAAAAGGCTGTCTTGGGCCCATTTCCGCGCCCGTTGTGCCTCCTTGATGGCGAGGTCTGTGCGGTTCTGTTCGAGGTGGATCTGGACGATGAGCGCAACGCTGAGGACAAAGTCAGTAAGCCTAGACTCTTGAACCACAATCGGCTACTCTGCGGAATACGTACGCATCCAAACTTCCTTGGTGTTTGCTCAAAACCTCCAACGCAGCCTCTGGCTCCCCCGCTCGGTCCAAGATTATGCCCGCAACCAGCTGGACAGTCAAGTTCTCCTGCGCGTGCTGCTCAGCGAGCTTCTTCGCTTGCTCCACGACATCCTTTCCCTGCTCGTACTCCGCGAGTAATCGGACAGCGACGAGGTCGGGTGTCTTTTCGCTGGCGAGCGCGGAGGCTACTTCTTTGGACTGGCCGAGGGCAATCTGGGAGCGTAATTGGAGGACTCGGGCCGGGAGCTGGTTCGGAGCGGAGAAGGGGGATGTGTCGAAATCGAGGACTTGTTGGTAGGCGCCGGCGTGGAATGCGCTGTGGATGTTTATGAGCTCTAGCATGTGCGTTAGTAGGGTTTTCGAAGGATCAGTGGAGGGAATGATGCAATTACCTCCTTCGGGGGAGTATGGGTCAGACATTGTGAGGTTGAGAGTAATTGTGGTATTAAAATCGGAGTTTGGAGGGGACTTGTGAGCTCTGTGTGGAATTGGCGGAGGTGTACTTTCGATGTATGTTGAAGCCACGATACTGTGTTTGGTGTGTTTGCAACGGACTCTTGGCAGGTTGGTTGGTCATGATTGGTCGGGTTGAAGCATGTAATGAAATCTATGTCTATGAACTTGGCTGGCTATAATAATGCAATTTGATATTCCAAAAAGGCCAACATCTCCTACAGCCTCTCGATGCTGAATCCAATAGTTCTAGTTCCCTCCGGCATAAAATTGGCGTTCTTGTCCGTGTACGCTTCATCATCATAGAACGAGTCAATCTTGAAGTTCGTTCCCGTTTCCTCTTCAACTTGTTTCCAGAGACGAGCAAATGATTCTGCGTTGTGCCTGAATTTTGGCTTGTCCAACTTGAATCTTGGTGTTGTTTCTTCAGCAACAGTATGCCCAGTATGTCTACCAACCACAAGTGACCCTGCCTTGGGCTTCAACAACGCCACCATTCGTTTAGCAGCATCTACCTGTTCATCCCAGTTAAACAGATGAAAGAAGTGGGAGGCGTAAACTATATCCATAGAGCCATCGATCGTCTTCAAGTCTGATTCTGGATCAAAAATATCTGCAGCAATGAATGTTGCTTTCAAGGTTGTTCCATCCCGAAAGAGATCGTACCCGATATCCATGAACTCCTTTTTCAAGTCGGATCCGACGAGGTTCTCGGATGGAGCACCATCGTAGACGAGTTTACGTATATCTTGTCCGACGCAGCACCCAATGTCGAGGAGTTTGTCGCCATTTTTGACTCGCCGAAGAATCTCGTCATACTGAGGGCTCCGGCGGATGTTGAAATTGAGAAAACCCCATTTCCCCAAGCAAGGGTAGGGAAACTGCTGTAATTAGTATTTGTTGGCCGGCAACATTACAGCTTCACATACCACTTTGAACCCCTCATCTCTCTAGTATTATGTTAGTGATAAAGTACAACCCAAGTACATAGTAGACATACGAATTGCGTGATGTGAGAGACAACTTCCTCTGAAGGGATCTGGCTGTACTTCTCGAACAGCTCTCGTGCCTCAGGGTTTATCTCTTGAAGCTCCTTTTGGTACCATGGTAGCTTCTCAACGTTCTGTAGATCATGACTCCAGTAGATATTGACGGGTTTGGGGGTAGTCTCAGCCATGGCTCAAATAATTAAGGTTGATATTATTGAATAATGAAGATTTGCAAAGGACACAGGATTTCTGTGTTGTTGCTGACACTGCTGCCTTTATGAAGGATTACAGCTATTGAGAGCTAATCCTTGCTCTTCATGTAGCTGACCTTCATTCTAAGAAATCGACCCTCCGACCCTCCGCTCTCACGTGCATGTTCTTGTTAACTTGCATAATACTTCTTCAAGTCGAGAATCCTTTGTAACTGTCAACATTGATATATATACGAGAAGATGATGAGTTGGTTGTCCACAGCGGGCCGTACGGAGCCATTCACACGCTGTAGACGATGCTAATGGAAGGCCCTTCCGGATTTGTACTAGTGGATCAATTTACGCGGATCATTGTTGGCGGGGCATGACGCGCGTGGGGTGGGGGAAGGAAAAATCGTAGGACAACCTTATCGAACGAAGCCCAAGAAGAAAAAATAATCTCTCTCTTTTCAACAACGGACTACTAGGGCAAAACCTGACCGCCAAAATACATCGTTTCCGAAGTCTAGCTTCGACCTTTCCTCCACTCCACTATTCTATCAAGAGATTCAATTCTCCAATTCACACCACTTACACCTCTCTCCATATCTTCAACCAAACCCGCAAAATGAGCGAAATCGTCCACCCTACCATCAAGGGTATGTCTGCATCTCAATTGCTACAATTAACACTCCACCGCGCATATACTAACTCTGCTTGTGTTTGCAGATGGCTGGTTCCGTGAGATCTCCAATATGTGGCCTGGCCAGGCCATGACCCTCAAGGTCAAGGAGGTTCTCCACCACGAGAAGAGCCAGTACCAGGATGTCCTCATCTTCGAGTCCACCGACTACGGCACCGTCATGGTTCTCGACAACGTCATCCAGAGCACCGAGAGGGACGAGTTCTCGTATGTTATACACAAGCTTGCAGGAACAGAGCAATTGGTTGACGATGCATCAGGTACCAGGAGATGATCACCCATCTTGCCATGAACTCCCACCCCAACCCCGAGAACGTCTTGGTTATTGGCGGTGGTGACGGTGGTGTCCTCCGTGAGGTCGTCAAGCACGAGTGTGTCAAGAAGGCTGTCCTTTGCGACATCGACGAGGTACTTTCTACCAATCCGAATATACTCACTGATCACCTTGCTTAGATAACTTACGCTCCTCAGGCTGTCATCCGTCTCTCCAAGAAGTACCTCCCCGGCATGGCCGTGGGCTTCGAGCACCCCAAGGTCGAGACCCTTGTTGGTGACGGCTTCAAGTACTTGGAGGACAAGAAGAACCAGTTCGACGTCATCATCACCGACTCCAGCGACCCGGAGGGTCCCGCCGAGGCTCTCTTCCAGAAGCCCTACTTCGAGCTTCTCAATGGCGCACTCCGTGAAGGTGGTGTCATTACCACTCAAGGTTGTAAGCCCCCTCCTTAAACTATATACACGGCGAAACAGACAAGTAGAATCCACACAACATAGGGCGATTATGAGAGCTAACTTGTCAACCGTACAGCCGAGAACCAGTGGCTCCACATGCCGCTCATCGTCAACCTCAAGAAGTCCTGCAAGGAGGTCTTCCCCACCGTCGAGTACGCCTACACCACCATCCCCACCTATCCGTCCGGCCAGATCGGCTTCATGGTCTGCAGCAAGGACGCCAACCGCGACCTCAAGAAGCCCCTCCGATCCTGGACCGAGGAAGAGGAGGAGAAGCTCTGCAAGTACTACAGCAAGGACATCCACGAGGCGTCCTTCGTCCTCCCCAACTTCGCCCGCAAGGCTCTGCGATGAGGGAGTTCCCCCAGGGCGCTTTATCTGCACCACGCCTTCATCTACGATTTAACAAAAGATACCATGACATTCCGTAGGCAAAAAGTTTAGAGCCAGATGAAGAAAAGTAAAAAATAATGTAAATTCAAAAAAGTTCAGTGTTTCAATCGTGTCTGGAAGATGATGATGATGGGCGGATTACGTTTGCCATTGCCCCCCTTGATCATTACCTAGCCGCCCGTCCCTGTGACATTTCTCACCCAACGTCGAAGATTCGAAGGGGAGCATGAGGCGTCAGTTACTAGCGAATCACAACGACATATGGGACCATGTAGTCCGAATTTCAGCCATGATTTGGTTCCGCGTGAGAAAACATTTACAACGGTGATCACCGAAACCCATGTGCACAATGTCTGGGGAGAGGCATGTCTTTCTCTTCCAACACCGTGAGTGCATGCAGCGCTACGGCTGCCGCACGAATCATGATCAACACGCGTTCGAATTCATGCACGCGGTCATCGCGACAGCCTTCGGACCCAATTGTTTGATCAAGTGCATGTGGCTGGAGACATGTTGGACCTCGAAAATGAGGGTCGCAGCAAAACGTTAGGTAAGGTGTGGAATTCTCCGTGTTCCAAACGGGGCGATTGTTGTCGTCGTCAACGACGACGAAGGCGACCAGGAGGGAAAGCGTTAGTCAGACGGGGCGAAAGACGAAAGTAACAGCACCCAGGAAGCCGCGGATAGCGAGGAGAGGCACAAGTCATAGGATCCATCTAGAACTGGCGACGACATGAGCCATTTTGCAAGGCATGGTTTCGAAGGCTCCAAGGCGAACATGGGGACATCGTGGGAAACAGCGGTTAGGGAATGCCATGGCAGCAGACGTCAGTCCACTTTGCTCGCTGGTGATGGGAGAGGACGTTTCCAACGCGTATGATTTACCGGAAGTCGGGAGAGTCGGCAGTATCTCCATTGAGGTTTGGCTCACCGCCGCTGCTATCGTCTCGTCGTGGGTCTGTGGGGAGCTGGCGAAGGGGGTGGATTTAGGAATCGAGATGTTCCAAATGCTCGCTTACCTTACTCAGGGAGGGAGGGGGTCTACTTGGACGACAGAAGAGGGAAGGCCGAGACAACTCCAGACGGCAAAGCTCACCCCTGGCTGTGTTTCGTCTTGGGAGCGAATCGAAGCCTATTTGTCGTTGTTGTCGTGCATGTTCCTGTCATCTGCAGAGGCCATGCCGGCTGCCGGCGCTTTGATAAGAGCCTCCTACGAGTTTAGCATGGGTGCTATACGGTATCGTTATAGGCCTGAGGGTCAAATCCCACGGTACCAAAGACAGGTCCTTAAGGGGGTAATCTTTACTTTTCGCTTGCTGGTATTTCTCATGTTGAAAGAAGTGCCGGCCGGGAGCGCCATGTCGAAATGAGCCGGAGATGTGAGACCTGGAATACAGGAGATGCCATAGAGAGAAAGGGCATCGTAGAGTTGCTACGGGGGGCGGCCTGCAGGATTACCTACAGTGTTGTATGTTTGTAGGGATTGCAAATGAATGGAAGGGAAAAGCAACGGGCATCTGAGAAACAGTGCCTGAAGGACAAGGTGAAAGATTGGCCAGTCTCGTACAGAGTGTACAGATGCGCAACGGGCAAAGTGTTGTTCTGATCTGATTTCTCGTCTTGTCCGAAGCTTGAGAGGGAGCGCTGGGACTATGGCGCAGTGGGAGGAGGGCGGCCCACCGAGGGTGATACATTCTTCGTTTGGGCATCTCTTGAGGCGGTTAGCCGCCACGGAGGAGTCTCGTTGTTTGAGGCTTGTGCGGAACTGGGGAGTCTTCAGCATACAGCATAGGTGCTCGTAGCCCTTTTTGTGGAAATCCACGAGTCTTAGGAGTCCAGAGGTCCACGGGGGTGGTGACGATGGGAATTGAATATAGAGTGCTTCATCGTAGCCCGTCTAGCTCCCGCTTCCTGTCAGGACATTCCTCTCACGCCATTTCTTTCTATTATCGGCGCGCGGCCTGAGGTCGTGCCCAAGCAAACAGCAGTCAATTGATTCTTGACTTGCGCTTCACTATTGTTATCATTCTCTCTTCTTTATTTTTGCATGTCTTTATTCCTATAGGTCGAGCCGGGCTCTCCACATCACTAGTACTACCATCGTCACCACTCACTATCTTTTTCCATCAATCCAAGGCTTCACTACGACCACCGCTATCACGAATCCGTCCGTCACATTCTGATGCAGAAGTAGTAGCCACTATCACATCCGACTACCACCTACCGACATCGCCAACCGGCCGAATTCACCTTTTCCCATCTCGGGACATCGTCTTCACCAATCCACGCGTGTGATCGATCACTTGCATTGCATCAGCGCCTTCTTGCACATACACATTCACATTCACATTTTACATACACCTACTAATACTCGGAGCGTCTGGTTACGTCTTTCCTTTCTTACTACGCCACGACAAAGTACTTGCTTGTAATATCTTGCACAATACTTCTTTCCTACCTTTCGCGTACATACCTACCTACCAGCATTCAAAGGCCTGCATCTCGTTTGGACCACTTGTTCCTTTCGTGGAAGTCTTCGGAGCGCCATATACGTTCGAAACATCATCCCAACTGCGTCCGATACATTAGTCTCAGATTACTGTCTCGCCCGTCCCGTGTACCCAGCCCGCGGTATTTTTTTCCCATTGAGTTCCACAATCCTTCAACGAACGAACAAAGACACGCTATACCTATTCCACCGCGGTACCGGCGTTTGACTCGAACATTTCCGTCGTCGTCCTTGTTCGCAACTTGTCCACGAGGATCGCAGCCCGAGGCGATAGATTAGACGTCAACCAACCGTGTCGAAGCATCGTACCAAGTAACTAATTTGGTAATAATATTGTTCTCATTATTATTATTATTATTACTACTATTACTACTCCTTCCGTATCCATCACAAGAATGTTGCCCAGCATGGGAGCCGACCACGGGGAGCCGTTTAGTCCGACCAAGATTCACCCACTTCTCTCCCCACAGCGCGAGTCCTTCTCCGCCTCCGGTGTTAAATCCGCCGTCGACACCAGATTATTAAACCTCAACGACGCCCACCACCCGCGGTCCTCCTCGCCCTCTGCAACATTTCCTTCCCAACCTACGCCCACTCCTACGCCTACGCCCTCGTCTACTCCTATAAATAACGAGCATTCCCAGGCCCACTTGTCGCCCTCACCAAACGTCGACCACCAGTCTCTCTCCATTGTTACCACTGAGGATGCAAATTCGGTAGTGACACACGACGTAAGCGGCACTGCGCCCGCCTCAGGACTGCCCGCTGATCCACCTCCGAACGGCCCTATCCGGACGGACACCCAGCTTACTTCCTCATCTAAATCCTCATCCATAGAAAATCTAACCTTGCTACCTCCGAAAGCATCTTTCCGGGAAAATCGCAATCGCAAGCACCGAAAGGGTGCCCATTCCATTGATTCCATCCCACGCCAGACCATTCTAAAGGCCCTCCAGTCACGACCTAACGGTTCGCGCAAAATGTCTGTATCAAATTCAATGGACGCCGTGGTCATGGACTCCGAAAATTCCAAGGCAGTTGCCCCAAAGACAACTGCGTCTGGTTCCTTCGCGCATGCTCGCCTTGCCGAAGCTCTTTCGGAGCTTGACCTGGATTCGAGCGAGATGACGGTCAGTAAGATGGCTGCACTCGCCTCGCCTTGTTTCTACCACAAGAAGTTTGACAAGGCCGTCAACTTAGAGAAAGTGTTAGATGAGATGGCTGAAGACGACACTATTTCACATTCAAGGCTCATGCAGACGGCAACCAGTGTTCGCGAGATCGCGAAACAGCTTCAACGACGGCCTATCAAAATGGCTGTGCGGAACATCATGATCGTCACCAAGGCCCGCGACAATGAGCTCGTCCACCTTACCCGGCAACTCGCAGAGTGGCTGCTCTGCACTCCGCGCTATGGCTCAGATGTCGGCGTCAACGTCTACGTAGATCACAAGCTGCGAAAGTCAAAACGCTTCGACATGCCATCACTACTTGCCAAGGATGAGCGCTTCCACGACATGCTCCGCTTCTGGACTCCCGAGCTATGCTGGACTTCTCCTGAGAAGTTCGACCTTGTCTTGACCCTCGGGGGTGATGGCACTGTACTCTTCACCAGCTGGCTGTTCCAGCGCATCGTACCACCAATCTTGTCCTTCTCGCTTGGAAGCTTAGGTTTCCTCACCAACTTTGAGTTTGCGCAGCACCAGAATGCGCTCAACAAGATTATGGGCGACGCTGGAATGCGTGTGAACCTTCGCATGCGCTTCACATGCACGGTGTACCGATACCAAAAGCATGCAGCACCCGGTGCGCCACAACATATTGAGGCCGAGCAATTCGAGGTTCTCAACGAACTCGTTATCGACCGTGGCCCGTCACCCTACGTCTCCCAGCTTGAGCTCTATGGCGACAACAATCTATTGACTGTTGTGCAAGCCGACGGTTGCATTTTCTCCACACCTACCGGTTCAACCGCATACTCATTATCTGCCGGTGGATCGCTGGTGCACCCAGACATCCCAGCCATCTTGCTCACGCCCATCTGCCCTCACACCCTAAGCTTCCGACCTATGCTTTTGAACGACAGCATGCTCCTTCGTGTGGCTGTCCCCCGCAACTCCCGCGCCACTGCATACTGCGCGTTCGACGGAAAGGGTCGAGTAGAGCTTCGCCAGGGCGACCACGTCACCATTGCCGCGTCGCAGTACCCCTTCCCGACTGTGCTTTCTCAGCCAACGGAGTGGTTCGATTCGCTCTCTCGTACTTTGCGATGGAACAACCGAGGCGCTCAGCAGAAGGCATGGGACGGCGACGAGAAGGAGGACGAGGACGGCACCACGAAAGATACCGGTTTCGACATCGACTTCGACAACGATGAGGCCGATCGCGATTCCGGGTACTCTGCAGAGGGTTCAATTACCGGAGACCGGGAAAGCCCTATCAGGAAGGGCATTGTCCTACCCTTCCCGTAAACCATTCGCCTGTGGAGTGACATCGAGTCGTGTTTCGGCAGGCGTTCTATTCTTCTTCCTAGGATCCTTTCGTCTTGCAAGCTGCTTGGGCGGGTCCCCAATTAGTGTCTGGACTGGAAAGTTGAGTTTGGAGGCGTTGAGGTTCAGCCAGATACTTCCGCCTAGCCCATCTCTATTTGCTTGTTTGTTTTGATAATCTTCCTCTTCATCTCCTTCCTTTTCTTGACATGTACATTCATTCATCCATTCGTTAGCCTTCAACAGCGACATATACATTTTGGTTTGAAAGAGACAGGGAGAGAGGAGAGGAGATTTAATTTTTGTCCGTTGCAGCGTTTGATGAGTAGAGCACGATATCCTAGAAAACCCGCATTGTTGTTTTGGTGAAAGCGCTTAACCGCCTTTCTGTCCCCACATATACATGAAACTTCATTTAGAGCATTGCAGAGGAAGGTTGGAAAAGAGAACCGGGAGGATGCAGAGGGTGGTAGCATCAGGGTACATGTACATATGTGCCTGCGATTGGTAGACAGAGGAGAATACATTCGTGTATGAGCAGAGAATTGTTTGAACAATAAGCCAAGCATCATCATCCATAATAATGCCACCCCTACTGTGTAACTACAAGAGAACATTTCGAAAAACGATGACGGAACGAATCTCGGGAAAATGCTCCGTGCGATGTGACTGGTGGCCTTGCGCATCACCAATTCGTCCTCACTTTTCGCCTTAGTCGTGAGTCGTAGATACAAGTATGTTGTCGCCCTGTTTAAATACACCACTTACCCTTGCTACTTGGAAAAACTGCACAGTATTTTCTTGGAATCTCGAAAGAGGATCGTGAGGTGGGGATGGATCGTGCTCGCTTGTCCGCTACGTGTCCATTCTACTTATTTCTAGGTGCCTAGGAAAGGGATGTATACCTGGGAGCTCCACCTACCTACCTACCTGCCCATCCATACATTCAATTGATACAATTGGTGTTGATTCTCATCTGATGGACTCGAAAAGGCCAAGGGGGGTCCGACAAAGGGAAGGGGAAACCACCAGGCTGCAAACGGGTTAGCGATGGATGATCAGAGTTGAGTCCGTGGGGATTGCGCAAGAAACTACAGGACGAAGGATGATGTTGATCTGCCTTGGCTCTTTTCTTTGGTGTGCCTTGATTGATTAATTGAGGTATTGGTGGAGGTGGAATTGGAGATGGGGTTGTGGAAGTTGGAGTATTGAATTGAGCTCGCGATGGGTTGTTTTTGTTGGAATCGTTAAAGTTATCATGCTTTTTCCTGTGCGGAGATACTCGTAGATAATACTCATAATAGGCATCCTTCCTTCCCCTGTGATGATCGCCCATCAATCATCCACCTACTTACGACTTACCACCAGCCCCCGTCTCCACCCACTCTCTTCATCCATCCCATCCCATCCCATCTCATCTCATCTCATCTTATCTCAGTCCATCTATCGTTCATCGGAAAATCTCTGTGCAGCCGTTCTGTACGTACCTGATGTACATGTACATATTCATACTACTCGCAATCGCATGTGAACTCCCTTCTCTCGGCCAGCCCTACCTCCAACTTGGAGCTCCAACTCCACTTCAGCATTAAAATCATCTCCAAATCACCACCCATAAGCACCTAACTAGCCTGAAACCATTGCCTTCCATTCCTTCGGTCCTTTTTCGGAGACGAATCTGCCGTGGCTTCTCAGAGTTGAGGAGTTGGACCACACTCTGATCCCCCGCCATCCGAAACTAGACCCAACGGAATGACGACGTAAAACTCTAATTACACGCGCTGCTTCCTTCACGCTCTAACTCTGCTCTACCTACCTCGTACTGCTGCTCTAGCTGTTGCTGCTATCTGCTGGCTTGCTTGCTTGCTTACACAACCCAACAGCTTTCCCGCAACTACTTTCTCCCTCCCCCTCCCTCCATATACATGCTCTGATTATTATTATTGAACACACGTGCGGGCATCCGAAAGTAGGCAGTGAATTGGGAATGTGCACTTCCCCAATTCTGCATCCACATCCACAGGAGCCGGAACATACCACCAACCCAACATGACAACCCCCAGGCGCAAGGCCTGTGTAGAGTGCAGACAGCAAAAGGTATGTGTTTTGTACAGTATCTCTCTATCTCTTTGCTCCGCAGGCCCAAATTTCACGCCATGACCTCATGACCATAACCCCCGTAATACGAGGGTGCGCGGGAGAATGTTTTGCTGATAGCTATCGTCGGCCCACAGATTCGTTGCGATGTCGAGCAACACAAGACACCGCATGATCCATGTAGTCGCTGCCAGAAGATGAGCTTAGGTATGTATCACAATTGTCGTCGTCGCTCTTCGTTCTGCCATCATTCCTTCTGTTAGCCGCATCTGATACCTTTGCATAGAATGTCGCATATTGCCCACATCAACCAGGAATCTGCGGCAGACCAAGGCCGAAATGAGGAGGGAGCTGGAAGCACTTCGGATGAATCTTCACCATGGCCATGATGTCGCCGGTCACGTAATGCAAACTCCGACCTCCCATGCTGGCACCTCCGATGGCCAACACTACAGTCCAATTGGCCCTGGATCGTATTCGAATGAGTCTGGCAGGGATGCTTCTGCTTCCATGTCGCCTTCCTTTCATGATGCGCCTTCCGGGCCTCCGACGCGGAGGTCTTCTCATGGCCATACTGCCACATTGCCTCGCGTCTTAGATAACTACGTCGTCGATGCAAAGCGAATAGACGACTGCTTCGCCCTGTACGTGGTCGACACATCCTTATCAGACGCGCATCATTTCTAACACACGTGACATAGATTCTTCTCCCAGTATCATCAACTCTTGCCCATACTGGACCCATCGCTCAGCGCCAATGAGCACTACGAGCTCTCGCCATTTCTCTTCTGGGCTATCGTCGTGACTGGTTCCAGGCGGTACAATGAGGATCCACATGTTCTTGATAAGATCAGCCATCTCATCACACCCCTAGCTTTCTCATCCATAGCCCTTCGCTCCGAGCCCATCCCGGTCATCCAAGGGCTGCTCATCCTCTGCACGTGGAGACTGCCGACCAATTCTATGTACAAGGACACTACGCACGTGCTTTGCGGTGCCGCTGTTCATCTCGCCACTCAGATCGGACTTCACGTTGCTGGCGTTGGGCAGGACTTCGCGCGCATGCCGCTCAAGAAGGACCAAGAGCAGAAGATGCTTCGATTCAAGTTGTGGATGCATGTTGTCATTGTATCGATACGGTAACGTCACCTGTTGATATTGTCGCGCGATTTAGCTAATGGGAAGACAGAACGAGTTGCGCTGAAGGCATCCCTCCTTTGGTCATTGCCGAATCTTTCTTCGATGGTGATGAGAGGGAGAGGGAGGATCTCCTCGCCTACCTTCCGGGTGAATTGCTGTTCCACCACAAGGTGCATAGCATTCTGCTGCGAGCAATGTCAGCAATGGTTCGGACTGACCTTCAATCCCCTGCATGTGATGCGGGCGTGCTTCGTTCCTTGATATCCATCTTCGACTCGCAACTCTTGAGCCTCGCACCATCTTCGCCAAGTGAACTCGGTAAGTGGCCCGCCCAATTCATGAAAACATGTCGCTGACAAGTTAGATACGTTCAATCTGAATTGCGTCCGCATACACGTCCTGGCCTTCCACTTCTTCGCCAACCCGATCGATCCAGGTCCAGATGTCGAGGCGCTGGTCCGGCTTTACTCCCTCTGCATACTGACCGTTCGGACTGCGACCAGTCTTGCACAGAACTCGAATCTTCTCACCATATGTCCGTCATTTATAGACAGAACCCTTACGCTCACGGGATTTGCTATCCTCAAACTAGTCAAGAGCCCCATCGCTCAGCATCTTGATCTCGCTGCTGGAGAGCAGGCATTCTTCATGGCTGTGCAGTTCAGCAAAAACATGTCGCTGCAGAATGGCGACTTGGGTGAACGTTGCGCCGCCATCTCCGCGAACCTATGGCACAGCACCAAAACATTCCGCCGGAAGGACGGTCGCCTGGAATCATTGGGATTGAGACTGAGGACACGGCTAAGCATGAGCGTCAGCTTCGACATGTTCTGGTACTGGAGGGAAGAGTTCGGCAACATGGCAAACCCGTACAATGGCGAGGAAAGCGCCATGCCATCGACCGCCGTCACCGAACCAACTACGCCCCGTATGCAAACTTCCACCTACTGCCTCGGTGAGAATGTTCGGACTAACAATGTCTCCAGAGTACGAAAAACGCGAACTCGCCGACCAAAAAGGAGTCACGCCCACCGCTGGCGCCGGCGTCCCCGCAGTTGTTCCCGCGCCAACAACCGCACCGCCAGCCAAATTTCCACCCCTAGACGCACCGCTCGCCATCCAGCAACAACCACAGCAGCAGCAACAACAACCACCCCCACCGGTCAATATGGGTTTCCCACAGGCCTCCTGGGACCCCTCGAACTACGCCGCGCCGCCCATGCTCGACCAGTTCCCCGATTACGACTGGGCAGCCAGCTTCGACTTTTCGAACGATTTCATGAATCAGGGGCTCGGGCAAATGCCCCCTGAGAACGTGGGATATGCGCCGATGAACTTCGGTTGAGATCGATAGACGTCGAGGGTCGAAACGTGATAGGCGGTGGTCCCTGGAGTTTTGAATGTAGATGTTCGTCCTGGGGTCAAACCGTCTCATGCCCCGATCATACTCGTGCGGACCACGCAGGTAATGCGGACGTCTTCTGCTGCGATCAATGTCCTCCAGCCGAATCCCTCGGCGAAAGTCAGCATAATCTCGCTCGTCAGCGAATTCACTGATCAACAAGCCGTGCCCAATCCGTCGACCGTCGAGTAAGATATCAACGGGGTGCCCCTCGAACGCGGGGGGGATGCCTTGCATAGCCAGAGTACGCCACGAATGGCCTCTTCCCCGCACAGAAGGCTATACGAATATCCTCGAAGTTCCAGCTTTTGCTCCGGCCGTAGACGTAGAGGTGAACTTGGAAGCGAATTTTGGAGCGCATGGATGGATGTGGGTGGATGAAGAAAAAGCACGACGCGAGCTGGTGATGCATACGTGTTGGGTATCGAAATATCTCCTTGTAAGTTGAGTCGAGGACCTTTTTGCAAGTACCGAAGGAATGGTTGATGGTAACCGCACCGAACCACGTTATCGCATTGGAAGCCTAAAAACTTCCGCCCTCACCCACGGATCTCCTCCTCTCCGCAATACATACAATACCCACGCCCCAAACTCCAGGGAATGAAAAAAAACCAGAACTTGAGATTGTCGTCGTTACGCTCGAATTGTGTATATTAGAACCACCACTTTTACTTCCCCCAAAGGAGGTCGCGCGATACCAGCGGAGTCACGCTATGCTCGGCCCCGCAAACGCCGGATCCAGATCCATTCCATGGCCATGGAACCGTCATGAGAGAAGAGGGCAAGATAAACCGTACTGTACCGTACTGTAACATACCAAAATGGGAATCCGGAAACGCGTTGGGGAAAAGCGTAACAAAGTGGCCTTTGTACATTTGTACTTTACATACTATACCATACTACGAAAATGTAAATACGTTGATCCAGTGTTGTCGATATTACGTAGCTGTTGTGTCGTGCTATTGCCAATATAATTTCGATCCTTGGTGGGTTCGATCCGTCCGGAAGAGTCCAATTCCAACTCGGTGGGGTTTGGTGGTTTGACAACCGTTCGGTGCATTCACTCGATTTCGTCTCGCTCATTTGAACGAAAGGACGAAATCGATGGTTTTGTCGTAGCATTGTCGAAATCATACTTTTAATACTCATATCAGTCCGGGGTTCCCGAGGGGTTTACATCTCGCTCGATTGGGTCCGTTTGAGTTCGATGTTTATATCTAATTGCAACGAGCGGTCAACCGGTACGTGGATTAAAAAGTCCCCAGCGAGTGAGCGAGTATGTCCCCACCCATCTCGACCACTGGCTGTGAAATAGTCTCTTTTCTTTCTCTTCCAGGAACCGGATAGTGCAAAGCAAGCACTCTGGACTCCGGCGGCCGACTGAGCGAGTAGGTGTGTGTGAGAGTGATGACGATATCGGGGATTCGTGCTTAAATTAACAACAGCTACATGCGGTGCAGTGCAGTGCAGCAACAAAAGTTTAAATTAAACTCACACACCTCTTCTCCTATGAGCCCAACGGCGAGGTCGAGGAGTGGTCGGGTCGCTATGAACGAATGACGGAGGTGGATGGACGGCAGCGGTGGTGGTGGTACAGGAAGTATGTATGTACGGCATATGTATGTACTTGAAACTTTAAATTATGACTATACGTGATGCTCGTTACGAACATCCCTCCGTGTAGTTAATGCATTCTACAAACGGGGAAAACAAATGATGATACGAATCCCAACCTTTAAACGGAGTACAATTGATCAAATAGTCAGTACCTAGTCGTCAGCTGTACCCGGCGGTCACCGCAATCTGGCAACCGTTGTTCCCCCTTCCCATATGTCAAATCATGCTTCATGATTACTTTATTTTGTCTGCAGGCGTGCAATCATACGTTTTCAACCCGCACCGACGAGGATAGAAGTACAGTCGCCGAGATTTTTACAAGTCGTGGTTGTTGTTGCATTAGATCCGGGGAGGAGTCGGCCAAAAGAGGGATCAGAAAGGGTCTTTAACTAGCATTACTCGGTTGTTGAAATGGTAGTTGGGAAGTACGAGTCGATATCGGGAATAAACGCGAAGAAATTGACAAGGGATAATGGAGGGTGAGGAAGGTGGAATAGACGGCCTCTGGGCTGAAATGTTCATTTGTTGGTGGTTGATGCTGCATGCGCGCGGTTGGTGATGATCGTCAGTCTCTCTTGGAATTTATGTACCTCTATAAATTGACGTCCTCTGGACATGCTTGGATATGAGAACGTATCCTTTTTTGTTCCTCAGTGTCAAAACCTTTCTTTCCTTTTTCTTATCTTTTCTTCATGGTTATAATTTCCCTTTTCGACCCGTATTTCCAGAGACGGTCTGCACCGATGCTCTTCCTCTCCATACCGGGCGGGTTCTAAGTCGGAATCCATCATCCGCGGCGAACATCGGCAGACGGCTTGCTCCCATCAACGTCACATCCCACGCCCGCGTAGGGAACCTACCTCGTACATTCAGCCTTCCGAGACTCTTAAGTGTCATTTTGCGGGGAAAATCGTCCTTCAAAACGCACACCAAGACAACGAGTGGGGTCTGGCCCCAATCCAAATTCACCTTTCCCGTCCAATCCTCGACCTGCATTCCCGTAGCCGCACCTATTACTTCTTTTGGCAATGCGAAATGCGACGGCGCCAATGATGTCTGCCCGTCCGTATCGAAGGTAAATGGTTTTTTGCTGAGACTAACTGGGGCACTGGGGCTGGAGAGGGGGGGTGACGGTTGTCTGGTACCGAGGTGGCTAACTCGTCATGACAAGGCGAGTAAACTAAAGAGTTTGAATACTTTCGACCTACTTTTTTCTTCCTTGGGCTGGAGGAGAATTGTTTTACTTAATTGGCGACCTCCCATATACCCATGCGTGTCAAGATCTTCGTATTTCGTTTTGCCTAAGAAAGTGTTGAGGTTCTCGTTGTCAGTGTTTTTCAAATCAATATCTGTGTAACCTTCCAATACCCTTTCAATATCAGCTGGAGTGGCTGTTTCTATTTACACTGCGACCATCGATACTGCGTTCGGGAGATCTGCGAACCATCAATACCCAAATTTCATTCAAGAGATATAGTCTTTGGTGTTCATTCTACAAACTGGGAGAGAAACAATACCACACACATACTGTGCGACCATCCCGAGACTTGCGGGGTACAGTCTCGATTTAAGACAACCATAAGTCACGGAATTCCGACTCTACTTCCTGTAGGCCAGGTAGCAAAAAGTACTGGAGTCAACATCTTCCAGCATGGCCAACACAAATGGCGCAAGGAAGACCGTCTCGGCAGTGGAGAAGCTCAGGGCCATGATCGCAGAGCCAGACAAGATCGTCGTATGTCCTGGGGTTTACGATGGTTACACTGCACGAATTGCGCTTGCTGAGGGCGTGGATTGTCTCTACATGGTACGTCATGACTTCCACTGAACGAGTTCACACCTTGTAGATATTAGAATGCTAACACACAAAACAGACGGGCGCAGGAACGACGATGTCACGTCTGGGCATGGCAGACATGGGTGTTGCAACGATGAACGACATGCGCGACAATGCTGCCATGATCGCGTCACTTTCTCCCTCCACACCACTCATTGCTGACGCGGATACGGGTTACGGCGGCGCAATCATGGTGGGCCGAACTGTCACCTCGTACATCCGCGCAGGCGTAGCAGGTCTCCATCTCGAAGACCAAGTCGTGACGAAGCGCTGCGGCCACCTCAAGGGCAAGCAAGTCGTCGACATCGACGAGTACGTGAGCAGGATACGCGCTGCAGTCATGGCTCGAGAGCAGTCCGGCGGCGATATCGTGCTCATTGCGAGGACGGATGCTCTTCAAGGCCTGGGTTACGACGAAGCTGTCAAACGACTGCGCGCTGCGGTAGCTACCGGCGCAGACGTTGCTTTCCTTGAAGGCGTGACCACACGTGAGGATGCTGAATCGTTCGTCAAGGATCTAGCGCCAACGCCTTGTCTATTCAATAATGTACCCGGTGGTGTCAGTCCAGATTTCACTGCGCAAGAAGCGAGGGAAATTGGGTACAAGATAGCTATCTACCCGGCCTTGGGTATCGAAGTCGTCTATCCGGCAGTGAGGAAAGCAGTTCAGGATTTGCTGAAGAGTGGTAGGGTGGAGAGTGTGGAGAAAGACGGAAAGAGGTGGAGCCCCAGGGAGATGTTTGAGGTTTGTGGATTGAACGAGGCCATGGCGTTTGATCGTGAGGCTGGAGGCAAGTCCTACCTAGACGGAGCATGATCGGGAAGGTGTGTTGTTGTCGATTTACCTCGTTTCATTTTGAGAAAGAGCTTTGGGATAGCGGGCGTTGAGAGCATTCGAGAGACGCAGCGATTCATCATGACGTTTCTTACATCCAATTTCATGACAATGACAATTTCAACCAAATAAGCCTATAAACTTCACATTGACAGCTTCAGTGCTCCGAATGGTTGTCCTGTCTATGGGTCTGGACTCAGACTCAGGAATGTGAAATGACGCGAACCTCGAGCTTTAGGTTTGACCGTGTACTCGTGGTACATTGAGGAACTCAAACGATCATTGGGGACATCATACAGTCAATAAATGAGCTAACTCCACAAAACCATCACATTCCAGGAATACCAAAGGGCTCATAAGCCTTGTACCTACCTCCGCCCCTTTCCCCACAGTTTACCACTTCCTCGTATCTTACTCTAGATCCTATACATCATACTCAACATCAAACACTGGCTACCAGCTGCACCACCATGCTCCAAACACTCACCACCACAGCCCTCCTCCTACTCATCCCTCTGATCCATGCCCAACAGCCTCTCCAGTACCCACGCTGCCTCGACCCATCCACCCACAAGCCCTCCTGGATCCTCACAAACCTGAACACCCTTTCTTCCCCCAACTCGCCCGACTCCAAGATCTCCTTCGGAATATTCAACAACCTCCACCCATACTTCTTGTCCTGCAGCGGCTCGGGCAGCAACTCGCAACAAACATCTTGGCCGTGCATCAACCTCGCGAACGGTAGCCCTGCAAACGAGGTCACGTTCAATTACACACCGACGAAGGATGGTCTTGCGATGTTGAACATTGAGCAGAGTTGGATGTGTTGGGTCGACGATAGTACGCTGTAAGTTAGTTCCCTAGTGCATACATGCATGCAGCATCCCTCTCTGCGCTCGAGACAGAAGCATGTACGCAAGACACGAGATCGAACACAACACTAACGAATTGGCCCTGATTACACAGAGCGACGTATCGAGCCATCGGGAAGGGATCGCCAAAGTTGGACTGCGTGGACTTGCCGTTCACTGACAAGGGGAAAGTCGTGAACGGTGTCAGTGTCAAGCAGTGCGGGCTCACGGGGGTGGAAATCCAGGCTGACTCCGTTTCCGCAATTGCGTGAGACGGGTGATAGTTCGGGAGGATGGATAGTGCTTTGAATGTCAAGTAACGATACATGTATGGAGTATGCAGTAGTGGCCAAAGGGACTCTATGATACACAGTAACACCAACCCATCGTACCAATCGCACATGCAATCGAGATCCTCCCAACGTTTTCATCAACAAGTGACCACCACACTCCCAACAACCCAAAGAGCACATCCAATCCACCACCAATCCCTCCCATACTCATCGTAATCCCCTCTCCCTTTCCCAATCACAGCCCCCCGATCTCGTACTCCCCAACGTCCCCACCTGCCGTACCACTCTCGGAGATTTTCCAATCGTGACACCGCGTCAACGGCTCTCAATCTGTTCGTTTTTTTCGTGCGACGTGTTACCCATGCGGCCCATCGTGCTCGGCGGTACAGTGTCGTGCAGGATGTTTGTGTTGCGGTTGTACCATGTGGTGAAGACGACGATATGGGGAAAGGGAAGCCGTGGACACGACAGGTTCGGGGACTACGGGGTGGTTGGGATGGATGGGTGTCTTGTATGTATACAACATCGAGTAGGGAGGAATTGGATGAGAAGAGAAAGAGGGATGAGGGATTGTTTGAAAGAAAAAGAGGGTGGGAAGCTGTAGTGTAGCCGTAGGAAAATTACATTCTGTACAGAGTAAATTGGGAAGCACGAGCGTTGTGAATGAAAGTAAAACATATTCTTAAAGCACAACAGTAAATATGTTGAGGTGTTTGTTGCATGTAATCATGACAATAGCAAATCATTCAGGGCCAGGTCATTTTTGTTTGTCGAGATACCTCTAAGATAGAGGAGGTCTCTTAAAAAGTAAGATTTTGTGATCATAATTCCTTTTCCTCGGCTAATTAAAGGGAAGAATTGGAGTTCTACTCGTACATGTCGGTGTGTATCCGTTTGATATATAACGAAAAGAAGAAGAAAGAAAAGCTACCGTTACAAAGAAATTCAGTGTTATGCTGCCTACGCCTGAAAGCGCATGTGGTATTTGTTATGATTGGAGAGAAGGTAGCGAAGGGGTTGTAATTGCTGCTGTCTTCGCTCCTTCAATCCAAAACGCTCACTACTCGATATGCCACGTTCTGATGCATATTCGAAGTAGACTCATTTGGTCCATTTAAGCGCGGAAGACACGGCTCCTCATGACCCTCCTCTTAGCAGCCGCGCCAACATCAGCGGGGCCACCAGAGGGGTTTGTGACGGCGCCGGCGAAGCCAACGAGCGAGTTGAACTGGTCAGCGAGAGCCTTGTTGCGGGTGCCACCTTGGACCTGGGCCTTGGCGTCCTCGCAGAGAGCGACGGCAGCAGCGTTGGCTTCGCAGACGTTGGTGAGCTGGTTGCAGAGGGCGTTGGTGATGATATCGGGGTTGAGGGCCTCCTGTTGACCGCCACGGGCGAGCTCGTCGGCGATCTGGAAGGTGAACTCAGTAGCGGGACGGCCACCAAGACCGCCCTCGAAGATGATGGTGGGAGTGCAGAGACCGAAGTCAGCACCGCCGGCTCCAGTGTTGCCACCAGCATTGCCACCAGCATTACCGCCAGCATTGCCGCCAGCGTTCTCAGTAGCATTTCCAGCGTTCTGGTTGCCGCCTTGGTTCTGGTTCTGGTTGCCGCCCTGGTTCTGGTTTTGGTTGCCACCCTGGTTCTGGTTCTGGTTTCCACCCTGGTTGCCGTTGGCGACCTCTTCTTCGCAGTCTATTATCATGTTAGGAGCTGGCTACTTGAATCATGATGTTTGCACATACCCTCATCTTGAGCACCAGCGTTAGCATTGCCCTGGTTGCCCTGGTTTTGGTTGTTGTTGGCATTTCCCTGGTTGCCCTGGTTGCCCTGGTTGTTGTTGTTGTTGGCGTTACCTTGGTTGCCCTGGTTGTTGTTGTTTGCATTGCCAGCGTTTGCGTTGCCAGCATTTGCGTTGCCAGCGTTGCCACCAGCAGCACCGCCCTCACTGTTAGCAACGAGATCACCGAGGCCGTTGTCGTTGAGGAGGTCGAAGACGCTCAAGCCATCGGCGTTGAGGGGATTAGCAGCGGTCTGGGCGCTCAAAGCGGCAACGGCGCCGTCAACATCGACAGCAGGGTCGATCAAGGGAGTGATACCCCTGAGCTCAGCGGTAGCTGGGAGAGTGGGGTCTCCGCAAACTTGCTGGACGTTGCCGTTGGCGAAGGGGTTGGTGTTCTTCTCAGCAGTTACCATTCCAATGGCGGCGGCGATGGCATCGGCACCTCCACCGAGCTCGGCGACAATCTTGTCGGCAGTAGCGAGCTGTGTCTGTTAGTCATGTGTATGAACTGATATGTTTTGTGGTCCTACCTTTGCGCAAGGATCAGCAGCGCCCAATAGATCACTGATAGCTGCACCAGCAATGGTAGCAGCAGCACCTGGGTCACCACCCTGAACAGCGGAGATGGCTGAGATAGGAACCTGCTCTTGGCCAAAACGGGCCTCAGCATAGGCAACGAGGAGAGCGAGGACGATCTGCTTGGAGAACATGATTGCGATGTTTGGTTTTCGGAGTTTGGTAGAAAGATATACAGGTGAAGATCTTAAACGTTATTGAAATAAAGGCGAATGAGAGACTAGCTCGTAAGAGTTCAAAAGGCCCAACCGGCGGGAAAGAATGGTAATGTCGAAAGAGTGACTAAAGCACCGAAAAAAGAGGAAGTTGCAGTTGCGAAGTTGTGCGAGTTGATGATTTGAACATGTCGGCCAGCGTCCCCATGGTTTTATATCTCAATGCACTTGGCGGTTGACCCTGAATATCTGCAGCCGCTACCCAGAATCTGGGTTGACATGAGTGGAACCAGGAGAAGAAGCGTCTCGAAATCTGTAGACAGGGAGTTCAGACATCGAGTTCTCGACGCCAAGATGGCTAGAAAGCGTCAGGAAAGATGGCAGGCGGAACGGTTGCCAAGGGGTTATGCAATTTTGAGGCTGGTGGGACGTATGATTTGCAGACTGCGACGTCGTGAACCCTTAGCACCCGCTGTTAAGTGTCTGTCCGTAAGGTAAGCGAGAAGCGTGTTGTGGTGGAGAAAAGGGTTGGCCTCGGCCCTGTAACAGGGTCAGTCGCAGTGCAGTTTCAGCGGAACCACTGCGCGAGTATAGCCGCCAGAACATCGACCTAGGGAACTCATGCGATCCGAACTACACGCTTTGTGAGTGGAACAAAAGAATTTTAGAATATTACGGGCAAGAAACATTATGCACGAAGAGGTACGCGTTCAGGTAATTTACTGGACAATGCGTGGTGGTATTTATGACGATGAAGAGGCGACGGGATGCTGGGCATCTAATGCAACCAAACAGACAACTATGCTCTGAACAGATGGGAAATGCCCTGGAAAAGTGGGAAGTAGAGAAGTGTGTATTCTGCATTACCGGAGGCCAAGTCCTGGGGAAGGTGACAGCTTCGAGGAGAGTCACAAACCGCACCCTTTGTCATTCGTCCAAGCGCAAAGCATAAGGACATCGTCATTGATGCATGGTCGCAATTTACGATCGAATCGTTGCTTCGTCGTAGACCGCGGCACGCGCAGACTGACTGTGGATTGCTGAGTTCTAGCTTCGGTCTCTCGAGGTGCCGTTTCAATCTCTGTGACTCGTGACTCGGACCTGCTCTGACCGTATCCGGTGCAACCAAAGAAATCTATCATGCTCTGTCTAATTTCCTCCGCAAGAGGCGCGTCCTCTTCATCAACTTCTTATACTTGTGCTTCTTCATCTTGAGCTTTCGCTGCCTCTTGACGCTGATCGCCATCATGTCTGGGCGGCTGTTGGTATTTTGCCGCCTCCTCATACGCTCCAGAAACGGTTGCCGTATCTCGATGTCCTCCATCTCTAAGCTGTTCTCTGCAGCAGGGGCCTCGATCTCAACCATAGGCGCCGTGGTGGCGGAATATGTTCGCTGCCCTGAAGCATCTGTAGATTCTGTCACGACCACCGCAGTGCTCCAGGAACGCTGTTTGATCGACGCTGCAGCGGGGGCCTCCATTCGTTGGCTTACACCCGTTTCAGGTTGTGCAGCCTGGTCGAATGGGACCGGAGCAGGCGGCGGCCTGAATGGAACGAAACGTGACATGATCTGGTCGACTGACACTTGTGGAGGTCCATCAAGGTGCTGCACCTCCAGTTCAGACTGCACCATCTCTTCTGGAGATTGTTTTTCGTGCACGCGGAGAGCTGCTTCCAGACTCTCTATGCCACTGGAAAGTGTTTGCATGTTATCCACCATTGCTTTTCGGCTGTGAGGATTTCGTGTCTGGAATATCGAATCGAATGATGCTGATGTCGAGACGGGTGGTATCGCCGAGGTAACGGAGATAGGGCGGTGGAGTGAGAAGAATGAAGATATCTTCACCTCTGCAATCAAGTCAGCTATCCATGTCTATTTCCCATCATACAAAATGGAAGCATTAAAACAGCTCGTAGGTGACGTTAAGATTTCTTATCGGAACTTTAATGACGGGGCGAACAAAGAAGCTTGGCGAATCATTCGACCAACAACTCCGCAACCTTTCGCGAGAACGTTTCCCAACCGACAAGAGGAAGCAAGAGCTCAAAACTCCTCTCAATGAATACGTACCAGGCTTCTGAAGATAATCTGTAGGCGGGACATGGGGCACGTTGAGTGCGGGCGGCGACTGCGCCCTCTTCTTTGAGGCCCTTCCGGTCAACTTCCTCGCGGGCGCCTTGTTCGTACTTGTTCCCGGGGTCTGCTGTGTTGAGCTCGACCCGTTCGAGCCATCGGGAGGTATTGAGGCCTTGGAGGACGATAGGCGGCGTTGATGCGCGGGTCGGGAAAAGGATTGCTGGGCGTTAACGGCACCGAAGGTAGCTGGGCGGCCGAGCGTGATGCACACGGATGGTGTGGCGATGGAGCTGGTAGAGCGGACAGCTCTCCCTAGGACTGGGGAGAACATGGCCAGCTGCTGTTGTGTTATGTCGAAAGGAAGGTGTTGATGTCGAAAGAGTGGTGGTCACGAACAGGCGGCTCAAGGGCCGAGATGATCCTGTTAGGCGCTCGGATAGTGACTTGCAGAAGTCGGAGAAAAGTAGTTCCGCTATCTTAGATCGGTGGCTTAGGACGAGTAGGTGGATGACATCGTGCCAACGCCTCACCGACTTCGGCAAGTTGATCTCCTGTGCTCGTACGACTGTTGCTTGGAGGTCACGACATGTTTATTGTCATGCGGAGTTCGCGTGGAGAGGCGACGATGACCATTGCGGACGGACTGGCGTCTGGTCTGTTGTACGAAACATAGCCGCAAGGTGGAATGAGGGGCGTATAGTTTCGATCAACGCGTATAACTGTGCAACATAGTCCGGAGACAGGAGCTTATCTCGCCCTGACCTTTCTTGTTAGATCTATCAATCTTCGCCCGCTGGAATGAGATCTACGTTTCATGAACGTTCGATCGAGAGTCAGATCTGAGAGTGTGTTCGTATCAACTGGGCGTAATGTAACGTCAGAGCATTTTATTCCCCAACTCCGAAAACAAACAAGACAGACTTATAACATGTGAGATCAGCCAGTCACCCGTGACAGCTCAAACAGTGCTCAGGAACATGACTGCTCACCTTTGTCGTCTGTTTATCCATCCCCGCAGTCCATGCGTGCATTCAAGACATGCACCTTTCAAGACCATGAGAATCCCATCCCCTACCATGCGAATGATATTTGCAGTATATCCATGGTCTTAAATGTATCGTTGCATCGTTCTGAAATCCCATCAACTATTCGAGTCAAACATCCACACTTGTTCCTCTATATCAAAATACCTCATCCCTACGTACATACACATTCCCCATTCTTCCAGTCTGCAAGTCCCCATCCGGACATTCACATCATCATCATCAATTCGCCCCCACCAAAAGTCCGACCATAATGTCCCCTCCAACCACATCCACAACTCCCCAAAAATGACTCCAACCCATACACTCTCGCCCCTATCACCAATCTCCTACACCTACCCATCTCACATATAACCAACCTCCAAATACAGAGTAAAAAAAGGAGCAAACCCAACCAAAACCCCAACCCCATGCAATCTCTCCCTCCCTCCAAGATGGGAAAGTGCCAAAATAAAAAATCCCGACCACTCGGTCTAACCGCCCGGCTCCCTCGACATCCGCTGCAACGCACGCTCCCTACCCTGCTCTCTTCCTTTCTAAACATAAAATCCTGCTTTATTAATTCGCAGTTCGTGGGAGGTTCTATAGGGCAGGTGTGGGATTGTGTAATTATGGCGGAACGGACGCAGGATGCCGTGCGTGCATGCATGGGAGGGGAGGTAGGTAAGTATGTATGTATGTGTGGCATGGATGTATGGGGAGATAAGTACGGAGTATGGACGTACATGATTTGAAACAATGGGACATGCGTTGCCTGTCGATTGTAGCATTTGAAATGTGAGGCTCTTTGGATACGGGATGGGCGAGGGCATTTTGGGGAGATTTGGTTGGGTTAATTGTTCCTTTTCTGGTTACATGATAGAGTGGTTGTAGTTTGCGTGAGTTAACAATCGTAGAGTAGAGATATTACAATTACATACAAAGTAAAATAAAAATGAGATTATTTTTCTTTGTGTCTTCATCGCCTATTTGCTGGATTGATAATTGATAATATTGGTGTTGTTCAGACATTCGTTACAGACTATCCAAACCATACTCTTTCTTGAGTCGTTAAACTCTACTCTAGATACACAATAAAACCACAGAAAAAATAATAACGCAGAACCCACACCAAAGATGTCAAAAAAGACAAATTATCTGTAGAAAACACCCCCAAACCCCCAATTAAACCCGCTCCTTCAAGGGAAACCCACCTCCAAGCGACGCTGCCTATCCGTCTCACGCCCGTTGAACATATGGACCCATGAAGAAGGCAACAACGTAATTACCTCCTATCCCATTCGTCTGTCTCTCGCCATATACGTCTACGTTCAATCATGCATACTGATATACGTAAAGTACGAAAAAAGTGTCTCAATCCAAGAACAAGCAGATAAGACATTCGATAAACTATTCGTTTCCCCTTCCGTACGTACATGCACACCTGAGATAGTACGGACGATCAGAACTCGACACAGTGCTCCTTTCACTCTGTCAATTCCTCACTTCTATGCCAATCCTGCTGCAAGACTTGCAGTAGACTGGTTTCTCTTGTACATGTATGTGCATCATCGACTCACTGCCCCAATCACTACGATCATGACCCCTCAAAACCCACCTAACGGAAACAAAGAAATGAACTAGATACACAACTACACACATTTTTCAACCCAGGCTGTCAGTCTAATACCACCCACTGAACAAGTGCCCCTTTCCCCTTCCCGTTCCTCTAAAGCAGGACTTCGGTCCCCAATGTACATACCCAGGTATGTAATCCTCCCCGCATAAAAGGCACCCGTAATACCATACCCTCCCCATCTCACTTGACCCCCGAACTCACTCACGTACACAGATGCAGAACTTGAATAGTTAGACAGACAAGAACACTTGATACCCAAATAGATACATCCAAGATAACCCCTCCACTCCCTCCCTACTTAACCCCCCATTCACTCTAAAAAATCCAAAAGGGGAGCAAAGCCATGCCAGAGCCACGCCAAAGCCATGCAATGCAGCACCATATATTTTCGGCCTCCGTGGGAAGTTTAACCCTGCATCTGCTTCGCCAGGGTCGTGGTCGTACAATGTACGTGACAGGGCCTGCCTGCCCTGCTTACGTCTAAGCGAGTAGGGGCGTAGGATGTCACTTCGATAGGACGGCCGTGGTGTACTGTACTGTAACTAATGTAAATAATAAGACTTCTCCGTATCGTGAGATAAGTCGTTGTTCGTCGATCGACCTATGCTACCTTCACGAACGGATGATCCCATAGGCGGGCGGGTGATCTGCGCTGCATCTATCATCTATCATCTACCATCTATCATCTGGCGCCTGCATCTACGCCGTTGATGGTAGTGGAGAGGGAAAAGCAGGATTTGCAACTCTACTGCACGCACTGTCTGACGGTGACTTCATTTTCTGACTGATACTGCAGCCAGCAGCACATGGCTGGTCTGACTGCGTGAAAGATGGACGGTGCAGGTAGATAAATGACAAACCGGGCTCGCCGTATTTGACTTACCGAAAGGGTGTTTAAAAAAACGGTGTTACATGGCATGGCATGAGCATGAGCATGAGCATGAGGATATGCCATGGGGGACAAGACAAGGTATACGAAAGGAGCAGTCGCCACACACGTACATAGTACATACATACCATACCATACCGTACATGCATACGCAGACTCATCTAAATCTGCCCACCGCACTTTAATAATTTAAGGTCCGAGGATGATGGGTAATATTTTGGTTTCATGTCGTGGAACATGTGATATTTACTATCTTCTTTATTTTCTTTAGAGGGGGGGGACACACTACGGAGGAAAGAAAGCGGGTAGCGAGAAATAAAATCGACCGTTCCTCCCAAGAGCCTACGCATGCTGGTTGCGAATGCATGAAGAATTACAAGATACGAAGGAGAGATGAGTGGGAGGATGGGAGCAGAGGAGGGAAATCTTCGAATGGCGCGCTACCGAAAACTCGATGAAGTGATCAAAAAAACACATACGGTCATTCTTCTCCCGCCTGTCCCAAAATGAACAGTGCCGTTCTGGTAGAAAGTATAGCTGTGTATTGGTGAAGTAAACTAGTTGTAATCGTGTCACATTGGTCCTAAAAACAACAAAACGAACTGAAGGTTGGGATGGAAATTGGTATAGGTATCGCGCGAGGGTATGTAGAGTAGAGGAGTAGTATGCGGGGCCGTCAAGTCGTATCGCGCCTCGCACGCGGCGGGGAGGGGGCCACGGAGCGAGTCGGACAGGCGTGGGCGAAAAGGTCTGCTTCCGGATCTCTGAGGGTATCGATGTGGTAACTTGGACACGGAAGGAGTGGCTTCCAGGAGGAGGTGATCTCGGTGTGCGGCGACGTCTTCAAATGCTAATAGCTAGCCGGAGCGCTTTGATCAGATGACTGGCTGAGAAAGGACAAATTACTTTTGGGAAAATTACAGAATCAAGGCGTTCAGGTTGCGTTGGACGATCATGTCCTGGACCGAAGCCATCGTTTTCTTCAGGAGATCGGTGTCGGTCGCGTTTGTGTAGTGGACGTAGACCTCCTTCTTGGGCTGCCGCACGAGGTTGCGGAACTTGTTTGCGAAGAACTCCTGGCCGGCGTCGATGTCGGTGGGCTTTCCGGTGTAGTCGGGGAAGACCTTGTTGATCGGGCTCATGCCGCCAGCGATCTTCTCTCGGAACAGATCGATCTTGTTCAGGAACAGGATCAGGGCTGACTTCTCGAAGTATTTCGAGTTCGATATCGACTCGAAGAGCATCAACGCCTCGTGCATTTGGTTCTGAAAGAGCGTGTTAGCATGGATGTGTTTGAGCGCGGGGAAGGATAGGACAGAGGGTATCATACGCCATTGCGATCTTCGACCAGTACGTGGTCGTAACCGCTGATAGCCACCAGGAACAACACGACCTGGACATTGTCGAAGACGTGAATCCACTTCTTTCGTTCGGACCTCTGACCTCCCACGTCGAACATGCGGTATGTAAGATTGCCAAGCTCGAAAATTGTCTCTGTTATGCCGGTCGTTCGCAATCGAGTACGGAGGATATCTTGGTCTGTAGGGAGGTAGTCTTTGGTGAAGAGGCGGTCGACGTCTGCGAAGAAGCTGCAAGACATGTTAGTGCTTGTGAGAATTATTGACCGGGTAAACGTACTAGCTGAGATTGTCGTGGAGGGCGTATTGGTTTCCCTTCAGAATTGCGAGCTGAACACCCTTGTCTGCCCACAGGCTGTTGAACGCGGAGAGGCACTCCTGGGGCATGAAGTCTTCGATGCCGATTTCTGGGTCTGCCGCAATCAATTCCGCGAATCTCTGTACCATGAAAATCAGCAAACCGGCCAGAATGAAAACAGGGAATCGTTTTCGGGAGCAGGGAGAGAGCAACATACAAGGTTGTCGTCGTCTTCGAAATCCGTCTCCTGCTCCTGCATAGCAGCGAAGATGGTCTGGAAAGCAGACACCAAGTTATTGAAGATGATGGCTCGCCATTGCTTGCGCTCAGTCTTGTTAAAACCGCCGGCATGGATCACTCGCATCTGCTTCAAAACGGTGGATTTACCACTTTCTCCAGCACCTACATGCACACAAAGATCTAGTTAGCAATCTGCCATTCGAATGCGAATTTTGGCGAAGTGGTTGGTGTTGTCCGTACCGAGCAACAGAAGCTTCACCTCCCGTTCTTGCTTTTTCCTGTCATTGCGGATGCCCTTTTCGATCTCCTCGTTGCGTCGGGAGTCGGGATCCTCAGTTTTCTTGCCGAAGCACATTATCCCCGGGGCCATGTAGCGACTCGTGGGAAGTGGGTGGGGTGTTGTCGAGGGGTCAGGAGGAGTTGAAGAGGAAGTCGCAACTCATGCACGGTGAGTCGTCTTCCGGGCGCGGCGCGGCTGAGAGACAGAGTCTGTCTTGGATGAACGTCAGTTACCTGAGTCGTGAAGTTGCGTGTCTAGAAGGGACGGGCCACGGATAGCGAAAGCGGCGTACTATTGGTAGAGGGATGGAGTAGTATAGAGCGATGCGGGAGCGAACGAGCCGGCGTGGGTGTGTAGGGTGTAGTAGTGTAGATGGTGTTGGTTGGTAGGACGTGTAGGCGGAGAGTCGCGACTGGTCGGGGGTTTTCCAGTTGTGCAGCGAGCGTCGAGGATAAGGAAGGAGCGTATTTGATGGTGAGACGTTTTTGAGGGAGAGAAATAAAAGAAAGGAAAAGTAGATACGAGGCTCGATTGGAGGACGAGGAGATTGAGAGAGAGAGAGAGAGAGAGAGGGAGAGAAGAAGAGAAAGAGGAAAGAGAAAGAGCAGGAGAGGAGGAGGATGAGGAGGGCGGATAGTATGTATGTAGTAAGTAAGTACGGAGTAGTACTGTAAGTAAGTAACAGGGTATGTGCTGGTAATTACTGGAGCTGGTGGTCGTGCTAGAGTAAGAAAAGCAGCCCGAAGTTTAGATACTGACAGACAGACTGACTTTGTCCAAGGATACGAAAGAAAAAAGGGCAGGGTATGTCCTATGGACTGAAGGCGAAGGCGTAGGGTAAGGGATAAGGGTATCTCCTTAGACTCACTCCTAATACAAATAGTTAGTTGATCGTTAGGTGCGGTATAGTGGCAAGTATAGTATAGGTACGAGACCGTACGAGTAGAACGGTAAGGTACTCGTATGGTATGGGTGGATGGATGGATGGGTGTGGAACGTGGTTACGGGAAGAGGGAGTAACTAAACTAAGGTCAGGTAGGTGTAGCCTGTGCTGGGTAGGGTTGGCCAGAAAAAAGAGTGGAGAGGAAGGGAGGGAGGGAGGGAGGGAGGCGGAGGCAGAGGGCAGAGGGCAGAGGGCAGAGGGCAGAGGGCAGAGGGCAGAGAGAGGCGGAGGAATAGCCCGGCAATCAGGTCGCAAGCCTTCTACAGCAATACAAGTACGGAGTACAAGAGCAGCACCAGCACTACCGCCAGAGCAGCGTCAAAGCACCAGCGCCAGTGGAAAATCATATATAAAGCAGCTCGGTCACTTATCAGTTCTATCAGCAGTGGTCCTAGATAAGCATCAAACAACTCTAAGGACTTATAGCAGCAGATACTCTGTAGATACTTGATATTTAGATGCGAGGTATCTGGGAGATGCTGGTCGGGCAATGATGATAATGGTCACTATAAACATGGGCCGTATTCACACCTAGCAATCTCTCAATCCGGCATTCTTAACCACCATTACTCAAGCAATGTACACAGTAATGTATCTAGGTAATTACAAGTAGAAAGTAGATACCTACTGTTGTAAATTCAGCGGCACAGAAACAAAGCAACACAATACCTAGAGTCTTAGCAGTTGACAGTCCCAAGGAGAGGCAGGTTAGCCTACGAGTAGGAATTCACCCATCATCGCCCACTCCACCTGTACTCCACTCCAGCCTAGCACGAATGATTTTACAAAGACAAAGGTCTGTACATGGTCTAGTTGGGCTTGCACTGCACCCAACTTGTCATTGTGTTGCGCTGCACTGCACGGCACGGCACTGCATTGTATCGTACTGCACCGTAGATGGCCGCTGCAGTAGACATGGTGATGGCGGTGTTCTGTTCTATTCGGCCTATGGTTCAACTCATGATGATATACCTACATACACCTCACTACCATGTACGCCTGCACAGAGAATCTCAGTATAATTACAATATGTAGGCAATTGCCAGTACAGCCCGGCATCCTCAACTCCGGTCATCAATCTACTTCTACTCTTCTTCCTATTCTTCGGTCTTGTTCTTCTTCTCCGCTTCGCCGACTTCCATCCGACTTCCAGATTGTCTATCCATTACCGCATTCTGACGGCCGCGCCCACGCCACGAACCATGCGAATCATCGCGTGGACAAATAACGAAATAACGAACGAAACCCCATCCGGCGGGTGGTGACCAACTGACAGACTGGTGACCCCCCAAGTGCCCCCCATCGCCGCCCCAATAATGGCCGATATGCGATGAAGAATAATAACTCGACTCGCCTGGGATCTCTGGATCGCCGGACATGATAGACCAGGGATTGAATCACCACATAGCACCTTTTGGTGCTCACACAAGCCGCGAATCGGGGGGTCAGCATACATCTGCCAGTGACTACCTACCTTAGCTGGGAAAGATAACTAGCGGGCAGTGGGCAGCGGGACAAAGAAGACGCGCAGGAGAGCTAGCAACCCTTCTCAAAGACAACCAGACCCCCAACTCCTCAAGCAACAATAATTACTGCACATACACACATACTCCGTACATGGACACACACACATGCACACATGCATACAGAAAGATCAGACTAGTCGGCCAAGGGTAAGGGGAGGGGGGAACACCGCGTGCGTTCGCCGCCGCTTTGGGCGCTACAGGGGTCCCGGGGGGAACGGGGGGGACGAGGGTTCTTTTATTCCTGCTCCAACCACGGGCAGGGCATGCGAATCTGTACGCCTGCGCGTGTGTCTGGGAAAGACGAACACAGCCATGCGAGGCAAATGCAGCAATTAGACATTTATATACGGGATACTGCGTACACGCCTGCTCACTTGCGGAGGGATAGACTCGCAGGTGGAGAATAGAACTACCACTACGTTATCGACGACCAACCGATGAGACCAGACCGAGACGAGATGAGACGAGACGGCCGCAGAGAAAACGTGCAGCCATGGCGTATCCGATGGAGAGGTTTGGGATCCACTAGCTTGCTTTTACCGTCGCCTCTGCTTTCTGGCTTCGCTTTGGCCTCTGGCTTTGGCTTTTCCTTTGGCTCTCAAAGACTTTCCGTTAGCCATCCCTGAGCCACCCATCCATTCATCCACCTCACAGTACACGCCACCGCCGATATACGGTGCGAAGGACAGCGTAGCTACAGCGGGAGGCTTGAGGACAATAGTAACGCGCAGGAGCGGGTGTAGTCACTCACAAATAGCAATGACCCGTCTGGACTCTGGCATGGGACAGGATCTGGTATGGAGTGGCATCAATCGGCAAGGACCGGCATCGGGGGGAGGTTTCTTTTTGTCCTCTTTGAACGGACGCATTATTACATACAAATAAGTGATGTAGGTAGGCGTCGAAGGTAGAGAACCTAGAGAAACAGGAATGGGTTCCCCAAGCCCGCTCCCTCCCCTGTACGGTTCGATGCGTTTCACTGGCCTGCGTGCTCCTGTCGTGACACTCCAAACTTATATTGCGAGGCCCTGGACCTGGCCTGGCGATGGGTAAGTGTCCGCCGCCGCCCCAGAGGCGTTATTTCGCTGCCTCGCCTAGGTGGAATATTGTCTGTCTGGTGCAGTGGTGCATATGTATGCTGGCTGCGGCTGGATGTATGTAGCTGTAGGCAGCGTTCGGAGCAAGTATACACGGGTATACAGGTTCTGTTGTATGTCGCTGTTACGCCTTGTCCTAGACCTGCCTTTCCATGCAGCTGGTGAACTCCTGGTGGTAGGTAGGTAGATACATTCATTAACCTAACAGGGTAGCTAATCATCATCGACTGGCCGTGGGTTCATCTTGGTCCCCATCAGTATGACATACAGTAGTCGATCCGATGCAACCTACCACACACAACGGTGTTCACAATTGTATACCTATGTAGGTAGGAGGTATGGTATGTATCTCACGGGGTTGACAGATGTAGCCCACGCGGCCGTTACAACTGGGAGGATGGAAGCGGACTAGGACATTCGTTAAACCATGCATCCGCCGTTGTCTCAGTACTGGTACTTGTACATACCGAGTACAGTGCAGTGCCTAACTGCTGCTACACATGTACAGTACCTGATACAAGATGGGGCGGCCCAGGTAGACGGGCTGGACTGGCCATGCACTACGCAGTACTCTCCGTCCGCTCTCAGTAGTCAACCGTCGCTCACTCGTATGTCGGCTCAGCGGCCGCCGCCCAAGGGGAGTATTACGAGTTGTAAATGCCATACCCATACAATAGCCAAGGCATAGTAGAGCCGTACTAATGTCCCGAAACCAGTCAACCGAAAGGTTAATTACTCGTGGCATCAGACAACAGAAATAACCAACCAGAGACTTCGACCACAACTCCGACTCCTTCACCCTACTTGTAGTCTTGTACTACGACTGATTCATACACGCACCACACCATATGGCATAACCGTCGTTACAAGAGAGATCATCGTCCTACCGCTTCGAAGGCGCCCGTCACCTTTTCTCTTCCACTTCGGCCCTTTCCGTTGTACCTTTCCCTTTGCTGCATTGGCTCCTCGGGAGCGTTCCGCTGTCGCCTAGCTCCCGGCTGGTCTGGTCTCCTTATGGTCTGTCTCCTCATCCCCTAAATGCGCCTCTCGTCTTATTCTTCCTCCATCGTCAATCCTCACCTCGCTCAAACTAAGACGTCTCTTGCCTCGTCTTTGACATCTCACATATCTTGACTATTGACATTTGAAACTTCCAATACCGAAATATGCCTCGATTGACGCCATCGATTTCTTGCTCTCTATTCAGCCCCATCTCATCACTACCGCATACGTAGATATCGCCCAGCGTCAGGTGCTTCCTGTCTCAGATCTTACGTATGCCCAGTACAGCTCCATCCGACCTCCGCCAACGACCTTCTCCCCGAAAATGATAATCCCTCTTTTGCATTGTTCGAAAATTCACTTCCCTTCCAAGTTCCGAACGTAGGTAAATTCCTGCAGCAGCAGCAGCAGTCATAATCACCCGCTCGCTCGCATGCCGCCGCCCCCGAGTCACCGGTAGTCGGTCGCCTCACCTCGTGTCATCTCATCTCTCGCCATCACTCAAACTCTGCAATCCGCTGCTTGCCTGCCTGCCTGCCCGCCTGCTGGATAAACACCCCGGGTGTAATGGTCTCCACCCATAGAAAGAGCAGAGCCAAAACGCCCCCACCGACGACCGCACCGCGCATTGCCATATCCAGATGCAGCAAACCGGGCGTTCCGCTTACTTACAAATTGCATACTTACAAAGTAACTATACTCCGTACAATCAATCAGCAAAATGCTCCATCTTAGGTTAGACATCGCAAGAGCTGGCCTCGAATAGTGCGTGAAGAGTAAAAAAACTGGATGAACCATGATGGGCAAAAGAAAGCGCTTGACTCGCTACTCCCCTCTGATCGACCATTCCCCCTTACATTGGGTACCCGTCTGTACCTAACGTGCTAACCTAACCTCCTCTCCTTTCCCTATCCCAAAACCCACGCACGCACGCACGCACCCATGCAGGGCAGGCAATCCAGGCGCCCCATCTGTAATTCCTTTGTCAGCATAGCATGGCTAACTCGAACTGAACCAAATAAAAAACTTCCGAACGATCGTCGCGTGCACGCACGGCGCGCACGCGGCGAAGGGACGAAAAAACGTGCGCCGTAAACTTGAACGGGGAGACGCTATGCCGCTCGTGGAGGTGACAGGGGCGCCAGCTCTCCTTATGGTAGAGAACGAGTTGGGCTTTAGTTTCAACGTCTGGACGGAGAGGAAGAGTGTCGTTGGGTTGGAACTTAGGAAGGGTGTTTGTCTAGGTAGATACCCAATGGCCTCGTCAGCCGTGAAGCAGTCTTCGTGATTACATATAAGTTTCCATGTAATCAACAACCACATACAACTACCGATGTATCAAGAAACAGACACGACAACGTTACTCCATCCCATCCCGTGCCTCCCGAACACTCTCCCCTTCCGGCCTCACGAAATCGCGATCAGCACCCCCCGTGAGTCAGTCAGTCGTCCACCTACCTACCCAACTACTCTTCAAGAGTCATGGGGCGCTGCTGGCGGGTGGCTTCTTCCTACCCGTCTGCAGCCTGCCATGACTCCCTTCCCTTCCCTTCCACCCGGCGGGCGGGTGGGAAGCCGGTTGTGAGGTATTCGTGTTTGTGGCTGGTTCCCACCGCCCTCCCGTTGGGCCCTGAGCGTGGGTTATTTGGACGACCGTTGACGGGTTGTGCGAGGGACTTGGGGTTTGCTGGAGAGGGTTGGGGGTTAGTAGTTACGTAGACTTACATGTAGGTTTGTGAGTTTCAGAACCGTTATACGTGGTAGATGAAGTATTGCTATTCTAGGTATCCCGTTATGTTATATGTGCATCACACTGTCTAATATTACCCTTTCTCTCTTCTCTTCTCTTCTCCACAGCAATCTTCCAATCGAACCTCGTGGGACGATACCTGGTGTCTTCTTCTCATCTCAGTCTCGCGGCAGCGTGTGGTGCTAGACGTCCCTGGCGTTGTAGGCATTTCAAGAGATATATCGGTCGGGAGGTTCGAATGACTACAATACGGAAGGGAGGGAGCTGTGTTGGTCTAAGGATGGAATTTTGTGGAGGGATTAAAAGGAGTTTGTGCCTGTGCCGTTTATGTTGTCTTTGATTACAGCTCGTCGATGAATGGCTCGTGAATGCTCCTATTCGTCGTCGTGTGTGATATGTGGGTTGGATTTCTCGGAAGAGAGATATCCACGCCTACCGGCTGATGGAGATATGAGTTGAGCCGTTTGTGTTTGTGCGGTTCTGGTGGCCTGTGGACGAATTGGAAGTGCTTCATGTCTGGCGTGCGGATTGACCTTCTCGACAGGAACAGACACTGCCACGATTGATTTCTAACAGAGACGTGTGTCGAGAAACGAATAGTTCGGTTTTACGATAGACTGTTGTATGTATGTCTGTCCTCTTTGCTGATACCTTCCCTGGTGCGCTTCTAGTCGCTAGTGGACGGTTTGTGAGTGTTTCATGGCTCGTGTGTGGATTGAAATCCATGTGGTGCAAGGACTTCAAGAGATATAACAGAAAGGGAAATCCCATTACTACGAAACTAAATGGGGCCATCTAAGCCTACTTACTTATGGAGATACATGTATTTCCTGCAGCTCACGTGGTCGTTGTTGGTATGTATATCTTCTTTATCAAGATTATGCCTAGTTCGCTTCGATCGGTCGGTAGACGTGACATATATGCTTCGGTGTGGATTGGACTTCTGGGTACCACAATAACTTCAAAAGATATGGTTCAAAAGGACGTGACTACAAAAGGAACATAACATATTTATGACACCAGAGGCGGGAAGATAGGTATAAGGTGCTGCAGTGCGCTTTGATATTCTGTAAATCAATGTGTCAGTGGCATGGTGAGTGTGACTGGACTGGTGGTCAGTGGAATATCCAATATCATCAATGGTTTCAATTCTTCCAATCTTCCAAGGAAGAATGAATGCAGTGTGGTGTTGAAAATGATGGCACTGGAGCTTCTTTTACTAGAAGGGGTGCTTGTTTATGATCGTTATTAGAAGGTATGGTTTCCATTTCGTGAACCAAGAAGCAAGTGATGAGAGAACACTCAACATCACAGTTTAATGCTTGGAATCATATAACTCCCAGAATTTCAGTAACTAGCGCTAAACGAGGACAGAGAGTGATAGCATACTGTGTTTGTTGTGGTCGCGAAACCCGCGCCATCACTTTTCCTCCGCCGCGCCGCCGTCACCAATCCACCCTCGCGCCCTCCACCTCCTTCCTCACTCAGTGCCTCACTACCATACACTCACATCTCTTTCTCACCTCAATTCAAAGCTCCTCTTATATAAGTCGCAAGTGAGTAAAGCACATCAACCCAACTATATCGTCAATTCTTCTTGCCCGTACCTCATTTATTCTGCTCTCTCACTCCACGCCTTCTTTCACCCTACCAACTACTCCTCCGCCCCACCCTAATCTATTCCATCATCGTATGTTCAGTAAACAAGACGACTGCAAAAATATGGTGGATTAAACTCCTGCTAACCACTCGAACGCACAGAAGCTCTCCGTCAGTGACCTCTTTCACCACACTTACCAAAGTCTCACTGCTAGAATCTCTGAACTGTTTACAAAAACATGTCTCAGAACCAGCCCTACCCAGGAACGGGGCTTTCAAGCTCTCGTCACGCACCATCTCCACTGCGTAACGAGATCTTCTCAACCTTCCCTGCCGCCGTCCCCACCCGCGGCCAGGCGTTGACCATCGCTCCGAAGGAGCAGATCGAGTACAACCCTGACGCCCAGCTCGCCATCAAGCAGAACCTTCAGCTCAAGGATGCAGTCAGCGGCTACCTGGAGGAGTACAATGGCTTCGTGTCCACCATGGCCGAAGCCACGCACAAGCTACTCACTCTCATCCGCGAGTCTGCCAACAGTGGTGGCCCGACCGATAAGACTGCGGTCGAAGCCATGGACAAGCTCTGGCAGGAACTGAAGCGCTTGTTTGGCAAGGTCCAGCAAGTGAAGGATATCATGCCTAATTTCCTTGAGCAGCAGAAGGAGAATATGAGCCTCTACCACAACTCCATGATGAACGAGAACATGCACGACGTCCAAGAGGAGCTCAACATGCAGTACAAGAAGGTCAATATTCAGTAAGTTGTCCCTCCACTCACTCGCCGTGCTGGCTATTGCCGTGAGTCACATTGAGGAAAGAAGCAGGCGTCGCCTTTAATTGAACGCGCCTCGAACTATGCCGCTAACCTGGTATGCAGGCACTCTCTCATCTTGGAGCACCAGGCTTCCTTCAAGCGCTACAAGGACCAGACTGAGGAGAAGCTTCAGCAGCTTACCGAGCTTACCGAGCGAGCATCCCGCCTCAACCTGGAGAAGGGTCTCTTTCGTGCTGAGATTGAGAAATACCAGAAGCAAATCGAAGAGATTAAGTCTGGGGGTGAGAAGCATAGCAAGGAGACTGCCGAACTCTCCAAGGAGCTTAATGCGATCCGTGAGGCCAAGTCTGCCTTGGAGAAGGACTGTGATGAGGCTCGCAAGGCTATTGCTGAGCTGAAGCAGCGTACTGAGAAGGGCAATCAAGAGCTCCGCAATGTGCACAGTAAGGAGCTTGCTGAGGCCAACACTCAGCTCAAGAATGCGCTTTTCAAGCATGATACTCTAAAGACCCACAGCGCAACTCTCGAGAAGAAGAGCGCCGATTTCGAGAAAGAGGCCAAGCAGAAAGAAGAGGAGTTGAACATGGCCAAGGATAAGTTCAACAATCAAAGCCTCGAGTTCTCTAAACTCTTCCGGGTACGTCGTGGCCATGAGATGCTCTGTGGCTTACACTGCTAATTATCACCAGCAATTGACCGAAAAGACAACCTACGTCTCCTCTCTCCAGAACGAGGTCAAACGCCTCGATAAGGAAGTACAGGAGGCGAAGAAGAACGCCGCACAAGCACCATGGGAGGATCTACAGAAACAGGTCGCAGACCTTTCCGCCGAGAAGTCCAAGCTGGAGAGTGAGCTGGAGAAATTCAAGGAACAGACACCGGGTATCGAGGAGAAGCTTTCCAAATCGATCGCCGAGACCGAGGCACTCAAGAGGAGCAACAAGAAGTTGCAGCGAGACAATGACGAGTTGGAGACGGAGGCCAACGATCTTGCTGCCAAGATTTCCGTTCTCAAGGCGACGCAGAAGAATGGTACTACCGACACTTCTGCTTTACAGGAGGAGAACAAGAAGCTCCGCTCCGATATTGAGAAGTTGCAAGCCGACCAGGGTCAAGGCACCACTCCTCCTGGCCTGGAAGATTTGGAGGGCCTAGGGCTGAAGCTGCGCACTTTTGAAGCTCAGCACACCAAGCTGACCGAGGACGTCGCAGCGTGGAAGGGTCTCGCTCACGTAAGAACGATCTTGATGTTTCTCATGAATTTCTTGATTTGGGTACTAACATGGGTTTTTCTAGCGTTCGTACGAGGAGTTCAAGAAATTGGCCGCCGAGTACGAGGAAGTGAAGGGCTTCAAAGACGAGTGCATCAAGAAGGACGCTCAAATCGAGAAGCTGACCGCCGAGCTCAAGAGCAACAAGCTCTCTAACGACATGGCGGGAATGGACAACAAGGACGCCGAATACTGGAAGGCCAAGTATGAGGGTGTTCTCTCCCAGTACTGATGAGCAACGCCTTTGGTCCAAACTGCTCGCAGCTCTCCCTCGCGCCTCTTGCAACGGATCGCTTCTCAGCAAAAACCAACACTTGAATGATGAATGTTTACACGAATGTATGAGTATATGACGCCAGGCAAAGAGTTCCTGAAGATGGGGGTATCTTACTTTGGTCTCGCGCCATACAAGTAAATACGTAGTCTATTCCCTCGTCGTCTGCCTGTCAGATCGATGAGTGCATACACTAGCCCATGGGTAATAAGTCAGTCAGGATCAATCGACTGGCCCATAATGGAAAAACTTCAACTTGATGGGAAAGTCCAAATGCGTGTGATGTACCTCCCCGCAAGCAAGCCCGAGGGCCCATGGCTCCATCCAAAGCAGTGCAACATACTCCCGTACATCCCAATCTACAAGTTTCATGATCAATGTTCTTTCCCATGGAGTTCGCGACCCCGTTGTCATGCGTCACTGAGTGAGCAACCATTTGGATAGTAAATGACAAGAATGAGACAACCCAAAACGCATATACCTCCTCCCGTACCAGCTGACGATATGGACACCATCACCACCTGGAGGTGTGTTGAGAATCGACCACCTACGCTACCTCTCTACCGGTGACTGCAGGAAATCAGGTCCAGGGGTAGGTGGTCAGTGGGTTTGCTTGTATAGCTCGACGGTTCGGTTATGTTGAAGTCACCATCGTGCTTCCCAGCTAAGACAAAGAACGAGCGTGAAGGTTGACTATGATATCTAGATGGTATCCCGAAATATCGTCGTGCACCTAGCGATTGCGCAGCACAGGGGAAAGAAACGTATCGTGTATTTTCTCCGTGACTGGAGTAACACAACAGAGACGGAGACGAGCATGCACACAGCTTCGTTCAGCACTCTTTCACACATCGAGTCGTCAATTACGTGGTGAGATTAACTGCGTTCAATTCTTCCTTTCTACATCCCAAAAGTAAACCCACAGGTGCAGTCTAATTCGCACCCGAGTACATCTATACATCCATCTATATCTCATCTCTCCTTCCTACATGTTCACACACACATAATACAAACACACACAACAGTACAAATCCCATCCGTCCGTCCGTCTGCCCGTCCGTGAGTCAAGTCAGTCGTTCGTTTTGATCGTCGTCGTTACATCATCGTCAGTTTCAGGCGGGTCGGCCCGGCATAAAAACTCAATCAATGAATGCCTTGGTAAACAGATAATAACTCCCCAAAGAAAAAGGTGTCAAAAGTAAATAAAATGGGGTGCTGTCGATCGCAAAAAGAACCGCAGAAGCAGCCCCAGAAGAAGAGTGAAAAAAGTCGCAAGTCCCAGAAACTTCCTTGCGCCGGGAAAGAAGAAGTGGGAAAACCCCTAAAATGCCCCCGTGATGGTTGAAGGTGGTGGTATCGAATACGGTGCCGAGAAGAAAGTGAGATAGCATGGTTTCCCAGAAAAACGCCGTGTGGTCGGAAAGGCCGGAAAAAAATAGAAGATGGTGGAGAAGAAGATCGACCGCTATGCTGAAAAAAAAAGTCCGTATATACAATCGATTTAGAGGTTGCGAGGCTTCGGCGTTCCGTCGGATTCGGAATCAACGGCAATGCTGTGCCGTCGCTCCGGGGTAGAGAGAGAGGGAGAGGGAAGGAAGGGAGGAAGGATCATCAATGTCTCCCGCGCTTCAGACACTTGCCCTGCCTTCCGACGTTCTCCCTCAGCGTCTCCAGCGTCTTCGAGTCGCCGTCCTCGAACGCGAACTCGCCGTTCCAGAACCCGCAGTCGATGTTGATGGTCTCGTTGCGGGACAGCACCTGCTGGACGCCGGCCCAGTCGACGGGCGGCATGCCCGGCGGGTCCTCGCCGAACGACTCGTCGACCTGCGCGATCTGGCTCTCGCCCGGCATGTGGTGGAAGAGCTCCGAGTTGATGGTCCAGCAGCGGAGTCCAGCGCTCGCGTACTTGTTTCGTAGCTTGGGGTTTGGGTGCGGGTGCGGGTTGTTGTTGGGGTCGGTGGGCGACGGGGTCTTGCGGCCCTCAGAGCAGGCGTGGAGGAGCGCTACGTCGAAGGCCCGCGGGCGTCCTGGCTTGAGTTTCGGCGGCGCGAGGTCGGTGAGGAGGCGCTCTGCTGCTGGGCGTGTCACGGCGTAGCCGAAGGAGCATAGGGGCCATCGTGAGCGGTGGACCGCGCGCTGGTGGTCGCTGAGGCCGAGCTTGTTGAAGAGTTCGCGGGTGAAGGGGTGGAGGTCGGATTTCGCGGGGAGGGTGTTGTCGCGGTAGATTTTGTGAGGGCCGTTGTTGTCGAGGTTGGTGTATTCTTTCCCGGTCGGGATGATGCCTTCGTACGTCACGCCGATGAAGTAGTCGCCGCAGTGTCCAAGGTAGAGGAGATCCCAGTCGGCATGGTTGCCCCAGTACTGGGCGTCTTGGTCGTCGACTTTTGCGAATGGTGAGTATGGGCGAGCGGGTGGGAGTAGCGATCGCATGGCGCTGGCGGCCAGAGGGGCTTGAACGCTGCGGAGTCGGATGTCCCAGTCGACATCGTCTTCGAGAATAAGCGCGGTCTCTAGACCAGAATCGAGGAACCTGGAGGATAAGGATTGTGTTAGCCGAGTGTCTCTGATATTACAAGTACTTTGTCATGCATGATGACTCTTGGCGGTGGATTGTAGAACATAACGTACCATCGCAGCGCATTGTGATGGCCCATCCACGCGAGTATCGAACCTCGCTGGACGTCGTCCGTCTCGCCGTTGCGGAAGGTCTCGACGTCTCCTTCGGTCCACTGGGGCTGTACGGGTATCGTGATGTCGATGTCGGTTACGTTTGCAGCCTGGAGGAGCGCATGGCGGCGACTCGAACCCTCTTTTGATACCGCGACCACCGCACCGAAACCCAATGTTCTATTCGCGGGCAATTTCACCGGGAGCCTCTCGATCGACGACACCCATTGCACGTAGGCACCATCTGGGTTGCTGTGGTAGAAGAAGGCGAGCAAGAGGAGGGTTGAAGCGACTAGCACTGGCAGTATTCTTTTCCGGTGCGCGATCATGTTTATACGAGAAGCAGGATGGTGTTATTCGAAGGTCATGACCACGAGGATCGTTGCTGGAGGGGGTTGTTGTGTTCGTTGTTGTTCACAGTATGCTATGTATATATGTGCTTCCAATAGGTAGGCCTGGCAGGCAGCGGAAGGCTATGGATGTGGAAGTGGAAGCGGAAGGGGATGGGATAGGATGAAGAGTGGACAAAGAGGGTACAAGTACGAGTAGCAATAGCATACGGCGAGAGAGAGAAAAACAGAGAGACGATGGGAGGGATTTAATAAACGCAGGACCGTTGTGCGGGGAGATGAGAGATAGCATAGCAGCACAATAGTGGATGAGGCAAAGCACGGTACGCGGGACCAAGCACAAGCGTAATGTAATGTGTAGAGAGGACCAGCTGCCTTCTGCGCTCTCTTAGACCTACAACGGTTAGGTGCTAAGGCTTTGGATGGAAGCAGGGAATGGTTAGTGGAGTGACGAGTCGATCTGGGCCGCTCTACTAGGAATTATAACCAACTGCTAAGACTCTAAAGGAACTTAACATGTCGTATCTTGAGTAGGGGAGCATAGGGAGCGAGCCACCAGCGGTTACAGAGATCTGTTAGCGGCGGTCACAGGACAGGGATAAAGCCGTATCAAAAAGGATTAACGAGAGCCTGAGAGGTGACATGCCCGTTTGCGTCCAAGAGACTTGGGAAATTTCCCTACCGAAATCTGAGGCAACGCGGGATCCTGGCGCTGCTCTCGGATTATTGGATACGCCGTAGGGGGGGAGTGACAGACTCCAGAGTGATAATCTCTTCGTTTGCCCCCAACTGGAAATGACGTGCTGGAGAGTAGGACGGAGTTGGGAGGTTGACCGTTGACGCGGCGTTCCGTGTGTTTGATTGTGAGGTGCAGAGGATACGAGTAGTCCGAATGGATAGTGGAGAGGGTAGTGGATACACATGCATTTGACAGATGGGTAAAGTACATTAGGGTGATACTGTACTGTGTAGTACTGCACCTAGAGGAATAGGGTACCTTTGCGAAGTACCTAAGTACCTAGGTCTAAGGTAGGGCTGCAAACCGTGAGGGGAGGGGAGGGTATGTCCGATGTGTGTGGCCCAGTCCAGTGTGGGTGGGAACCGTGGGATGATTGGGGTGGACGATGATGAATGGGCGATGAATGGACAATGAATGGATGTCATGGTTGATTGGATGCGGGCGGGAGGTTGAAATTGTACGAATGCGCTAACTCAGAGATAACTTCCGAACTGTGCCCGGGTGTGAGTGTGGCACTACAACAATGCAACTACATACCACATACCACTGTGACTTGTTGACTGACTGGCAATGTCGTATAATGAGGTGGGAAACACCCAACAGAATCAGATCATGCAAACAATCATGTTATGCTGCACGAGTCCAAAAATAAAAGGATGGTTCAATAGGCCAGGATTAATAACAGAAGAAGAGATGGAAGGATAAAAAACAATAATACAAATACGAACTTCAGGATCGAAACGTGAACTGTCTCTCGCTCGGTTAGAGACCATGAACCCATGGGGGACGATAAAAATAATAACAATAACAACAGGAAGATCAAGTGAACAGAATCCTTCTCGCTCGTGATTCAATAATTACATTTAATGATGATAACGAGAGGGAGGATGATAATAAGAATGAATAATCAGCAATGAGATGATCGAGTCCCACCACTTGTTCGTGATGTTTATTATTTTACTCGACATGCACCATTCATTGGTGGAAACTCATCACGTGAACATGCACATGACCAGTAACCGCATTCGATCTAGCCCCATATCAAACACGCCTCGCTCACTCTCTCGGTCTCTCTCATCTCACCAAAAGTCTTGGGAGATTGCGCCTCAATCGGACTTCATCCAGAATTCGGCCTTGTCTTGTTCTTCGTCCGTCTCCTTTTTCCATCTTGTAGGCTTCTTACAGTCTAGTTCATACATTTTCCCCAATTGGTTTCCTTTCCAGGTGATCTCTCTTTTTGGCATGATTTGATCTCCTCCCCCTTCCAAGACTCCAAGTCTCTCCGACTACAATAATTAATTTACCTTTTCACTTTTACCACTAACCACTGCCTCGGGTTTCCCTGTCTTCATCTTCGTCGTCGTTGTGCTCGTCGGGGCCAGGCATCTCCGTGCGCGGCGCGCGGCAATAGTCTAAACCCTGAAACGAACCTCCTGCGCCTCCATACTCGTAACTCGAATCCTCGAACATCTTCACCACCACTACATACTGCTGACCATCAAAACTACTACCACTCGTCCCGTTGCACTGATGGATCTGCACCGCGCTTGATCATCGAATTACTCCTCCAACCCAATACTTTGTACAATAACAACATCCACTATCGCTCGCTTCACCACATGTACATTACCCACGCGAACCGCTTATAATGGCCACCCTCGGCTCCCCGTCCCCACCCTCATCACCATCGAGAACAATGCGCCGAAGAAGTTGGGCCCGAAAGATCGAGCGCTGCTGCTGCCAGACCATAACCTATTTTCCATTGCTATTCGTCTACGGCTTGACATCATGGGCGGCATGGGTAGAGACAGGCATCGGCTTTACGCCCACTAAGACCGAAGTATGGACAGGTAGGCACAACATAGGGCATATAACGCAGCATCAAGCCGATCTAATGCCAATATAGGTCCCTTCTCGTCAGCGCTCGGTGCTTTCCTGTTCATCATGCTCAACTGGAGCTACACGACCGCCGTTTTTACCGACCCGGGTTCCCCTTTAAGTGTCAAGGACGGATACAGCCATCTTCCTTCCCAGGAAGGTGGAGGCTTGTCATATACATCATTCACAGTCAAGGCTTCGACTGGCGACCTCCGGTTCTGCAAGAAATGTCAGACCAAGAAACCCGATAGGGCCCATCATTGCTCGACCTGCAAACGATGCGTACTCAAGATGGACCACCACTGCCCATGGCTTGCTACCTGCGTCGGGCTTCGCAACTACAAAGCATTTATACTCTTTCTCGGATACTTGACACTGTTTTGTTGGGTATGCTTCGCCACTTCGGCCTCTTGGGTCTACATGGAAGTTATCAGCGAGGGCCAGTATACCGAGTCCTTCATGCCCGTAAACTATGTTCTGCTGGCAGTGCTCTCAGGAATCATTGGGATTGTCATCACCGGCTTCACCGGCTGGCATCTTTGGCTCACCTACCGAGGCCAGACTACGATTGAAAGTCTTGAGAAGACCCGATACCTTTCCCCGATCCGTAATTCCATGCGCAACCATCTGAACGATCGCGACTACGTTGAAGCATCGGCGAATGGGCGACTCAGCATTGGTGATCAGTTGCGCGAGATCCATGCGAACGCGCTCCCCGGAGTCACCAGGCCTGAGGAAGGCGAATCTCCGTCCCGATCGAATTCCCGCTCGCCTGCCGCACGCGACGGCTCCACGAGCAACGGCTACTCACACCCAGCATACAACTCATACGAGCAACGAGAACGTCAGCAAAACGTCGATCGCTACGAATCCTACCTGGAAGAAAGAGACAATGAACTGCTTCCGAATGCTTTTGATCTTGGCTGGAAACGCAATTTTGGGCATGTTTTTGGCCCGAATCCTTTACTCTGGTTTGTACCGGTAGTAACCACTACAGGCGACGGTTGGTCTTGGGAGGCTAGCACGAAGTGGTCGAATGCACGTGATCGCATAAAGAAAGAAAGAGAAGCCGAAGACAGGATCCAGAAACAGCGGGAGCGTGCTGCAGGTTGGGGTGTTGATTCGCCCACAGAGGCTGAATTCAGGCGATCTGGACGTTCGCCCGTTGGATGGCAGGTGAATCGATATGCGCGCCAGCCTCATTGGAAGACGACTCGACGAAATGGCGAAGGGGCCCGCTATCTGACAACCTCGAGCGGAGTAATCCATGCGCCATTGGAAGGCCGCCGGAGTCCAAGCAAGGCAGACCAAATCCTGGGCCGCGAGCAGGGAATGTATGCGGATGGCGATTTGCAACTCCAGCCTATGGATCGGCATAGGTTCGACCAGTACAACTACGTTTCCGAAGACGACGATGATGACTACGAAGTTTCCTCCGATGAGGAACAGGCCGAACTGCGGAAAGCACAAGTTTCGAAGCCTGCACCTCCAAAAGTGACGACCAAGGATTGGAACGACATCCCGGACGATTTCTTAAAGCCGCCGCCGAAAGGCAAGCCGAAGGAAAGAGGCGAAAGCAGCCAGGAAAGAAAGCAGAAACGAGCCCAGGAATGGGATGATTGGGACAAAGACAGCTAGTCGAGCTGCTACCCTTGGTTGTGGACCTCAATCTCAATGTTTTGATGTAAAGAGCATGGCGTGAACTGAATTTTGGTTACTTTATTTTCTTTTGCATGACAGACAAAAAGGCATATGACGGCGTTATGCGTCCATTGACACGAGTTTGGATAAAAGAGAGACGTAATTGGCGTAATTCTGGCAGCGTAACGCTCCAGCGAGGAGTTTCTTTAGAGCAAGCATATAACTGCTGTAGGACAGAAATCGGAACTGTCCAAATACATCGATTCTACCCCTTTTCATGCACACTCTCTCTTGGTACAAGGTTTGTGAGACATTTCTCAAGATGTGATATTGGAGCCCGTAACGTCGCTCATAGACGCAAGCTATTCTTCTTCGTCATCGTTCAGGTCGATATCATCTGCCCACATACTCTCAAGGTGGTCGTCTGGATAATTATCCAAACCCCCGGCCTGCTTGACCACCTTGTTGATCAGCTCTTGTACAAGCTCGACGTCCCTATAATCCGCCGTGAACACTGGCTGTATATCCTCCCAAGCACGATAATGGTACTCCTTCAGATCGCTCGACTCGCCATTTCGATCATACACGAGAGAATCCGGGCAGAAGTACGAAAGCTCCGGACAGTTCTTGATCAGATGCTGGAAAACATCCCCCCAAGTGCCAGTCTGCAACTCGACGTCATGCATCCACAGCGACCTGAGCTCGCTGGCCACTCCGCCCTCGTCCGTCGAGAAAAGCTCGATCAACTTCTCAAACGTTATCTTCACCCGATCCAGATACAACATCCTTAGCCCTCCACCCCTCCTCGGCTTGAAGTCAAGCAACGTACAATCAATATGCTGCGTCCCTGCCAACCCCAACGACTCCAAATTCGGACACCTATTGACAATCTTACAAAGATCAGGCCCGTACGTCCTATTCGGATACTCCTTCTGCAAATTCGACATCCCGACCCTCTCATCCCCATCCGTATTCTCGTCAAAACAAGACAAATACGCCTTACTCCCCCCGGGCCCCGTCGCATCCATATACCTCAAATACAAATGCCTCAACCTCCCCAACATCTCATCCCCCAACACAACCCCCAACACACTACAATCCACCGCCGCCGGCATCGCCAACCTCAAATCCGTCAAATTCGCCCACACCCCGCCAGGCATCCCCAACAAATCCGCAAAATAAACCCTCAACCCATCCAACATGTTCACATCGAACACGGGCACCTTATCGTACCCATCGTGCCCCCCGCCCGAGGAATCACTCTCCCACACATACGGCAGCGTCACATTCAAACACTCCACCCGCTCCCCCACGCCTTTCCGCGCCAGCAACCCCTGAAACGCAACCATGAAGTCCCGAATCCTGTCTAACCCGCCGTTCGCGTCACCCTCCGTCGACAGCGTCCGTCGAGGAAAGTACATCTCCCGCGAGGAGAGCGGGATGCATACGCCCCTCACCGCGTCCACGAAGTACGAGGAGGAAGGGGAGGGGGACGATAGGGAGGATATGAAGTCGACGACGCCGTCTTCGAAGATAGGCAGCACGATAGCGAAGCGGCGGCACAGGGCGCGCGTGGCGGCGCGTAGCAATGTGCGGCAGACGAGGCGCATGGCGTACAGTGTCGACTCGTAGCCATGGGATTCGTTGGCTGTCATGCGTCGGACTAGGGCGTAGGTGTCGGCGCGGGAGTCGTTCCAACGGTGGTCGGTGGAGATTTGCTTTGGTGTCTGGAGGGGGGTGGCGAGGTGGGAGAGAATCTTGAGGGGGTTGGTTAGTTATGGGGTGATGGGATGGTGGTAATGGGGAGGGATGGGAAGGGAAGGTTACTTCGTCGTGGAGCTCTGGGGGAAGAGACTCGAAGGGAGATAGGCTTGTTTCTGTCTTCATGTTTGTTGTTCTTCTATTTTGCTTCTTGGGGTTCCTTTGCGATATCCAATGTGTGTTCGAATTGGTCAATCGTTACTTTTCTCTCCCACAAAGGAGATGTAAGATGCACGTGCAGCGTTTGCGTGTACGTAGGATAGATGCCAAATACAATATCTCTTTCTCACACGATTTCCCAGCCTGTGCTTCAAGTTCTGTCTTCCTGTACAGCAGCTATGCGGTGTTGAGCAATCGTTGCCGTCGTTGCGAACAAACACGGGTAAGAAATAGTTCAAACGAACACCGAATGCAAAATACACGAAAAGGTATTGTAGATGTATGTGCTAATCGATCTGTACTCTGTAGGTAGCTAAATCATGAATGTTAAATCATGGAGTATGGACGTACGTTGAGATGTATATAGCATGGGGGTGGAAACCCGCTAACCGAACGCCTGGCTAATTATAGCCACATTGATCGTATTGATGCCTGGAGTGGTGGATCCACTTAACGTTCGTAACGGGAAATGGGAATATTAGTTGGCTGGATTGGGTACCTGAGAGAGGATGTGGGTTGAATGCTATTATGCAATATTGTTGGGGAGGGATTGGTATGGTGTGCGGTGGGGATGTGAAGGGGGAGATGAAGGAGGATGGACGGGTGCATGGGGCGTAAATTTTGCATGGTTGGTATCGTGAGGTATGGGTGTGTCGATTGGATGATGTGGTTGTTCGACATGTCAGTGTGTATAATGCGTCATTAAGAGGTTTGATTTGAGGTGAGCGGTTACAATTAAAATGGTGATTGAGAAATGCGTGAACATTGACATGTCTATCTCCAATACTTGGAGATCTTGATATCCGAAATCTACCTAAACCTCAACCAAACACCTCCCCCTGCCACGGAGTCCTTACATTCGCCCTCGCCGTCTCCTCAATCCTCAACTTCTTCGCCTCCTGAAACCTCTCCAACACCCCATACCTCACCGCCATCCCACCCCTCTGGACGGTGATCATCCCAGCCGTGACATTCCCATCCAACCCATCCATCAACGGCGCGCCAAACGCCCTCGCAATCTCCAGCGGATTCAAGCTGACCTGCCTTCCGAGCTCCCAGAAGCCGTAGTACAGCGGCATGACGGCCGCGACGCCGAGGAACGAGAGCACGATTCCCAGGACCACGAGCGCGGGGGACGTCTTGTAGACTGCTTGCGTGCGGGACGATGTCACTGCGACGGTTTGGTTCCAGTCTTTGCGGAGGAGGTCGAGGTCGGCGGATGTGTATGTGGGTGCGAAGACGGCGCCGTCGGAGGCCGCCATGTCGAGTGTTATGCGAAATGCGAGGGAGCGCATCTTTGAGAGCATAGAGGGCATGGGGTCGCGCCAGGAGAGGCTGCAGAGAGGGTCTGATTGTGTTAAGGTGTCGTCCTGGGGTGGAGTGGAGAAGAGAACCGTTGGGTCGTTGAGGGAGAGGGATTGCTGGGGCTCGGTGCCGTTGGTGCAGAAGCGGACGGAAGAGCTGCCATCGAGTTGCGTGCTCGTGGCACATTTTTGGTATTGGAGTCTGGAGAAATCTTCTGTTGGTGTTACATTCACGGCGATCGAGGGGAATAGCGACTCGAATGCCAGTGGCCAGAAGGTGACCATCAGTGTTCTATTGAGTCTCATCTCGGGACTGGACGTAAATGAAGACGGATCAGAGTGGGAAATGCTGCCGTTCGCGATGATAACTCGGTATTCGCCGGTCACTTGCGTGAGGGAGCATGTTTGTATCTGGACTTCCCCTGAGCATGTACCCTCCTGTTTGTATAGGCTCGTTATCTCAAGAGATTGTTCTTCTGTGCTTGCTCCGGTAATGTTTGTCTTGTGGCTGATTGAGAACACCGGATGGTTCAGTTCCGTGCGTCGAAGTACAGCACAATTCACGAAACATTGCTCTGTCGAACATGTTTTGCACTCTGTGGGAACGGCGCTCAAATCAAGTGGCCGTGATGTGGAGGTACAGGATGCGGCGAAGGTGAAGCCCTATCATGGGGTCAGTCATTGATTTCACCTACTCTATTCCATCTTATCTTACCTTGACCGTACCATTGCACCGCTCTCCACACGCTGGAGGGTGGACGAATGGGATTGGATCCCCAGAGTTCACGCTTTGGAGCATCTGTGAAAATGCCGGCGTGATGTCTGTGTGCATCGGAGAACTGGAGCGCTGCAGGCTCTGGAAGTACTCCGGTATGGGAAAGAGGGCGATTTTGATATCAATTGAGTCGGTTACGTTGGAATTTTGACCTTCCAAAAGGGTGAGGGATCGTTGGAATAATGGACCTCTTAGGGTAGAGGCAAATGCTAAGAGACATGCTAGTTAAATAGTTAGGAAATGCTCTCGGTCATAGGGTTCACGAAATAGCTCACCAACAGCCACAAGGTTGAATTGTAGTCGAACAATTCTCTTGGTGGCTGGCCAAAGAGAAGCTGATTCGTAGATATCGTGCATTGCGGACAACTTGAGATGTTCAGTATGGGTTAGCTATAGCGGTATGAAAGACGTACTGTAGTGCCATGTAGCATCTCGCGCCAGAATCTGACCACCATGCCGTTCCACAAAGCGAACAGTATCAAGATGTTCATTGACATTTCGAATACCGATATGTATACCTGCGGCTGAGCATTGTCGTTTCCTACTTTCCAGCTATCAGGGGAGCTTCCATCACTGGCTAGGAGGAGACCAGCGGAAGCACCTGTCACTATATCTGGTCAGCAGCATTCGGGAGATGTATTTCCTAGACGTACATGCAATCACCAGAAGCAATGCAAAGAATCCACACCATGGGAACCTATCCCACGACCCGGCTTTCCAAGGTTCTGGTATATGCCGTGGGTGACGAAAATATCGCCGACTGATACGAGCTTGCTCTGCATCGGGTACGGGCATCGTAGTTGTCTGAGGCTCTGGCTTGGGGCTTTCTGGTCTCGTAGGCCCGAATTGAGTCGAGTTCGCCCAAGCTACAGGTTCCTGATAGTTGAAGTCCACGACAGCCCTTGAGCCGAACAAAGTAGATGTCGTCTCGCTAGAATTCTGTCCCGGTTGCGGCTCAGGTGGTAAGGACTGTTGGAGAGCAACTGGAGATACCACCCATGACCGTCGAGGAGGGGAAGAAGATGGAACTGGTGGCTCTTCCGGCCGATATGCTTGGTATTGTGATTCTCTATGTGCCGATAACATTGAGATTCTATCATCGTCTGAATTCCTTCCAGCCCTGAGATAAGCCGCCCCGAACTCCATGGCACTGGGACCAGAGTCCAAGGGACGGTTCAAAGATGGTTGTGGAGTTTCTTCAATCATTCCATGCCTGCAGGAACGGTCGATATTATTAAGTCAAGTAAGTCCCAGTGTGGGATCGGATATGCAATCCTGGGCGCAGCCTCCAGCTCGCGTGAGATGAGTGAATGTCTCTCCAGTTTTCAAAGCAGAAGGAAGGCGACCTGCTCACGTCCCTTCATCCCGATCTCGAGCGCACGAGGACTTCCATTACTGGACACACAGCCTGCGGGGGTACCATCCTAATTATTAGCCCTTGGGACGAAGGATCTGAAAGAGTTCTGGCACGCGATTTCGTGACTAGGAGGTGTAGTTTCTAGCGATGCACCGCTACCATTCGTAAATGCCAGAACAAGCATCGCGCGAGACGGCGCTAATCGCCATCCTCGTAGCATTTCCCAAAGAAGCCGTATTGTGAAACAAGACCAATCCCTAGAACAAGTACGAGGCTGAGCACAAGGCGAAGTGTGAGGCCTTACACCCGCTATCCACTGGCTTCTAAATGAAAAGGGGGGCTCGGGTCGGGATTTCGCCCAGCGCCGACGCATTAAGCAGGATCGTAAGGCATCCTTCTCGTCATTATCGCGATTTATCTTAAATTTTCGTTGAAGAATATAATAAATGTGACGATTGTACAAAGTTCACTTTTCTTTTGTGCTTGCGGTTGATGTGTGATCCGAGCGTCGAGGAGTACAGTTGTTTCCAAGAATGTTTCAGCCGTTTCTCCACGAACTCTATCACGTCACAAACATCACCCCTGGAGCACGTGAAAGCATCCCAAACTGTCTTGGTACTGGAATAGTCGGCAAAGATGCGCGAGAAGGATGGGGATGCTGCTGTTCATGCATCCACTGTGCCACGTAATTTAACCCGCATCCCTTCACCCAAAATTCTACTGGAGATCACGGTTGTGCCGACAAAAGGAATCAGAGCTGCCCGATTTGGACATGTTTCCTCTTTAGGCGAATTAATGTTGATGCAAATGCTGGCTCCTTCGAAGGATTCATCGAGATCCAGGCTAGACTTTCATTAAGATTTAGGCAGACCTTGCTAATACGTAACTCTAGCCTGATAGCAAATGTCTACACAATCAGGCTAACAGACTGAGGGATGCTACTTCTTAGATAAGACTTGCATCTTATCGAAACCGAATAATCTTATATGCAGATAATTGTTTGTATGACGAGAATTTGACCTGCGGGGATGCACGTTGAGTTAAATTTAACAACTGCGGACTGATCGAACTTCCTGAATACGCCAATACCATTGGCATGTCTTGTGAAATCCTCCTATTATCTGAGAAAATAAAGACAGCGCTGGTTGTGCGCAGGTATATACCTCGACATAGGTTCTTCATCCTAATCCTGTTAGCTGGTGACATTCGTAATGCAGAGATTCCACATACGAATATCTCTTAGATACGGCCGCAGGCACTACAAAGGAAAAGTGTGCTCTTCCTTCGGCTGGGTCATCGAATTAAACAAGTAACCACATCATGCTGGATCAACAGGGCAATGTGAACGAATACAAGTAGTTCTATATATGACTGGATAGGATCCAGCAAACGTATAGTGCACAATGCACACTGAGTTGTCCTATCTAATCCTGGCGTTTCCGCGTACCAGACCTCTCACGCATGACGAAATGATAGGGTTGAAGCTCGAGTTTCTCGGACACGGCAACCATCAATCTCCCGTGCATCCGAATCTCCATCTCAGGAGAGGAATGATAGGCTGAGAACCACCAGCGTCCGAACAGAGACATCCTAGTGCCAGGACCGCTTAGCAGACCTAGTTCATTGTCCTTTGGAACTGGAAGTTTGGTAAGTTAGGACACAGCCTCCGCCACTTTCGAAGACACATCGCCCTGGCCGTCTAACCAAGAACTCGGGACGGATAGTATAGAGCTGCCAATGGGCTCACGAAGAACGAACACCTGCATTGCGACCTCTGCATTGCGTGCACTGCCAGCGAACCGGGCGACTAAACCTTGTGAACAGCGTGCAGCTGGATTTCCATGAGCGAATCCTGAAAGGGCTGGGCTTACTCGACAATTCTCGACAAACCATGTTTGGACCCCTTCTCAGTATATCCTAATCTCTACATGTTGTCACTGGAGGGACTATGGATGAGGCCCCATCAAATGGGAAACAAGAATATGAGCGATAGCACACACATTAAAGGTGTATAGGCGTTCAAATCTAGTACGATGATGGAAATAACCATATGAGTAGTTGATATAGGCCCTGTACGGGTTAATCCGGAAAGAAATATAATTGAAACATGCAAAAATGAACAAACGTTTTATCGATGATGAATGTAAATATAACTGCTAATTCGCGCGAGAGAGCCGTGACAGGCTGCAAATGCACAGGACTGCTTCTCATGGCCAGCGGGCTCACATTTTAATAGTTTGGTCTACAAAAATACGTTAAAACATGGTGGAGATCTGGGATTATGAACAATATAATATTATATACACAGAGATAATTAGAATCCTTGCCCGCCCATAGCACCGAACTGCATGCTGTAATTTTCATTCGCTTGGGGTATCCATCCTCCAAACGTTTCATTGACGTCGTTCCAGAGATAAAGATCCCCATTCTGGAAGGCAGAAGTAAAATCCCCTATATCCGTGGCAAATGAGGGTTGTCCAGGTATGCCCGAGACAGCGTCCGCCTCAGGCAGATCCATTGCTGGAGTTGGCCAGGATGCATATGAGTCCGTCATGCTGAAATTTGGGAGCGAACTGGGCGTTTGAGTGGATGATGTAGAGGGCTCTGTTGATGATGGCTGTGCAGGCACCGAGTATGTGGTAGAAGTCGGGTGGAGTACTGGCTCTCTCTGGGCGATTTCGTCTTTTTGACCCTTGTCGGAATTCCGTTTCAAATGCTTGCCGTCTTTTCGCCATTGCTGATACTCTTCGTACCACGTGACAAGCTTGTGGTTTAAGATAAACAGCCAATGTGATGGCACACGGCATCTCTGTGGACCTATCGCATCGGCTGTCCGTTGGAGGACCATGGACATGTAGAAATCAACCTTAAGGCTTTCGCTATCAAGTACTTCTCCCATACCATCCGCATCAGTGGTGACAGCGTAGTCGGCTTTCAAGAGAGCCAACAGTGCGTATATTGCTCGTACGAACAGAACGTTTGGCGACTTACGCATTCTCTCCAATGAATACTCAGCGAAACAATCCAGAAGTGAGTGTGCAACACTGATGCATTTAACGGTGGCATTTACTTGGAGAGCGGACCGCGAGAGTAATGTTTCCGGCTGTACGCAATCGTCATCGAGAGCTGGCAAAGTCAAGTGTCGATTCCGGAAGTCAGGAGCGTCGTATTGCCCTCCATCCATGGCGAATTCGTACATTGAGATCATGTTCCCATAATGCTCAATCATTAATGATACTGCGATATATGTTAGATGAGTAGAACTCGCATAACTGGTGTAACACTTACAGGTCATAACTTCTGGCGGTATCGACTTCTTCCACTCTTGCATGCGCCTCTCGAATATTCGTAATATTACCTGTAGTCGAAGCTCTGAAAGGCTAAAGCTCGTGCTCGCATCATCGAAGCCAAAAGCGGTGTAGGCCTCATCTGCAATCCTCTGCAGCTTTAACCAGGCGACGACGCGTTTATCCTCAAGGAGTGTGGACTTTTGTAATAAGCCCAAGCATTCCTCCATCCAGCTGTTAAATAGTAGAGTATTCGGTCTTCGTAGGCGCATAGCGAATCTATTGGTGTTAGTAGTGATGCTACAGTAGACCTTAGTATGTACCCACCCAGCTGTCATAACGTAAAGAAACAATATGGTTCTGCAATTTTCTAGAAGCTCTTCTGCCGATGATATCCTTTGTAAGGCCTTGATTGCTCGCTTAGGTAGTTGTTCGTGAGTTCGGGGCTTGGATGCCAGCCCTAGCTCCAAAGCCATACAAGCAGCCATGCTGCTGTACTGATAGATCTGCAGTTTGGCTGGCGTGCTCGGAGGAGTGAAGAATGTCACAGTAACTAGAAGAGCCTGTATATGCTGCACAGACTTTTCACCTCTGATGAACAGTGATCTAGCAAATAGGAGGATGACTTCATCGTGTAGTTTGTTCGAAAGTTCAGCCCCTTTGGAATGTGATGCCGCTGCCATCACCGCATGAAATAGTGCTGGTTTTTTCTCTCGGAGCTGGAGGGCGGTCCAATCCCGAGATATCAGTACGCCCGGGCACTGCTGGGTCAAGTCATTTCGATAGATGTTCAAGAGCTCATCAGCCAATGCCTGGGATATGATACCACGATCAATAATGTCGTCCGCTGGCCCGAGAGGGTCCACCGGGCCATATTCCTCTCGTGAGCGATCGGGAGGCCAGTCATATGCACGACTGCGAGATGAATGCTCTGGCGGTGCTTCGGTTTTCTTAGCAAGGCCAAGAGAATCATAATTTGGTGGGGGTTGCTCTGGCTCATCCTGATCTTCGTCCATGGATTCCGGTTCAGAAGCTTCGGCAGGGGAAGTTTGATTTGGTTTGAGCAATGAGCGCATTGCTTTGATTTCTCTTTCAAGCTCTGCAACTCTCACGTCGGTTCGCTTTCGTTGCCGCCTCTTGACTGGAGGAGCAAAAATACATGTTTTCCCGGCTTTGGCGCATCTTTGGCAGGTTTGGTTTCCTGGGACTCGATTTGGGAGACAGCGGACTTTAGACAATCTACAGGCTTCACATGCTCGATTTAGCTGCTGTTCTGGAGGTTTTCGCGCAGCTTGATCATGAGAGCCCTCTGAGTCAGGCGTCATTGTGTGTCATATAGGTAGCTAAGCATTCGCGACAGACTATTCTTCTACAGTGCGATTTAGTTGCCCTGCATCAAAGAGACAGTCTCAAATGACCGTGCCACATTCGTAGTGAAACGGAATGCCAAGTTATGGTACGGAAACGGTCATTAACTGGTGTTACGGTATCCTAGCGACCTGTAGCCGACAAGCCATATAAGCTCTTGGCAGCTCTGGAGAACCTCTAAACTGAAGGATTTAGGAATCGCGACGCGGTATGCTCGTAGTGTACAAGAAACTTCAAGCTCAATAAGATTTCAATGATAGATTGTGTTGGTAAGAGTATCGTGAAAGGAGCCTGGTCTCGTTGGTTTCAAAGCCATCCGAGGTGCAGTAGTACGCTAGACTGAATTAGTCACAACGATTGAGTTTAGCGTCATTCATGTCAGCCTCTGCTTCTGTGGCTCTGTCCTAATGATGTAATTCTAGACTATAATTTGAAAAGAGACATATAGTTATCAATTGACCGTATGAAGTCTGAATTTGGGTGGTCGCATGGTACCATACAGAGCACATAAAACAGGCTAAGTATACTGTTACATTGCATTAGTCAAACTTTATGATGAATAGAGTGTGTACTACATTTGACAACCCGAAACCTCTATCCAGAGGATTCGAGTGAACTGTGAAATGAAATATGGTTGCCAAAGCTTTATATCTTTGATTTATTGTACAGTTTCTTGTCTGCTAATCTCTAGTTTAGCTGTCATTGCAATCTTTCAATCCAAGTCTTTCCCTGTGATACTGTGTCTAGGTCTAGCACTGCTGCGACAAAGAAAAGAGATATCAGGAGCCATGGTCGCTGGCGTATGCTAGAGATGTTGGCAGCCTCAAACAAAGCCATCAGACCCCTAAATCGGGGGCTATCAAGCTTTAGAAACGCGAAATTGGCTTTGCATATGATGTTTTGGAGGGATGCTTCTCGTGGTCCTCAGCATACACGCAAGCCCACATCAACCGGAAAGAGACTTAAGATTGAAAGTCGGTCCTCAAATTATGCAAATAAGAGTGTATGAACGGCGGACAAAGGGGTATATTCTCGTAACAAAGTCCATTATGACACTCCAATATACCCAGAATGATGCGACGGCAGCACTCCAGCAGTCCCACAAGGTCGTGTCTTAGCCGGGTCCAATCTTGGGCATGTCGTGGTGCTCACTCAGACCGCTGAGGTATTTGTTCAGCTCCTCGACCCTTTCTTTGTGTGTTTTGACTCCTTCTCGCTTCAACCTCTCGTCAAGTCTCTTCCGTCGCATCTCGTCATAACGTTTCTCGGCTTCGGTCTTCCGTCTCCCGCCAGTACCGCGAATTTCCTTCTCAGCTCGTTCTGGTGTAATGGATCGTGACTGCGTTCGTCTGGATTCAGTGGGCGCATCTTTGGAAGCTTCTCCGGACGACGATTTCGTCGTTTCCGCAGTGGTTGTAAGGTTCTGGGAGGTAGAACCCTCTGTCGGCTTTGGCTTCTTTTTCTTCTTTTTCTTGTCGATGCCAGCGCCGCCTTTCAGCTTCAGTCCGCCTCCTGCTGATGTGTAGTCGGAGGGTGGCATCTTCACAACGCGCTCGAGCGCAATGTTGGACAAGTGGTGTCTGGAGGTAGCATGGTTGTAAATGATCAAAGCAACTACACTGTCTTGTACTAATGCCGATTGGGAAAGTGGCACTAGGCTTAACACGGTCACCATTCCTCTGTCATTACTGTGTAGAGAAATGAAAATATACTGCGTATATTTTTCACAACTTCCTACAAAACTGTGCCTTTTAACTTCATGATTCGCTTGACCGTAGAATCCCTTTAAAATGTGTTTCTCATCATCGCGCAAGCAGACGAATAGTGGCATCATGGCGTGAGTATTCTTTAGGTTCTCCGTATGTTCCACAAACCAGGACGATGATCCTTGTCAACGTTGGTAGCGACTCCACTACGCCATCGATCGTTACTTCGGGCCAAGAGGCGAAAACTCGAACTCTTTGATCATACACCATGCATGTGAGCCCATCATCATCATTGTTTTAGGTATTTACATTCACTAATTTTGAAAAACGTCATCTATCAGAAGCCGGCATGGCGCAGTGGCTAACGCGTCGCACTTGTACTCAAAGAAGTTAAATGCGAAGATCACAGGTTCAATTCCTGTTGCCGGCAAATTTCTTTTTTTTGCTAATGTTCCTTCTTTTTTTTCTCGCCCCCGGTACATACATAGCGACATACATACAGACAGGCTCTATAAGTTAGAGTCAAAATATCAAGTATTATTAAGCTTACATTCTTTTAGAATTTATAGCAGAGTATGAATGTATCAACTACCGATTCAATATTTACAGAGCTACTGCGTTGGCTTAAAAGTAGATTATTTCACAATTAGTGAACTTCGTGCTTGTCATCACAACCAACATAGACGGGGACAGAGACATATTGTCTAATACAATGGAACGCCAAAAGATATCACTTCAATGCATAATGACAAGCCTCATAGTAGGTACAATTCTCCGTGATATCTTGCTATAGACTCTCTAAGGAAGGAAGCCAGCATCCGACATCTTCCTCCACCGCAACCCAGCATATCGACGAGAAGATTCGTTCTCTCTCGTATCGACTAACATCAAATTAGGTGTAAAATTGTTCTGCGCGCCCTTTCGCAGGCTTCTTGATGTAGAAGCGACGTGGGGTGACCTCTGTTGTTGCCTTTGGAATCCCCATAAGCCAGTCACAAAGGCTGTTCATCCGTAGAACATTCTTGTCGCCGTCAGCCCGTAGCCAGTGCGTGATCACGGTACCGTGTGATGTTTTTGCTGTCAGTTTGATGCCCAAACACATAGCAGGATCTGTTGGCAGGCTTCGTTTCGCCGCTCGCTGTGGATGTGCATCAGTCCTAAGGTCATATAGGACTTTGGCTGTGGAGGGATCCACATCTAGGGTTGGGGGGATGGTGAGGTGAATATCGCGCAGTTTGATGACCTTTCGAACAAACTTTGACCCCTTGTTGTTCGTATTTTTGTAGGTAGTGACAATTGCAGGTTCGCCATGCAAGGCTCTCTGCCTCGCAAGATTGCCTCGCCAGAACCGAACAGCTTCCAAGTTTCGTAGTGCTTGTGACACCCTCCATGTGTAATACTCTTGGAGCATGGGATCCTTGGAGTCTTTGAAATGGATCCACTCCTTCGCAGCATCTATATGACCCTGCGAGAGCGGAAGTGAAAGATTGAGACCTAGGCATGATCGTCTGGCCACAGTCTTCGGTAGCCAGTCGTCCAACAGTTTAGGTGGAAGAGACTGAAAGACCGTGCTCATCCACATTTCTAACATATTGATCGTAAGCCTATCCTCATTTGAAGACTGGTCGTTAGGCATATCGAAGTCGGCCAGGACAACGAAAAAGTCTAACCAGTTGTTGTCTCGGGCATCTTGAAGGACTTGGTAGTGCAGTGTTTCACTGTTCCATCTGCTCGGGGTATTGTGGTTCTTAATTCTGTTGCTCAGCGACGATGTCTGCCCAATGTAGAAACGGACTTCAGTCGGTGACACTATCGCATGTAGGTATATACCTGCACGCGAAGGAGCAGAAGCTTCTTCACATATGCGCAGCGGGTAAAGCCTGTTTATTGGTGTTAGAGCACGAAGAAATTCGTCTTTGTGACTAGTGCATCAAGCATACCTGGAGATATCGTAGAGCTCCTTGGCTTCAAACAGGTCCATCACCTCTGGTCTCAAAGCTTTGTGCATGTTTTGACTGATGTCTGAACGCTTCGAGAATAGCAATTTCCTGTACTTGCCCGATGTCCTTTCTCCAATTCCATTATGCTCTAACTGCTTCTGCAAGCGATCATGAATGTAGTTAAGAATTGCTGACGGATGTCCATCCTCAGTATACATCGTATGTGGGGGGCTGTCATGGAAATCCAGGAGTTCGGAAACTGTATCGAGAGTTTTGCTTGGTTCAGGGTTCTCCGAGGGCCTTTCATTTTGTAATCCATGGTCAGGGCTGTTGGTATTCTTCGTGCGCTTGCTCTGCTGCTCGTCGTCTTCCATGGCCGGCTCACCGTTGTTGTCATTCACATGACAGAAGGCCCGTTTCAGATCCATAATTATGAATCCACGTCAAGTGTATTATGGCGAATATAACGATGCCGATAGACTTTGATCGGTCGGCTGGTCGAAGTGATTGGGATTACTTCTTAAACTACCCAAGCAAACATCAAAATAGTCAAACTATTAAGCACAGACGTTTGCACTGCAGATGCGCGGTTGCTGTCCAAATCAAGTGGTCATGTGGGGTTTGTGTAAACATTGAATTTTCCTTCTCTGTTGCTGTTCATCCATTGGTTGATCAAAGCAGTAAGACTGAAAGATCTACAGCTATACGTGGAATAAGACCAGCCGAGTGACGATGTGTGCTATACTGTAGTGTAGATTACATCGTCGGCCATTATGCACGCTTTTACTATTCTATGAATTAAAGCGTCGAAGTACAGGCAGAGATGCCTTCTATTATCTAACCAATGCTCATGTACAACTATGCCAGTTTACTCACTCCAGCCTTCCCTACACTCCCAAATCTATACTGCGCCCAACTCATGCTTCCCTCGTGAAGCGTCCAAATCTGCTCCCCAAGATCTTCGCCTGCAGCGCCAGCTGCGACGTATATAGGAAGCAGATGTTCTATCGTCGGATGCGCCTGTCTAGCATCATCGCGCTTGATCAACTCAGCCATCTTCGTCCTGCGCTCTTCTGGTGCTGCGGTTGCAGCATCCTTCAACGCTTCGTCGAAAGTAGGAGTGTATCTTGCTAATGATCAGTAGGAGATTCTCGGGCTGAATTTCAAAAGAAGTGATGGGGTCTTACGGCATCGTCTTCCCAGTCGCTCTCGTAACTCGTATATCGCGCAAGTTATGCACCGCCAACCCAGCGCCAACAATCAGGATACCTTCGTCTCTGAACCCTTTCAAAGCCTCGCCTAACCGATAGTGCTGATCCACGTCCTCGTTGTCGAAAAGCGACAACTGCACGATGGGCACCTTGAGTGGATTCTTCTTCGGATCAAATGCTACAGCTCTTTCAGTTTACGTGGTCTGGGAGGATCAACACTGCTCAACCATGCGGCGGTCCTTACCAGCCATGAAGCCCGCCCAAACACCATGATCGAGCCCTCTCCTCACCTTCTCGACCTCGATACCCGCACCTTTAAGCCTCTGCACGACATCCTCGGCGAGTTCGCGGCTCCCCGTGTTCGGGTAGTCGTACTCATAAAAATGGTCCGGAAACCCGTAGAAGTCGTAGATGATATCTGCATCTTCGGCAGCGTTGATCTGGAGCTTTCCGGGGCCTTCTTGCCAGTGAGCGGACAGGACCAGGACGGCTTTCGGTTTGACTTTCTTGGTGATTTCCTGGCCGATTTCGGACAGCTTGGTGTAGGCGGGGTGCGTGGTGGATTCGATGAAGCTGGGCCCTCCGATGCCGAGGAAGTAGACTGGGGTTCGGGCGGTGGGTTCTTGGGGGGTTGGGCTGGTCATTGTTATTGTGTGTAATGTGAGGGAGAGTCTGTATGTTTCAAGCTCTATTGCTATTTGATATTGTTTCAATCATGCAGGGGATGACGAAAGCGGGGATATGTATAGTTCGTGTGGAGTAGGAGAGGGATACGCTACCTTGAGCGACCAAAAGAGCGCATGAACGAGGGCAGGGTAGGCATGGCGGAATGTCTACTTTCAAGTGTCAGGTATTGTCGAATTATAGCTGACAAATGACCTTGTCGATTTCTATATCAAAGAAAGCAGAATAATGGTGCAATTGGGCTTCTTGCAGGAATGGAAATCGGGTGGTTCCTGTAGTCCAATTGATCATCAACCCACCAAATGTCCTCATTAGCGATCGAACCGCGCGGTTCGATAGATGCGGCCTAGCGCTCATTTGGACCGCGCGCGATGGTCCGCATAATTCCGTCCTCCTCTTCCTCAAACCAGCATAAGCTCTGTTCTTGTTTGAACATCGACTGCTTATCGCGCGCGGGTTGTGGGTCGATTAGATCTCTGAACCATATTTCTGTCTCTGACTTGCTTACGAGGAATAGAGCCTATGGGTCAAAAGGGGAGAAGACGATATCAATCAGTCCTCGAGATGTACGACTGCAGCCATAATGCCATTTATGTTTTGATTTCAAAGCTTCCGAACATGTAACCACGACGCCGGGTAAGACGTGATGGCCTTGCTATCCATGAATACATATATAAATATGAGGTCTTGAACCTCAACATAAACCTCATCTCAATATCATCTTCTCCCAATATCACTTCAGTCAATTTTGAATCCACAAACCCCATACTTTACATCTCCAAACATCCAACCTCACCCCCAACAATGGCCTCCAACATCGTCCTCATCCTCGGAGCAGGCCCCAACATCGGCCTCTCCGTCGCCTCCAAGTTCAGCACCCTCGGCTTCAAAGTCGCCCTGGTCTCTCGCCGCGGCACCGGCGCCCTCAACTCCGCCGGCCACCTCTCCCTAACCGCCGACTTCACGCAGCCGTCCACCATCCCCGCCGTCTTCTCCGCGGTGCAAGCCCACTTCCACTCCGCCCCCAACGTCGTCGTGTACAACGCGGCGACCCTCACCCCTCCCCCAGACGCCGCCTCCGTGCTCTCGATCCCCGCGGACAAGTTCGCGGCCGATCTGAACGTCAACACGGTGAGTCCGTACGTGACGGCGCAGGAGACGCTGAAGGGGTGGGCGACGCTGGGCGCGGACGTCAAGAAGTCGTTCATCTTCACTGGCAATGCGCTTAACTCTGCGGTCATTCCTAACCCCGTGTTTACGACGCTCGGGGTGGGAAAGTCGGCGTCGGCGTATTGGATTGGGACGGCGGATGCGCTGTATAGGGAGAAGGGGTATAGGTGAGTACTTTCCAAAATTTTGTGGGGAGTTAGTTGCTGACGAGTGTGAATTTGTAGGTTCTATTACACTGACGAGCGCTTTGAGGATGGGAAGGTGAAGGGGACTGCGATTGATGGGCCGGCTCATGCGGAGTTTTATGCACAGTTGGCGAGCCATGAGGGTGATTTGCCGTGGGAGGCTACGTTTGTGAAGGATAAGGGTTATGTTTCGTTCAAGTAGATGGGCTTGCTCATACAGAATAGGGGTTAAGTGTACTTAGACTACCTTAACACCTTCTATCGAAAACCAAAACACAGATCACTTCTCAAGTCTATGATATACACCCACATGCTTTGCACTGGACGTTATACAAGCAACACCAAATTCCCCTGACCCCCAAAACACATCGACAAATCAAAGTTCCCGGCGTCAATGGCGCCTCTACTCCGCCAAACGCCCTCCATAACCTCCAGCGCCTTCCTCGTCGAGCCAAACACGCTATGCGGCCGCAGCCCATCCACCAGATCTCTAATCCTCCCCTCTTGAGCACTCTCCGCAAGACATCCCGCCACGCACAGCGGCCAGGCCATCGTCCTTATCAGCGCTTGCGGCGACAGCTCATGCGCGAGGATGTCAATGATACAACCCACGTGATGGCGAACTGTCACATTCGCAGGCTGCCACCCGGACACCACGATGGAGAGGTACAAAAGCGCGGCGTGGGCCCACACGCGCGTCACGAGGGGCGTCTGGCGGACAGGTCGCGCGGGCTCTCCGGCGATGAAGACGGTGAAGAGGTTGTCGCATGCGTCTGGCGGGGGGACCGGTGCGTTTTCGAGTGCTCGGAGGTTGGCTTCGAGGGAGTCGCGGATGGTGGTGGCGCGCTGGACGAGGTCGATGACGTCGAGAGTTCCAGAGCGGTTGCTTTGGTGCTTCCAGTGCGAGAGGGAGGCGGTTTCGCTGATGGAGAGGAGCGCCCAGTTTTGGCAGCCGACGACGGATTCCAAGTCGATGGGGGGTTCCGAAGTGCAGGAGGAATCTAGGAGACTGCGGTGGTGCTCGGATAGCCTGGGTTTCTCCTGGTGTACTGTGCTCGCGATGATGTCGTCGAGTATCAGCAAGGCGGAGGAAAATCGTAGTGCTGCCTGTTCAGCGCTGGGAACTTGTATGCACGAAGTCGGCAGCATCCACGACGAAGGACCCAGGCGTTCCATAACATCTTCAAAGTTGACTCGAGCAGATACAATAGGCCCCGGACTTTCAAGAAGCTGTTTGAACAGCGCCAGCGCGGCATCGAGGTGCGCCTGGCAATTGTCGAAGCTCAGGACAGTGATCTCGAACCGCTGCACTTGCATGATGCTCGCCATGATGCGGACCGCGCCGCGGAGATGGTCGTTGATGTCCTCACCGTCGATCACTCGCAACGCCTGTGACAGGATGTCGAAAGCACTTCGCGTCTGCTCGAGCACGGTGTCCCAAATGACGCTACACTGGGAAGTCTCTCTCGCAAGGGAGTAGAAGTACGAACTCTGGCACAGCGTGGCCTGTCGGACTACAGGACTGCTGATCATCATCTCCAGAATCCATGATCTGCCTCCACGGAGCGGACATGGTCGGTAAAAGGGGAATAAGAAGGGCAGCAAGTGCTCGATGTAGAACCAGAGGAGAACGCTGCAGGGCTGATTGTTCGGCAATTGCCCACCTATGTCGCTGCTGATATACGTGAGGTCCGTTGCGCGATCCGGCGATATCATCTGAGGCGTCTCACGGGACGAAGAAGTGCCCGTTTCGCCATTGTTGGTGGGTGATGATGATGATGAATGCTCGCTCACGGCGGCGGCATCTAAGTTGGGATTCACGCTTGGTTGTATTATGAATCCATCGTTTTGAATGGAGATGTTTGCGGCTCGGCCTTCGCGGCGACGATATGCTTGATCTCTGACCTCTCTTTTGATGCTTGCTACCATCTGTTCTTGCCTTGCTCCGCCGTCCATCCACTCCGGTTTATCCGACCCATAGTGGCAAGTGATTTGGAGCGAGGAACATCCGTCGCAAACGGGTTGTCTCTCATCACATTTCTTGCGCCGGAGTCGACATGTCCAGCATCCAGTGAAGCTTCTCATATTATAGCGATTTAGAGGGTGGTTTGAGGTGTGGAAGGGGATTACAAATGCGCTTACGCCCAAGCATTTTTAGCATACTAGAAGTAGTAAGAGTAACCAGAGCGAGGACTTAGTAATGTAATATCAACTCCATAAACCAATGTATCAACTTATAGGAAATGATCCAAATTCTAAAGTAATATCACCAAAGTTATCAATTTAGTTTATAATGCATGTGATCGAACTACAATACGTTGACGCTAGTTCCAAAGAGGCAGTAATAGTACGGAGTAGATACACGAGATTGCAGAATCTAGCCAACTCCAACCGCAAGGTAACTCAGCAGGCAGAAACTTCTATTATTTGGACTTATTAATCGATACCAAGGAAGAAGACAAATTCACAGCATGTATTCGAATCAATTCTCGCGATCGTACTTTCATTAAACCAAGACATACAATTCATATATACATAGCAACCGACTCGCAAAACCAGCACTACCGTGATTGAACCTTCTTCGAATGAGATAGCGAATGACTGATAGCTCCCAGAGCCATTGTTGGATGCTGCTTTCGTCCTGACGTGTGGGGTGATTAAGGGAAAAGGAAAGAGGAAGGAAATGGGGAGTCTATGTACAAGTACGACCAGCTCGACAGATATACAACCATAGGAAGCTCTCATAGAACTGTCTTCGCCTCTACTCGTCAGCATCAGCCATTCCCAAAATGCCCCTCGCGAAATGCCTCTTCCTGAGGTTAAACTCGACGGCCCTCTTCTTCGCGGCATTACTCTGCGTGAACGCCGCAGACCCGCCAAACGGCCCGGCGAGCGCCGAGTTCTGCATGCGCACGATGCAGACGTTTTGGGCACCGCCAACGCTGCCCTGGCATGTCATACCGGCGGGCATCTGCACCTTGACTGGGAAGTCCGTCGTAGTCGCACCAGACAGCCCGCCGATGCCGATGCCAGGGACGTCCTGGACGACCTTTGCGGTCTGGAAGGCGGAGGGGTCGGTGCCGCCGGATGTGGCGTCGATGGAGGCGGTGAGGGGCCCGGCACCGTCTTGGTTGACTTGGTGGTAGGTCATGGTGATGGTGCCGTCGTCGGAGGTCGTGGGGAGGCCTGAGGAGGCGCCTGTTCCTGCGGCGGCGGCCACGCCTTGCTCGGAGGTGCCCTTGGAGGTCTTGGAGCCGTCGGAGGCGCCGCCGTTGCCGTTGCCTTTCTTGCCGCCGCCGAGGAGGCCGGCGAGGAGTTGGCGTTTGTTGTTGTTGGCGTTGTTGGCATTGTTGTTGGCTTTCTTGCCGGTTCCAGCGGTGTTGGCATTGCCGTTGGCGTTGCCTGTAGCCTTGCCATTGCCATTACCGTTACCAGTACCCATGAAGGAGGCAATGGCCGAAGCCGCATCGACGGCTCCGCCGCCTTGAGTGCGGCCGAGGGCTGAGGCTTTGCCTCCCATTTCTCGCTCGCGGATGATGGAGGTGTCGGCTTCAGAGCCGCAGCCGGGGGTAGCACAGTCGCGGGGAGTGCCATCCTGGACTGTTTAGAATGTTAGATTGGTACAGAAGGTTGGTTCGGATGTGGAGTACGAACCAGAAAGACCAGGCATATTGACTCCGTTGGCACCCTGGATCTCGGTGAGGACGCCGTGGGCGGAGGCGTGAGCAGCCATGGCTACAATGGCGATGATTGAGTAACGCATTTTGGTTGGACGTTTAAGTAGGAGACTTGGAAATTATATAAAAGTTGTAAATTGAAGATAGTGAAATGAATGAGGCAACTGCGAGTATCAAACAAGCGGCCGGCGCAAGAAGAAGATTTAAGAAAATAGAGAGAGAAGAGTAAGAGAAATAGTGAACTGATGATGATGAGTATATTTTGAAGCGATGTATCTGATCTTTATACTGGGCAAAGCGATATGGGTAGGGTTACAAAAGCTTAGCAGAACTTAAGCTTCCTTGTTGACGTCTTGGTGCAGGTGCCCAGGGTGGTCCACCCCGGCGTTCCTAATCCGGATATCCTCCCAAACAAGGCAGAGAGGGACCTGATCTTGAGACCGGGAATAAAAAGACCCATAGTAGTATTGAAACCATTGTGACTTTGCCACAAGGCTGGTGGGCCAATCGCAGCCAAGAACATTCAGGTGCGGTTGGTGCATGTATATTTCTGTGTGTGGACCGAACGAGGGAATCCCTAGATCGTGAGCGGGGAAAAACGCATAGAACGGCAAGGCGGAACCAAAAACAATTGTGGTGATGTTTGAGATCTACTGAGGAGAAACTCGAGATCGTGTTTTGGGGTTGGTGAGGGGTCGTTGAACTTTCAAACCAAACTGATTCGAAACACTGGCCAGTATCAAGACTTTATTTAGATTTTGCAACAAGCTAAACCCATTTTCACGACGATTGTATAATTCAGCTTATCGTGATAGATTTTTGGTAAATTCCGATTCCGAAGGTTCTTATTTGATGCATGGCTCAAAGTGGCTGTGCGCAATGCGCATTATGGTCGTCCGAATCGTGCCTTTGCGCGGAAGTCGATCACACCGGCCGCCGTCTTTTCCAACCTGACGATACTATGCTGTGACAGAATCCAGGAACTCTGTTCCCACACCCAATATCGAACAAGCTTTAGTTTTGAATATCGGTTTCAGACTTGGCATTGCTTGTGTGAAGGCGCACAGAAATCCTTGTACATGGCTCCGAACTATAGCGACACCGACTTTCATCAATCAGTGCCTGCTGCAATACGTCGGGAAAGATGAAGCCTCCAAATCCCATGATATGTCTGAAACCGGGACCGAGTGAGCGCCGAGACGACTGAGGAAAGACGAGATCCGAATCCATCACCCTCCCGCTCTGCCACCAGTCGGACCTCCTCTTGTAACCTCGCCGTCATGGCCTTGATAATCATCTTTCCAGTCCCTCCCCTCTTCAACGAAGCTCCTAAACTCCCTGACCTCCTTGATCCAAACGTACCTCACGCAGATCTCTTGGATCTCAAAGTACAACTCATCGGGTTGCACGAGATTCTTCCTGATCGAACTGCGCAGGAACAGGAGCAGCAGCTTTACTGCTCTGGACTGCGCCAGGCGGCCGTGGCCATGGTCATTGACGTCGTGTGGAGGCGACGCTGTTGATGCTGGGGGCGGTAGACTCATTGACTCGATGAGCCGCAGGCAATGCTGTATATAGTCGCGCATGAGCGCAGATGGCGAGGCGAGTATGGGAAGGTTTGCGAGTGTGTTGTCCTGCAAGAGAGTCGTAAGGAAGTCGAGGGAAGGTAGAGATAGCGGCAATCGCGTGAGATCTTGTACAGCGGACTCAGGGTCGGTCTCGAGTCGCGTGAGAAGGTCTTGCTTCCAGTCCTTCTTTGCCGCGCTCTTTCCATCCTGTACATCTGCTGCGGCGGGGGCACTCTGTGGGGTGGGTACTCCATCACTTGACGACATACTCGGCTCGTAGATCCCCTCCTCCTCCAGCATCCTGATATAAACCCCAACATCGAATTTCCTACTCTTGCTTTCCTTTGTATATTCCGAAAGCAGCTCTCTGGGCGATTTCTTCCCAACGGTGGCTGAGCTTCGAGATGTCAAGATCTCTTTTATCAGTCCCATCCTAGCCATATTGATCTCCTGCTCTCCGGGCCCGCTACTGTTGCCCTTGCTTGTGCCGGAGGCTGATGCATGGCGATCTAAGCGCGAGATGGCCTCGACCCAATGGCTCAAAAAGGGATTGAACCTCAGCTCGATCCCTTCATTCCTCTTGTAGAGCTGGAACTCGCAGCCCAGTAATATCGAAAGTCGGGCCCATGGCAGGCGCAGATTGTAAGGCTCCGCCTCGAAGAGATCGAGTGTATTCTTGAGACGGAGCGAGTGTTCGAAGTCGGTACCGGCGCCATTGATACCGTCGGTGGTGCGGTTCTTCGAGGAAGAGCTCGCGGCCAATGTTGAAGCGAGTGGGGTGTCGGGGTTGCTCAAGGCTTCGACTTGGGAGCTGTTCAACGTCGAGAAAACATCCATGATTTCTGTCGCGCTCGGCTACAGCTCGGGAAGGATTCTACGTGGGAGAGTCGCGGTGAGGAAGGCATATGGTGGTGGTGGCGGTTGATCTTGTGTTCGGTGCGGTGGCTGCCTGACGTATGCGTGGACAGTACTTGTTTATGTGTGTGGGTTGTTATTCGAATGATAGGTTGGGCGCTGATGTTTGTGAAAGTTGGCGAAGAGGGACGCGAATAAGAAGCGGAATGTGCCGGCAGTAGGACGAAGCAAATGTACTTGTCTACGGCAACGCCACCTTAATCGTGAAAGGATCATATGTCGGGGATGCCTTCTATATATTTTTATTTTATTGTTGGGTAAAATGTTGCATTTGTAAATGTTGCTGGGTCGTTGTCACGATAGTTGGGGTAGTCAACAGTGGTAGCCATTGGTTAGCGCGGAGCATCATGTCACAAGCACAAGGCGCTTCGGCCCCACCCAACGATTGGAACACATTCATGGTTGTAATTCATACATTATGCTATGGTACCTTGACAAGACCCTCGAGAGTTTTCATCCAAGGATATCAAGAATTAAAGCTGGATACTCCCATCGCGAAAAAGGTAATAGTACTAGAGGCTTCACAAAACCTAGACAATGCGCCTTTCCGTGATAATAGTAGAGACCCCATTCCGGTTCGCATTATGAAGTCGAAGAAAGGAAGAAGAACATTAACACCAAGAAGTGGCTGGCGCATGGCTGTCGTAACATCCGGAAGCGCCGGATATTGCGCCCTTGTGTTGGATCATGATTGCAGTATGCAAGGCATCAGCCGACAACAGGGATGCGTAGAAGTCTTGGTGGTGAGTCGTGGAGAGACAAAGGAAGGAAAATGGGTATCGTGTCATCGATGTTCGCTCGCCGATTCGCTCAGATCAGTCGACCCCGACTAAAACTTGAAGATAATGTACAGAGCGTGGATGATACCCTAGGAATGGCGATATTAGTGGAATGTGGAGGAATGACGGAAGCGGTGGGATTAGTGAAGCTTACGGGAATGTAACCGAGGATGGTCAAGACGATGTTGATGAGGAAATCGGCATTGCAACCACGCTCGAGGAAGACACCGAGAGGAGGGAGGATGATGGCGAAGATGATCTTGATGATGTCGCTGTGCAGATTGCGTCAGTATGCATGTCTCGCGAGGAAGGAGGCGGAGGAGGGAGGTGAGGTGTACCTAGCGGTGAAAGGCATGGTGAAGGTTTGTTTTGGAGAGTTGGGATGGTGATTTGGGATGTGGTATTGTTGTTGGTGGTGGTGGTGTTATTAGTTTGGTAGTGGTGGACTGGAATGGAGGAAGTGAAGGTTGTGGGCAGTGAGGCAGGTATTTATTCGCGTTCTTTGGGTCTACGGTCTACTACGGTCTTTTCTGCTATGGGTGCAGGTGGTCAGTTACTCTTGATGAAGCGATGACGTATGTATATTGGCCGTTCACATTGGCTGGGCTGGGCTGGGCTAGTCCCCGCTCTTTCTCTTCCTGCAAATGACAAGTCAGTCCATGCCTAATCAGGATTACTCACGCGCCAGCCACACCTTCTTGCTAGACTAGACTCCCTATGGAATCATCGTAATACCTTCAACTTCCTTGATCCGGAATCCTGTCATCCCATGATTACCGACTGCACTCAACCTCAAACCAAACCTTCCCTCGATCAATCAAGATTTGTACAGATACACTCATTAACCCTCTTCGCTAATCATTACTGGCACATGGGCGCTAACTGGGCCGATACATCCAAGAACAGGCCCTGCCCAACAGCCCTCAACAGGCTTGATTACTTCAAACCTCCACCACCATCCATAATTAGCCTCTCGTCACTCGTCAGTGCAAATCCCCCCAGGAGCCGTTCCATCCGCGTGACGGACATACGTACGACGACAAACGGCGATGATGACAACAGCAACAAAACAACCCACCCATGCTTTTCGCTCTTCGCCTTGTCTTGCCTCGCCTTGCCCTGCCCATCTACATCAGTCTCTCTACTTTGTTCCATCTGGTCTTCGGACAGACGACCGATATTTTCTATGCATCTACGGAGTACTCCGTACACAGTAGAAAATTAAATTTCCCCTTCAAGCGAGGGGGCTCTAATGAACGCATCCGTCCGGCGTGTCCCCGAGTGTGTCTCCGGGTCTCTCGGCTCGGTTTTTGCATATGCGGTCGCTCGCCGATGACGCCACACTTCATCTCCCATTCTCGTGCCTTGGAAAATTCTCCAGCCTCATCGCACGTCCTGGTTCATCGTAAACCTTGTCTTTTCCTTACTCTTTTTTTCCCTGATACCACCGAGCATCCCCCGTTGTCGTCACCCGCCCGCCGCAAACACAGTCGGGGGTTTCCTCGTCAAACGAGAACAGAGTACATAGATCTCGATGATGCGCCGCGGATCGCCCAGCCCGCCCGCTTCGTAACAAACTGTGGCGTGACAACGTGTGTGGCGCAGGACGTGTGTAGATCCCGATCCACTACGACTACCACTCAGCCTTGTTTTGATGCGTATGTTCGGCGTTGGTACGAGTACGGAGTATCTACGCCACACATGGACGTACGAGGTACGAGTAGCTTTGACGAGCGACGCAATGACTAAATCATGCGCAAAAGATTGGAACTCCAACCTCTGCTACTGACAGTATAGAGCGTAAACTACCATGTCGAGTTGTCCACCTACTAGCACCACGAGGGAGTAGAGCAGCTGGGCAGCCTACTGGGAGCCCTCTCTATGTCAATATGACACCTAAATATTATTGATTGAATACTGGACGGTCTGGTAAAGTTTTCGATCTGTTGCTAATTTTCATAAAGTTATTTCTATGTAACTATACATAATCACAATTTTTGATAATAATGTGATATTTAAAATAAAACTCTAAATAATTACTTCCTCTTGCACTATTCATAGCACACTGACCTAATGTTTAATTTCTATATCAAGATATCTATCTCTACATCTAAGTCTTTTATAAAGAAATGAGTTATCATCGCACATATATACTTCATTTTGTATCAAAGCACCACCCAAACCCTACGCAACCCATCGTCCCCTCAATCTCCAACCCAACATAAAGTCCCAAGATCAAACCGAGGGATACCTTACACCCCATCCCCCGTCTCGAAGAACTGGACTAAGTCAATGCATCTTCAAACCATGCACCCCTGAACGTACCAGGACTACAACCCGTAAACCCACCATTTCACCATGTTACCCTCCACACGTTCATCCAACATCCACCTATATGACCTGTATCCGTCCGTCAAGGTAGAACAAACATTGACATTGACATTGACATTGACATTCCATTTCGATTTCTCCTCTCTAGGCCATACGTAGTTGTACTTCACGTGTGCTGGGGGTTCAGTGCTGTTTGTTGGTGTAGATGTCCCTGAGTATAGCGTTTGTTTCCGTACGTCGTGCATGATACGAGGTAGTTCGTTCGTTCGTTCGTTCGTTCATTCGTTCATTCGCAGCCGAGGTTTAGATCTTGGGGAGTGGGAGTTTTCTGTTTTGCTTCTTATGTCTCTTCTGTCACTAATCTCACGCAGTCCATTCACAAACAACGACGATCAATCGTTCAACTAAGAAGATTTCGAATTCTCATAACCACACTCATTCACAAAGGTAAAAAAAAGGGGATATCATCCATCACCACCCACCTCCTCTCTCACCACCTCTACCCTCTCATCTCCTCGCCTCATCCTCCTTCTGCAGATCCGCCTCCACGCCCCTCTGCCTCGCCTTCCCCTCATCATGCTGCCTCTGCGCCGCCGCCCTCCCCTCCTCATTCCCCAACACCCCCGCAATCGCGCCTCCCACCGTACCCCCCACCCTATCATGCACGCCCTTTCCAAGATCGCTCAACTGTCCCTGCGCCTCCTGCCCCTTCCCCGCGCGATTCTGCTCGATACCCTCGCGCTTGAGGCCCTCTGCGCCGATGAAGTTGCCCAGCGCTTCTTTGCCCGCACCCACGGTCTGGTTCCATGACCCTTCTGTGCGCTGCGGGTCGTCTTTCGCGATGCCGCCGGAGGGTGTGGCGGAGAAGGGACCGGCCCGCGCGACGGACGAGGAGAGGTCGTGTTCGGCGGACGCGGTGGCTTTTTTGGCTTCGGCTTCGCGCTGGAGGGGGGATGTTAGTTAGGGAAGAGGTTTAAGGGGGAGGGGAGGGGGACTTACTTTGTCGGCGGGGTTGCCGGTGATGGAGCCCACGGCGGATTGGAGGGCGCCGCTGACTTGGTCTTGGACGGATTGGAGGGTCGAGGTGGGGTTGTTGTTGGATGTCATTGTGGATGTGTTGTTTGTGGTTGTGGTTGTTGATGATGTAGGTTGTAGGTTGTAGGTAGGAAGCGTTGTAGAAACAAAGTATGTTATTTCAAAGGTAGAGATGATATTGAAGGAAAGACGACCTTGGAAGGGAAAGCTTGGTTTATATGTTTAATCGTGTTTCCAGGGACGGGACGTCGTTTGCGCAATAAAACCTTCCAGCATGTGAACTTGTGACGTCATTACGTCATTGTCGCGACTTGACGCACATGGCTGGCTGGTTGGCGGGGGACAAACTACGCGACGAACGTGCCAGAAGGAAGACGCAATGTTCCATGGGACCCACTTACGAGGTACTATCGATCATATTGTACTCGTACCCACTCCATGGAGGATGCTACCGGATTCAGGGCCCAATGTGGTCATACTACCTACCATCCACTATTGTTGATACACAGGGTCCACAGTCTGATGCATCAGTTCACGACAAGTCGTCTCAATCACACGGCGCAAGTAAAGAATTGCATTAATGTAATTTGGGTCGTGGTAGGAGCAATAAGTTGAGATTCCCTTCTTTCCTCTTTCTCTTCTCTCTCATATATACTGCAAAAATGCCTATAAAATGGGCCAACTAACCCTGATCCTCTTGGAGAAAGCCCCCCTCTTCTGCTTCCTCTTTGCCAAACTTTTGATGTCGTGTTGAAAATCGTCATTAGGATATCGTGAACGGAGAAAAATATGTGATGGAAATGAGAAACTATGTCGCCGTACTGCATCCAAGCCAAACACCTATCCGACGTTGTGAATAAGGAGGGCGGGGGATGACATAGTATGAAGCGTGCGTACATGCATGCTGGAAGAATAAGATGTGTTGAATACTCTGCGGCGGTTGGTCACCGCCATCGCCCATCAGGGTCGAATGAAGAGGAGGGGAGAGGTGATGTGAGGCTCCATCATCCCCAGAAAAGAAGAACGCCGGATATGCCGTTAGGTGAAACTGAAAATGGAAATGCTAGAGGGAGATCGACGAGGTTAACTACCAGTGGCAGATCTAAAAGCTTGTCAGCACCTCCATTACAGTAATATGTATAGGAATAGGATGAACTTACACCTCCCTCGCTGTCGTCCACCGACCACGCACCCGCCATCCCCACAATCTCGACCTCTCCATCAAGGTGCTCACTCATCTTCCCGAGACGCGCCACGCCGTCCTCCCACGCAGGACCATTGTTGAGCAGACGACGAGCCCAAGCGTCGATGGTCGGCTCGCCCGTCTCGTCGCGGGCCTGCTTCAAGAACGAAATCAGTGCGGTTCCGCCCGTACCCCTCAGCTTCTTGCTGTCCCCACGCTGCAGGTTCGTCGCGATGTTGACTCTCCGCGTCGATGCTGCTTGCTTGGGGCTCAGGGACCGCGAGTTGGACCGCGTCTCGCGGGACTTGATGATGATGTAGCGGGACACCATCTGGATGTGTTTGTCTCGGAGTGCCCGCAGCATGGCGAGGGCGGCATCGAACGCGGTCACGAGGGCACGGTTGTGTTGGTTGTTCTGGGCGTATTCGCGGATGTTGGCGACGCTCTCGACGTGCTCGAGGAACCGTCGATGCGGGCCCGGCATGTACTTGCGCATCTCCAGGATGAAACTATGCATGGGCGCTGATGGCATTCCGCTCTCCGACTCCGATCCGTCGTTACGCTTCTCGCCGGTAGGCCGGTGCTCTACACCGAGTACGAGGTCGAAGAACTGGATGATGGAGCTCTGCGCGTTGCTGCCTCCGCTGTACTGGACGTAAGGCTGGTTGCCGGTACCGTCATCGAATATGAGGCCGTTAGGGAGGCCAGCATCTTGCATGTTCCTACCACCAGCAAGGAAAGGTCGGATGCGATGATAGAACACGTGAGGATCGCAGCTCTCATACATTCTCTCGAGGAGGACGCCGAGCTCGTCGAGCCTCTCGGCGAACAGCCGCAGGTGCCTCGTGACGGTCGCAGCATCATTGCGTCTCACGGCGGCCATGGCCTCAATCATCAAGGGGATCACAGGGCCAGCTCGCGCCTCAATGGCCGTCGACACTAGGTAGAACCAAGACTCGTCCATGGACCCGGTGAACGTCATCAGCGTGGATAGGTTCTCAAGCGAGTCGATCGGCTCGCCCTGGAACAGGGGTCGCCAATTCCATAGGACGACTCCGGCATAGGCGGCTACCGTAGGCAATTCAAGGTGCTCGCAGGTCTTGAGAAACGGTATGGATATGGGCGGTGGGATGATCTGATTTTCGATCCGATACAGTTAGTTGTTGGATTCAAGGTTGGGGGTCGGATGTTACCTGTTTCGGTATGTTCGGGTAAGGAAGGCTTACATCGGAAGGTGTGTCACCACCCCATACGTAGGCATGAGCTATGAACCCCAAAACGCTATATGCGCGTCTCCATTCTGCTTCGGTGAGGAGAAGGTCGGTGGAGAGAGTGGGCAATTCGTCGACGATTTGGCGCAATCGCTTGCTGAGAATCAGACTCTGGAAGTTTCGGGCTACTGTTTCCCAAGGCTGGTAGTAGGGATCTGGGAGGACTTCGAGAGGGACCTCGGATGGCAAAAAACCGTTCTTGGGAGAGACATCGTAGTCGCTGAGGACAGGCAGAGCCGGCAGCATGATGGCTGTCTAGCTTGTGGTGACGGTGGTGGTGATGGTATGTATATGTGATGTAGTGGCGGATCAGATAGTAGTTGATGTGTCGAAGGTAGTTTTTGAAAAAGTGGACGTGTGGGGTATTTAAAAGGGAACGGGAGGAACAAGCAACGGATAGTGTCAACTAATCCAGGAACTACGCTAAGCCCGCTGATTGTTGATTACAATTTGAGGTCCTCTGTGGGGGAAAGGAAATGGAAAGGATTGGAGAGTATTGACTAGGTCGAGAAGGCTGGGTTATGTTGAGTTTCTAGTGTCGCGTGATGGATGGCCGTGTGAAACTCTTCTCGCGAGGTACTTTTTGTGCGGGACAATTCAATACCTATAACCAGGTACTATTCGTAGGTACTGAAGGCGCCACCCGGTAGAGGGACAATTCGTAGACGAGGGACGGCACACGGAGAGAATTGGGAGTTAAGAAACAAGTAGGTGGAGAGCGAGGCGCAGGTAGTGGAATGGGCGAATGGCTCGGACGAAAGTAGTGAACAATAATGGCTGGGGAGATGGATGTTACTCGTATATAACAGGTCAGGTCGGCGGCAGAAAGGATGGTCCGTCTTAAAGCACCTGGAGAGGTACCGGAATTTCACAATGGTGTGGTAGTGCCGGTATAGTGTTGGTTCGTAGTGTATGTGCGCGTGGGTGTGTATTGGCGTGTGTCTATGGTGTGGCGCGTTCTGTTACCGCAATAGTATGAGTGATTACTGTTGAGCCGGAGATATAAGGAAGGCTGGAAACTTTGTATTTCTCGATGCGGGAAAGCCGGAGCGAATTTTAGCTGGTCGAGCGGCTCGGTGTAGAAGCAAGCAAGGTTGTGATGGTTTGAAATCAGAAACAAACAGAAAAAGAAAAGAAGAACAAGAAGGAGAAGAACGAAAGGAAAGGAAAAGAGGAATATGATAGATTGATAGATGTGGATACTGGAGAGTCCGCGGCCGTAGGCAAGGCTGAGAACGATGAGGTGATGTTAGGATAGATAGATGCCTGGTATGGGAATATTATATGGTATGGCAGGGTACAGTATGGTACTCGTAGATGGATGGGGATGGGATGGATTGTGGGATGTGTGTGTCCAACTGAACGAGGATGGGGTTATATGGTTCGGGATTCAATTCCGTAATTACCAACATGTCTGTCTGTCTATCCATTCATCCATCAACTATTTCAACTACTAGGTACTAATAATTACCTGCAACAAGTCATCATCCATTCGGAGAAAGCCTTTTCTCTCTCCCTCCCCTCCAAGATGCTATGCCGGTGTCGGTCCTGTTCGGGGCGCGGGAACATGATCGGACGATTAGCCCAAGTGCCTCTCTGCCTATAAGCGTGAGGGTGGATTATCCCATTAATATTCTAAGATTGAGAAAATTAAAAAAAAAAAAAAAGGTGTAAAGGATGGTAGAGAATTAAGTTAAGACCCTGGAATTAGTAAAGCCGTTAGGTACAGATTGGATTAGATAGGTACCTAGGTAGGTACCGAGTGCCTAGCAGTGCAGTGAGTGGGAACCATTGTTGGTTGCCCACACGAGACACACATATCGGGGATAGATTGGTATTACTCGTAGTAACTAATCATTAATTGTTGTATGTACGAGTGGAGTCTTATTGTATGTATGTAAGGTAGGTACTCACTCGTCGTACACAGCAGCACAGTAGTACAAAGAACTGCATGCTCGGGTAGGACAGGAACGGGCGCAGGCACATGCACATGAACATGCTGCACATGCTCATGCGTAGGCGCAGCAGGATCGTCATACAAAAGGGAAACCTGCAGAGCCGCCGGCCGCCTCTTCTTGGTGGGGGGAGAATTGGGGGAATTGAGGATTGGGGTTGGGTTAGTACCCCATCACTTCAACCTGTATTGTACTCCTCTTCCTCTGTACAGGGTGGAGTACATAGAGGGGTTTTATACACGACGTTCTAGGCTCTTCGTGAGCATCTACAATTCTACCCCCCTTGCACCTATTCTTTCTCTTCTTGTTAAAGCATACGAGTACTCGTAGTTTCGCAGTACGTATCCAATGTATCAACACCTCCATTTTCTCCCCTCCCTCTCTCTCCTCTCTATACCCATCAACCCCTCCCTAGAAAATTTACAACAGGAAGAACCCGATCCACGTCCAGGGTCCAGTCCAATCCCAACTGCCTGGAGTCTTGCGCCATCACAAGTCCCTCACTTTAGCGTACCCCAAACAAAGCCTTCCCCGTTCCGAGATCGCACCTCGTCCTACGAGTATGTACTTACTCTAATTATCTCCGTGTCTCTGTTCTGCGCTCGGCCTCGCTCGGCCCCGCGTTGTATCGCACCGATTGTGTATGCACAGTACATACAGCAAGCCCTGCAGCGGATCATGTGCACTGTCCGAATTTTGTCGTCTATGTACGGAGTACTCGTAGGTACATATCGCGGTGGAAGGTTGCGTAGCACACGTGTGTATTGGATTGATCAGCAGGAAGTACTAGCACGAGTGGTCAGGAGTAGTCGTCATAGAAAGGAACAACTGCCTTTCGATTTTTGTCAATTCGAATCCTCGATCTCTGTCCTTTAGTTCAGGCATGTTTCCACCACACTGCCGTCGTTCTCGTCCATCGACTCCATCACTTTCACTCGCGCCTTCGACAACATGCTGCTGTAAGCTGCCATATCTCATCTCATGCATTGATTGGTACAGAGTAGCCTCCTGCCCGGGAGAACCCAATGTTGGAAATGAGGGAGAAATCATTAAATCTAGTATGAAAGAAAAAAGAGAAGAGGATGAAAAGAAAAACGCCGCCGCCCCCATTCCATAGTAGTTGAGAGCAATCGCCCCGGCTGGCTGTGCCATTTGGTCCTTCCCCAGCCTATCCAATGAAATATAATTCCCATCGCGATGAAAACAAGGTTGTCGGGGTATAAGCGTCGTGGATAGAAATGATGCAAGATGCTGCTGGCCCCCCCATTCGTCAATTCGGTAACTACCTATGTGAAACACTTCTCCTCATGATATCCCATCCCTCCCGCCCCGCCTGGTTGTACATATCGTCCAAATCTAGTTATGCTTTTCGTTACATGGTCGCGTGCCATGTTACTGAAATCCTCAGGTTGCATGCGAATGTTTAGCGAGACTTCTGCAGCAGTAATTAGACACTTAATTCCAATGCATGTCACCTCGACGAACAACTTACAAGGCTCGCAATTGCCGCCGCTGACGCCAGATCAGGCTTCCCAGATGCACTCCGCTGTGCAACCCGGGGTAGACCGCTAGTGACATTCAGCGGGGCCCCATTTGCCGTCCGCTTAACTCCCGTGGCCGCTGGCCCACCCTGGACGGTCGAATGCCGTCTTGGCCCTCCAATCTTCACAGGCGAGCTGCTGGGGACTTGACTCGATCCCGGACCTACCCCATTCTTGAAGTTTGTCCCTGGCGGCTCAGGTAGTGGCCGTACGCGTTGTTGCGATGAGGCCGTTGGCGGGAGTCGCTTCATGGGTGACGAGAAGCCTGACGCGCCATTCATCGGCGCTCGTCCCCTACCAGTTTTCCGCATGCCTGTGACGAACTCATGGAGCTGGGCCTCCTCTGGCTTCATGCGCCGTTCCGGATCCCAACGCAGGCATCGCGCAATGAAGTCCAGGAAAGCATCGTCGTCACATTTCAGAGCTTGCTGTAGAGTCTTCGAGCTTGGCCGTCGCCGGCGACCCTTGCTCGAGACAGTGACCCTGGGCTTGCCCAAGGAATCGAAGAACAGCTTCTTCCTGCTGCTCTTTTCGATCAAATGTTTTTCAGGCGGGCCAAAGATCTCCATGATACAAGCGAGCTGTTCTTGCTCGTTCTCTCCCGGAAAGATGGGATAACCCGTCAATAATTCCGCCAGGATACAGCCCAAACTCCACATGTCGATCGGCAATCCGTAGCTCATTCCAAGAATGACCTCGGGAGATCTGTAAAAGCGCGATTGGATGTATGTATAGACCTTCTCGTTTTCGAAGCAACTAGACCCGAAATCGATGACCTTCAGCTCGGAGTGCAGCGGGTGCGCAAGAAGGATGTTCTCGGGTTTTAGATCACAGTGTATGACCCGGCGGCTCCTGAGAAGAACGAGCGATGAAAGCATTTGCTTGGTGAAACGCCGGATAAGTCTGAGCGAGAAGCCCTTGAACTCATGTGCCTTAATGAATTCGTACAAATTCATGCCGAGAAGCTCGGTCGAGATGCAGAGATGACCTCGGAAGTAGAAGCTCTGTGTGAAATTGATCATGCTGTGCTTATTGTCGGGATCCTGAAATCGAGTCAGCGGTTTGTCAATAATACTTCCTTCAGTAAAGCTTACCCATTCGCGCAGTTTCTGTAGGATATTGACCTCCACCAAAGCTTGCTGGTGGAAGCGCTTCTTGTTACGGATTATCTTGATCGCGACGAGTAATCCAGTCTTGTGATCAACACAGCGAACAACCTGCCCGAAGCTGCCCTTACCCAGAACGTCGACAACCTCATATCTGTATGCAAGGTGATCCCCAAGAACAATGTTGTAATCGCCGCGGTCATCGTCATAACCAAAATTGAGCGTTTGCTGGTTGAGGTCGCCGACATGTTTCTTTGCGTTCTTCGTACCACAGAAGTAGATCTCCTTATAGTCGATGATTTCACCTCGCTCGAAGATGTTGAGATTGACCATCTGGATAGCTTGGGCTGGCGTGACACGCTCTTGAGGTCTCGCTCTCTTCCTGAGTTCATCAACGTCTCTTGCAGCGCTTTCGAAATCCTTCCGTTTCGAGGCTAGCTTCCGCATTTCCTCATCTGCCAGTAAATCGTCGCGGTCCAGATTGGGATCGAGGTGGCGAGCTTTAAGCACATTACTCGAACTCTTAGAGCCGAGCATTCGTTGCATTGGCGTCAAGATCGACGATGAACTCGACTTGGGTGTAGGGATGTTTGCTTGTTCGTTTGCGCTTGAGTGAGCACGAGCAGCCGGACCACTGTTGGTCTTGTGAATGCTGAGCTTGTCCAATTCGGCATCGCTCCCAATGGTCGTAGTAGAGGTCTTGCGGCGACCAGAGTCGAGGGACGGACGCGTGCGATTAGATGGCGTAGGACTATTCGCACCAATCGCACCACTCCAGGTTGCGGATGCCGGGAGTTTAGGCGGGGGCATCTCGTTATGTTTTGGTACCTGAGGTGGTTGGTGCTGTTGTTCGTCGTTCTTCTGCGACGCACTGGGTGCATGCGAAGAGTGTGACGGGTGGGAGGCAGTCTTTGATGAGGCTCTACGCCAGCCGCCAAGACTAAGTTTCCTTCTTAAAGATGTGTTGGGTGTGGAAGGTTCAGCTTCCATTGAATGGTCGTGAGCGGACGGAGTTGCCATTCCAGCCTTGGGGAGTGGGCGTGGTCCATTCACCTTCATGTTCTGCATTTCCATTCCCGTTTCCATGTGGCTATATTCACCGCTTGGGCGAGAATACATGCGAACGAATTCACCACTTCCTTTGGGCAGAGAATTTGATGCGAATGGCGTGGTTGTCTGGCGTGTGGGGTTGAGGGTAGGAATCGGCATAGCAGATGAATGCTCAGTCTCAGAATCTGATGGCCGTAGATTTATCGCGGAACTACTGCTTCGGAGATGCTTGTTCATATCATAGTGTTCTGAGTTATTACTCCTGGAGAAGAACGACGCTTTCGATGCTGTCATCGGCGTACTAGGTGTCTTGTTACCACGTTTTGGTGGGGGTGTAGTAGTGCGCTCGTCGCCTCCAGTAGAGGGCAAAGTGAACGACGACATTCTGTTGTTGAAAGGTGTACCAAGTGGTAACAGATTCAACGGTGGAAGCCTGATTGGCTGCAGATTCTTCTTGTTCGTGTGCGGTACTGACGGAGTTTTCTCAACATCAGTTGAGCCAGAACCAACAGTGAGCCCCCTTCTATGTCGGATTGTAGCGTTGTTCTTACGCGGAGGATCCGTTTTGCTAGGGTCGATACCCAGAGCTTCGATATTCTGAAGTTCTGTGCTAATGGTATCACCTGGTGCCTTTACATCCTGAGCTGGTGGTGTTGGAAGAGCTGACTTCACCCCAGGCGCGGAGAAAGAGAAATAGCTATGATCCGGATCTTTCGGAGATTCGTAAGCTTTCGGGATGGCTGGCACGGGAGGTACTTCTTCTTCTTCTGTTGCAGCAGAGCTATGAAGATTCCTAGGTTTTGGTGTTGGCAATCGAGATCCTGCAAGAGCTGGGTTGCGCGGTTGCAGGGAAGAATTGCCAAGCCTGAGTGAATTCACGCTGGAATTCGAAGACAGAGAGATTCCCGAGGCGTATGATTTACGATTTTGATTCTGGTCTGGCGTGCCTCGAGCAGAAGACGGCGTAACACTTTTCCTGAAGATTAATGCAGGGGACTGTTCCAACGCACGATCGTCGAATGAGAACTCTGCCTGGGGAGTCGGTGGACTTGTGGGGCCTCCAGGTTGGTTTGGATTCATGGACATTCTCTTTAACCGCCGAGCGTCGGTTGGACTGATTGTCCTTGCTCCAAGCCCCCCATGGTGATGCATAGTTGACTGCCGTTTGCTTGATGTCGAAGACGGCGTTTGCGTCCTGTGTGCTGCTGATGGTTTTCCAGGTGAACGGGCATGAGCAAGGGATGACGACATGCTATGTTCGGGAGTCATAGAGGAGGTGGAGAGGAATCCAGACTGTTGCCGTGGTGGAGCATGTAACGACTTCGCTTTGATGGATCGTGTAGCGATGGGTAGCTTAGGCGGTTCTCCGGTCGTGTTGACATTCGCAGAAACTGTACTGCGACGACCGCCACTCAATGAGGGCGTACGCCCAAGTCGACCTTGAGTACTCTCAGTAGAAACTTTGGGAACATCGTGGCGGGTGCTGTCGAACCCTGAGGGCAACATCCCAGGTCCTACGGATTTCCTGGGGGCCCGTGCTGCAGGATTAGGAGGTGCCTGGGTTGGAAACTGACTTTGACGTCGGGTCCGAATCGACATATTGGTCGCAGGCGGCGGCATCGTCGGTAAGTTGGTAGTAGGCAATGCTGGTATTGGATCGCTGGGCTTGCGGGATTGGCTAAAGCGTCGCATTAACGAAGAGCTGCGAGCCGGACGTTGCTCGGTCCCAGTGCCAGGCGTGAAAATATCGGAAGCCATGTTGGCATGTGTTGCTGGCTGCGTAATAGGCAAAGAGGTTTTGTTGCTGTCAAACAAGCCCACACCGCCACCGCCAGGAGCCGGGAAGTCGCTCAGGTCGGGCTCATAAGCGGAGATGCTGGCGTGGAAATCGTCGAAGTTGACTGAGGGAAGAAAGTCGTAGGAGCCGGTGCTGTCGGTGAAGTCTTTTGGGGTCTCTGATTGTGATTGTTTGCCAAAACTGAAACGGGGGTTGGAGGTTCTAACGGAACTGGTAAATGTCGACTCGCTGGTAGATGTTGGTAGGAAGGAGCGGTTGGCTGTGGAGGAAGCAACGCTTGCATCTGATGTTACCCTATAGCAACGGAGGACGGTTAGCCCAACAACGTCCAAGCACGGCTTCAAAACATGCATGGATCAAGTAATTCTAGAGATCCATCTCACCTTGGCTTCGACATATCCAGTGGTCGCGGCCCGAGCGGTACTTTATGTGGTTCTCTCAGCGATTGTCGCCTTCCCCTAAAGTTTGATTTGTTATCTGCCGGCGGCGGCGGCGGTTGTTGCTGCGGTGGAGGAGGTGGTCGAGGAGCGGACGTCATATTCGATCCACTTGGCTTTCGTAGTTTGTTATCACTACCGCTCGTTGTCCTTTGGAATTTGCGGCGAACGCGTCCTTCTGTATCGTTCATCCATCAGTCATCATCGTCTTCACTACCTTCTCTCCTTCACGAAATGGACATTTCGACGATGGAATATAAGCTTACCGGCCGAGCCACTTGAATCCTCCGCCGAATTATTTCTCGGTATGGGGAGACCGCTCTCCATTTTACGTGTCGGGCCTGGTCTCGCGGGCTGCGTAGACATGGTCAATACAAGTTGACGAACAACCTGAAGAGGGGCTTGCTGACCGAAGGGTCACAGATAGTTATAGCCAGCGGATCAATGGATCAGCCCTCCCACAATTCAATGCTTTCGCCTAGAGCTCGTAGATGGCTAAGTCTTCTCCAAGCTCGAGGCTTGGAGTCGTGCCTATGGGGATGCGGGCATATCGAGAATCACCAGGTCGGGGGGTGGGGATTGAGCGAGCGGCGCCAGTGAAAAGAATGCTCTGTCGATGGCAGTGAATGAGACAAGCGCAACGGTAGGAATCGATGGGTGAAGCGAGGGCGATAGGAGGAGGAAAGGGGAGCGAGAGGGTTGAGTGATAGTAGGTCGTGAAGCTTTCGGAAGGGTAGACGGTCGACCTCGCGCGGCCGCCACTAAGGTTGCGATGTTCTTATGCCCAGACCACCCCTTGACGGTGCGCCTGCAAATTAAAACAAGCTGTATTATTCCCACGACAACAACAAACTGGCTTCCCGGGGAACGGCTGCAGAGAACAACGATGACGATCAATCAGCAAACGACAACCAACGAGCCAGGCAGCGCCAGATGTATGGCCTGCAATCAAATCGTCCTGACTGACTGATTGCAGTCGCGCACCCCCAAAACGAGATCCACGATGGAAGGAGAACGTGGATCCGCTTGGGCAGCGCAGGGCAGCGCAGGGCAATGCGCACATGCACCAGTACAACAGCTCTTTTTGCGGTGTGCGACATGCGCACAGTCTCTGTTACATGACATGAACGGTTGAGAATGCCGTTGCCAACGCTTGTTGCCGTCATCTCGAGCAGTACAAAGCCACGGGCATCCATCCGCACGCAAGCAGCATGGGTAGTGGCAGATGCAATGCTTCCGGCTTCGATACAGTCGCATGCCTAGAGCCAGTCCCTGCCTCATCTACGGAGTACTTCCTATCGAACCCTTGGAACGCGCATATGTATTCTTAACCCTCGTAGCGTTGTGACACATAGAGCGTGAAGAATAAAGAAAGGTGGCCCAGCAACCCAGCAGCCCAGCAACCCAGTAGCCCAGCTCAAATAGGAGGGTATACGTTCCCCCATTTATATGGTACATACATTCAGAAAACACAAGTATCATGGCCCCCGCAAATGTAATAATGCTCTGCACATAACGAGCAGAGTTGTATCATGTTTATCCATCTTGTTTATTCCCCATATATATGGGGTGCTGTCGCTTTGGAGAACGGAGCACATCACAACAAATATCATTCATTCTTGTGATAGTTCGTGGGTACTAACTACCTAGGTACTTGTTATGACTGTTATCATTACAATATTGTTATTATTGAATTATGATTTTGATATAGTGCGAGTGGAGTCTGCTCTCCCCTACTAAAAGACTTGCGGTCTACCTGCCTACTTGTCCTTTCCTCTCGTACTGGACCTAACTATGAGGAAAGGTACTTGTTACCATCTCGTACTAGACTGGTCCCTGACTTCGAAAGGGGCAGGAACTCGGGCCGCCACCTACGCTACGCTCTGTCCACATTCGGATAGAATACGCTAGTCCTTATTGGTCGAGGCCGTGGCGCACATGCCGTCACTCGTTGTCGCCTCGGCTTGCCAACATGTCTATGCCATGGTCATTCAATAGACCAACTTCAGCATAACATCTCCACCATTCACCTGCATCTTGAACCGCGATTGTCCACACACCCCGTGCAGTTGTGGCTAATTATTAGCTCTTGCTAAATTGAATTAAGACCTAACCTGGCCATGTAAGCTGCGGGAGCCCGAGACACATATTCACCTAAGCAATCAAAATCCGGGGAACTGTGGCAGTGCTACATCGAGCAAACCATATCTTGACCTCATACGACCACGAGTATCCTACCGTTTTGTCCCTTCTGATCTTTCAAAATGGGGGAAGACTCTGCACAGACGATTGCAAACAGGGACACGCCCATCCCCATCGTTGCCGTCACAAGTCCCGACAGCTCCAAGCCGAGAACTCCGGTTGTCCCAGATGAATCAAGCCATCGTCTATCAGCGAGCAAGCTCAAGGGCAAGCTGGAGTCCCTGAGTACGAGATCCGAATCTCCTAGCAGGGGGTCAGATCGAGTGTCAGACAAAGTCTTCACAATGTACGATGGTCCTTTCTCATTCTCTTCTTCCATCTGATATCACATGACTTATCATTCATAGGCTCCTCCAACAAGTCCTCCCAGAGCAAGATTATCAAGATGAGACTCCAACAATCAAAGATAGAAGGTCTCGTGCCTATGTCGACCGACCGGCCTTCAGCATTCCTACAATGTCCTCAAACTTCCGCCGGTTCAACTCCCGTATAGGCGTTGCCTTTGTCTTCGAAAACCGTCTCATTCGTCTTTTCACCTGGCGCCAACCTACCCAAACCCTTTCTTTCCTTGCAGTGTACACCTTCATTTGTCTAGACCCAGCTCTTGTCGCCGTCGCACCCTTAGCAGGCTGCCTCTTCTTCGTCATGGTTCCCTCGTTCCTCGCTCGCCATCCACCACCACCAACATATCTACCAACAGAACTTTATCCCCTAGGCGGACCACCTATCGCAGGCGCCCGCACCATCCGGCCAGCGCCCGAACTGAGCAAAGATTTCTTCCGCAATATGCGCGACCTCCAAAACACCATGGAAGACTTCAGCCGAGCGCACGACGCTGTCCTTGCATTCCTCACCCCGCTCACCAACTTCTCCAACGAAGCCCTCTCCTCTATGATCTACATCCTCCTCCTCCTACTCTCCTGCCTCCTCTTCATCTCCGCACACCTCCTCCCCTGGCGCTACATCTTCCTCGTCGGAGGCTGGGCCTTCACGCTCCTCGGGCACCCTACAATCCAAGACCTCATCTCCTCCCCGACCACGCAAACCGCCATCTCGGAGAAAGAACACGAGTCCCGGTCCTTCCTCCTCACCCTCTCCAAATCCGACATCGAGCTCGTGACGTCCCCAGAGACCCGCGAAGTCGAGATCTTCGAACTGCAGCACCGCGCCCTGCACGACGAGCACGGCGAGTACGAGAGTTACATCTTCTCGCCGAGACCATACGCGCCACTCAGCCCCAGTAGGATTGCAGGCGACAGGCCGAAGGGCGCGGCGTTTTTCGAAGACGTGCAGCCGCCGCGCGGCTGGAGGTGGAGCGACAAGAAGTGGACGCTGGATCTCGCGAGCAGGGAGTGGGTGGAGGAGCGCTGTGTGACGGGTGTCGAGGTGGAGATCGAGGGCGAGAGGTGGGTGACGGATCTGCACTACGAGATGCTGGAGGAGGACAGTCCGAAGGGGAAAAAGGGGAAGAAGAGCAAGGACAAGGACCCCGAGAAAGTGGTGCTCAGGAGAGCGTGGGAGAGTCACAAGCCTGCGAGGAAGGGAGAGTGGAGGAGAAGGAGGTGGGTTAGAGGTGTGGAGAGGGTGCCTATCACTAATCCTTACGATTCATGACTTGGGGTAATGGCATATCATGTGTAGATGGAGTTGTAGTTCATTACATTCGAATCGCTGTAGATTCTATGCATCTCTATTTCTAACATAACATTCATATTCCTGAATCATTCCTACGTATATTCGTCTCCTCTTCACGCTCGACCAACCTTGAAACTCAGGATCTGCCCCACACGTTAGCACCATTAACCAACCCACCACATAATCCACGAAATCCAGAAGAAGAGAAAAGGGGAGAAGAGAGAACTCACATCATTCTTCCCCACAGCCACAAGGTCATCCTCCGCGACCCTCCTCCCGCCCTCCCCCTCCACATACGCCAACGGCGCATCCCCCATAACCTTCCTAAACACATCCCCGACCGTGCTCCCCTTTTTCACCAGCACGCAATCTCTAAACACCGCGCTGGAGCTCGCACTCCCACTGGTATACGTATGGATATTCCGCACCGGAAACACAGGGACGAGACCCAGCAGCTCGCTCGCGCGCGTGAGCACCTGCACCACGCCCGTCGACCCAAAACGATATAGCACCATGTCCTTTAGATTCTCGATGCGCGCCCGCAGCTTCTCATCGAGCTCCTTCAGGTCGCCGCCGGATGGGTCCCCCGCTTCGATAAGGTCTTCCCGCGTGTCGACGAACTCGGAACCCTCGGTGTACTTCACGAAACCCTGCTTTGCGAGTTTCCGCAGGAACACCTCCGCGATGGCACTGCAGAGCACGATGCTCTTCGGGTCCTGGGCCTTCGCGATCTTCGCGATGTTCTTGTCCGCGTCCGGGTGGTCGATTTTGTTCAGCGCGATCACAGTCGGGAACTTCTCGTCCGTGAAAGCGTTAACGACCTTCTCGATCGTCTCGTCCGACCAATCCTGCAGCGGCTCCTTGAGTGCGAGTTTGTCCAGACACCGCGCGACGACCTGGCTCGTCGACCCGTAACCCGAGAACTGGTTCTGCAGCGTCTCCACGGCCGTCGCTTTCACGGCCAAGTGCCGCCGCCGGATCGACCCCCACTTCTCCATCAGGTTCCCTTGTATCCACCGCACGATCTCGGACCGCAGCCACACGATGTCCTGCGAGGGGTCGTATCCGCGCGTCGCTTTGCCTTCTGCGTCTGTGGTCCCGGATACGTCGACGACGTGTACGAGTGCGTCGGCGTGTCGAAGGTCGTCGAGGAATCGGTTGCCGAGGCCTTTGCCCATGTGCGCGCCGGGCACGAGACCGGCGACGTCGAGGAGCTCGATGGGTACGCTGCGTCGTCCGTCGAGGCACGATCCGTAGTTCGGCTTGCATTTTGAGGTCTGTTGTACGCGCGCGCAGGCGCAGGGTATTTGGAGGTAGCCGATTGCGCGTTGTGGATCGATGGTTGTGAAGCTGGCGGGAATTAGTTTGACAAGACGATATGAGTATGTGTTGACCACAAGGTTTCTTTTCAAGATGAGAGATAAGGCATTGTTGGCGCAAAGGAAGCTCCGGCCTTTCTCTTTCAGACCTCTACATTCGCATGCGAAAAGGTAGGTTCGTATCGTGTATGTAGGTAGGTATGATTGCGGAGCCGATGATGGGACATTTAACAATCAAGGAAGACATGAATAGGACTTACGGGAAATTTCCTGGAGTATGTGTTAGCGGAATTGCTCCAATACTTTTTTTCCAAAACACAATTGTCCATAGGAGGGGTTGTCATTACGAACCGACTTTAGAAGTGGCGTCTGTCAAGCTGCCGATGTGTGAACATGACTTAGACGGATGCGATTGTAATCGAAGGAGGGGCATTGGGGACGCACCTGTTAAGCGTCGTTGACTTGCCTGACGAGGGCTTGCCGACGAGGCCGATGAGCGGATCGCGAGGCATGCTGTATGCCCATTTAAAGACCCTATGCCTGAAATTGGAAGAAGTATCAATATGGCGACAAGACCAGTTGCGGAAGTACGAGTACTGAAGATGTTCATGCGTAGTGAATTTCGCTATCGATAAGGTGCTTAGTCATTTGCATCAGTCGACCGTTTCTTCAGGCGACAAAACTTGAAGATAAAAAGTTCGACTGTATATATCTATGGAACAGTTCCTTTTTGGAAACATGAAACGATTGCCCAAAATACAGTAGCATTCCAACAATGCCATGTCTAGCTGAGTATTTGGCATAGTAACTATCGAAATTCCCAGTCGGTTTCCACATTAACTAAGATATTAATTACCAGTGATACAGAAACCCAGGCCTAGCTGTGTAATCCGGCGCCATAATAATTGTAAATGCCGGTAGTGTAAAAAGAAATAGTCGTCTCGGTCCAGTAGAAAGTCTAGATCAAGGATGCACCGAAAAGCGTAGAGACCACCACGACCAACCCGCAAACCATGGGAGCCATGAGCGAGTCACCAACATGCACCGAAGCAGCAGCTCCAGGGCTACCTGTTGAAGATTTGCCTGCACCTGAAGCGGCAGAGGTCACTGCTCCTTCACCAGCGGGAGCCAAGTCGGTAGTCTTGCTACCCGAAGTCTGGCTACCGGATCCCGTCAGGCCAGGGCCCTTACCGGCACCTTCCTTGCCCATGAAAGCCTGAGCTCCCTCCGGCAAAGCAGGGAGCTTATCATCGTCCATACCGATATCCCATGTCTTGGACTTGGCAGGGCACTTGGACGCTTTGCCCTCAGATTTGTATCCGCCATCGCCGCTGGGAGATTGAGTTCCAGCAAATGCCTTCTTGAGAGCCGTGAAGTCATCTTTCTCGGTAACACTGTCACCGTCAATCTTGACAAGGCCGTACTTGGAACCTTCCTCGGAGTATTCGTATACAATTCCTCCAGAGTAGACGCCAGTCATGTCGGTGGAGTAGAGTGATTTAACTTCATTGAACTCCCGCTTGTTGGTATTGCAACCGTATTCGGAAAGGCTATAGCTGTTAGAAAGACAAAACATTGTTTCTCTCGAGATCACTTACAAAAGAGCAATGCCGTAATCCTGGAACTTCTTGACCTTCTGATCCCAACCAGACGTTTTAAAGTCAGAAGGATCGCACCATGAATAGTCGTTGAATCCAAAGAAATCGCTGCGTACGGAGTCCTCGCCACAGTTCATATATTCGGCCATTTCGAAGCGGTTCGAGTCGACATCAGCGGCGGAGTATCCGACGGGAATCTTGCGGTAGCCTTGGCTATTGATATAGGACTTCATGTCACGTGTCGTAGCCTTGACGAAAGGAGCGCAGTTGGTGGTCTTGTCATCGTTGATGACCTCATTACCAGAAAAGAACAGCAGAGTGTTGTCATACTTCTGGAACTTGTCAATGGTAGCGAAGATGCTCTGCAAATAGACCTTGTTGTAGGACATTTGGGGCTCGGCACGATTGATCGAGTATTTGGGGGTGTTGACGTCAAGCGCCAAGTATATTCCAGCTTCTGCAAGGGCGGTCATGCACTCTTCGTGATCAGCGGTGTTATCGACCGTGTAAACACGGATGGTGTTTACGCCCAATTCCTTGAACTTCGCGATATCACGCTTGCAGCCCGCCGCGTCTGCGATTGGGTCCTTAGCATCGGAGGCTCCACCTGCCAATTGTTAGAATCTTTTATCCTTGAACAGCACGATCCCTATCAACTTAGAGATATATTGACGAACCTGGCTGGTAGTCGACACCGCGGATGTAGAAACGCTTATCGCCTGCGAAGAAAGCTGGAAATGTGTCAATTACAGATCTAAAGTCTTAGAAGGACGGATGTGACGGACCATTTCCCTTGATGGTTACTGGTGTGATTTTGGAAGCTCGTGTTGTAACGGTAACGGCGGGAGTGGCAGCCACAGAAGCAGAAAGGAGGCCAGTGATGGCAGTGAATGCTGCAGCAGTCTTCATGGTGTCTAGACTCTAATGGTCGGCGTGTTTATGTAGGATTAATAGCGCCGCCGGAGAATTTCTCGGAAAGGGAATTTTTGGTATTTGAGGAGATTGGTACAGTGGTATCGTAGAGTGATGAATGAGGTTGGAAGGAGAGCAGCAATGAGTCGAGTCCAGGCAAACGAGTGTTAGGATCGTGAAAATTAAAAAGGGCGTAGTAGAGGGAGGGAAGGAAAAGAAACAGTAGAGGACTTCTAAAGAAGGAGAGAGTCCGAAGAAAGAGGGAAGGTTGTTGTCTACGAGCAAGGAGGGTGCGGAGCGGAGGTTAAAAGAAAGGGAAACAGTTCAGGTCTGGGGCCTGTGTGCTTTCCCTTTCCATTGGTGTATACTGATTTGTTGGTACAGATGGACCACAGCCCACGCAGGAATTAGGAGAAATGACATTGTGGTACTCGATGCTGTTATTCGTGTGGACCTGGGGATTTGCGTTGATTGTGAGTGTTGCGCGTACAATTCTGGTGATTGGAATGTAACAAGTAATCTCATTGGCGGCCCCGCTTGTTGGACATCCCAGCCAGGTATAGGATAATCCAGTATATCCATCACAGATACCATAAGTTACCCACATTCAGGAACGAACACATGCACTTGCCTGCCTCTGGATTAACGTGGAATAGAGTCCTGGTGGAAGTTTGGAGACAAGTCCTTGTCCGGCTCTACGCCCAGGACGGTAGAAAACGGGACATGGATGAGCATGGAACAAGCAAGCATCATGCCTTCACAAGCTTTCTCACTGCCGCCACGGTAAACGGCCCAGCCGCTGATCGACACTTCCCGCTCCACAACAGATTTCGGATATGCGGGTCCACAGGCTTGTCCTGAAACGCATCAGTCGTCATTGTTTGCTGTTGACCTCGATGATCTGAATTTAAATCTTTTCTTCCTTTGTGATCGTTTTTCGATAAACATGTCCCCTTATCCGTGCATGTATATCGTTATTATATCAACACTCTCGACGCGCGGCGACGTTAAGTGCGACACATTTCCCTCGAAAATATTTGCATTATTGAGAGACTTTTGAAGCATAAAATGTTGAGTGTACTTCTTGATGAGTAGTTCAATCCGGAGTCTTCCCACCATCTCTTACCCGGAAGAGCTTGACATGGGCGTTCCTGTTAGACCATTCGGAGGTGGATCCACACATCTCCTGTCAATCGTTACTCCGGCTGAGCTAATTAAAGATTCAGTCGAGTAGATAGTTACTCGTAGCTACGGGTAGCATTTTCAATGGGAACGACGCCTTGCCTATTGTGACAAGTAATCGCGCCCACACGCTCCACCAAATGCAACCCACCACCATGTGGTCTACGATGTCTGGCTAATGTCTGGGAACCGTGGTCATTCATGTAAGACCGTAGGACACTCTTAAAATACTCGGGGCTGGAATGATCGAGTCTAGTGGTGTCTCTTAATTTCATATTCTGCAACGAACATGTGTCACAAATGATGTGATGAAATTGAACAACATGAGGTCATTATATGTATGTACGTGGACTTCCTACAGTATTAACGTCTCCACCACATTTTAGATAAGTATTACCAGATCTGCACCTATGCAGTCTTGTCGCATATGTCGTGAAGAAACACTGTTCCGGTTACGGTGCTCATCCATATGCTCGCCTGCCATTACCGCCTCTCTTCTATCCTCAAAAGGCATCCCCAACAGATCGTAGAACCTCGCCTCTGCTAAGATTCGCGATCTTCTTTGTCTATTTTTTCTGAGTTCCAAAGTAGATACCAAGGACCAGCGCGAGAATGGCGATGATGGCAACGACAACGGCGAGCGTCCACCATTTCAACTTCCGCGCTCTTCTAGCAGACTTGATACCCTGGTCTAATTGCGTGTTGCCACCCTCGACATCATCCTTCACCCCCTCTGCCTGTCGCTCTACGTCCACGACCGCTTGTTCCTGAACCACGACCTCTTGAGCAAGCTGATCGAATAGTACAGACAACTCGACCATCGTCTTCTCGATGCGCTGGATGTCATTATGGCGGGCTCGTACTGCGCCTAGCACGCTCGTTGCCTGTCCAGAGCGGTTGCTCTTGAGCTACGGGATCTGTCAGAAAAGGATGCAGAAATTCTATCATTGATAATTCACTTACAGCTTGCTGGAAGATCCCTTCATCGCCCCAATCTGCGTTTCTCGCCTCCTCCACCTCCGCCTCTGTAGCGTCTGGATTCACAATGCGATACTGTCGAGCCACGGCATCCTTATATCGTTCGCGATAGTCTCTTTCCTCATTCTGGAATTGAGTCAATTGGTCCTTGAAAGAGCGCTTCAGAGATTCCACTTGAGTCTTCTTCAAAGTGTTTCCAGGATCTCGCGCTGCGTCCCTCTCTAAGAACTTGATCTCGTCTTTGATCTCCGTATTGCGTATTTGAGTGCTAGTGACCAGACTCTCTAGCTGCGCTGACGCATTGGTGTCAGGAGAGGACACCAGTCGCTGGTGGATGCTTGCGATATTCTGAATGTGGGTACTCAATGAGTTGATGCGACCCCTTGCTCCCTCAATGCGCGCAAGAAAATCCTGTTTACTCAATGGTGCGCCGCCTTGATGGGTAGGTGGCGCGCTCGGGCTGGAGTATTGGGAGGTCTGCGAGTAGTTCGAATTTTCGTGCTGAAGCGGTGGGGGAGGCTCCAACACATTGGGATCCTACGTTGTTGAAATCAGCAAAAAGCTTTCTCACGAGTCGCGCTTTCAGATCGCGCTTCGGCATGGAGCATTCCTACCTGTGTACCATATGGATTCGATGCTCCGTAACCACTCTGGGCGCGCTCATAAGGGCTAGCAGTTTGTCCGTATCCACTAGTCGCTCTTCCATATGGATTGGGTTCTTGTCCTCCATGAGGATTTGCAGCCTGACCTGTCTGCTCTTCTCCCGACTGCCCGTAAGGGTTGCCACCGTACGACTGATAACCGCTGTAAGACATTGTGTTGCGATATATGGCGCGGTTATGGTAAGCTCGGCAATTTCGCGTCTGAGGTCCGAGATGTCGAATCGACGTTCGCAATTAGATCCTCGACCACCGGGGGTTGAAGTAATGGGTATATTCTTTTTTTGAGGTATGTGAGTCGACAATGGAAATATGCCGGAACGATTCAATGCGCAGAGAGGGATATTTGAAGCTTGAGGAGCTTCGCGGGCGAGGGCGGCCTTAAGGATGGCAGTACTTATCGGAAGCCGCGGAACTGGCTTATGAGATCTCGCGAGCGGTGAGGATGCTGCGCAACGTTGGTTCGGAGATGCGATTGATGATGAATTGACGGGACGTCGGGAAGCGAAATAAAAGGAAAGAGGCACAGCTTGTTGTACATGTGCTTGTAGGCAACGATTTTATGAACCTTTGCGAGGGACCAAACCGCAGCTCTTGGTGACGTACCTATCAATGGGGCTCAGACTTCAGGGCTTACCCCCGCTAGTTAGGTGATCCACTAATCCCGATGGGGTTTACGTGCATCGCGAGATATTGCGGCAGTGAACGTCAAGAGAGGTTATCATTTGGTCCCAGTATACACAATTGTTATATTAAGTACGCCCGTGATATTCCACAGAATGTCAAGATTCGATAAGAACATAAGCATGTGCATCACTGTCTGCTTGGAAGATGGTTGTGTTCAAAAGGAGCAAACCCCGTTGAAGTGTAGTGTTGTAATAATACTTTTCAGTAACTACCTATGTACCGAGGTATCTGAATGTTATCATCTCATTGTAGAACAGACCCTCTACGAACAGCAGTCACAGCGGATTTTCTAGATTGTAGGGGGTGCTGATAATTTCTCTCAATGTCATTTAGGGCAACGCTGACGAGAGGACTGTGTCAGCGCAAGATGCCCCCAATGTAACACAGCTCGTTCAAGCCTCATCATCATCGCCAAATTTCTATAAACATCGTACATAAGATTCCTATCCCAAAGGTACATTGTCTTCATAGCATATACCTCCTTACCCGCCGCTTGGCTGGACTAAACACCATGAGCCAACGAACTAAACATTTTCGAAGAGCTTGGTCTAGTTGTTCGTGATACTGGGAGGGACATCTTGATAGTCTTTGGCACTGCGAATGCAGTGAACATGTACCTAGCTAGGTACTCATGCCGAAAGAGCGTCTCCCCAGCCATCTTTCAGGCCAATATCATCAATCTTCCCTTGAAACTCGTGTCTGGGTCCGTAGAATATATATACAAGATCTAAACACCAGTGTACATCACTTGTTCTCTGGCTTTCTGTGCCGAAGTACTCGGAGAGAAGAAGAGCTTTTCAGCATCTCTGACAACAGCCTCGGATAATCCCAACCTAGTCCTGCTGCAGCTAGAAGCGTCAAGCTTGCTTGATCGTCCCGTCCCGGTCGCCCTGGCCCTGTCATGTTCTCGTAGATGTCAGCTATTCAATGCTACATTACGACTCCCAACATTAATAATTGAAGATTGGAGAGAAAACGTACCGGTTTCATGTTGATGTCGAACAGCGCAAACTTGGAGCTTGCGTCGTTTTTGAAGCGACGAACGTCTATCCGGATCGGTGCTGTGGGACGAAGTTCCTCGGCGACAGCCTCACATTCTCGCGCCACAATATCATAATTGGGGTCCTTAGCATACTCTTCTTTTGTGACCACTCTAGAGTTGGCAGTCACAGCGACTACGCCATTGTAGGGCGCTATGCCTCCAACATGGTTGAAACGAGTGACAATGGGCATCGACCAGTACCTATTCTTCTCTTTCGAGCGAGGCATGACAGTCACCGTCGACTCTTCTCCGCTCAGATACTCCTCTACCATGATGGACGGAGATTCGCTGAAAAGACTTTCCACATGTTTTTCAAGCTCATCCTTGGTATCACACTTCTTCACGCCGTGGGAGCCACGTCCACGAATCGGCTTTCCCACGACAGGATAAGACATGGAGTCTAGCACTGCTTTCCAGCCCTTGTCGTGGGCATTCAAGATCCACGATCTTGGCATGGTGAAAGTCCCCTTAGTACGTAATAAGCTGTTGACATAATTCTTGTCATCAAATTGCTCGACCAGTGTTGGGGGCTGGCCGATCACATTGACCTGATCTTGATACTTGCGCACGCTCTGCGAAACCTGCAGAGGATGCGAGGCGAATAGGATAGTGTTGGCCCAGAGATGTGTGGCTCCTTTGCTCAGTGCAGACAATATGCCTTCCTCTGTGTCGGGGAAGCACCAAGCGCTCTGGTCTGCGGGGTCTGGGGAATCTATAGGCGTGACGACGTCGATGCCGGCCTGCTTCTGCAGCGAGTAGGCAATATCGGCACCCGAGTCCTGGTAGCCTTTGCAGGAGCTTTCCGTCAGTATGTAGTGTTTGAATGATGAAGATATGTCACGTGGGATCGGAATGGGACAGGGGTAGTGTAGGGAGCTTGATTGTGTAGAGTGAATGAAGTAACGTACCTCCAGGTTTTGCCGGCTTTCTAACCCCATTGACGATTGGAGGTTCTAAAGCCTGGTATAGTACTGCAACAACTGCTTTGCTGGACAGGGGTTGAACTGATTGGGTAGCGTGGCGGGAAAAGGCCGTATGGGCACGGTTGGCTAGAGAAACACATGGAAAGAGGCTCGGCTGGTGGTAAGTCCTGAGAAGTCGGCGACAAATTGAGGAGGAGAAATGCATAATTGATGAATACTGCAGATTGGAAAAGGAGGGGTGATTTCGTTGGAGATTTTTGCGTTGAGTTTAGGTATCGTGTATAAAAGGTCTGCTAAGACACTTGCAGGTGATCATCGGCTAGACGCCGAACTCGAATGTTTCCGGGTATGCGAGTACACCAAACGGGGGCAGAGTAACACCAGAGCAAATTTAGGGAGAGCGAATGTTGAAAGATTGTAGTATTCTCAGGGAACGCCGATTTGGGGTTGAAGAAACCAACTTGATGATGTGCGGTGTGGCCGGCTAGCGGCGATCGATTCTCGGCCTTGAGCCCGAAGTTGCATCCAGAACCATATCCACGTACATCCACCCCGCGCTGCAAAGAAGCTGGTGTGGAGCAAGAGGCCAGACATCAATATCCAGCGAAAGTATTTTCGGCGGCGAGCAAACAGTCAAAATGCTTTCGGATAGGTGCCCTACCTGCTGCTGGGAAAACATACTTAGATGCACAGCTTACTTCCTTCGATTCACGCTCGAAGGTTTCATTATCCTCCGTGAAGGCCTTCGCTGATGACAAACAACGAAAAACTTTGCTATTAATATCAATATAATAACACCAGGCGCCAGCAATGCTAGGTATTCCATAACTTTTCCATATAATCTCCTTCCTTAAGCCAAGCTTACTTCTAGGGGAGAGGAGAACTGCCTTGGATTCGTGAGCTGACTTAGTCAAAAGTTCCAGTCAAAAGATTCATCCACGACCCTGTCGAATTAGTTGATGTGGCATGTCGAGCACTTCTCTCGCTTCATCCAGGACTGGCTTTCGATGCGGAAAATAGAGGTATACTTCTGGTTCCATTTTCCCTTGTTTAATTTCTCAGTTGCTAACATCTCCAGTTGTTTACCGCCCATTCAAACCCTCTGAGAACAGAGTCACTCTACTAAGTGGAGGTAAGGATTATTGACGTGTGGGATATTGGGATCTGCTTAGTTGATATCCTCTGTAGGTGGAAGTGGTCATGAGCCTGCTCACGCCGGTTATGTCGGCCAGGGCATGCTAGACGCTGCTGTCTGCGGCGCCATTTTCGCATCCCCCAATGTGATCCAGATTGAATCCGGCCTGCGAAACATCCAGTCTCCTCTAGGCAGCTTGGTCATCGTCAAGAACTACACTGGAGACAAACTCAATTTCGGTCTAGCCGTGGAGAAATCGCGTGCGAAGACTGGAAATACAGTCAAGGTACTTATGGTGGGCGATGATGTCTCCGTAGGCAGAACCAAGGGGCGCATGGTAGGTCGCCGTGGCCTTGCGGGTGTCATCCTGATACATAAGATTGCTGGTGCAGCAGCTACTTCAGGAGCGAGTTTAGACGACGTCTATGAGGTTGCAGAGTATGCCAACAGTTGCTTGGCCACAATAGGAGTCGCACTCCATGGCTGCGATGTTCCGGGTCAGCAACAACTTGTCGGCCTAGCCGTAGACGAGATTGAACTCGGAATGGGCATCCACAACGAACCTGGATCTCGCAAACTCAAACCTCAACCAGAAATGAAGTCGCTGATTAGCGAAATGCTCGCAGCTATCCTAGACACAACAGACAAGGAGAGGAATTTTCTGCCCAAGTCGCCTGTATCTCATCCTTCCGAGGTGGTTCTCCTGGTCAACAATCTTGGGGGACTGTCTGTCCTAGAACTCGCGTGCATTACAGGCATGGTGGTAGAGCAGCTGAAGAGTGAATATAATATCCAGCCAAGAAGAGCCTACGCAGGAACATTCCTGTCTGCCCTCAATGGTTCCGGGTTCAGCATTACTCTCCTCAGCTTGCCTAAGGATGAGCCAGCTACAGAAACGATAGCCGACAGGATTCTGGCTTATCTTGATGCACCCACATCTGCAATAGGCTGGTCACCTTCGCTTCCCTGCACAGCGTGGTCAGAAAATGACACTGCACCAAAAGCCATTTACGCCAACGGGTTCGCCAATGGTGTCACCGAGAAGGCCGATTTGGATGAAATTCCATGTAAGCTCTCCTTGACGTATGAAAATTGCGAGTACGACAGATAGCTAAAACAGGTTAAAATTCAGGCAATGGGGCTCTGCTCGCCTCGATCATAACATCGGTACAACAATCACTAGTAGCAGATGAGCCCCAAATCACAGCCTTCGACACCCTGATGGGTGACGGCGACTGCGGCACCACACTAGTCGCTGGCATCACTACAATTGCCAACGCCCTGTCCACCATACGAACAGAATCCCTCTCTCACGCCACAGTCTCGATCTCGGAATTGATATCCAAAGGCATGGGCGGCACTTCTGGCGCCCTGTATGCCATCTTCTTCACTGCCTTTGCGGCCGGTGTGCGGTCTCTGAATACCAAAGAGCCGATCTCGTTCCCAGAGGTTGTAGAAGTTGCGAGCGAGTCGCTTGCGACACTGCAGCGCTACACTAAGGCAGATATCGGTGATCGCACAATGATGGATGCACTGATTCCATTCGTCCATGCGGTAAGTAGTGGCGCGAAGGCAGGTCTTCCGGCAGTGGAGGCATTAAAAAAGGCTGTTGCTGCGGCTGATGAGGGATGCGCTGCGACTCGCAATATGGTCAGCGTATTTGGTCGGAGCACGTACGTGGGAGCAGGCAGTGAGGTGGAGAGCGAGACCAAGGGTATTCCAGACCCAGGTGCAATGGGAATCGTTGCTATTGCTCGTGGAATTCTGAATGCCGTTCAGGCTGTCGAGCACACATAGGAGTCGGCTAAGTCTTGAATCGATGTGTATAATAGACTTTTGTTTGGGCAAAACTCTTGGGTACATCTGGGTACAATTGTCCTATTTCTAAGCCCCCATTTGATAGGTATTTTCTGAATTACCAAGCCATTCGAGATCAAACCAGCCGCCCATATCGCCTAGCTCATCCATGATCATATTTGGACCCTGTGTGTAATCCGTGTTGTATTGCTCCCAGAAATTAAGAGGGAGATTTTCCATTGACTGGTACCCAACACCAACTTCCACTCCACCACCATTCTCCCCAATCGTCTGCTGCTGCGCTTGCGTTTGTATGGCAGGTGTTATAGTTCCCGACTGATTGTTTTTCCACGTGTCAGATGTGACCTGTACCAGACGTTCAAATTTTGACTGTGCATTCTCCGCCACGGACCAGCTTTTTCCAAGCTTGTTCAAAAGCTTGCTACAGGCGTCTGCTTGCCGCAAGAAGTCCTCAAGGGTCGTCTGCCGTCGTATCTCCGCACTTGTCCAGAGGCAGTAGAGAATGGTTATCCCAGACACAAACACGGAGTGGGCGGTCAACCAAGAATTGATCAATTTTGCGAACTTTTGCATGTCCGATTGTATTCGAATTGTCTCGACTGCGCTCTCGTAGCAATTCTTCAGAGCTGAGTTCGACGGTTGGGGAAATGCGGGACTTGGACGATAGAGGAGCATTATGCACTGGTGACATTTAAGCTCAATCAAAGGTAATGCTCCGTCGAGGGTCCCTCTACGTCCTGCAAGACCCCTCCATTTGAGGTTCCTTTTAGCCTCCTCAAGCAATTCTTTACAGACTTGGTGGGTTTGCTCTTGCCACTCCTCGAGATCTGTTGGCCACGGGAAACGTGCCGGGGACCTTGCCACGCGATATATCATTAATTTGACTTCTGCCGTTATACGATCAAAGCGGAACGAATATATGGCGGGGAGATATGGAGGCGTCGCTCGCGGTAGGCATGGTCGCTTTCGTTGCGGCTCTTGCGTCGGTGACTGGGTCCTGCCACGGCGGTCGACGGCGTCGTGCGCAATCTCCTCGCTTTCATGTTCTCCTGGGTATTCAATGTCGCAAGCTTCATCTCTGAGAGTCAAAGGTCTTCCCAGGATGACGGATAAGGTCCTGTCGAGAGAATATGCAGACCAAAAGATGCCGCTTCGGAGTTCACTAAAGCGCGAATCCTCCTCGCTATCTTGTTGTGTGCTTTCCTGAGGGCGATCTAATTGAAAGATGTCAGTTATTGGACTTGGGTTTTCTAGGGCATGCCATGACTGGCAAGTATACGAAAAGCGCAGTGCTTACTATGTACGTGCTTCCGTTGCAACCCGAGGTCCAGACAGCTGGCAATGATTGTCGACGTGAGGAACCAAGCATTCAAACCATTGGCAAAAGAAAAGCTGCAAAGAACAAGTAATAGCAACACTTGGACACCTCTGATACTGTCATGCAGCTGAAGATTTCCGACATAGAACATTGCAGTTGCATAGTATTGCTCTGATTGAAATTCAATGCTTAATCTTGTCTCGAGCACTTTGGCACCAAGGGACAAGACAAGGAACGTTTGGGCCATATCAAAAGCATGTGCCGGTGCCTCTGGCGGTACATTTGATGTAGATCTGACCTTCTCATACTGAATTACTCTCTCCACAGTCTCTTGAAAAGCGTCTTCCATTAGAAACGGGTAAGTAGTATGCCACACCTCGAAGTAGGCAGACACAAAATAACTCATCTCGTCTTCATTCGGCAACTTAGCGAATTTTATGGGTTGGGACTGCTGCAAGCTATTGGAGGCTTGTAGTGGTCCATCTTGCACAGCCTGCCAGGCACTTGATAGACCTTGAGATTGCGGCGCAGAAGAAAAGATGAGGCGCGCAAATGGCACTCCTGATGAGGGACCGAGATATTTGGGTTCTGTCGAGTTTGCTAACGAAAGCAAACCAACATCATGTGCTAGCGGTTGACTAGGGCCAATTTGACTGGATGTTGACGCAGCAGGAGACTCGCCTGGCAAGGAGGCAGTGGTTCTGGCTTTGGTAAGGTCGAGAGGACCAATAGTGAGATGAGAAGACAGAGGATGTGCACCAACGACGATGAATTCATCGTTGATCTGGAGATTACCCGCTTGATCAAATATTGCATTGGGCTGAAATCTCCGAACAAGTTCTTCTAGCCACTGTACTCTCCTTTCGAGCTGCTTTGTGTATCTACTTACGGTTATTTAGGTCGCCCTCTGGCCTGGAGCACGTGCACCAAGGACAATAATCAAAAGGGGAGACTCACTCGCGTGTAGCATCGGCATCTGCATTGTTTGACTTGATACAACTAACACCCGCCTTGACGCAATTCGAACAGGCCGGCGACTGTCCATCGCATTTGATCTTCTGTAGTCGACATCGACGGCACGCCGAGCCTCGTTTGATGGGAGCGGAGGGGTTACTGGATGGCAAAGGAGCTGTAGGGGGTTGAGCAGGCTCCGCCGAATGATGTGTGTAGTCTGATCTTCCATGACGGGCTTCCACCATACTCTCACGATTCACGGCCTCGAACCGGGAAACGGGTCCTTGATTCGGCCTAGCCCACTCCAATCAATTCAAGATGAACGAGAGATGCGATGTAATGTCTTGGCTGCAGTCGGCGTGTCCTGTCTATCAAAGTTGAAAGGGGAGTGTTTGACGAGGGTGGATCGGTCTGGGGATGGCAGCAAAAACCGGGCATCCAAGGCAATGCGCATGTTCATGTAAGTATGGGGATGATATGGAGAAGCGGACATCGGCCATGTGGCCGGTAGCTCTACATCAAATTCCTCACATGATAGCGCGAGTCCGGGATAACGCCGAAGACCCCCGCACGTAGCTATGAGACAGTCCTATCCTGTCCGACCCGGCTGGTGGGCAAGTCGCGTACAACTAGTCTTATGCCGATAGGTTTGATGCTTAAAATTCTTCTGTGATGTATAAAAGAAATAAAATACTGATCTTTCGAGGATTCGATAGACAAAACCCCTTCACAAGAAGAATCCCTGACAAGCCCATCTAGAACTCTATTTTGGGAACGGCATTCCTTAAATCACTTGCAAAATGGCTTCAACAGTATGTCCGGCAATGCCCCCCCATTCCTCCCTCCACTCTCTATAGTGAACTTGCACACCACGACAACGGGTGACAAAAGAGTTTAGGTTCGATATTACGCGAAACCTAGTGATGCTGAGACTTTCTGCAAAGCTGCTCTGGTGAAATCCGGGCTCTCAGAAGCCGATGCGGGCATGATGGCCAGTTGCTTGGTGGAAGCAGATGTTCGGGGTGTTGTACGTATTTCCATCACCAATTAGGCCTATCAGTGCTGGTATGGACCTAGCTCACTTGCTTTTGCTAGGACACCCACGGTCTTGCGCGTCTTGAGCAGTACATTGGAAGAGTTACGGCTGGACTTGTTAATGCGACGCCGAAACTTGAAATCTCAGCAAAGACGCCCGTGGTAGCACATCTTGATGGCGACAATGGTTTCGGATTTGTCGTCGCTACCAAAGCTATGGAAGAGGCTATTAAACGAGCAGATACATACGGCATTGGCTTCGTCACTGTCGATCACTCCAATCACTTCGGCATGGCTGCTACTTACGTCCTGCAAGCGCTTCGCAAAGGCATGATTTCGCTTTGCTTTACCAACTCAGCAAAGCAAATGCCACCATTTGGCGGAAAAGACACCCTCTTGGGCATTTCTCCCTTCGCTGCTGGGGCACCCTCCAACAACGAGGTTCCATACATCCTTGATATGGCTCCATCCGTCGTGGCCAAGGGAAAGATCAGGAGGGCTGCTCGACGTGGTGAGTCTATCCCTCTTGGATGGGCGTTAGACAAGGACGGTAACCCAACAACGGATGCGAATGTTGCGCTTGATGGCAGCATGGCACCAATTGGTGGACCCAAGGGCTCTGGAATCGCAATCCTTATGGATATTATGGCTGGAGTCTTGACGGGCGCTGCCTTCGGGGGCGAAGTCGGTGATCAATACAAAGAGAAGAGACCACAAAATGTCGGCCACTCATTCATCGTGATCAAACCAGACGTCTTCATGAGTTCAGAAGAATTCAGAGCGCGGATGGACACGCTCGCGCAGAGAGTGCACGGGATTGCGCCTGCCCCTGGTTTCAAGGAGGTTCTTTTCCCAGGCGAGCCTGAACACAGGCTATCGGAAACGCGCAAGGCAGAAGGTATCCCCTACGCGGATGCAGAAAAGGAAATGTTCGAGAACATGGCTAAAACACTTGGGATCCCTGGGCTGTCGTTAACCCCAACTCCTCTGAACTCGTAGTAGTTTTGTATATGTATTAATGTATGTTAGATGATATCAAATCCCTCTTTTGAACAATACAATCTTCTAGACCCATGCCTAGCGATGTCTTCGAATATGAGCAACTGGTACAATGGCAGTGCTAGCATCAGGAACCGAGCCATACATCTGTATCCTGATACCTATAGGAGATGAAAATCCCATTAATGTATCATGGGATTCGGTTGGCACAAAAATCTCTTGACCTCAGGCAATCTTTATGTTCAAAGAGTTTGGTATATTTATAATCCTGTGCCGTGTACCTTACATACCGAGCTCTCAATCTTGAATTGGATAAGTTTCACATACCATTCTAACACAAGCCATTGTGAAACCATGCAATGCAAAGAGTTCTATAAATCCCGTGGTACCGCGAAAGTTTAGGAACAAATGATCTTATTTACCGCGATACGTCTTGAAAGCCTCCTCCACCGACATGCCCCCTCGAATCGCCTCGGCACACTTCGCATCTGCAGCCGCGATCGCCGGAATAGCAGCCAAACACTTCTCTGCCAGTGCACTGGGAAGGCAAACCACACCATCTATATCAGCAATGATATAGTCACCCGGCTGTATTGTCACATCTTGCACTGTAGACGCTAGTTCAACGGGAACATTGACCTCTGAGGGCCGACAGACTTCGCCGCCAGCTGTGGTTCCAACGCCTTTGGCAAACATCTATGGGAGCAACTTGGTGAGCATGCTATTCCAAAATCGGCATAGATGCTTGGAGAAGAAAAGTACGTACTGGGAACCCGAGATCACGATGCTCCTGTAGGTCTCGCAATCGTCCATCAATCACCACTCCAGCTGCGCCCAATGCCTGAGCACGCAACGACATCAATCCACCGTACACGGCATTCACGTGTGGTGGTGGTTGTGAGATGAAAACAACAGCCCCCTTGGGGATTTGATCGACCTAAATAAACCCATTAGCTCATTCGCAGCATCAATCAGAGACACAACAAGGTACGAACATAATTGCCCTTCAACTTCGGCGCGCTCTCATCAGCCTTGGGCACAAATTTCACTGTGAATGCTTGTCCGACTATCTTGGTGGGTCCAGCCTGGAATACAGGCGAGTACATAGTCAGTCCTTCCAAGAAGCCACCGGCAGGGTGTTTAAGTTTCGACAAGCTATCTGCCACCTGTGTGACTGTCAGTTCAGTGTTCGGGCATTTTCTGGTTAGAAAAAGTCGAAGATGTATATCTCGGTGTGAAACGTATGAGGAGTACGCACGTCACATGAAGACCATTTTTGCAGCTCAGCAATAATTTCCGCGGGTTGAGCCATGGCGTTTGACGCAATAATGTTGCGATGAGAGAGGTATAATTCCAATGATAGATTTAAAAGAACTGTCAACTGAGTTTCGTTTACACGAAGCTTGTCTCTTTAAGACCTATCATCGTACATATCATTACAACGGAATTACCGTCTGGCGAATGTGGTGGTGCGGAGGGCTGGGCCGATGCCGTAGCTCTCCTCCCTGCTTTCGGGTTATGCCCGGTGCAATGATCCTTGTCAAACGGATACCCCGGTTCTGGAATGCAGGTACCGTACCGCTCAATGTAGTCGAGGTAGTTATCGATTATGTTTTTACAAAGGTTAGACCTTCGTAATCTGTCATCAAGTCATCCGATCGGACTCGGCCGATCGGATCATCAATTACGGTCTCGGTGTCCGGACTGACTACTGCAGCAATTACAAGCCTGTTTTGAAATCGTGACTTGGTTATATGAGGCTTCCAGTTCGAGGTTCTGGGAGACTAGCCAGCCATCCCATTATCGCAGCTCCATCTCCATCATTGCACACGTGCATTAGAGATAATGGCAATCTACTCAAAGAAACCAGTACCCAAGGGGGCCTGGGACACACATCACCACATATTCGAGCCTGAGAAATTCCCCTTTGCTCCCGGTCGACATTTCACGCCCTCAGTAGCGACGCTCGAGGATCTGAACGCCTTCGAGAAATCCATAGGCGTCGACCATGTATGCATTGCCCATGGTCTTTCCTACGGGCCTGACTGTACTTCGTTGCTCTACTACCTGAAGCAGTTCAATGACGAGGCCCGTGGAATCTGTGTCATTGACGAGAACTCTGTCACAGACGAGACGCTCGACTTGTACCATGCTGCCGGCATCCGCTCTGTCCGCCTCGACTTCTTCAAGCACCAGGCCATGAACGATCTGGAGAAGCAAGTGGCCTTGATTGAGGCCACAGCCGCGCGACTTGCAAAATGGGGCCCGAATGGCTGGAGTGTACAAGCACAGCAGCCCCATGTTGAGTACTGGCCCCGTCTGAGAGCGGTGGCTAAGACGCTTCCCGTTCCACTGGTCATTGATCACATAGGTCTTTTGAAAGGAGAGAGTATGGCAGATGGATCCCCTGATGTTACAAAAGCGTCCGACTTTGCGGAGCTTCTAGGAGCACTAGCGGATGGAAATCTGTGGATGAAAATCTCGGCACCGTATCGCAACTCATATCAGGATTTTGAATATCTTGATCTGAAGTCCATGGTCACTAAAATGGTTGAGGCAAACCCAAAACGTGTGGTTTGGGGAAGTGATTGGCCTCATACTCAGAGGCATCAGGATCGGGTCGGCAAGGATCCTTCAGCTAAGGAGCCGTTCTTGAAAATCGACAGTGCCAAATGGATTGAATCTTTGAGTACTTGGCTCTCGGATGAGGAATGGCAGGCCCTGTGGGTTGATAATCCACGGAAGCTCTACGATTATTAGACTTAGGCTCAATGAAAAAACAAGATTTTGTAATTGATAGTTCTGAAATCCTCTTGCTAGTACGGCTCTCAGCCTGTGATTGAAGCCAAAAGTAGTCCTGGGAAGGCTGGCGAGGTTATTTACCCACAGAGGCTAGAAACACAAGATGTTACAATATTGTACGGAGTAGTCTTTACAACATTTCTAGTATCGTTTAAAATTTACCTTAATGTTATTTTTCTGTCTACAATGGTGTTTTGGTGGTGATCGCAATGGTGGGTGAGCCAGGCTTATTTTTGGTTTCCATCAGGTCAAGAGTACGGTTGTCTTAGTATCCAATCTTCAAGGTTCTCTAAATTAATGCTTTCGCGCAAAACAATTCAGTCAGATCATTCAAATGATAATATCTGTTTCATTAACATGTCGATAATCATGCTTTTCCCGAAGATCCTAGCACATCCATCATCCTCTCAACACCATTAGTATAAACCTCCACTCCACGCATGGACAACACAGTGAGTTCCAATTTCCCAGCATTCTCTGCTATAAACTGTGTGTAGCCATCTCTGACTGTGCGATTCAGGTTGATTTTGCGCATTCCACACTTGATCGACTCCAGGAACAGCTCATCTGACACTGGATGCGTGCCGTGCAGTGCCAGTGGCAAGTGAGGCAACGCCGCGTGTATTTTCCTCAGTCTCTCCAGGTCCCAAGCTTTCTCCGCGCCTCCAGGTCCATACGCTCCATGGATGTTGCCAAAGCTCGGTGCCAGAAAATGCACACCTGTTTCCCGCACGAATGACTCGGCCTCCTCAGGCTTCGTCAGGATGGTTTTCATGTCAACATGCGGCAAGCCATCTTCACCGCCCTCCATCCGGCCCATCTCGGCTTCAATGCAGATCCCGAGCGCAGTCGCACGCTCCACGTACGACTTACATGTCCGAATGTTTTCTTCGGGCGAGAGCGTAGATGCGTCGACCATGATGGAATCAAATGGCACGGGAAGAGACAGTGCGAGATCGACGTCTTCTGGTTGGATGCAGTGATCGAGATGTACCGCTATGGGTACAGATGCGCTGTGGGTATATTCAATCACAAATTTGATGAAATGTTTGCCCTGGAAGTGAAGCGTCCATGGAAAGAGCTGGATAATGGCGGGAGACCTTTTATTCTCTGCTGCCCGAACCACTGCCATAACACTATCGGTGTTATAGCTGAAGCAATTCAACTTAGCTAAGTCGCGAATAATTTGGGCAAAGTCTACCAACGTACCAGTTATATGCCCCAACGGCGTAACCGCCGTTGTCTGCTTCATGAAGGATTTGCCATGTTCGATTGTTCTCTGGAAAGGACGACATAGTGTAGGCGGATGATGTGATTGCAGACAGAGCTCTCGATGCCCTTTACATCTTGATGTCCCTTTCCTTTCTTCATATCATTTTACGAACAAGGCGATGACAGCTTGGTAAGTGGTGATGGTGGTCGGAAAAGCCCGACACTAGCTGGGCTGTACCCGATCGGCCAGAAACCGTTGGGTCGGCCCAAGAAGTGGAGCACAACTCCGATATTCACTCTTCGAAGGGACTTCATCTAAAGGAACCATAGACAGGCCGATGAATCAGATGGCGATCCTCAATCAATAAAAATATGTGAGTGGAAAAGTTGAACCATTTCATGTTCAAGGGAATGCATCTCAAACCGAAGTGGATGTCGATTGGCATCGTGTAATGGCTCGTTTATTGATGACGGTAAAGCTCATGTTAAGGGAAGACGTAGTTTGGTAAGGGTAAATTGATAGGGAGTAGGAAGGATATGTACAGAGGGTTGCCACGTTTGGGTGGCCCCATGCTACAAGTAGTATTTTGTGCCTACAACAGTGCATTAACGAGGTCTATCGCAACCAGTTAAGATTGTTTACTAGCTACTGTACATTCTTAAGTAGACACTTTAGGTCTAGGAGATACATGAAATCTGTAGATGGCCAGCCTAACGTGCCAACCTTCTGTAAAACGCATTCTTGAGGTTTCGCATATCATAGATGTACGGCTCGGCCCCGGAAGCGTCGTACATACTTCGTACATACGTACCTAGCTTTCCGTACGAAGGCATATTATGCTGAGCCAATGATTGCACGTCTAGTGGACCTCGCAGGGTACCGATTGCAAGGATACCATAGTACTCACCCTGATACTACGATCTTCGAGTCCAGTAAATGCGACTTAAACTGTCTAGACTGATGGTATGTAACGTCTACACCCAGCTTGGCGCTTTGAAAGCATCCAGGTGTTCGCACTTTACACGCACCGAAGCCAGGGTTTGTAGCAAGCATAAAAGTACTACCCTCACATAGACTCTCTCGCCGTTTCTAATACACTTGCACTACTGTATCTTAATAGTCCGTCAGATGGCCTCAATCGATATCACCGTGCAGCTTCTTTCTCTGTCAAGCGCACTAGTCTTGTCGGGTACGAATAGGCGAATGATCTCAAGTCTTTGGTCCGCCATTACTGACCAGAATTAAAGGATACCACTATGCCTCAGATGCTGTAGCATTGCCGAATGCACTTCTAAGTTCTTCGCTCTCTTCCTCAGACATTGTACACGCGTGGCTTCGCGCCTGGGACGTGGGTCGCGTCATAGGACCACTGTGTGTCAATGTCTCCTTGGCCGGGTATGCCTTCGTCGCTTACCGTGGTATGTTGTGCCCTCTGGCTGTGGGGAGGACTCTCTTCTGTGTAGCACAATAGACAGTACTGACGATGCTGCTTTCTTAGAAGGGCCAGAATCCACCACCTTTTGGTACTATGTCGCAGCATCTGCTGCGCAGGTCGTGAACGTGTTATACACTGTTTTTGGAGTGTTTCCAGTAAACGATCTGTTGCTTGCGGAATCCGAAAAGATCAAAGCTGGCGAAAAGTTGCAAGAAAAGGACACAGTGCGCAGGTGGGTGCAGCAGTGGAAAGATATGGACCGAAACAGAATGATATTGATGTGGTCAACGGCTTTGCTTGGGCTTGCGGGCCTCTGGAGGGCAACATGATACACAGAGGTGTGTGCCCACAAAACCATCAACAAGACAGGGCGCTGTGAGAAGATTCATGAGGCTTTACACCATATTATCTTCTAGCTATCGGGGAATTCCAGCAATAGCCATCATTATTGCGCTGCGCTTGCCCTAAATTGAAGCATACTGTTTTCGTGCAAGTCACCGTTCGGCGCTGTGCCAACAAGCCTACCTCGTAGAACCACTTCCTATACACTAGCTGCCTAGGTATGAATGAAGATAGTTATTCTACCTAAACCGATCTATAACGTTCACTGCCCCAAGCCAAGGACTGTTCCGTGCTTCATGCGCGACAAAGTATATCAACAGCCCGCATCTCGTCCGACTTTGGTAAGTTGCTGTCGGCAGACATAATGCAGTTAAGTAGTGTAGGCAGATCAAGACAATTTGGTATATTAATTAAATAATCAAGTACTACAACTGATAAAACAATAATTAGAATAAAACAAATTTAAGATAAAAGGAAGAATATAATTACTTACATACCTTTTAGTACAAGTTCATCAGTAGCTATTATATGTAGCTATTATACTACTATATACTTGCTGGCTTTTTAATAAGTACCTACGTTCTATGTATATAAAAATAACGTCTACTTTTTAACCTCATCGTAGACGCACTTGGAATTCTTCTCTAGACTCTCCTCATCCGCAAATTTCAACGGTCCCCTTTGGCTGGGCGCAACACCATTCTGATTATCCTTGATAATCTGCAAGCTTGCAATTCCCACGCGGTACCACGGCACATCAAACAGCTGATCCATGTGTTCCATGCTAAGCCCCTTCGTTTCCGGCAAGCAGAAATAGCAGTAGACAGTTGCGACGGCGGTGACGCATGCAAAGAGCGCGAAAGGGCCCCACGGGTGAATCGTCACCACCATATTGGGCTGGGCGCGCGTCAGGGCAAAGTTGATGAGATACTGCCAGGTGATGCAGATGGACATGCAGGTGGCGCGAATCTTAGTGGGGAAGACTTCGGCGTTGATGATCCAGGGGATGGTAGCCCAGGAGAATGCGTAGCCAATGGCGAAGATGTAGATGGCGACCACAGCAACCCAGCCAGAAGCAGCAGGACTGTTCGAGGCGTGCGCAGCAGGGTTAGCGAGTGCAAGGTATGCGGCGAGATAGGTGAGGCAGCCGATGAGCATGGCAGAGCCAGTGAAGAGCATAGGTCGACGCCCAAAGCGGTCGATGAGGAAGCCTGAGTATAAGCAGACTGTGAGGAATTTGACGAGCCCATAGATGCCGGAGAAGAGATAGTTGGCCTGCTGAGACTTTAGGCCGATGGAGGTCAAGATAGACGTATTGTAGTATGTGATAATGTTTCCACCCGAGAATTGGAAAAAAACCTGGATGGCCATGACGAGAATGAGACGCTTCCGGATGGTCGGTGTCCAAATCTCTCGGGTAATGGCCCAAGAACGGCCAGCATTGAGCTCGGCTTCTGCAGTGGCCGTATCTTGAATCTCATTGAATTCATCGCGCACAAATTCATGGTCGATGGGTAGGCTGCGCAGACGTGTGAGCGAGAGCTGCGCTTCTTCAATGCGATTACGTGCCACCAGCCATCTGGGGCTTTCAGGAATGAGGAGGAGCCCAGCGACGAGAAGAATACCTGGCAAGGCTTGTACACCCATGGGCACCTGCCACTGCGCGTTCTTCGTACGAGGGATGTGCTCGATGGAACCAAAATTGATCCAGTAACCAAGCGCAACTCCCAGCATGGTGTTAGCATTGTACATGGCGGCAAGGCCACCACGGATGCTCTTGGGGGCAATTTCAGCAATATATCCCGTGCCAATGACACTGGCGGCTCCGGAGCCTAGACCTGAGATAACACGGCCAGCAATGAATATGGCAACGCCGCTGGAACCGCGTGGGTTGGCCGACATCAAGATAGCCGAGAGACTGAAGATCAACGAGAAGATGGCGAGAGACATCTTGCGCCCCAGCCGGTCAGTGACCGGCGCGCACATGAGTGCACCCACACACGAACCCAGGAGAAGCGACGAGGTGATCCATCCGTTGAGGTTAGTCACTTCAGCCTTGCTCTTTGTATTGAAGCCAAAGTATGTCTTGAAGGGCACCATGGCAAGGACGCCAGACACGTTAGAGGTGTTGAAACCTGGGTGGTTGTTAGCAGGTTGCTCGACACTTGCTCACAGGAAAGATAATGTCGGAGGCAGACTACTTACCATGAAGGCCGCCGGAAAAAGACAAGATGAAGCAGTACCAGACAATCTTGAATGAGAGGACTTCCTTGGGTGTCTTCGCTAACAAGTCTTTATTTACAAGCGCCATGATGGTGGTCGTGTCCGACTGACGATGGTTGAGCGTTCGCAACGTTTAAATTTCTTCCAAAGAGAGAGAACATCCATTCGCTTTAAAGGATTATCTACTGTGTTCCCGCAGTGTGTCTAAGCAATGCATTCCGGGGCTCCGCAGCTTCTGTCCCGGTTTCAATTTGAAGTCCCCCAGACCGCATTGGCTAAGAGCGAGAGTAGTATTTCCTCCTCGGCCTCGCCCCGAAGAACACGGACACATCCCCAATTAGTGAGATCCAAGTCCAACATCCCATTTTTGGTAGTCTTTAAGCTACAGCTAGCCTAAATGTCAAAGGCTTAGGCTCACTACGCTTCATCCACTCCTCTCTCCACCGCCTCCTCTCCACACACGTATGCCACCACCTCCGCATGATACTATTAGCTCTAAGCTATCAGCCGCGTCGGGCTCTCCGGTGGGATTTGATGCTTCTCTTGACACATAATACACGCACGTGATACGGTTCATGTCCGTTACTTTAAGCTTCTACCATTTCTGATGGCTATATTTCAAATCGGGACTGACGGCGAGACAGATTGACACTGAGCATTATTGCAAGTATAGCGTGAGGACGATTCTCAGTTAGAATTATCAGCGGGTCTGAGTGGGCAGGGTATGATCCAGGATATACGAAGTACAGAGGGTTGACACGTCGGGCTGGCCACTTGCTCACTCTATGTATATTCAATACCTAAAGTGTCGATTTAAGAGTGCACTGTAGCCAGTAAACAATCTTAACTGTTCGCTAAAAATCTCGCGAAGGCACTGTTGTGAACATATAATGGTAGCAGGGGACCAGCCCAACGTGCCAACCCTCTGTACCTCATGACCCAAGTTGCAATTCACGGTGTGGAGGAGAAATGATGATTAGCCCATAATTGTGAGTCCGAGTTTTCTTCAACATGGGAAAGCTGGCCTAGGAACTGGGCAATAGTCCGGGGCGCCAACAACAATGGTTTGTACTCGTATGATTTCTGGATGAGAATACCCTCATCGGGCAGCTCCACATCCATCGACCGCTCCACGCTTCCAGAGGGGCGAAAGGAAGTAAATGAACCATTCGGCCTAGTCACCGAGATCACACTCCGCATAGGTCCAAGCCAACGTGTCAATCGAATAACGGCACCGCAGGCCGGTGTCGTCGCCAAAGTGTGTTCTCCGAGAGGAAATGGTAGCCTAGTGTCTTCTCCTAAACTCAAGCAATGAATGCCATGCTCGCCCTGCAATATGCTCTCAAGTTTTACAATCACTCATCAATTTCCTGGTTACTGCTGTTATAGTCCCACTCCCGGTTATGTAGCCATAACGTTACAGCCATGCTCGTTTCGTTACCAGTATTATTGCTAGATATCCTCGAAAAGTTCCTGCTCTACATGCGCCACATCAACATGGACCAGGGAAATACCCTAGTATCAGCAAAGTTGGATAATGTTTTTTTGCCTCTCCTTTACTTTCCTTTCCTTTCCTTTCCTTCCTTCCTTCCTCTTCCATCCCTTCCCCTTTATCTCTTCAAACACCCTGTGCATGTGTGAAGTATCCTATTCCACCACAGTCCCCGAGCACTGATATGTTCACTTCGATGGTGAGCTTGATAACATCTATAGGATGTAGCGGAAGCCCTCCCTTCGGAGGTTCCTCTCCTCTTCGGACAAACCCGCGATAGCCGCCTGAGACTCTCCCTTCATGACATCTGCGACGCCAGCTCCGCCTGCATCAAGCTTCTTGTTGGCGCGCTGCAGGATGAGGCGCATGACTAATGCGCCGACAATGGCTAGGAGCGCGAAAGCTGAGTTCACGGACATGGCGAGCGCGTAGCGGGGGGCGGTTTTGTCGTCCCACAGATAACTGGTCCAGACCTATGAAGAGATCAGTATGCATGCAGCATAAGGGAAATGTAGATTTGCGTAATAAGCTTAACTAACCTGTGCAATATTTCCGAACGCGTTGACGAAAGCGACCGCTGAAGCGCGCTTGACACGAGGTCGTATGAGGGTCTTCTGCGTCCAGGCAAGAACGACGGCATTCGAGCCGTGCCCTCCTGCAATCATGAGAACCATGGCGAAGTAGCGGGCACCGGTATTCAGGCTCGCCGCCGCGACAACGAAGCCAACGATGGCGATGGCGAGGGGCCACATAACATGGAAGGAGGAGTTTTGTCGCCTGTCGGCAGACCAGTTGTTGAAGATTGAGGTAAACATAGCAACAAAGTACGGGGGGACGGTCAGGAGAAGAGTATTCACCCTGTTGAATCCAAGAGTGCCAACGACGGTAGGGAAGAAGTTCGAAGTGGCGCTGGCAACCTGGAGGCAGAAGAAGATGAATGCAAAAATGTAAAGACGGAAGTCCTTGAACGCAAGCTTGAAGCCGGTGCCCCAGTGGGCATCGTCCTCATCTACCTGTCCTGCGTCTTCGATAAGTCGCCATTCCGCAACAGCACGCTCGGTTGGTGTCAGCCATCTAGTAGTCGATGGCCAATCTGGAAGGATGAGGAAGGCACACAGTGCGACGAAGACGGTGATAGAGCCCTCGATGATGAACATCCATCTCCATGAAGGCTTTCCACGTGCACCGTCAAGACCGTACTGGATTCCAGCTCCGATGAGACCAGAGAAGGCACTGCCCAGTTGCGTGGCGGAGAACAAAATTGCGCTTCGCACACCCATCTCAGATCGCTTATACCATGAGGAAATCAGGAATAGGGCACCGGCTAATTGCAGTGTGTCAGCTTCAATGTTTAGAGAGAAGCTATAATAGATGAGCTTTTACTTACGATAAAATGCGGCTTCTACAAATCCCAAAAAGAATCGAGCTGCGTACAGACCCGCTGGGTTTGTGACAACGCCAGCGCAAGCTGAGATAATGCCCCATATAGCCATGACGGCAGGAATATACAAGGACGGTCTGATCTGTGATAGGAATATGTTGGATGGGATTTGCATTAGGACGTAACCAACGAATAGAATCGCCACAGCTGTGGCATACTGCGTCGCTGACATATGAAGCGACTTGGAAATACCAGCAACCTTCGCAGCTGCAATGTTATTCTATTGTGGCTGTCAGTAAATCATAGGCTCCCGCAACTAAATTTTGAGGATTTGCATACTCTATCGAGATAATTGAGGACGAAAATGAGCCACATAACTGCCAAAAGTCGAATATCAAGCTTCCGCTTGAGCTTCTTCTCAGCAAGCTTGAACTCCTCAGACCCCATCATCTGCGCTAAGGCAAGACGATTGGTGTCGGGGTTTGTATCCATCTTGGAGTCTTCGATCTCCATGATGTCTGAAACTGCCTTGTCGGCAGCGTTCTTATTGTCGACGGTATCCGACATGGCAAAGGCTTCGTGTGGCTAACGATGAGATGATAGAGCCAAGTGAGAATTGGTGGGAGATGGTAGGAATGAGAAAGACGGCAAGTTGAAGCTCGAGTACATTAATGAGGCGGGAGAGTCTGGCTTTATCCTTTGTGATGAGGTTGCGTGGAGTCGCCGAAGCCCCCAGGGTCAGAGTGCCGCGTCCCGCGTGCCCATGGGGTCAAAACTTAGTGACTATCTGGGGAAAACCTCGCTCATGATGCAGAATATTTGCGCCGCTTTCAGTGTATGCATGACTGGCGTCGATGTCGGTCTCCTTGGTATAGTGTGTTTTGCAAAGACACAAGCTAACGGCCATCGGACCGAGCCCGAGGTATGTCATGGGGGCACCTGGAAGCACCCTGCCTACGGGTTCGGAATTTATTTTACCTTCTCACGAATAAACAAATAAACGAGGATATCAACGTTTTGTTGTAAGTTACGTCCATGCCCTCCCTCCCCCCGAGACAAATAGTGGCAGGTTGAAAAGCTACATGTCCCACACTCTCTTCCATTCGAAGTCCTGCTAACACCCTTCATTTATTTCTCTACTTCAGTCGCTACACCCCTCCTTTTGCATCATATCATAGAATTACTTGTCAAGGCCCTAAAAGCATAGTCAGTATGACAGTTGTACATATGGGTATGTTGTAGCTGCAGCAGTGGTCAATTTGGAGGCGGTCGACATTACTGACGTGGCGCAACAGTAATGTTCAAGTTCAAACCCGATGTTTCTGATGAACACAAGGCAACGTTTGTCCACGAACTGAAGAAACTGAAGAACCTCTCGTGCGTGAAGGGGAACCGTCTGATTGTCGGCGGGCCGTCCGTCACGGATCCCATCGAGAGGAGTCAGGGATACCACTATGCCCTCATCAGTTACCACCAGAACATGAAGGCCTTGGAGGAGTACCAAGCAAGTCATGAGCACCATTGGTACGTTTTTCTCGCGGAAGGGGGCTTTCCAATATTGCAAGAGGCTAAACAGCTCAACAGGGTCACAAGCACATATCTATTCCCCTTCAAGGAGGAGCTCCACCGTTTTGATTTCGAGGTTGATCCGGAAGACGAATACATGTGCGATTTTGGGACGACGACAAAGAACGGCTTGGTAACACCAGAAGAAAGCGAAGCAAGTGCCGCGAACAGCCCGTCGAAGTGACATGAGGCCATGACACGAGACCAAAGAGGCAGCTGGGAATAAGCTTTACTCTCACTTACATTTGAGAAGGCAACTGATTACCCGCAATTAGGGCATTGGAACATAATCGAGCGAGTAAGCCATGGCATTCTTTTCTAGATATTGGTCCACCCTATGGAGACCCCGAGCTACATGTACCTCAGTTACGTCTTCTCCGTGTGGTCTACCATAATAGGCGATCTTTGCCATAGTAAACATACCCCGAGAAGATGGGCAGCAGCAATACCAATGAGAATTTTCATCTGCAAATTATGCCCCTTGGCAAATATAGGCCTCAAAATGACCTGATTCTCCCTCGGAAGCTTATGGAACCTTTTTTCATCAAGAAAATGATTGACTACGTCATTAGAGAAGTCATGTCGTAATTGGGTCGCCACGTAGCGATTTGATACAGATATGACAATCGCTATTCCCAGGGTACCACCGAGTACTCGAAATTGAGCAATCGTCGCATTTGCAACGGCTAATTAAATATCAAATTATAGCTAGGTATGCATTTGACTTGGATTGTTGTACAATTTGTCCCTTTCCTGTTCTGAGTACTTCTTACCATAGTAAAGGAGAACTACTTTAAGAGAGTAGCTACTATTATAACCGCAGCATGTCTTTGCGCTTGCATTCCCACGTATGAGGTAACTATTATGGATGAGCCTTGCTTTTGCGAAACGAAGTTGCCCATATTCGAAAGGGTCCCTTGCACCCGCCCGGCTTGGGATGCTGGACGATTGTTTTGAAGCGGTTCTTAGAAAATCTCCTTCAACCTCATTTCGCCTCCAACCCGCTCCGTTTAGCACATCGAAACGCGTTCCTTCACAATGTCCTCTTCTTCCATTCCTCGTAGAAACAACCGTGATATTGAGATTCACTATGGCAGTGCTTGCGATCGGGGGGAAGTGATGTGGGATCGCTTACGAAGCTTCGAAATCCCAATGCCAACCATTAAAACCTTAGAAAATTTTGGATACCATTTGGAGGAAGGGACTCTACGTCCCAATGCTACGACCAACGCTAGAAATCTGTTGGCCAAGGCGGGCCTACTCATAGGCGAACTTCGTTACATCGACGTTCGCTCGGTAGGCACGAAGCCTGAAGACGATGCTGCATACTCAATTTGGGTTAATGTCGAGCATGGAATTATTATATGCAACGAAATATGCAAAAGACTGGACACACATGTCCTAGAAATGAAGCTTTTCCCTTCGGAAATCGTTTGGCAATGTTAGAAACGAGCCATCGCAAATTCGGGAAGCGCGCCAGATCTTCACGCTATCGTTCATTTTCATATAGTCAATCATGATACCCAGGATGCTATCTGGGGAGCCTCCCGGAATTCAACTTGTGTTCGTGAGGAAGAAAATGGCCATAAAGAATACAGTTTTCTCGACCCTGGCTTTTTCGCAATCCTTGGTACTCCGAATGGAGCCAGCGCCGTCAGAATGATGGTGGACCACAAGGAGGAACTGGAATATCGGCTTATTGATAAGATTGTGGTTTTCGGTGATAAAGATCTTCAATTTTCCAAACCTGCTACCCGCACGATGGCAATTCTGATCTCCAATCAGAGGATAACGCCTGTTCCGAGCCCGACGGCGGACGGTCATCCTGGTAAGAAGCAAAAAACAAGTTGAATATCGTAACGAGAAGGAAAACTCAACAAACCCGGAGAGACAGCTTCGTTAAAATACCCGGAAGGAAAACCAAAGGAACCCGGGGAGACAAAACCTCGTAAACAAAGATACCCTCTATGACCTGTACTTTGGGAGCAGTAAGAGGGCCTAGTACCCGGAAATCAAAATTGGGGAAGCGAAATCAGGTCAAAAACTAGCCGCGAACGTTCGAGTCGCTTGGTCTGCAGCATAACGAGCCGAAACACATGCGACAGAAACTCATCGCGCTTCATCATACCCAGACTTCCAATGGCGCATCCATTCCACATGCTCAAAGTCGACACCGCTCGGAATCCCAGAAGCACGAGCCTCGATTCGTCGAATCGCTTGTTGTACATTGCTCCAAGGGTCAGTCTTCTTCTCCGTCGAACTTGGCGCCATCAGTGCGGCAGCCCACATCTGTGGATCACTCTTGACAATCGGATCGAAACCCTTCGGAAGTTCAAAGGGACCTAATTCGCTGTCAAACCTTTGCCTCTTCTTTTTCTCCTGTGCTCTCATACGATTCTCAAGGGTTACGATGAAGTCCACAGCGATTGATAGAGGTACACGCCGAATATCTATGCCATTTGCGTCGGATCTTTCCAGTGGTAGAGCGTAATTGTCCAAATCTTCCAGCGTAACGTCATCGACCATGGACGCACCGGTTTTCATGACGAGCACCGTTACTCGTTCCGCATTCTTTCGCAGATTGTAATACCCATCCTCATCAGGCTCATTGCCATTTGGTGTACGATCGAAGATCAAAATGACGGCAGGATAGGACGGCAATATCTCGTAGTTCTCGTATTTCTTGTCGATCGCTTTCGCTTTTGCCATTTCACATATGGCCTGGTGTGCCACAGCAATCTCGCTCAAGTTTTTTGGTCCACGTTTTGTAATCCGATCAGGGTTGGCGAGGAAATGTCCGAACTCGATGTCCATTTCATCGCCGCAGCGCGCGCGCCACGCTTCGAATATAGATGCGATAAACACTCGTGATACACAAGGATACCCGCGCACATTGTCGTAACAGCCGCATTGAGCGGACTGCTCGAAGTAGACGGCGGTGGGTTTGTTATATGTATCGCGCAGGGGTCCATGGGTGGGCTCAATTCCTGTGTCTAGGAAAGTTGTGTAACCATCGACGGTTGACCAGTTGTCCTTGAGATTTTGGCGAAATTTTTCTTCGCGATAGAAATACCAGGCGGTCTTGAGATCTTCTTCGATTACGAGATCTCTCGCGTCGGACATTTTAGGCAGATTGTGCTTCGATTGTATTAGTGTCTTGAAAGTAAAATGGTCTAAATTGAGAAAAATCGAGGAAGAATGGTGTTTCTGCGATGGGATATTGGTGGGATGTCCATAATTAATATTGTGTCGTAATGACTCATCGTGTAGATGTGGACCATGGTATTATGTTTCGTTCTCTCTGGAAAGAAAGAATTGTTGAGAACATTGATCCGTTACATGGAAATGTATATTTCAGTACCAGGTCGCTGGCCATAGCTGTTTCCATCGGGGAATGTGTTCCACTAGCAGACTTCTCAATAATTCCATCGAGTGCAGGTTTGATGCCAGCTTGAATGTCCAGAGTTACCATAGAAGTATCAATTTTCGGCAATGCCTAAGAAAGATGCGATTCAAAGCGTGGAAGAAATCTCTTTTGAGAGAATGCGAGGATGTGACGTGTAAATTTTAGGTCCGCATTATCTACTACTATCGACTGGAGAGTAATTACTGAAAGACAACAAGTATTTCCGAAAAGTTACAGAAAGCCCTTCTTCCATTTTAGGAATCCGCCATTTCGATCAATAGAACTTCCAGGGTCAGGCATTAATTTATACTCAGAGTGCCGGGTTCCGTCCCGTTGTTCGGTAGGATGAGGTCAACAGGCCCGCACAGGCTCGTTAGTTACTGCCAATTGGTGTGCGTGTTCCTATGCACTTCGCCATTTCAATCCCCGCTGTGGTCCCTCACCATCCCCATACCCCACCATTAATCCTTTGGGGTGGCCAACCATGATTACGGCAAAGGGTTCGCGTCACATACTGTGGTGTAGCAGGATGAATGAGGCTATTCGGGGATCGCGTGTATGGGAAATAGAACTAGGCAGGGCATAGATAGATTGATTAGGTCTGCCGAGAGAGATCAAGGTATCATCCACCTACCTGAAGAGGCCTGTCGATAGAGCCAAATTCCTACTTATCCTACCTATCCGCTGATTTCGGGTCGTGCCTGTGATGCTTCCTACTATAGAAGCGTCTAAACGCGACAATATCCAACGACATAGCAACAGGCAAGCGGTGAACTTCTTCTAAGCTCACTGCAGCTGAAAGCTGCACATTCTGCATCCCAAAGCAGTCTCGTGTAGATACTTTCGCTATCTTTAATGGAAGCTCTTAGCTGTACGTTCGCCAGCACTATGAATGCAAAATAACTAATTCGGATTTTCACATCGTATCTATGAGCTGAAGTTCGAGTGGCATGATCGATGAGTAAGCGCAGCATAGACTCCAGGGTTCGCTCTATGGAGTGATCTGAAAATTGATTCAGCTGAGCATAGAGCGGTCAAGTTGGAATACCTAAAATGGTAGTACGATATGTGGCTACTTTTCAGCTCCATGTTGTGCCTATTAACTTTGAAAAAGGATAGCATGTACCGGCGCCTCCCCCCTTCCTGTAGCTTGGCATCTTCAGTATAGTTTTCAATGCTGAACACTCTGATAGTACCTGGAAGCCAGCACTATTGCCAATATCTGAGTAAATCCGAAACAGAAGTTCTGAAAGCGAAGTCTGAGGAAAGTAGTGTGCGAGAAGAGAAAGAGACTCGACGGATCTTCAGACATGATACAATAAGAACAATATATTATCTCATCCTAAGCATCACCACTGCAATAACACCCATTCTCACAGATCCTGTTGGACAAGCTCTTCGACCGAAGTGAAGTTACTTCGCAGACCCATACCTGATAGCAGACTCGTGGTTGCCCACGTATCGGCATCACTCCAAGGGTCAAATCCTTCATTGTGGATAGCATCCCACGGCGCGGTCTCCTTCAGTTTCATCCCAAAGTCATCCTCCCTCATGTCCGGGTGAGGCTTTTCCCCCCAATTATGCTGTAGTAGCATCTTCGACCAGGGCTCCATCCATGTGACCTCTACTAGCCAAGCGACAAACCACCGGCCCCAATGATTCTCCGGCGGCTCGTCACTACCCTTCGCCAACCGCAACGAATGTGTGGACCATGGCCCGCTACCGATATGATACACTATCTTGATATGCGTGCCTTCGTGGAATCGCAGAGCCGAGTCCGAAATATGCTTAGTTGTGTAATTGCCATGCGCGGACCAGGAGACGTAGAATATCTCGTTGTGCAGTGTCCAGATAATGACATGCTCCCAGTCGTGGATGTGCGATACGAATGGGCCTTCGTCCTTTTCGAAGTAGTAGCCGTACATGTAGGCGCACCAGTAGTGATTGCAACGACGTCGGACGTAAGCATTGCTGTGCGCTAATCGGTCCGCGGTACGGCAAACACTGGCGCCTACCGGGTGATTTGGTCTTAGACCTTCATTGAAGTGGCCTTTGAGGTCCAAGGCAGTGACGTGGTAGCAAGAGTCCTTATCGAAGTCCAAGGCGGGTTGAAACTTCAAGGAGAGTTCCGTTGCGGAACCATCCTTTGGATTGAGTGGATCGAGGATGTTGGCGAGGGAGGAAGAAAGGGCGCTGGCGAAGGCCATCAAGACATAGAGCGGAGAAGACTTCATGATAGTTCGGGCTGGAGGTTGCGATTGTTGATATCGTCTAGGAACTCCTAAGACCTAGAAGTATATTTAGTTTGAATATCTAAAACAGAAGAACATGACGAGCTCATCTTTATAATCCGCCAACTCATGTGAATTGCACCGACGCGTGTACCAGTCTGAGGTGACCGCCAAATCATCTTACACCGTCGTCAAGTGCAAATTCGCGGGTGCGCCGCCGATGCAATCATTCTTGAGTTGTCAACACAGGAAGCTTGAGCAAGCTGGACAAGGCCGTGGCTTTAATTGCATGAGCTGAACTGTAGCGGTGTTGGGTAATGGCTTACTTGCATAGTACGAGAACCGAAATTGTGGGCATAGATGCAGGAGCTGAGTTGAAATGTGGCCAAGAAATGCAGAAATTGCAATATCACCAATCCAATGGAAAAGCATTGTACTAACTACTGCAGACCTCTGACATGCCGTTGCAAACAAGCCATACCAAAGATTCTTGTTTTCATGAAACTACCATAAAAAAAGAAGCTTAGCTGTGGCCTCATGCTTGTCGTACGCAGGTTGGAAAGAAATGGCCCAAGTCGTTCATACGCTGTAACCTGGGTAGTCTTGGAGCTGCTCATCCGCCCAGTCACCTATTGTTTGTTCCATTGCTGCTCACAGAACTTTAGATAGGTCATTAAACCCACAGCGCCTTGCTGTAGATACGCACCGGCTTGCACAATTTGTAGAGGAAGGCCGTCTAGGAGCTCAGCAACTTCTTCCTTTCTGCTGTGCCTGTGGCTATGGCGTTGGCTTTAACTCATTCTCTCCGATGTGTATATCAAGCTCCCCATGCTGTCTCCTATGCTTGTGTTCACTTCTTGCCTAGAAGCTTCATGGGTCTTCGCGTGTGTGGCTGTAGGGAGCCGGTGAATAGAGTAATTATTATCTCTTGAAGCTGGTGAGATGTCATAGTTGAGATTCAGGCTTTCGGACATTGGATTATATCGTCGAGAAGAGCTCTTAGACTCCGGTGAGTTTCGATAAAATGGAGCGATGTATGCCACCTGTGCCACATTCGTTTATATTGCATGCTAAAGCGTAATGCTGCGGACATCACCTCTCATACCATGTATGATCTCAGCAAAGCCTGTCAGATGTTTTCGTTCTAGTAACCATTCCGCCTAACCGCAAAGATATGTGCATGTGCCTTAAAGCTACCTAGGTATCTACATATTGTGGTGTAGCAGGATAGGTAAGGCTATTCGGGGATTACGTGCATGGGGGAAGGCACTTTTTCGAAGCTGAATGCGGGGGGTCCGAGGTCAACGGGTCGAACCGATCCTCAGCTACCACTGTCAGAACATGCTCATCATCCACAGTGGTCGTGCCTATGGTAATGAAGGTATGTATTGTTCTAGTGAGCTAAGGTAGGTGGCTATCTGGCTATGTAGGTAAGGGGGTCCGGCGCAGTCACGTGCATGGTCACGTGCATTGTACGGACCATGGCAGCAGGGCATAGATAGATTGAATAGAGCTGCCAAGAGAGATTGAGGCATTATCTACCTACCTCTAGAGGCCTATTAACAGTTTTAAATATCTACCTTTCCTACCTATTCACCAATTGCGGGTCGTACCTGTAATGGTCCCTACCACAGAGGCGTCTATACGCGACAATATCAATTGGCTCTTAGCGGAGGGTAAATTCACATTCTAACTCCATCCTCACATCTCTCTCCCACATTGTATCTGTAGTCATCCAGTCAATGATAAAGGTATCCACATCAACACCAGTAGGCTAGAATGCTCTTTTGGTTGGAAGTAGGAGCACGGTAGGACTAAAACTTGATACAATATGCTGAATACTCATGACTCCGTAGCCTTTGTGCAGTTGCCTACAGAACTACAAGTAATTTCGATAGGTTTATCTGTTAGATTTACTCTGATAATCTGACTGCAACTGACCGATCCTCTGATCACTGCTTGTCTGAATTACCGCCCGTAACATGCAACAGGCTGACCAGTGGCTGTCTGGCATTCCTTAGCATTGCTGTCACCTGCTCTTTCCGGCCGCATGTAGGTAGTAGAGCCCGACAAACCTGCCTCCACCCCCCTCCCTCATGCATTCTCCCGTCCAATCCGCTCTTATACCCACCAAACCATCGTGGGCGCAATATCCAGGAAGACGCCGCATTTCACGTCCTTCATCGGCATCTTACACTCTCCCCTCTTCCTAGCATGCAACAACTTCTCCAAAAGATACTGAATGATAAACATCATCGCGCCTGTATCTTGCGAGCTCCTACAAAGATTCAGTACAAATACAGTGCACAGCTCGGTTTACTTTCACATGAATCATGTGTGCAATCAGTGCACTATATCCCTATCTCGCACTATATCCCTATCTCGCAAGGCTGTATCGCCATGCACAAGGCTGATGGCTTCTAAAGACGGCAAGATCACCGGAAAGAAAAGAAAGAAAAAGCCACCTTTATTTTCAAAGTGATCGGTTGGTCCCAACAACAATAATGGATGCCCGCCACGCATTGCCTCAGAGCGATATATAAGGGTGCGTACTTTGCTTGCCCAAGGCTGAAAATATTTCACTGTCAACCTTTGCCTGGTGACCTGAAAAGCCTGTGTGTGCATCACGCAATCATACTAAAGTAATTTGGATCGACTTCATTCCATGCTTTTCGATTCTACGACGGTGTATGATTAGATTTGCTGCTACGCACAAAGCTGTCAATATCACTTGTCCATAAAAGAAGTTTCATACCCTGCGACTATCAACTGGAACTTGTCTCAGAATACCTACTACGAACGATTGTATTTATGAAAGAGCAACCACCTGCCCGATGGATTCCACAGAATCACTACAGGCTCAAAATATGACGGACGGGTTTTCGGTCATGCCCGCAGTCTCCCAGAGTCTCACAGTGGATCTGAAAGGAAGATTGCAGGCACACTTAGACGGTTTGAAGAAAGACAAAATTGGCGACAGATTTCGTTTCATTCCAAGAAAGCTTCTCAGGCAGCTTTTCACGTTGGAGAACCTCACTGCCTACCTGAAACGCTACCTGCCCGACGTCGCCGAACATAAGGAGTTAGCGAGCTATATCAAAGATGCTGCTCAACAGACATTCGCTATCCTTTTGCTCATCGACGAACCGATGCGTATACATGCGCTGAAAGAGGAGTGTTCCAAAGCCAGTACTGCAGAAAGCGGCATGAAAGAGACTGGTATCGATGAAGTACTTTTCATGGGCCAGAATGGCGGGGCAAGATCCTACTGCTCTAAGCAAAAGCTAGAACAAAACCCGCAACTCGGAGATATAGCGGAAAAATTCGATGCAACACAATATCTATTCCCACCATTTCTATCCACGGCAGATACACCCGAATATGATCCAATGCGTTTCGTGTTTCCCGCTGAGGGCCCGGTCAAGCGCCGAATTGGAGGAGGCTCGTTTGGAGTTGTCTGGGAAATGAATATTGAAAATGACTACATCGAGTATTCCGAGGACGACCCCGTAAGTACCATAATCTCTGCATTTTCTGTTACCACTGACCGACCCATTCATGGAATAGAGTACCGTTGTCGCGTGTAAAATCCTCAAAACTTCCATAGAGCGTCCTGATTGGGAAATGCTCAAGAGAGAAGTCAATGTTGTCAAAGCACGCCAACACCCTCACGTCACTCCAATATACGCAAGCTTCATGGCATGTCGACCCATTCACAAAGACAGAGATGATAAGCAGCGTCTTCACATCATGATGCCCCGGGCTAGAATGGATATGAGAACCTGGATGAAAGAAAAGCCTTGTGACAATGAATTCTCTCCCGAAGATTTCAAAGAGCATATATGGATCACAATTTCAGGACTCATCTCTGCTCTTACATACATCCACCGCGAGATAGGGGGCGAGGTTGGATATCACGGTGACATCAAACCACCAAATATTTTACTATTCAAGGAGTCGCGTGGATATGTCTGGAAACTCTCTGACTTTGGGTCTGCTAATCTAAAGCCATCTGAAGACACTGCTACAACGACTATCCAAGCTAGTCCTCAATGGGCGCCAGAAGAGTTTCAAGACGGACAAAAGCATGGAAGGCTTGGTGATATATGGTCCCTAGGATGCGTCTTCTTTCATTTGGTGATCATGCTACTATATGGATGGGATGAAGAGGGCTTGAAGAAATTTGAGAAGCAGGTGGGTGGGGAGGCATTCCACAAGAACAAACAGTTACTCCGAAGGTGGATACAACATCTTGAAAAAGAGGCTCAGAAGCAGAATGAGACTCAGAAACAAGACATGAAGGTTGAAAAGCTTCTTCTCCTAGTTCAGGACATGTTGAGAGCCCAGAGGTTGAGACCCTTCTCCTGGGAGATCGATGTTGGCATTTACTGCATCAGGAACCCAACGGCGAAAGACGATGATATTGAGCAGCGCCTGAAATCTGTCATCCAGCGGCCAAGATATAATGACCGTGAGATAAACCATAAACCAATGGAGAGAGCCAAGAGGCTCGGACGTCAGCGACAGTATTTACAATTTCTGCGCGAGCGAGGGTGGTCAGAAGATCAGAGTTCTGCAAGACAGCAGATCACCGCGGCCAACACTATTAGTCCATTTCAGGTGCCAAAGTCTGAAATTCCTCCAAGACTGGATCTAATCACGAGAATGACGCAAGCTTTGGATCAGAACAGGATGTTGGTGTTGCACGGGCTCCGTGGCATTGGGTATGCATCCTCCAACTTCCGTGTTCTACTCGACTGATGATAACTCTTTCTTCTAGGAAGAACACACTAGCGCAACAGTATTACCTTGAAAAGCTTGAACAGGATGGTGTCAAATTCATCACAGTCAACGCAAAAAGTGAACTATCGATCAAGGAATCTTACGATACTATTGCGGCACGATATCATTCTCAAAATCCAACGTACTCTGACGAAAATAGCCGCCGCGACCATATCAAAAAGTGGCTGACGAATCCTGATACGGGCCCTTGGTATATGCACATTTCTGGCCTAGAGCAAAGATCGGTCGCAATCGCCCTTCGGCAGTATCTTCCTGTCCTAAATTCCACTAGTAAAGGGAAGATAGTGATCACAACGAGAGATAGAGCTTTGTCCGAGGACCTCGTCGGCTTGAAGGGGGAAAATGATATCCACATCGATCGACCAAACAAACTCGAGTCAATGACATTTTTCAAAGATACAGTGAGCAGAGCCTTTCTAGACGCCCAGGACGATACTCAAAGGCTTCTGGAGATACTTGGGTCCCCGGACCTCATATACAAAACGGCGCTATACATGAACCGGCGCCAAAGAACATGTCGTGAATTGTTACACGACATTGAGCATGATGGGCTTGGGCTAATAGAAGATATCCAGAAAGACTTGGCGTCTTACTACCTCGTTCCCATTCTAGTCAAGCGAATAGGAGTAGATGACGAGTGGCCGGAAGAACTTCAACAGATTTTCTTGCTGTCTATGTTCGATAATGCTATCGGGGTAGATGATCGCCTAATCTTTTCCGAGCGAGACGGGGCAGATGACGTCGACATCAAGACAGCCCTTGACAGACTGGCGAATTGTTTCTTGATCCAGAAAAGGCCAGATCCCGAAGAGTCGCACCAAGTCCCACGCAAACGCTATTACGTCGACTCCGCCGTACAACTCGCCGTGCTGGCATGGATCGAAAAGAATGAAGGGGTCGAAGGTTTCTTGAAACGATTCAACAAAGTGTTGTCTATTCTATACACCAGTTATACTAGAATCAAACGTGCTAGCGATACCCAGGCCCGAGAGCGACTTATGCAGGAGCATGTCCAGCACTTCGAACACATTGTCAGGTACGCAAAGACACGGAAGTTCAGCACGGCCCATGAAGCTATCCAGTTCAACTTCAATGACGGCGCCATTCAAGCCATCATTGCATTCTGCAAGGCATTGTGGGACAAAGGAGACGTCAAAAATGCGACACATATGCTAGAACTTGGACAGAGCCACTACAGTCTTGAATCAATAGCAGTACGCTTGAATACCAAAATGAGGCAACGCGGCGTCGACTTGTTTTCCAATCTCAACCATCACATAGTGAATTTGAAGATCGTTCGGAATCGGTCGGATGACTCCCAGATGAGGAATCTGGCGGACCAAGTCACCGAATTGTGTCGAAAGGTGAAAAACGCCGTGGGTATTTTACCGTCATCAGAAGGCAAACCGCTTTACTGGCAATTCCATATACTAGGAGTTCGCCTACTCCGAGAGAGCAAGCAGTACAATGAAGCGAGGCGGCAGTCTCAAGATCTTACGCAGATCCGGTTAGCAATCAGTGATAATCGGGTCACCTTGCCCAAAACTTTGCGTGGAGGTAATGATTTCGAAAAGCTGCAAGAGCTCGTAATAGACGCAAGATTTGAAGAGGGTCGGCTCGATCTTGACGAGGGAAACAGATATCAGGAAAATAACAACACGGATAGAGCAGTGAAAGCGTGGACTGATGCTCATCAAGCCTTTTCGGACACGCGAATTGCCGCCGATAACTGGGGACGCAGTAACCCCTCATCACGTCGAGACCTCGAACTCTTTATGGCGGAAACGAGCTTAAAAGTGGGAGACGAGCAGCAGCTGGAAGAAGCCATGAGAATCTACGAACGAGAGCACCAAAGTCTACGCCAGAAATACGGTGTTGACGATGTCGAAGTATGGGAAATGGAGTTTAACCTCGCCCGTGTTAAGTGGAAGCTGGGCGGTAACGACAGAAGTGAGGCGAGGACCGCGCTCGAAGCATTGAGACCCAAACTTGAAGAGACTTTTGGTATGGAAGACCAAAGGACAAAAGGTTTGATCGCTCTTCTGCATTCCGAGTACGCTTCCTACATCGGACAATCAGACGACAGAGCGTGGGGAACAATCTTCAGGTGATCACAAGGCACAGGCCACACTCCGATCGAGGTTCCAGACGTGATCGATTCAAGCAGAAATATAGAGGGGTTTGGAGACCGCCTTAGGAAGATGTAAAGCTTACAAGAGAACTTTCTTTGTGTCCTGCTTATTCTTCTCTAAGATTATAATTCTGATTCCATTCAACGAACCCACAATTCCCTCAATGCCTCCAAGCGCCGCCCACCCTCCTCCCCCCTATTCGGTGCTGTCGATACCATCGATGGCTTTGTTCGATACTGTGGTGTAACAGAATAGATGAGGCTATTCGGGGATTACTTGTACGGGAAGGTAATAGGCAGTGTATAGATAGATTGATTAGGGCTGCCGAGAGAAATCAAAGCATAATCTTCCTACCTCGCGAGGTCTATTGACGGCGGCAAATGTCTACTTTTCCTACCTATTCACCAATTGCGGGTTGTGCCTGTGATGGTCCTACTACAGAGGCGTTTATACGCGATAATACCGTCGAGGTCTCCTTTCGATACCCTCACGTCTCCCCCGATCGAGTCCTGGCCCAGGCTAAATAGTGCTCTGCGAGTGTCCTGCCTCATACCTCCAAGCACTTGCACTTGCTACGGTTAACATAGTGCCGCTACTGGCTCACTACATCATGCAAGCATGAGGATACTTAAGCGGATACACGTCGCCCCTTATCAGTGGAGGCATGGGTAGTATCTCATCGTTGAGGGTCACGACAATCCTTGTTAGGACCAGGCACACGAAGGAAGTAGAAAAATACGTATTGAAAGGACGTAGATTCGTTATCAAAAAGAAACATGGAATATGAAGGGACTTAAATTTGTTACTAAAGAAAAACATGGAATATAAAGGCACGTAGATTCATTACTAAAGAAAAACATGGAATAAAAAGGCACGTAGATTCATTACTAAAGAAAAACATGGAATAAAAAGGCACGTAGA